TATTCTTGTTTTACTTATTATTTAATTTATCATACATATGTACTTATTAATAATATAGTTATAAACGTGGATAAATAGATAATTATTTTTATAATTATTTATAATTGTTATTATATAGGTATATTTTTATTATTATTATCGTATAGGTATATTTTTATTATTGTTGTTATAGTTTATTAAATTTTATTAATATATATATAATTAATTAACTTAAGACGTTAAAAGTTTAGTTTTTTTTTTCTTTTTTATATATTAATTAATTAATTGACTTTTTAAGTCTTATCTTTTATTATAATTAAAAGATTTTTAACTTTTATATTATTTTAGTTTATTTAAGGGGTGAGTAATATGTTTAATTAGAAAATCTTTAAATTTTTTAATTATTAAAAGGTTAATTAATAACCGTTTTATTTTTATTTATTATTTAATTATAGATTTTATTTTTATTTATTAATTAATTATGGATTTTATTTTTATTTATTAATTATATTTTTATTTATGTTTTATTTTTATTTATTAACCTTATTTTTATTTATTAATTTTATTTTTATTTATTAATTATATTTTTATATATTAGTAAAGTTATAAAAGCTTTAACGTATAAGTTATTAATAAAGCTTTAAGTAACTTAATTATTAAAATTATATATATCTCGTTAAAAAAATTATTTTAATTATTAAAGTAATATAGGTTTATTTAAAGATTTATATTAAGGATTAATATATATGTGTGTATATAAGTTATTAGATTTAAATAATGTGGACGTTATCTTTTTTATTAAAAAAGGGGTAATATTAAGATATAATTATAGACGTGGATATAGCTATAAACGTGGATATGGTTATAAATGTGGATATAGTTATAAATATAAATGTGGTTATAAACGTGGATATAATTATAAATGTAAATATAGCTATAAATGTGGATAGCTATTTTTATAGCTATTTATAGCTATTATTATATAGGTATTTTTATGGCTATTATTATTATAACTTATTAAACTTTATTTTTTAAATGGTTACGCTTTTTTTCTATTATTTATTCCCGACTTTTAATCTTTTTTTAACTTTTTAAAATAGTTTTTTAATTGGACAAGTAAAATTTCTACGGCTAATATAACGATTCTTAAAAAAAAAAATATCTAAAAATAATTTAAAAGCTTATCTTAAAGCTTATAAAAGGTTATAAGCCGATGAATTACTTTTAGATATTTTTTTTTGAAGGAAGGCTGGAGAAATTTTATTTATTTTTTTAAAGATTATATAAATTAAAACTAAAAAGGTTTGCACTTTAATATATTAATAAAAATATATTAAGTTTATAATCAAATTTTTAAATAATTTTTTATGTTATATAAGTTCGGTAATTATTAAATAAATAATATAAAAATTATTAAATAACTTTTTTATAAAATAATTTTACTTTTATAATTATATAATAATTTTATAATAATAAGATTATAACATTTAATAATTTTAAAACTTATTTAAATCTTAAATAATAATATTAATTAAAAGTTTTTAAATAACTCTTTTATAAAATAATCTTTTCTTATAATTATATAATAATTTCGCAATTATAAAATTATAAAATTTAATAATCTTAAGACTTATTTAAATTTTGGATAATAATGTTAATTAAAGGTTTTTTTATGCGTTAATAAACGCGATTTTATAATTATATAATAGTTTTATAGTTGTGAAGTTTTAACGTTTAATGGTTTTAAGATTTTAATATTAATATGTAATTTATATAATCTTATTTAAGCTTTAAGGTTAATAAGGTTATCTATCCGGAAGATATTTTTATGTTAAAACTTTTTTAAAAAATTATTATAGGAAATTATTATGGGAAATTATTATGGGAAATTATTATGGGAAATTATTATGGGAAATTATTGAATTAATTACGTTATTAAATATTTTTGTAATTCTTAAAAACCTGTGTAGGAAAATTAGGATTGGTTAGATCGTTTTTAGCGTTAATTGCTTAATAGTTGTGCGTTTTTTTTAAAAGCTTTTTATTAGTTGCATTTTTTTAAAGCAAACGCTTTTTATTGGTTGTATTTTTTTATGTTAGCTGTTTTAGATTTTATTAATTATAGGTTTTTTTTAACGTTTTTTATTAAGATATAACTATGGACGTGAATAAGTGGATAACTTATAACTATTATCGTATAAGCATATCTTTATTACTATTATATATAAGCATATTTTTATTACTATTACTATAACTTATTAAATCTTATCGGTGTATATATAGTTAGTTTAAAACGTTAAGAGCTTAGTTCTTTTCTTCTTTTTTATATATTAATTAACTGATTAATTTTTTAAGTCTTATTTTTTACTACGGTTAAAAGACCTTTAATCTTTATATTATCTTAGTTTATCTAAAAAGTAAGTAATATGTTTATTTAGAAAATCTTTAAACCTTTTAATTATTAAAGGGTTAATTAACAACCGTTCTATCTTTATTTATTAATTATATCTTTATTTGCTTATCTTTATTTATTAATTATATCTTTTATTTATTATTATATCGATATTTTTTTATATCTTTTTTTAATCTAATTAATTTATATATTAATTTGTTTTAACATATTTGGTGCCGGTCCGATATTTATTAAGCCATATCTTAATATTATTTTCTTTTTAATGAAAAGGATAACGTTTACGTTATTTAAGTTTAATATATATATATATGTATTAATTTTTGATACAAATTTTTAAGTTAACTTATGTTGCTTTAATAATTAAAGTAACTTTAGATAATTTTTTTAGCGGGATATATATGGTTTTAATGGTTAAGTTGCCTAAAACTTTACCGATAACCTATACGTTAAGGCTTTTACGACTTTGCTAATATATAAGGATAAAGATATAAGGGGAATAATATTTCCAGGATAGCCATATTAAATGGCTGTTATGTTATAAGGTTTCGTCGGCTAAAATAACTAAGAGTTAAAGGTTGATCTCGTCGGTTAAGGGGACCGAGAATTAAAAAATCTCGTCGGTTAAAGGGACCAAAAATTAAATGTCCCAGCTACATATTTTTTGGCTAAGACGTGGATAGTTACTTCCGTGGCTATTTATAGCTATTACCATGTGGGTATCTTTATAGCTATTGTTGTTACAGTTTATTAAACCTTATCTTTTGAATGGCTACGCCTTCCTTCCGTTATCTATTCCCGATTTTTAATTTTTTTTTAACTTTTTAAGATAGTTTTTTAATTGGACGAGTAAAATTTCTTCGGCTAGCATAGCGGTTCCTAAAAAAAAAATATCTAAAAGTGATTTAAAAGCCTATCCTAAAATTTACGGAAGGCTACGAGCCGATAAATCATTTTTAGATATTTTTTTTAAAGGAAAGCTAAAGAAATTTTATCTTTTTATCTTTTTTTATCTAGATGTTTTATAGTTTCTTTATAATAAGTTATTATTAAAAGGTTTATTATTTAATTTATTTAATATTTTTTTTTTAAATATTTTATTATTTTATAATTAATTTCTTAAGTCGATTATTAATTAATATCGGTGGATAAGGTTTATCGAATATATATTATATATTATAATATAATAATAAATAATAATATATACACTGCTACGTTATAATAACGTTAGGTAAGATATTAAACACATGATATATAACTATATTAATATTTAAAAAATAAAAAAAAACTATTATAAACGGCTATTTAAATAAATTTACTTAAATGCGTAATCATATCACATAATCACACATTATTAATCATTATATAACTAACTTATATTCCTTATTTTCCTTTAATGATATTCTAATATAAATATTTTAATTAATAAAAATAATAATAAATGTAAACCGTTAATATATGAAAAATATTAAATTTTTATTATATAAGATTTTTTATAAAAACCTATTAATTAAAACATTTAAATAAAAATACCCTTTAGAAAATTTAAGCTTATTAATACGTTATTTGTAAAATAATAAAATAAAATTTTTCTTAATTAAAAATTAATTTAATAACTTAATAATAAAACCTTGAAATTTTAAAAAAAATAAATGAAACCTTTTATCGTAAAAATATAAATTAAATAATTTTTATATTAATTCCATAATTTAAATAAATTTATTATTAGAAAAATAACATATTATAAAAATTATTTTAAACATTTTTCCCCTTAAACGGATTATTTTTAAACGGATAATAAGTTAATTTTATCCTTATAATTATAATTATAAAAAAAAAGGTTAAAAAGGAAAAAAAATAAATAAATAAAAAAAAAAAAAAACGTTTATATTTATATTTTTATATTTCTTTTATAATTATATTTTTATAATTTTTATTTCCTTTATAATTATATCTTTATAATTTTCTTTTATTTATTTTTTCCTTTATTAATAATTTCATTTATTTATATTTTTACCTTTTTTTTTTCTTTTATTATAATTTTTTTTATTATTATTTTATTTATTAAAATTTCCTTTATTAATGTTTCGTTTTCTTTTCTTTTAAGACTTTTATTATTTTTTTTTATTTTTTTTTTTTTTTGCTAAAAATTGCAAAATTTTCTTTAAAAATATTAAACTTTATTATATGGTTTAAGACTTTTCTTATTATATTATCATAATATTATATCTTAAAAAACGAATCGCTTGCTTAACTTATATCCCCTTTAATAAATATTATAGTAAATATTATCTATTATAAATAAGATAAAAGGATATAAATAAAAGACTTATCTTATAAAGATTGGTCTTAAACCTTTTTTCTCTTTTAATATAATAATCTATTTAAAACTAATAGATCTTTTCTATGTCGTTTATCACATCCCTTATGCCAGCCTGGCTGCCTGGATGCTTACATTACAAAGAGTCTTGTTAATACCCGCAAATGAACATAATCTTACATAGTCATTCTCAATGGATTTATCAGACAAGTTAACATGAGAATGTCATCGACTGAAAGAAACCCTTCTAATAAAGGGGTAGTGATCATCATCAATGGAAGCGCGCGGTGGTTTTGAAAATCAACCATATCAATTAGATTATTTCATTGAAGAGAGACTCCGAGATATTATTACAATGGGTATCCAGATAACGACTATAACCCAGCGGTAAGAGGAAACGCCTGCTGAACCATACCGCTTAATATTACCCAACTCTTGACAAATCATCTTTATCTACCTCGCTACCTTCCCAACTACCTGGGCTGCCTCCTTATTTCTTAGGGGTCGATGTCTCAGGTGGCATACTTGCTTGTCGTGAATGCGAAGTGGGAGGCCTTGACTCAGTACCATGTCGAGAAGACTCACGTCGTAGCTTCTTGCCATTCTTCGTATCGAACAAGCTCTTTACTCTCCTTAATCGCGCCCATCGTTCCTTATCCTTTAGGTCTCTAGCTGTGTTGTCTTCATCCTCGTCATCCACAGCCTCAGACCCCGGTGTTGGTGGACCACCATTTCCTCCTTTCTGTGTTCCCTTCATTGGCGTGGCTGGGAGGGATGCCGCAGGGCGATGAAGAATGCTACGAAGAGTACTCTTCTCTGACTGTGCACGAAGGTAGGCATGATTCTTGATCGTCACAGTGAGCACTTCCCAAGCAGTTTTGTTGTCCGCTTTCTTTGCACCTGGATTGTGCTGTACCGTGGCATTTCGCCAAGGACAAAAGAACCGGTGTTCGCGTACGGGATCGAGATAGTCCATCGGTGCTGGAACCAGGATATTTCCCGCATCATCTACCTCCTTGCTCTTGAACATCCATAGACCTAGACGACGTAGACATGTAGCACAAGTCGCCGAGTTTGGTACTGGGCCCACTCGTGGATTCATGAGACCTTGCCAACCGGCAAGAGCCAGGGCAACAGCCACATCATTGGGTGCTGTAGGGCTCGTACTAGGCGGCGGTGGTTCGGTAAAGAACGTTGGACTTAGTTGAGATTTGGTAGCCTGTAAATCAAGGTTTGCTGGCAGACGTAAGTTGAAGAGGTATGGCAGAAAAGACTGCCGGGCGCAAAGCTCATCGTATCGCTGACGTAAAGCGGCCAAAGCAGCTGGAGGGCTCGCTAGAGGTAGTCTGAGGAGAGAATCTTATCATTCTCGAATTAGTATAGAGAGCATTATGAGAAGTTGTAAGGACCTTACCGTCGCAGCCACGTTTTCTCCATAAACAATCTTCTTGGTGCGCATCAACAATCAAATCGACGAATCTCTTGACCAAGGCCTCCTCGATATCGGACCCGAGTTTTACGGTGACCTCCTTGCCGTCTACTTGTTCCTTGCTGGTCCTCACTACCAGCTCTTTGTGGCATAATGTGCACTGCACACGTTCTTTTCCGTGGCAAACCCAGCCTCGTTTTGCCCATTCAATTTCGTTGACCTTGTCGGGCTTCGGGGTCCATTCTGTCAGCTCTTGGAATGTCGCGAGGCGCCTTATTAACTCGTCGCGATCACCAGGGCAGTACTTCGGTGGCTCGTTGGTCTTTGTTCCTTTACTAGGAGAGGCCGCGCTGCCACCTGGCGTCCATTTCTTTAGTATAATGTTCGAAATGGCAGTGCTGCCTGTTTTCTCATTTGCCGTTGTGGTTTCGAGTACGCCCACGCGCCGGCGCTTAGTAAGGATTTCGCTTGGAGTCGTAGGTATGCTGGAAGGAGCCATTGTTTTGTTTGGAGTAGTTGTGTCGGCTAGGTATGAAGTCGAGGTTGGAGTTGATGGTCGAATCACTGGCGCTGAGTTTGAAGTACTATTGTTTTGCTTACCTGACGCTGACACTGGCGCTGGCGCTGGCGCTGCCGACGGGGTCGACTTCGCGCCGATCCCTTGTAACAAGGCATTGAATTTACGCTTGGTGGTATTCATGGCGGGCAAGCTGAATGAGTGCTAAGCTGCCGGCGTAGCAGGGTAGGTAGGTACTTAGGTAGTATTCAATTTCCAGTAAGGATTTTAGAGAACTACCAGCAAATATGGCAAAAGGATTGGCTCTACTTCCTCTGCTAGTCCTTGTTCTTTGTGTTTACATACTATGGTAGTACTATAATTTGGGTTGGTAGGTAAGCACTGAACATGTATGCAAGTTGTGAGATGTAGTTGGGAATTAAGTTGATAAGATCACATACAGATTAGGTATTTCAATGATGTTGTTGCGTTATGTTGTACACATGTTGGCTGAATTAAGAATGTTGGAAGGATGAAATACTTACATTGTTTTTGTTTCTTTGTACAATACTTCGTAGCTGGAATCGTCATACAGCATAGCTCTGTACCTACATATGTATCTACTAGGTAGTATGCACGTAACATTGTAGAGGAAAAAAAAAACATTGAGATACACCCGCGGCCGTCGGAGGATCGACAAGCTGGGAATTGGGTCCCGATTGCCTGCATAGACCAACTGTAACTGTGATTGTTTAGGGGATATCCACTAAAATAAAGGCTATCGCTGCCTACCACATGCTGCACATGGCAGAGTGTTCTCGGACGCCAGCATTAGCGTGATGAGCTGCCCTACCTAAGGTACAATACAAGTACATATCCAGGGTAGTAACGCTGTAGTCAAATTCAATTTTGCAACAAGAGCAAGAGTGATGAGCAGCCTTGGAGGTACTTAAGATCAAGTACTGAGTAAATATACTAATGTACTTAATACGTAACGCAGCTGAACAAAACTCTATCACCGGCTCCGCATGAAGACTAAACACAATAAAAACACTTCTTTTCTCACAAAATCCCCTTCTTTTCTTCTCATATCGTCCCTTTTTGCTGTGATCCTGGCTGTGTCTTTATTTCGAGCTTTGCCCCGCCTTGCCTCACTGTCCCGCCACCTCTCCTCCCCTGGCACCCACATCCCTATCCCTCACCACCAATTCTCCATCATCCCTGCCACCACCAAAAATCCGACAACTATGTCGTCATATACTAAAGAGCTCGAGGTGGCCCAGCTCGCCGTCCAGCGCGCCTCCATCCTGACCAAGCGAGTCTTCCACGAGAAGGCCAAGGGCACCGTGTCCAAAGACGACAAGTCGCCCGTCACCATCGGCGACTTCGGCGCCCAGGCCCTCATCATCAGCGCCCTCAAGGCCAACTTCCCCGACGACGAGATCGTCGCCGAGGAGGAGGCTGCCCAGCTTCGCCAGGATGAAAAACTGAAGCAGACGATCTGGGACCTGGTCAAGACTACGCAGCTCTCCGACCCCGAGGCCGAAGGCTTACTGGGTGGCGAGATCAGCGACGAGGAGACTATGTTGACTATGATCGACTACGGTAACAGCAAAGGAGGTGCCAAGGGTCGCATATGGGCTATTGACCCTATTGACGGCACCAAGGGCTTCCTGCGCGGGGGGCAGTATGCCGTGTGTCTCGCCTTGATGGTGGATGGAGACGTCAAGGTTGGAGTCTTAGGCTGCCCCAACTTACCCATTGACGATGCTGCTCCGTTGTCGGGAAGCATGGAGTCAGGGCAGACTGATATAGGCAGGGGTGTATTATTCTCGGGCGTACTAGGCCAGGGAGCCACGAGCCGCCCGTTGACCACTGGGTCTTTGGCTCGCGAGAAGAGCATATCTATGAAAGCCATCGACGATCTCTCGGCCGCGACGTTCTGCGAGAGCGTGGAGGCGGGCCACTCGGCGCATGGAGACCAGGCCGAGATTGCAAAGCTGCTGGGCATCACAAATCCTAGTGTGAGGATGGACTCGCAGGCCAAGTATGCTTCTATTGCACGAGGTGCTGGTGATATCTACTTGCGATTACCTGTGAGTGCGTCTTACCAAGAGAAGATTTGGGATCATGCTGCGGGTGACCTTATTGTCCGCGAAGCCGGCGGCGCTGTAACCGATATCCAGGGCAAGCCGCTAGACTTCACTGTGGGACGAACACTCGCAAACAACAAGGGTGTCATCGCAGCACCGGCTGCTGCCCACCCACAAGTTCTCAAGGCAGTCCAGGAAGTCCTCTCTAATAAATAGACCTCTGTACATCACAGATAGAATAAAAGTACAAATCTTTTTTTGACCGGGTATCTGCCGTCGATAGTACATGGACTGTAATATGAATACCATCATATTCCTGATCATCATCTATTTGATCTTCTTCTGCTTGAGCTTGATCGTCTCGTCGTTTATGAATATACCCTTCCCCTTGTACGGCTCAGGTCGTCTCCACTTACGTATCCGCGCCGCGAAGGACATGACCACTTCCTTGTCGATGCCCTCGAGCAGAATTCTCGTCGGCTGCGGCGTGCTGGCCTTCACTCCCAGGGGCACTGGCTCCTCCACCGGGTGCGTAAAACCCAGCTTCACGCACACGAATTTCTGTCCCGGGTATTCCTCCTTCCTAGGTCGCTCCTCGACGGTCGCCCTGTAACCTACACCCACCAATCGCAGGATGGCAGTGTAGCCTTCGGACACGCCGATGATGTATCGGTTGAGGTACGCCCAGGTGGTTCCTAGTTTCGTCCTAGAGTCAGTCCACAAAACCCAAGATTATGGATCGGAGTAGTATATAGTGTGGTGTGGTGTGGTGAGGTGTACATACCCCACATCTCCATCTGCTGCGTGATCTCGGCATTCTCAATGCTGACCTGCGCCCTCCTCGCCGTCTCGTCGTGGTGGATGGTGAGGAATTGCGGAATCTCAAGCTCGAGCTTGCCCAGCGGGCCCGTCACGGTAACCGTCCGCTTCGCTACCCTGAGATACGTGGTCACGTCCTTCTTGACCCTGGGCTCGCTGATGGCCAGCTCGACGGTGGGCGGGATCGATATCGGGGTTCTGCCGAGCTTTGAGGGGCGGCTGGAGGTGTTGGAAAATTGGCGCCGGGGCGATGCGGTGGTTTGAAAGGCGGGCACGAGGAATGCTGGAAGTGTGACGGAAGTGGCAGCAGCGGCAGGGCTTGAAAGGGCTCTTCCGAGCACCTTTCTTCTACTTGGTGCCAGCATCGTGAGCTTTTGAGAGGGGTTCCTGCCGCAGAATATATTGGCTGCGGAGCTTGAATTTGGAATTTCCAAAGAAAATGGAATTTCCATTGCTAGAAACTCAAAAGCTGCGAAATGCTTGGCAGATGCAGGAAAAAGACTGGGGTAAAGATCACGTGGGGCTACAGTATTAGTATTATCGAGCTAGTTATCTAACCTTACATAAGTTAATCGAGAAGGAAGGAACGACATAACATCAAATATGCAATTATAAGATGATTATTTCACTAACTATAACCGATATTTCCATCCACAGACCCCCCTAACTCCTTCCGTAAGATGTAGGTATCTACACCAAGACCGCCGCGTTCTTGCCTTGTTTACCCTGCATTTATGGTAGGTAGTTGCCTCAAGTGTAATAAAAGCCATGTATAATTACTAGGTGCACAGTACTAGGTACAGATATGTTCTGTGGTCTATACTGTGTAGAGTATTTAAAGAAGAAAATCCATAGGAATCAAAATGTTTTTAATCTTCCTTGACCTTCAACTTCGATCAGAAACAAGACGAAAAAGTTTCCATACTATTAAGTAGAATGGTCCCAAATTTTCGTATTCTGTGAAAGGTTATAACGGTTTTATCGTTTGAACGTCGTTCTGATATTCAATTGAAGTGGGATTTCAAGACTTCACTCTTTCTAGTTGCGCCGGTCCTTTCCCGATCCCATTTCTAGAAAGCCATTTCCTGCCTTCTGCCTCATCATCTTTTCTTCATATTTTTTATTCATTCTTACTTCTTTTCTCCGTTCCATCTTTCAACTAACCTGCCCAATATTCTTCACTGCCTCGTCCTCCACCTCTCAAGGTGGTCGCAAACAGATACAATGAAGAACACATGGGGTGTTGTAGGTTGGGTGAGAATCGCCGCATTTCTCATGCCAATTCATGCCTGTGTCGTCAACGGTCTCTCTTGGCGCAGTGGACAACGATCAAGTTCAGGTAAGGTGCCATAAATGCCACTTACAACGGAATATTCTGAACTAAGGCTTATGCATTGATCGATTACTAGAGACAAAAGACTTCGCCCACGCAGATGCTACAGACGGTAGCATTTCACAATTTCAGGAGCACGGATCTCAATCTCCAAGTCTCTACGAGGTCGCTCGCCATGAATTGCGAGAACTTGAATTCGAGCCTTTGTGCCAACAATCCGCTGCACGGATCTTGGCGAACAACTGCGAGCTTCTAGGAACCAAGAATGAGGCGACGATTCTTACTACCAGTGGCAGACTGGTTAGAGATTTCGTTGATTCGTATGCAATAGGCCTAGCTATCTGTGATCTGGAGAGAGGCAACTTTGAGATTCCCCACCGATGTGCAAACTTTCGCGAACCAGTCTTGAGCCAACTTCCGGTTCAGAACTTTGGCCATTTGCATGTCTCTTCCGCGGAAATCAAGTCCTGCCTCTCTGGCTTGAGCGATTCTTCTTCGGCATAGAATACCTGGGTTAGTTATCGCCATAAAGCTTTGGGGTATTGTGAAAGTGCTAGATTAGAAAGCGAGAAAGGTATGCGAGTCTCCGTGCATGTTGGGATTGATTTATCACTAATTCGTCACAGCCGAGGACATCCGCCGTTTCAAACACCTTGTGGATATTGTTGAAAAATTCACAAGTGGCCTTGAAAAAGAGGGCGAGAGAGCCTCACAACAACACGAGTCACAACTTCAGGCTGCAACCGACAAATTTTTTCAAAACCTAGAAGATGCGTGGGCCGACATGGAAGCAAGGAACAACAATATGACAGAGCCGCTTGCTCGTATGCTAAAGGTATCTATCATTCCTTGGCTTGGTTGATGTGTCTCTTAAGTATTAACCTGCTCTAGGAGAACACTGATGCACTCCGCGCACAACAGGAGAATACATTCAAGATGCAGAGAATGTATGAAGAAGGTCTTAAGAATGCTCTTGAAGACCAAGCTCGAATGAAATCAGCCCATGAACGATCGGTGGAGGTAGCCAATCAAAATATCGAATCTGTTGCAAACGCAGGACTGGAAAGGTTCGCATCCATTGCGCAATCTTTGGTACAATTTCAAACCGAACTCGTATGTCTTATCGTGATGTCTCTTTGAGTACTGAGTATGGAATTGACTAATTAACGAAATTATAGGAGCTTCTGAGGGATACATTGGAGACCACACATCTCAGTCTAAATCAGGACGCGCAAGAAACAGCTGCTATCATACAAGATACCATGACAAAACTGGAACAACTTGAAAGCACTCTGGAACAAGTACAGAACGTCTCAGTCGATATTCAAGAGACCCTGGAGGATACGGCTGTGTCTGCAGCTTACGTCAGTGATTCATTCTACAGACAATCCCCCCTCTCATCCTGGTGGCCGTACGTTTGGTGCCCGGCCGTTTCACTCGTATTGGGCTCTTATGGTCTTCCACCTTCTGTGACGAGAAACGTTGTCCTGGTTACCTTAGGTATGCTCCTAGTATTCGCTTCATTGGAAATGTGCCTTACTAATATATTTCAAGGTGAATTTGCTGGTTTTACGTTATCGTCTTTCCAATCAGTTCACTCGAGTCTTTCTTCTATTCAAGTCCCGGGGGTTTCTGGCTTTTTATCTACTTGGGGAGGCTCCTCTCCCGCTAACGACACTGACGACACTCGTGCCGGAACTGACAACGATACTGAGGTATCTCAAGATATCTAGATGATTACAGCATGAATTCTGCTAGAGAGTAGAGCAGGAAGAGAATGCGACTTGGTAACATATTTATCATGGCTTTTGAGGATTTTGGGGGGTTACAATGCTTGATATATCCATTAACATATTGCTTGCCCTATACTAAATGGGCACCTACTCGGAATTCCAGACACTGGAAATATGGAGATGCCAACAAGATCATCTCCAGCCTTGCTTAGCTAGCTTTGAAATAAATTATCGATTATAGCTTCTGCTATCCTAACCGGGCTCTTTTGTTCTTTGTGCCCCCTTATGATAAATGAGTTATTCTAGAACAGATGTGAGCCTGCATAGGTAAGTACATTAGGTAGGATTCGATTATCCCTAGCTCCCACAGTCATACGAAAACGACTGCCAGCCACTAGAAACGCACTCCCCGGGCCTCAAGGCCACAGCACCGACGCTGCAGCTGCTGTCCGTGTACACGGTGACTAGCAGGTTAAAAGAAACAAGATACCTATTAGTCTCCATTCCAAGGCCCCCTTTCAGAATTACCTATACAAGAACTGCCTTTCTTTCTGTAGGTTATATCAAATTTAGGCACTCGCAAACCAAACCCCTCATCCTGCTCGACCTCCTGCACGCTCTCCCACGAGCCCTGAGCACAGCCGCCGTTGCAGTTCGGCGGGGGGCGTGTAGGAGTCCGAGGACACGGTGCCGATGCAGCCGCTGTTGGAGAAGAGGTTTATCACGCCGTTGGCGGATGCGAGGGTTACGGTGGCGGCGATGATGGTGAGGGGGGGAGGGGTTGTTCTTCATCTTGAGGGAGGGATGATTTGATGATGCTTAGGTGGGTTTGTGTTAGTAGGTTGTTAAGGGTTGCTCTTCTTGATGATGGGATGATGAGTGTGTGAGTAAGTGATTGGTGATTGGTCTGAGATGAGTTCGGTGAGTCTTCGTGCTTTATATACTAGGTACTCGGGCCCAACCCCCTAACGTAGGCAGGTAGTCGAGCTCAGCGTGTGCCTGCTATACCCAGGTTATTCTCGTGATGAGGGTTCTATTGCCATCACCTATACACTGGTACCATCGACTACTACCTAGGGTAGGTAGCGAGTTACAAAGCTGAGGCATATAAGCTAAGGCTGATACAGCTGTGCTACCGCTGTCTGCAACCCGACTCGCTGGGTCGTATAGCGGCAAAGAAAAGGGGGGCTGGTACTGGAAGCTCATCAGCTTACTGTAAAAATATAAGTAGTAGCAGGTTCCTAGCATCTGAAATATGAGACCTTCAAAACTCCGGAGATTCTTCTCAAAATACCCCTATTCCCATGTCTCGGTCTCATCTTTTTTAACGGTCAGGTTATCATCGACGTGACAAAATGAAGGAAAATAAAGGGGCTACGGTAAGAGTATATTTATATGACAACTTCATTTCAAAATAGTACCTTGAGTATCCAATTGCTTAGAGGGAGAGTGAACCTATATACCTGGGCAGTTTATGTATTTGGTAGACATCTCAGTAGTAAAGTACCCAGGCAATCCACGCCAGACAACCACCACCTCACAGCCCAAAGCCCAGCGGACACCCCTCGCCCCCCACAAACCCCTTCATCGCCTCCGCCTGCCTCAACACCTCCTCCCTCCCCAACTTCTCGAACCCCGCCGGCCCCAGCTCCTCGGGTACATACCCCTTGCCCCCCGGGCCCTTCGACCTGCCCCCCGACGACAGCCACAGCGTCAGCCTATTGTACCACGTATCCGCCACGTACCACGGCTCGAAACCCACATACTTCGGGTCCCGATACAACCTCCCATCCTCCGCCCTCCTCGCCAGCGGATCAAGCGGCGCCGCGCGCGGCAGGAAAAAATACCGCACCACAAACCCGCGCACCCAGAACCCCCCCGCCGTCAGCGCCGTCGCCCACGCCGGGGGGTCGGGGAAGCCCAGGGCGTCGCGGACGGGCTTCTCGTCGATGAAGGAGACGAACAGGCTCCTTGCAAGCCCGTGGAGGAACCCCGGGACGCCGCGGAGGAACAGCTCGACCGTGGCCTCGGCCACGATGCGGTTCTCGGGGATGAAGTACATGTGCTCGGCCTCGTAGGCGGCCTTCCACTGCTCGAGCGCCTCGAGCGTGTCGGGGACGAGGGGCCCGAAGCCCATGCGCCGCGCGAGCTCGCGCCAGTACACGAGGTAGGCGACGCGCTCGAGGCGGGACAGGGGCCGCCACTCGTAGCGGTCGATCCAGCGCGCGGGCTCGAGCACGAAGAGCGCGAGCGTGTGCACGTAGTCCCCCGCGCGGATGCGCGCGCCGTGCCGCGCGTGCAGCCAGTTGAGGCGCGCTGTCGCGACGCGGCCCCGCTCAGAGTCCAGGTCCCCGATCAGCAGCTCGATGAGCAGCACCGCCGTGTCCTCTGCCCTCCTGCCGACGCGCTGGCGGTCGCACAGCTGCCGCGTCTGCACGAGCAGGGGGGTGCCGGTCGCCATGCCGTACGACTTCACGAGCGCCCACTGCGTGCCGAAGTAGAAGAGGAAGGGGGTGTCGCGCAGCTGGTGCAGCCGCATGATCTCGCCGGCCTGCTGGTAGGTGAGCCGGTACGGGTCCGCGAGGTAGGCGGCGTACTTGTGCTCGATGGCCCGGAGCGCGCGGAAGCGGAGGAGCTGCACGAGGGTTAGGTAGGCGATGATGGCGGTGGGGATGAGGGTGCGCCAGGGGGGGAAGGCCGCGGCGTCCGGCATGATGCCGTTGGAGAAGAAGCCGCCATCGGGGGAAGGGGTGGTGGAGGTGTTGGATTGGTGAAGTATCTCCATGTATATTCTATGTACTGTGTTTGCTCTATCTATCTTAGGTACCTATAATGTAGGCATTTACCTATCTACCTGTCTGGATTAGGTAGGTAAGAAACAAAAGATGTATTACCACATGGAAGAAGAAAGGGGAGAGAACAGAAGACAGAGAGATTACGACAAAAAGCAATTAAATTTTGTGCCTCTTTCCTACCTGCACCATCGCACGACTGCCACGCTTCTTGCGAGCGGGGGTGAAATAATTATCGGGGTACGAGTCAAGCACAAAAGCAAAGGATTGGAGCAAGACAACGTGCCAACTCTGGAACCTGTGGATCGGGAACGTTCTTCCTTGCCTAATCGGATCCGTCATACGCCCCGAATCGCCGGGTCCGGAACTTTTGGTTGGGCCCCATCACCCGGTATTGGTGAAAAGGGGGTGGGGGTGGTTCGGAACAATGTACCTATCATCGCAAGTTTCAACATGACGTTGGCATTATATACCCACAATTTTGATGTTAGATAGGAAAATTAGCTGAAAGATTAATGGCTGATAAGTTTTAGTATCATTACATATAGTAGGTAGACACACGGTTAGATTGGTAGGTGAGTAGATTTGAAGAGGACAAATGTTATGATTATTAATTATATTAATTAATAGGGGGAACTAATCACGCCTCATTGCGATAGATCCTTAACAACTAAGACATCGAGAATATATCGATTGCCTGCCTGTACCAGGTTCTAAGAACCTTATATCGTAAGTGATCCAGTCAGAGGCAAGTCTCGGCTACTTGAGCCAACAAAGACTCCGTAGTCGCCCTTTTGCAGCTGCCATTTTTGAGCAACGACGTCCCAGTTGCTCAGATCTCGCCGTGTTAGCTCAAAGTCAACAGTGGCAGATTCACCAGGCTCCAGAACTGGCTTCTCGAATCCACGCAGCTGCTTCACGGGACCGTTGGGGATGGCAATGTAGAGCTGAGCTACTTCAGCACCAGCTACCTCGCCAGTATTCGTGACTGTCGCAGAGACTTTGGCTACGATATCCCATAGATCCTCCTGACCACCCTCGATGATGTCCTTTGTGGGATACTCAGAGGTGTCGGCATCCTCAACATTGGAGATCTGGAGGTCTGTGAAATTGAAAGTAGTGTAGCTCAAACCAAATCCAAATTCATATCTGGGGGTTATGTTCTTGGCGTCAAATGCCCTGTAGTCGATGAAGATACCCTCTTCGAAGTCGGACTGAGGGAATAGCTCGTAGATTCCGTCAGGTCGGGTCTCATTTTGGATCGGTCCATAGTCTGACTCGTTGCGTGGCACTGAGTACGGCAATTTGCCCGAAGGGTTGACATCGCCGTATAGAATGGATGCAAGGGCCCGACCAGAATCTTGCCCAGGAAGATGGGCAAAGATAAGTGCCGTTACGTTGGGGTGGTCAATGAACTGATCGACGAGTCGTACACCTGCGTTGTGGAACACTACAATTGTGTTGCTGCAGTTGGCAGCGACGTTGGTGATGAGGGCGTCGGTGTAGTCATCGTGTAGTCCAACCCTGTCCCACGACTCCGAAGCATAAGCATTGCCAATGACGATGCAAGCATCGGAAGATTGGTCAACTTGAGGGTTGCCACTGTGGAAGTCCCACCACAAGCTCGAGTCATCGTCATAGGCACGTTGGCTCAAAGCCTCATACGGAGAGCTGACATATGCCGGCTGGTTTGCACCTGATCCGCCACCACTGATTAATGTGCCGTTCGCGGCAATCTGGGAGTGTATCGCTTCATCTTTGGTACCTGGGATCGGGATCACATCTTGAGGTCCTAGTGATTCTGTTCCCCGGTTCCAGGCCCCCTCGGCAGTAGGGTTGTATGCGTCGAAGGATTTGGCTGAATATCCATATAAGGAGATTAGCTTGGGCGATTTTAGAGGCAGCGCATTGTTGATGTTCTTGACAAGGACATGACCTTCAATCGCTCCCTTTAGCAGGGTGCCCTTGTTTTTTGGATTCTTTGCAATGACTCGTTGATGGGGCACCGTGAGGTCTATAGGCATTCCTTGTCCCACAGCTGGGAATCCCTCGTCCTGGCCCATCTTATACCACGTAGCCAATATTCTGTTCTGTGTTAGCTCGTGTCCGTACCGAAAACTTCATGGAGATATTACCTGGTTGCCATATCGTCTAGCCTGTGCTCCGGGACCGACCCATTGTTTACGGCCAGTGTCAGGTTTGCGCCCCAGAAATCACTGCCGAACGGCATAACCATGTCTAAGCCTGCCAATGCTGAGGCAACACCCGAGTGCTGGGCATACCAATCAGATACAACGAAACCCTGGCGTACTTGTTAGCCTCCTTTCTTAAGTAGATCATCCGATTTTACGTACCTGGAAACCTAATTCGGTCTTGAGAATTCCGTTTTGCGTTTTGCTGTTGGCGCAGCCGTAACTATTGTTGATTCGGTTGTATGAACACATGATGTTCACAGTGCCAGCTTTTACAGCATCTTGGAAGGGCCTGGCTGAAATGTTAGCTGGAAGTAACTCGGTGGATGCCATCTCATGTGGTACACATACCAGAGGTATAGTTCGTGAAGTGTCTTGTCGTCAATGTTGGATGATACAGCAGTGACGTTGCCCTCGGGGTTTCTGTTTCTTTCTTGCTCATTGGCAATGAAATGCTGGAAGAGCGTTAGCTACCTGTTAGTGTGTAAAAGAGGACATTGCCATTACCTTGGTACTCGTTGAGACTCCCACTGACTGCATACCCTTGACGGTGTCGGCAGCGAGAGACCCACACAAATAGGGGTCGTTTGAGAAGCCTATCGAAGATGATTAGTAAGAAGAATGATCACAGTAAGGGGGCTTATTCTAGGTAACTTACCTTCCCAGTTTCTTCCACTCGTTGCAATACGGCCTAGGGGACCTACTACAGGCCCGAGGGCAATGTTGACACCCTTCTCTCGAAATTCGCCAGCCATCGCAACTGCTCTCTCATGAGCCAATTCGCGGTTCCAGCTAAGTAAATCCTTTAGCTAATCATTTTTTATGCATGTAGGTTGGGTAATCTCACCTTGCTCCAACTGAGATACCTGCAGCCCAACTCGTTACGAAGTTTGTAGTTCGCACTCCATTGCCGGCGTCACTTAGACAGAGGCCAGTGAAGTTGAGCCTTTCGATTGGGGGAATGATACCGGAGCAGATACTGTCTGCTACAATACCGCCGGTAAGATTAACCTATAGAGTATTGGGGTCAGACATGATGGTATTTCAACTATCCTAAGGTGATATGTATCCCACCTTTTCTTCTAGAGTCAATTGAGCTACAAATGCTCGTGCTTTATCGTATGACTCTGCCCAATCACCAAAACCAGTGCCATTGGCTTTGAAGTTGTTAGTTTTGTTTTTGTTTTTTTATAAGTGTTATTCTACTCACGAGATGGGTATACTGGCGGTGAATGGCCATAGAAGGTCGTATCATCAGTGATGATAGACTGAGCAGCAGCACCGATGCTGCCACCCAAAGCGGTCAAGCCACTCAAGACGTATAGAGAAGTTGACACCATTGTATAGAGTCAAAGTCGACAACACCGGATGAGTTGATGAGAAGGAGAAAAGATGTGAGGCGATCACTTCACATTATATGTATACCTACTTACCTACCTGGTACCTCGGTATCGTTCCATGGTATAACAACATTGAATGATGCACATCGTAAAATATTCCGATGTCGTTGCCACGTCCAGGTAGCTACTAGGCACTGGACACTACCTGGCTCTCGCCCATGAAAGCCATGAGGGGTCATCAAATTCCATTCGGACCTTCTCTTGAACCATCGACCGGTGATGATGCAAGAACAACAGTACATACATGGTAATTTATGGAGACGAAAGAGAACTGGGCGGACAAGGGAAAGGACTAAGGTTAACAATCTAGCAATGGGGAGCGTCAATCACGACAGAGAGTTGGGGAATGTGGGGGACATCTTAGATGAAAAAAAGAAAAAAGAGCAAAGAGACTTTGATGTTCCCCAACTTGGATATGATACAAGGATACTTGATATTTGGGGTTCATCCGATGTCATTACATAAATTGATGGTCTTGATTGAAATTAATATGTCCAGGTATATCCAGGTATATGGTAGCTAGCATAATATTGAAATACATACATCAATAATGTAGGCGTATCTTCACATACTGCAACCAATCTAGGTTATAGCAATACAAATACAACAGGAGATCTAACAGAACATACTGCGTACATGAGCTCAATCACCTCATTCTGTTAAACCAAACCCACTTCATACTCGGTATATGTTGTCTGACCTAGGCCACCTCACCTACATATAGGGCCGAGACACGATACTACATCTTGGGGGCCGAGGCATGTACTTCCCGTTAGGTAATACATAGTGTGTATCCCAGCGAGCTAATGCACCCCGCATAGGTGAGTATACCCAAGAAGAGCTTGCCAAGAGTCGGGGTAAGGGGTAATGATGGTACGAAAGAAAAAACCAACTTTATCACACGGATTCACACCGTACTTCCACTTTTCAAGAAATTCTTGACCAGTACGGCATAGTACCTAGGGCTATTTAGCCGATGTTTATCCCAACCCCCAACTCTTCCACCAATCGTTTCCCAGTCTCCGGTGAGCAGTACCTTCAAGTTGTTCTGGTCAACAAACTCAACACTAAATTCTCTGCCGCGATGGTAACCCGAGCCGAGATTATAATGTGCGCTTTTCTTTTACCCTTGCTACCTAGACCATGTTCTGCCCCATGCTTCACCGATGGGACTAGGGAATACTTATTTAACCTAGCAGAACAGTGAACACGCAGAGAAATGCTAGCCATATAACTAATGGAACTATAGTTGATCGGGCTCGTTCAGATCCACTATTCGAAGTTCGGGACAATGAGGACGTCGACGATGGGTGGCTAGTACCTGTCGTAGTCGACGATATCGTCGGCAATGGATCGATTGCTAATGTTACCGTGGAACTCGTCACCGATGAAGTCATTGAAGAAACTGTCGTTGACGTTGAGGCTGCAATAGTACTGGAAGTCTTCTCACTTGGATGCTGTGCTGTCCAAGTTTGAGTTGTTGTTGTGGTGCTGGTGGTGGGAGACTCAGTTGTCGTGGCGACTGTGATGCCCATGATTGCTGCATAATTTGTGGCAACTTCCTTGGGAAGAACCCTCAAGTCAGTCTCCTCCCACACGACAGTCATCTGATCATGCTCTATCCACATGCTGGAAAGCGTCGTGTATATGTCGGTCGTGGTGATGTTTGGCAAGAGGAGAAAGGCCATAGGCGTGGTAACCGTGGAAGTGCAGAAATACGTCGACATATCTGAGAAACCACTTGCAGCTAGTCAGCTGTGCCTGCTACCGTAAGACTAAAGTGGGCAGGTGAACATACCTCTGACAGCATCCTCCAGTCCAAATAGTCTTGCCACTCTCGACGTTGGAAGTTGTTCTCGCAATGCTCATGTAGCCTGGACATACGCCAGGACTCAAGGTCTGCGCCGGCTCGGTGGCTTGGCTGGGCATGCATTTCGAGAACGAAGGATCAGCCCACCCCCTTGAAGGCGATAGGGTGCTGGAATGAAAAGGATTGTTGTCAATTGCCACAGCAAACCTGGTTAAGCACCACGAAGGCGCATTGAATATGGTTGTCAAGGCTTGCATTGTGTTGTGGGGTTTGTAGCGATTCGCGTCTGGGATTGATTCGACAACTCAGGAGGAGTCAGTTTTCGGGTTTGAGTTGAGTTACGGATTGAGAGAGTTCTTATATGGTTTCAAGTATGGCAAATGTGAACATTGTACTACATCGTGTCACAGTAATGGCTTTCATGACTCAATTGTAACTATCAGCATCGGTAAATGATGGAAACTAGGTAGGTTTAGTTGCCGTGCTTGTGTACCCAGAAAAGAAAGCTTAGGTACACAGGTAGGCGGGCATGAAGTAGGTACATGATTAGGACACAGAAGGGAAGGAGGTTGATGGAAGTATGAAAGGGGAAATAGCGACGATACCTATATTGAGATGTTTAATCCTTTTGCGAATACCTTAAACACCTACCTCCTATTTTATGATATCTACCCCTATTTGAGCTGAGGTAATTGCAACAAACTTATCAACATATGGCGATTGGAAGAATGACACGAATTCCCATAAACATCATAGTAGAGTTATATCTAGTAGATGTTTGTTAATTCTCGGTACCTATTTAGTGTATTTACCTACCTAGTAGGTACGCTGCTTCTTTGATAGTAGGTTAACACATCCATGGACCTGACTTGAATGAGTTATTGTTATGATGTAGGCTAGGTCGATTGGCTCCTATGTGAATAGCATCATCAAAGGACAATGCACATACCTAAGCAGTCCACATAAAAAAGATAATAGTGCACTTAATAGACAATCTTGCTCATACTCCATTATGCAGATTTAGATCGAGTGCTATACGAGTATCCAAGGAGAGTGATTATTTAGCCGCCAGCCAATTGTGGAAATATGTCTCGCAACCACGCGATTGATTACAAGAATCATCCAATGTTCTGACCCCGGGATGTAACTATAGCCCTGATAGAATAGATTGTTCTGATAGTCTCGAACTGCTCAAGACCTAAATTGCAACCCCCTTTAAAACTAGACCTACCAAGATAGGTAGGTGCCCAGATAGGCGAGCAGGTATATCTTCAATCGCCCCTCAATTAACAACGAAACAGGAATACTGTTACATCCACTCTATAGACGATGGGAGAAGCAGTATAAATTCAAAGGTTTATTTGAACCGCCTGCCTGCGAAGCTGTCGCAGGAGCTTGATTTTCTCTCCTCCCTTAAGCTTTGCTTCACCAACCTACAAAATGAGGCAATTCACAATAATACGAGCTCTCCTGCTGGAGCTCCTCCTCTGCTACCTCTGCGCAGCCGAATCCATACGCGCCATCTACCTCTTCAAAGACGTCCTGAAGTCCAACACCACCGCGCTAACCAGCTCCGGCTTCAACGCCGTCATCATCTTCGGCGTCGGGATCCTCGAGAACGGCGACATCATGTACTACTCGAACACCCCCGGCAGCAGCGACGTCCTGGTCGCCTCGAGCGGCGGCTACGTCGGCGGGTCCGCGCTCTCCGAGAAGGTGCGCTCGTTCAAGGAGCAGGCCGGCACGAGCATCACGCGCGTCGAGATCTCGATGAACGCCCAGCACGTCAGCGACCTCATGCGCAGCCCGGGGCCGGGCGCCGACACGAACGTGCACCGCAACTTCGCGGCGCTGCGGGCGGCGTGGGGCCTCGACGCCGTCAACAACGACGACGAGTCGCTCTACGACGTCGCCGGCACCGTCGCCTTCGCCAAGATGCTCGGCGCCATCGGCTACCGCTACACGATCGCGCCGTACACGAACTCGCGCTTCTGGGTCGACGTCAAAACGCAGGTGAACGGCGGGCACGCGGAGCCGGACTGGCTGCTCGACAGAGTGTACCTGCAGTGCTACGATGGCGGTGCCGGGAACGATCCGGCGGGGTGGCAGACGACGCTGGGGATGAAGGTGGTCCCGCTGATTTGGGTCACGAATGACTCGAAGCCGTCGCAGGGCACGACGGCGACGCAGGCGAGGTCGAAGTTTGCGGGCTGGAACTCGAGGAGTGTGCTGGCGGGGGGCGGGTACTGGAATGATTATGATATTGAGAAGATGGGGTTGTCGTATGCGGAGTACGGCGGTGTTTTGACGACTATATTTCCATGAGAGATGATTTAGCCTACTATTGGACGAATTATCGTACATAGTTGTTTGTTCCAGTCTTTATCATTCAAAGATTTGTTATCATCCAAGATGACATATCAAAAGTGTGTTGAAGGCTAGTAACTCGAGAGTAGGTAGGAAGGTTCGGAGAGCTTTTGCATTCGGACAAGTGATAGTTACCCCTGAGAGCTCGTAAGCTTCCACACTGTACATTAGGCATTGACCAGGTCACCCACCACCAAGATGATTATAGGAGGTTCTCATGTTCCTAGCGAAGGATTGAATGGTATAAGCCTCCTCCGACACGCACATACGATACACTAACGAGTTCGATTTCTCAAGGAGATGTCGAAAAACACTAGCTTTTCATAAGAATCTCATTTCACTGTATCATTGCCGTACTGTTAGCGAATGGGACTATCTACCTAGTATTTTCCATATCTTGTGAATGAGTATTACATTTAAGGTCAGGGTTAGGGGTAAGGATCAGGTACATATGTAGATTAAGGTGAAATGTATTTGCAAGAGGGTATCTACCGACTGTCCGTGGCCTATCAAACCAACACTTAGAACTAGTATGAACGTTCATTAGTACCTAGGTTAGTGTTTATATCTCGTAATGAAAAAAATGCGCATGTAAGAAAGGAAGCAGTTGTACAAGATATCACTAGGGTTGGGGTTAGGGTTACTTGGATGAGTAAAGGGTTAGGGTACATGTGTCCCGGAGGACGTGAAAATCTGGGGTAATGAACTCCGCCTGAGTACCTAGGTACGTTCTTGGTAGACTCAGGATTCTTCATGAAATGTTCATTGGAAAGTAATTGGCTTATGATGACTACATCGATGAAGATAACCTCCCTAATCTATCGGTAGATAACGCAGGTAAACGGTTCACCCGTAGTTAAATGCACCCTGTTGCAGCTCTGCTGCAACCAAGAAGAAGAGGAAAGGAAGAAAGCTTGCTTGATTCCTAACTACAGTGGCGAAGTGCCAACATATGGCCATATGGGCCATATGGCTCTAGTGGAGCGTATGGTGCCTGAGGCACCTGCAACACAACCCAATTCCCCGGATTGCCCTCGTGCATACCTAGTACCCAGCTGTAGCACCTTACACAATACAGTATATCCAGCTTCGTAGGTGTACGGGGCGAAGCCATGGATATAACCCGACTGGCCACGATTGAAACCCCCCTGAAGACATTTCGTAATGGGGACATCGTTATAGGGAGAGGTGTCTTCATTTAGCCACGTGCTTTATGTGAGCATTCTTTCACTAATCAACCAGTAGGTATCTACTAGGCACCTACATAGGACGTCATGGGAAATCGGAGTAAATATAGCCTCCTGCTCCCACCACTTACAGTCCGGGCCAATGAGACGTGATAATATGGATTCTAAGATTTACATAGCACATCCTATACTTGATACACATAACCATAAACCAAGCACTGCCTATTTTTAACGACTTGGCGTTTGGATCCTCTGCGTATAACTCAGCACCTGTAGCCGAGTAATCGGGACTCGAGGTTGCTGATCATGGGACTGTGTACCCCGCACGACTCGGTAGCCAGGTGCCTTCGGCAGGTATATGATTCGACTAGAGAGTACTAGGTATAGACGAAGAGCTAGAGGAATGTCATTTAAGTGTAAGGCAATTCCTATAATCGAAGTAGTGAAACTCGAAGTGAAGATATTAGGAGTCGAGAGACGATATATCAACTTAATATCAACAAATCGAATAAGGAACAACCAATACCAATATGCCGGGCCTCATTCAGGAATCGCCCTTCAAGACCATCACGGTCAAGGAGCTCCATCCTACCTTCGCTGCAGAGGTTAGCGGGGTCAACTTCCAAGATCTGTCCGAAGAGCAGCTCTCAGAGATCATTGCGGCAATGGCCAAGGTAAATGATAGAAACTCGCAACGACATTCATGCCAAGCCAGCGGAACATGCAGCTAACAAGAAAACACCAGTACGGCGTCTGCGTCTTCCGCAACACCGGCCTCGACGACGAGTCGCACGTGCAGTTCTCCAAGCGCATCGGCGAGCTCGACAACATCCAGCGGTACCTCGTCGGCGGGCGGCAGCCGCGGTACGCGCAGTACGAGCTCTTCGACGCCGGCAACATCGACGGCGAGACCGACTCGATCCTGGACCCCAACAGCCCGCGCGCGCACTCGAACCGCGGCAACGGCCTCTTCCACGTCGACTCGTCCTTCAACCCGCGGCGCGCCTCGCTCTCGCTGCTGCGCGCCTGCGAGCTGCCCCCGCCCGGCCACGGCGGCAACACCGACTTCGCCGACTCGCGCACCGCCTTCGACGAGCTGCCGGCGGATCTCAAGGATGAGTTGCTGTCGCACGATTACGTGGGCGCGCACTCGATGGCGCACTCAAGGAAGCTCGGGTCGCCCGAGTTCTTCAAGGACGTCGATCCCGCGGCGCCTGGGGCCGCGCCGATGCAGCGCCACCGCCTGGTGCAGCGCCACGAGCCGAGCGGGAGGATGAACCTGTATATCGGCGCGCACCTGCACCACGTCGAGGAGGTGGGGGCGCCCGGGAAGGAGATCCCGGGCTCGTGGGAGCTGATTCAGCGGCTCAATCAGCATGCTACGCAGAAGAAGTACACAACGACGGTCGAGTGGCACGATCCGGGGGATATGGTGATCTGGGATAATAGGTGTACGCTGCACAGGGCGGGAAGCGGGGACTTCGAGGGCAGGTTTAGGAGGGACCTGAGGAGGACGACGGTCCATGATGATAGCCCGACGGCGTGGGGGCTCAACTCGAAGGACTCGGTGTGGCAGGGGTTTAGTACGAATGGGAATCCTCAGCATAAAGGGGCGGTTGGGGTGTGAGATTTAGCTGCAGTCTTGGAGGGATTAATACACAGTTTGAACTTTTGACTTGTCTAAAGGGGTATATTTAGTGGCGTCGTAGATGGATCGAGAACGTGCTGCTATGACAGGATGTGACCTGCATATGTAGGTAGTCGGCAATAGGAGATTCATCCTGGCCCCCTTATTAGTGCAGTATCACGACCAATTGATATTAATATTATGTTCATGTCATATGAGATTGAATATGGCTAATCAATAATAGTAAGAAGATCTCTACCTAGGTAGTTATATTATTGAGTAGTAGGTAGTAAATAAAGAAATGGAGCTTGGCCATTAACTAGTTAGAGTTGAGAATATATGCTCAGGTCCTGATTATGTAATCCAGTGATGGATCACGTGACTACTAGTCATGTTGAGTACCCTGCGAGTCTGCGACAGTTCAAGAATGCTAGGTTACTAGGTTACATATGTGGTTCGTAAGTTTACATCAACATACCGCCTCAAGCGAGACCGCCAATACTTACAGTAAGGGTTATGTGATGTTAAACCACTGGTTGAACCAATCCTTAGGATCAACGCGATTCTTGATAGACCGTAGTCGAGAGACACTGCTTCCATATACCACCTGCAGCGCCTCATCGCCGTGAGCGAAGTTGATATAACTAGCAAACAACGTATTAGCATTATACGACACCAAGAAAGAAGCCACTACCGCCAGAATAAGACTCACGTAGAATTCTGAGCCAACCCATCCGTAACCCTCCACAGATCCCTCGCCGCGCTACCAAACGCCTCAGCTTCGCCATCCAGCGCCGTATCATTATACCACGGTATAGCTACCGCATTAAAGTTAACATCTCGGTGCGGGAAAGCCGCCGAGTTCGAATCGATGGACCTCGCCTTGATAAGCGAGTACGCCTCGAGCAGTACGACGCTGTTCTCCGCGCCCGGCAGCTTCTGGAACGCGACGTACAGGTCCCATACCTGCCTCCAGGTCGCGGGCACCATTTCCTGGAACCCGACGCCGTAGGACGGCTTGCGCGCCCCGAGCGTGCAGAACCCGGCGCTGCCCGAGTTCCACTCGCTGTACGGGAGCACGGTCGTGGTGTCGGATTCGGGGCCGATGGCGTACAGGCTGGCGAAGGCGGCGCGGCCGGATGTGGAGTTCCCTTTGTACAGGAAGGGGGTCGCGACGACGGCTGGCTCGTTTGCGGGCGGCCCCTGCGAGAGGAAGTACAGGAATATGTTCATCTCGGGTTCAAGGACGAGGTCTTGGATGGCCTGGACGACGCTTTCTAGCTTGTCGGGGCTGAATACTAGCGAGCCTGTCCAGGCTTGCATGCCATCCTCTGCTACTGGATACGACTTGACGACTGCAGACGTCACGATGCCGAGATTGGGGCCTGCGCCCCGGAATCCCCAGAATAGATCCGGATCGGAGGAAGCGGTCACATCACGGATTTGGCCATCAGCAGTAACGACGCGTAGCGAAAGGACGTTGTCGACTCCGAACCCATACAGGCCCATGAGATTTCCGTAGCCGCCACCGAGGATAGCTCCCAGCGCGCCGACACAATTGCAATTGCCCGTTTCGACAAGAGCACCCGCAGCGTAGGCGTGGGCGATGGTGTTGCTGATGTTCGAGCCCCCTCCAATGGTTGCTTGGGTCTTGTCGACGCTGAAAGTAACCTGGTTCAGGCGGGCCAGATTGATCAGCACACCATTTGCGCCTAGGTTGAAGGTGGTTGCCCATCCAATGCCCCCGTTTTGGGCTAGAAAGGGGAAGCCTTTTGTTGTGCAATATTTCACCTATTTACCATGTGAGAAATATTAGTTTAGATGCTCTCCTGCTCATTCTGGAGTGAGAGTTTCTGAGGGATGAGTGAAGTGATACCGTGACCGCAACGTCCGACTCCGTCTCAACATTGACGACAACAGCCGGATCCGGCGCGTCAAAAGAACTCCATCGTGGAGGGTCTTCCGTGGAGATGAGATCTTGCCGTGATAGTTGTGGTGATAATTCATCATGGATTTGCTGTGCGACTGAACGGGTGTCAACTGCTGCACCTGACGTAAGACCCGTCGTAGCGAGGAATGCGGACAGCAGAGACACGAACTTCATTGCGCACAAATAACCAACAATGCAATGAAGTAGGTCGGTAGGCGAATCCTATGACTGCCAGCTACGAAGCTACCACCAAAGGATGTATTTATTGACTATCCCCTCGATGTCTTACGTGTGCGACGCGTGCAGCTTATCACCCAACGAGACGTGGGGGAAATCCTACAAAAGACCTGGGGCTTTGTGAAAAAGAGGTTGCCACCAATAGTTTTCCTGAAAAGGAGATGAGCTGAACTGAACTCCACGGTGCGTGAAGAGAGGACGCCACTATGACAGGGGAAAAGCAAGACACGAACCTACCTGAAGGTCAGCTGCCTGCCCCTCGATCGAAGGCGTTCAGCTATCTCCGTACCCGCTGACCCCTAACTCATACCTTTCTCACTGTAATCTGATTTATTACTTATGCTTCAATCATGCGTGCGCAGATAGGTGCTGTCTGACTACTAGGCATTTGTTGATACAATGGAATCGAAACTATAATTTCACAGCTCCTGTATAGGTAGATGTATAGGTAGTAGGTACCCAGTATGGAAGGTCACAGTTCATGTACTACTACCTAACCATCATGACGGGCATGCATCATAGATCCCTCTCCCCGCCTTCTTAGGTTGCAACACCCATACCCAGCCGTCTTTGTACCTAAGGCTCAAGGCTGCTATCTGTACGTTCAAGCATTACAAACCCTGTGTAAGAATGAATATCCTCCCCTGTTCTTTGGCAGGTAGATGCTAGGTAGGTAAATATAGTATTACATTAGGACCCTAGCCGCCACTATCACCGGTCCATATCCACAAATCCCAACTCTCAGCTTTCTATATTCACACCAGCATAAATACGGCATTCCAACCGCCCCGAGAAAAAGAATAAACTCAGCTCCGAGCCAAAGGATACCTAAGGGAACTTCAAAAGAAACATATCAGATATCCCGTTATACTTATCATACCGACTCGCGAGTCGACAGAGATATAAAAGCCGGGCTTAGCACTTTTACATACTTGTCCATGTCCTCTGATCCCAGCGTATCCGGCCCGTTGGTGTGCTGACGTCGGGGGTTAAAACGTGTCCATATAGGTCGCAGTGTTGGGAGGCAAGCTGACACCACGGCCATCGCCATTTCGATGTTGGTCCAGAAAAACACGGGTGATGTGTAGTCTAGACACAAAAGAAAAAGAGATGTTAAGTTAGTAGTTAGTTCGCTCTCATTGGTAGGGAGTGAATATTTGAAAATCCTTACATGTCTCGTCGTTGTAATGGTAGACGAACTCAGCGGCAATCTGCACCAATGTAGCAAGGCGGGTGATGCTGATGGCGCAAACACTACGAAGAATATTGGTTAGAAATCGCGTCGTAGCTGTGAATGCCACAATACGGATGTGCGTGTTTTAGGTACCTTGCACCAAGCATGAACATCGCCAACACTCCCAGCTTGTCTTTCAACGGCAGGTGAAGTTGCAGAACCAAGGGAACCGGCATGAGCAAAATCGCCACGTCGACAATGAGATCCGTGGCGACGACCGAAAGCCACATCGGGATCGTGTTTATGCATTTGTTGCCGTAGAAGGATTCCACGAGCGGCGTGACGGGGTAGCAGGTGAACAAGTTGGCGAAGAAGTACGAAACGGTCCATATGGCGACGATGCTAAGCATCCCATAGACGGCCCAGCAGAAAGAGCGCAGTTGGCCGAATATGCTGTTGTAGAAGATGAGAATCGACGCTTTCACTAGACCTAGACCGACGATGCTTAGGATGTTGACGGCGAATTTCGTCTATCATACGATTAGACTCGTCTTTTCATCAGAAATGCTTACGATGCTGTTTACTCACCTTCTCATAGACGAGAAAACGCGGGTCATCCAAGATAGGCTGCCCATCAGGCCCATCCACCTGATGCTGGCCAAGTTGTCCATCGATGGCGGCTAGTCACAAAGTCTCAGCAACCGATTTTCAAGACGGTATTTAACGGAGTCTAAAACTCACCGTAGAGTTGTAACGCAGAACAGACGATTCCCACAACCAAAGCCCCTAAACACAGATAGTCATCCAACCCGAACACATTCCTCTTGAGGCTTTTCGCCCATATCCGTAGTCCAAAGGTTATCGAAGGCACGATGATGAAGGCAATAGCCAGACCTATCATCAGGTCCTTGCTGTAAGACTGGCTCATGGTGAACACCTAGATATCGGTACTAGGCATGTAGATGATGTAGCACCTGGCATGGAAGAAGAGACTTTTGACGTTAAGTTAGAAACAACTTGGAACTTCAGAACTAATTGCAAGGATTAGTTAGATGTCTGTCTCTATGAGGTTCTCTTCACGATCTAAAGTCCCTTCCTCAGTCTAGGCACTGCGGGAGTCCCTGTCGGAGCCGCCGGCCGAGTCAGGCCCTTTGGCTATCCTCGACGCCCCCCCTCCCATTCCAAATAAGGATTTAGGGGCAATTAGGTGATGATGTTCCAGCTGGAATCCTTTCTAGTAAGAAAAGATGGTTTTATTACGTGCATAGGGGCGTATGTCTAAGGTAGGTAGGTAGGTAAGCATAGCGAAGGGAAAAGCTTGTCAGATTGTGATAGCTGATGACATCCATGGATGTATGTAGGTAGGTAGGCAGGGACCTTACTAGGTAGGCATCTATGTAGGTACCTAGGTATATAAGTCTACGGGTTTTAGACCTACATAGGAATGCAATACAACACTACCAATCGCATAATCTCGGCTGCCTGTCTGTGTCGTTATCACGAGCAACCCCGCTCCTCCGTTTGCTTCTGTCGCATAATAGACAGTACTCCTAAATGCCTCTCGGAGAACAACGTAGCAACCAACGAGCCCCTCCGCACTTTGAAGGGATAACTTGAGTCTGCCTTGTACATACTAAATGCCTATAGGCTATTCTAGATCTTTAAATCTATCCTACCTACTCTGTAACATTACACACAACGTCTTTCTAGGTCCGTGAAGCCCTGAAGTCCCTACCTTCCTACACGTTTCTTCTTGGGGCACTCCGGTTAACTACTAGGTACCTACCCATGCATATAGTCGCCATAGATAGGTATCTACATGAACCTACGGATATAAAATGCCGACATTATCTACACACGTACTTAAATAGGTGCATTTTCTCAAGGTAACAAGATACATACGTACATGTATTTAGCTGCGCATAGGTGCCTATCGTAGGTTGTAGTTCGGCTTCAAAACGGAAGGAGTCTGATAAGGTAGGCTGTACACTTATTACCTACCTTACGTAGTAGAGTTGCTTATTTACATTCTAGCGAGCGTTTTGTGTGATCCTAAATCGACACACCATTGGCTTAGAAGGCTCTGTATTCCGCATTCAACATTGAGTGTTGGCGCCCACACCTGCCTCTGTCTACATCCCATCACGGAATACTGCAGTATGCAGGTGGGAGGATTTAGGTAGGTCAGATTTTAGTTTCAAGCCACAGAGTTGCCGTTTAGGAAGAGTATGCCAGCAAGTACAATGGCGGGAAGGAAAATAAGAAAAAGGTAATCAAGTATTATTGTCAGGGCCTAGACTTATCATTAGGTATGTAGTAGTAAGTGGCGTCGCGGATACTGTGATGTACTGCGCTATGTAGGTATTGTACCCTGCTTAACGCCAACATAATTCAGAGATCTTGCTTTCGGAGCTATGTGATTGACGCCTCGGCGATATCTACCGTGTATACGAACATTCATACCTACTAACCTAGGTATGTACCGATGGATGAAGCGCCCATGAACGGCATGCATGTACCGGTGATGCAAGTGATATCGATCCAGATTACATCGCCGAGCCCTTCCCGATACCTAATCCCGCTCGCTGATGGTTCAGACTACCACTTAGGTCCGCGCAGACCAGCTATTGTGTACCAAGTCATCTGCGTCAGCGTCCGCTTCCGCTTTCCTAGGACTCACAACGGCATCCCTAGCCGACCATGAGTTCTTTACCAGGTCGTCGGCGTCAGTTCTGGCGACGATGGCTCTTGCTGACCAAGAATTATGGACGAGATCGTCTGCATCAGCGTCGCGAGCTCCCAATAAGGGGGTGTTGGTGTCTAAGCAGACAGGTAAGTACTCTTGATGAGATAATGCCCTTGATAGCGCTTATAAGAGTCCGGAGCTCACCTGTGGGTATTGGGATGGCGAAGCTTACGCCTAAAAGTAGCGAGAGGTAGTTGAGACGCATCTTCCTTTTAGGGGGATCGAGTAATTACTAAGTAGGCAGGCAGGTAGGTATTCTTAGAGTTTCAGTCGGTTCATCGCCTACCAAGTAGGTCTACGGGATCAAGGTGGGCATTAGCCATTCTATATTTGAACGAGATGATGCGTCATGGGGAATATATAATCGTGAATCAAGTTATGCAGTTCAACGGCAGGGATAATCGGTCCTCGCAGACAGACTCACATGATGGGTACCTAATATAGGGGTGTAGGCCGCAACATACCCAGCGGGCGTTATGCAGCTACAGATCCCGTTTGGGGTCGTTTTCGGTGAAAGGACGTTGTCTTACTCAAAAAGTTGCATCCGATCAAGGAGATCCTCTGGCTGAACTGAGAGAGTGTGTTGGTAGACTTGGACAGCGAACGGGAATAATGCCTCCTGGAGATCGCCAATCTAGGACTCAAGCCAGCTTTTTCGCGACCGCTGCTGGTAGTGTAATACATGCCCCAAGAAAGCGACACATAGTTCCCCGCAGCTTCTCATTTCCCACTCCAACAGTACGCCATGGGACCTAGGGTTTCCGAAGACAATGAGCAAGGCGAATCGTTACTACCAACTGATGAAAAGGAGACGAAATGGCTAGATGGAAACTACCAACAAATCTCCAAATATCAATGGGTCGGTATAATTTGTCTAGTTGCAGTATCACTTGGTCTCGGATATCTTTTAGGATGGACTCAGGGGAAAGGTACCAGCCGAGCTCAATACGGGCTCCCCAGTAAGCACCCCAGTTCTCCCCTATTGTCATCTCAGCACTCAACTCGCGATCAGTGCCCCCGGGGCTAGTTCACACGACCTGGGAACATAACTTGACGTTCACTCAAAAGCCCACACCAGAATCCGAGGCAGCATGGGCTTCTATCATTCCGATAGGGAGGGGCTTCATACACCACGCTCAGTTGGCACCATTTATATCTAACATCGCTGTATTCCACGAGCTACACTGTCTGGTAGGCCAAATTTTATCTCACGTACACTTATTTCATCGCTGAACAATATTACTTAGCATGCCATCGTCGTCGCATACTACGACGCCCTCGAAAGCTCCTCCATGGTGAACTCAACCGACATACCCGACTTCGACAACGAGACCTCTACGCGGATCGCTCCGTTCCATATACGACATTGCTTTGACTACATCAGACAGGCTCTTATGTGCGCGGCGGATACGAACCTGGAAGTGTTGGACCGCGAGACACACCTCACGAATGGATGGGGCCAGCCGAAGCAATGTCGGGATTATGAACAAGTTGTTGCCTGGGCAGAGCTGTATGCCAACTCGTCTGATACGGGAATTGTTACGTAGTTCTTTTAGAAACTTGAGCCTTAAATTGACGTTGGACTTGAATAATTCATCACCTGCGAGATGTCTACCTCAAACTTGACCAGGTACATGCAGCTTTGTGCGATCTCATTCATCTTCTGCAAACTGAGAATAATCCGCCGCGTCAACCTTCCTTTGCCTTGCCCAATGATCCAGCGCATACCAATCGACACATTCATTGTCTGTGTACACCCTCGATGTCGGCACTCCGTCTCTCCAGAAGAAGGTTCCCAGAGTAGTGTCTCCTCGACACATCACGGACTGTCTCCAATATTCAAGGCAATGATCTATTCACAGTCAATACTGCTTACTCACAATAGTTTTCAAATGTTGAAAATGGTTATAACATACCAATGTGTGTGTCTTCTCTCACTCGGTCTTCTTCCGTCATGTTGGGGTAGTAGTGGTCTAGATGTAGATAGCGCCTCACACGTTTCTCGCAAACGCCAGCGGAGTTAGCAGAAAGAAATATTCATATATCATCGTATTCGTGCTAAACTCACCACGCAGTGTAGTTCGTGGTACATGCCCATCTCAGCAATGTATCCAGAACCATCTTTGAAGGCTATCGTGCTATCGCCCTCACTGAAGCGCACAAGCTCCTCACCGGACACTTTAATCGTGATTGCTAGATAGGGCAATGAGATTAATCACGAATTAAAAAAACGGAGATTTTACTTTATAATATTTTATACAAGGACTGAACTCACGAGCTATGATGTCTCTCCATGCTTGGTCGAACTCTGGCCGAGGCTTCCCGGTAAAGGGGTTGGGGCCGTCAATATCTCGCCACAGCCGCTTTTTCTCATAGCGAATTGCGCTATCAGCCGGCGCTGTTGAGGTACATAGATGATTTATTAACACCACGAATATTGGACAACTCATACGAACATCACACTTAAGGATACCAACTTACAGTACGTCAGTCGGGGCCTCCTGCAATCAGAAGCTAATGGGGGAGCCCCATCCACCCAGGACTTAAGCCAGAGACTCGCGAAAGTGATATTCGATAGAATAAGCGCGAGTATCGCCACTTGTAGTTTCCAAGACGTTCGAATGCTAGTCAAGGGACCATGTCTGAGTTCTCCGACCTCAGAGCCATCGTCATCCTCCTTCCCAGTATCAGTGTGAAGTGGGTGGTAGCTCAGTGACGAGGTCATATTGCGATGGGCTGCAAACAACCACGACTGTCAGAATACCTAATCAATAAAGGATATATTGATGTTAGTACAGTAAGTCAGGTACCTGCCTAGGTTAGGTACCTAGTAGGGACTATGTAGGTAGGGAGTTTAGACCAAAGGTCCCACTATGTTTAGTTGCTGCAGGACTATTCATACAAAGAGTTGGTAAGCAACATCGTCATATTGATACCCCTGGGGTGGCCCGACGGTATCTACAGTACCTACTTTATGTGAGGAGTAATACTTCTTGTGCAACCTACCCCCTTAGCACTTAGCTTGGTACTTGATTCGGTAGGTATTTTATTTTTATTTTATTCTTTTTCATAGAAAGTTAATGGCGGGCATAGAACGGAAATCCCATGACAGATATTGTACCTGATAATAAGGAATCCATGAACTTCTGGGTCGAGATTATCTTGTCTCTTACATCTCCCACAACAAATCCCCTTGAAGAACAACAAGATGACCACCCCAATCAGCCCCACGGCCGTCCTTATCACAGGCGCGAATCGAGGTGGGTTGGCTTACATAGCTCCAGTGTCTTAGGGACCTACCTACCTGCTCTCATCTTCAGGAGGTACCTAAGTTAGTAATAATATCAGCTCTAACAACTTGACTTTGCTTTCTTTTTTCTAGGCCTAGGGCGAGCTCTAGCCACGCGGTTTTTGCTCCAGCCAAACACCACCCTGATAGCAGCTGTGCGCGATCCCGAGCACCCCACGAGCAAAGCCCTCTTTGATCTCCCCCGCGGCGACGGCACCACGGTGATCGTCGTCAAGATCGACTCTCTATCGGACACGGACGCACAAGACGCCGTCAAGACTCTGCAGACTGACCATGGAATCCACAAGCTGGACATCGTCGTGGCGAATGCGGGCCACGGCACGGTGTTTGGCGATCTATCACTAGTCAAGCCCCACGAAGTCCGCCATCTCGTCGACGTGAATACCATAGGTGCGTAGATAGATTATGCAGCTCTCACCATTCACGTACTAAGCACGATCTCCTACCTAGGCCCCCTGTGCCTCTTCCAAGCCGTCCGGCCCCTCCTCGAAGCAGGCAACCGGCCCCGCTTCGTGCTGATCGGCACCCCGATCGCCAGCATCGGGGCCATGGAGAACTCGCCGTTCCCCATGTTTGCCTACGGCGCGAGTAAAGCTGCCGCGCACTACTTGACGCGGAAGATCCACTGCGAGAGTCCGGGGCTTATTTCTTTTGTGGTGGACCCTGGGTAAGTAGGAGTGATGTTCGCTCTGTACACTTTAGTACTATACTGGAGGTCTCGCTAATTATTGTTATTGTTGTTATGGTGAAGGTTCATGCAGACGGATATGGGAAATACCGGTGCGCGGCACTTCGGCTACGAGCAAGCGTTTGTGCCGGTTGACAAGTCTGCCGATTTTGTGTTCGACCAGGTCAGTTCTAGTTCATTCATTATATAGTTCATTATTTCCACCGTAGCTAGTATCTTCTTGGTATTAACATCATCATGCAGATCAAGAAGGCAACAAGGGAGCAGACATCGGGCAAGTTCGTCACCATCGACGAGACGCGAGAATTCAATGAATGGTAAGGTTAGCTGGGAGCAATGCTGCACTGCTGGACAGATGTATGCCATGTACTTTACAACAGAATCCTACCTACTTATACTCAACTGTCTCCTTTCCTACTCGCCAGAACCAAAACAGCCGGCCAAGAAAGCTTCCTCCGTGCGTCCTGCCCCCCCATCGCATTCATAAGCCTCTTAAACAGCGCATCCATAATCTCATCCTTCCCCTCCAGCACCTCCCTCGTCTTCGGAAAACTCGCCCTCACAAACCTCCTTAGCATCCGCCCATCCCACTCCACCTTCCAAAAATCAGCATCCCGCTCCTCACTCACCAGCTCGTGCGCCTCCACTCTACTGACCGGCTTGACGGGAAACCCACACGCGGCGGGGGTAAAGAAGGATAGCCGCGCCTGCGTGTTCCACTTATGCCGCTGCACATCCGTCCACGTCGCGGGGTCAAACGGAATGTAGTCCAGCCAACTCGCCTTCCCATCCGCCGCGCGCCTCCACGCCTCTCTCTGCGCGTCGCCGCCGCCGTTGACGACGGGGCGGAAGTTGTGGTCCATGATCGCGTCGAGCACCGGCTGACACGCACCCGCGAACGCTTCCTCCGTGAAGAACGGCGGGCCGTAGAACCAGATGGCGAGGGTCCCGCCGGGGCGCAGGAGGGTAGACGCGTTGTGCAGCGCGGGCAGCGTGTCCATGAGCGGGAAGGTCTCGGCGCAGGTGATGAGGTCGAAGGAGGTAGGCGAGTGGTGCTGCAGGAGATCCTCGCCGGAGGAGAGGGTGTAGGAGAGGTGGCTAGCCGGTACCGCGGCGTATCTACCCCGTGCAAAGGCCAAACTGGTAGGGTCGTTGTCGCTGGCGACGACGTGGTCGAAGTGCTGGGCCAGGGGCCCGATGGCCGAGCCGGAACCCGTGCCTATGTCTAGCGCGGCGAGGCGGGATGGGGAGTGGCTGGCGTGGTAGTCGTAGATGCGCTGGAATATTTTGGCGCCGTAGACGGGACGGGTGGCGATGTACTCGTCCCAGTATGTAGGCTCGACATCTTGCAGCTTCCAGAATACGGGGTCGTCTTTGTCTGTGACGCTCATAGTAACCTTGGAAAGTCTCTAGATCCCGGAAATATGTGTGGTGGGGAGGCACAGCAGGTCTGTTGTGTTAACCGTTGAGGGATCGCACAAATATACGACTCGAGGTAAGCTTATTACATAGTTGATCCATCAGATGAACTTATCGGCTAGCTTTGCCAAATTCTGTAGAAGGTAATCTATCTTGAAGGTGCTTGGCCCCCATCTCTCGCCCGTAGGCTTATGCGAGACTTGATGCATCTCGCTAATATGAGAGGTCATGGACTTCAGCCCAACTCTTGTTGGTTGAGTATCTCGTAACAAAGCTGCATGTCATCACCTAGGTACCTAGGTTAGTCCTAAATAGGAAAATAAGGATCGGGAAATGTAAGCTGTTGGTACTTAGGCCGGTAGATGTACCTAAAGTTGACGAGTAACACAGGAGCGGGACACTGCATTGTTCTCCAAGATCCATCTCATCCCTATTTACAGGAACGAAAAGCTTTCCGAGGGATACTAGTCTTGCCCCCCTTTGAGCCCACCTCAGCGGCTACCTTCACTTACTCTCCCCCTCTTACCTCACTTTCATCCCCTTTATATTTCTTACAGTCTTTTTTGAATCTAAGTATTATACATATAACATGGCGGATGTAAGCGCAGACTACGTCATCGTCGGTGGCGGCCTGGCCGGATGTGTCGTAGCCTCCCGCCTCAGCCAGAGTGACAAAAAGCCTACCGTCATTCTCTTAGAAGCTGGAGCTGATCCATCCAGCAACCCCGCCGCCGCCAGCTTCATAAGCGGCCTGTCGCTCCTGGGCGGTGAGTTCGACTATGTGTATCAAAGTGAGCCCGTGGCGAACACAGATAACCGGGTGCACACTCTGAACACCGGCAAGGTCTTGGGTGGAGGCACCATCCTCAACTACGGTGGTTGGCTGCGCGCGGATGCGGCGGATTATGACGAGTGGGCTGAGGTAGTCGGGGATCAACGCTGGAGCTACAAAGGTCTTAAGCCTTGGCTTCGTAAGACGGAAAGCTTTCACGACAAGGGAGCGGACCCGGAGGAGCATGGCTTTGACGGTCCGATGCATGTCACTTCAGTCTCTGCCGCTCAGTCGGGGGCACGCAAATATCTACTCCGCGAACCTGTGAGAGAGGCATGGGAAGAGCTTGGAGTGTCTCCTAATCTGCAGAGAGAGGATGGCAGGATTGGAGGTTTGGCGGAGATGAATGAGAACTCTCATGACGGAATGCGACAGCCGTCTAACCTGGTCTATCCACTCAATGACGTGAAGGTCTTTACCAACACCACTGTGCATAGAGTCACTTTCTCAGGTACCACGGCAACTGGAGTAGAGCTGGCCGACGGTCGCAAAATCACTGCGCAGAAGGAGGTCATTCTTTGCGCTGGCGCTTACGGCACCCCGAAAGCTCTTCTACTCTCAGGCATCGGCCCCGCTGCTACTCTCAAAGAACATGCCATTCCCATCGTGCACGAATCCCCACAAGTAGGCCAGAATCTCCACGACCACTCTGTCATCTACCTCGCCTACCGCCTACACGACCCCTCTCTCGGGTATGCTCTCGGTAGTGCCCCATGGCAGGATCCCGCACTTTTCAAGAGTCTACCATGGGACTGGATCGTCAGCCAACCCTTACCCGCAGAGATCATCACGAAGCATGAATCCAACGTGGAGAAGCAGAAGCGAAACCTCTACGAGGTAATTTCCGTCTACGTCCCCCCAGGCATCCCGGGGATTCCTATCGACGGCACCCACATCGCGACCTCCACCATGCTGCTCCTGCCCACCTCCCGCGGGACGGTGTCCATTCGCTCCAAGAACCCGAACGACCCCCCACGCATCCAACCGAACTATTTCTCCACCCAGCTGGACCGTGACACGATCGTCCATGCCACTCGCCAAACCCTTAACGCGATGCTAGCAAGCAGCTCTATGAAGCCCATCGTCGAGAGCGAAACTCCGCCTTCAGGGGAAGGGTTGGACGGCCTGACGCCGCTCACGGCTACGTCCAGCGACGAGGAGATTGAAGAGAGGATGCGGCGCACGGGGACGCAGCATCACCACTCGGGAGGCACTGCGGCGATGGGCAAGGTAGTGGATGTGGAGGGGAAAGTGTTCGGTGTCAAGGGTTTGAGAGTTGCGGATGCGAGTATTGTTCCGCTACCCATGGGCGGGCATCCACAGGCGACTCTTTATGCTATGGCTGAGCAGCTAGTTAGTATGATTCTCAAGGATGAATGAAAGTAGGTGCTTGAGTGGGTATATAGTGAGGGATGCCTAAGCTCTATTCATCAATACAATAGCTCTGAGCGACGTCTCTGTGCTTTGATATCAGTTCTAGCAATAACATCACGATATGGCTAGTATTCATAACTCTATCGCCGGAAAGATGTATACCCCTTATTAAATATATACCTGGATACCTACCCACTATTAGGCACTCATAAGTAGGTACATATATGGTCTCTATCATATCCGGCGATTCGTTACAAGCACTTGCAAGCAAGTTAAAAACTCCAAGGTCCAGGAAGGTCATACAGAACTGCGGCATGAAATACTTCAACACAACTGAAATAAGGCGAAAATCATCATTGATATAATACAACTAACCTAGCAAGCTAATCAATCCTCTGTTAAATAGGTAGTATGCAGAGCACCTCGCCACTTAGCCCAAACCCGGAACGGAGACGTTGGAAGACTTCCTTCCCCCTTTAGGCAAAATTACAAACTGCCGATTAAGCACAACACAACACCAGACTTCATTTTCACCATGTAGTCAGTCCATGCCATTCATTTCCTCCCTTTACGTTGCCAATACTTACTCATAACCTCCTCCCACAATTTCATCGTCATCCCAACCACTCACCTTCCATAAAATTCAACCACCGACGCAATAATCCCACCATGACCACCAGCAAAGAAGACGCGACGACTGCGGAAGCAGAAGCATTCCTCACCCCGTCACCACCGCTGCCACCCCACGAAGACGCCGTATGGACACGAACAAACGAGTCCCGAAAAGCGACACAGTACCTACGGCTCGTCCTCGAACTAACAATGGCGGCGATGATCGGCGTGCTGCTCGCGAACCTCGTGCACGAGCGAAACGGGGGCAAGCGGTCGCCGGTGCCGACGTGTAGGTACCCCCCCCCCCCTTTTACATAGGTGCAAACCCGAAGCTGGATAGACATCTGGAGGAAAGCGGTTGGTTCTAGAGTCTAATATTGAGTGGTTTTGTGTGTCCGCAGTCCCGAGAAAAGTATACACCTTCCTCCCGGACCCGCAGTACGTCCGCGACGACATGCTGTTCGACGAGCACGACACGCTGCACACGCTGCATAACTGGATCCCGCTGAGCGCTCGTGCGTGCCTGTCTCCCTTTCCCCATTACCCCCCCTCACTCCCCCTTACCTACCTACCTGCCTACCTCTCCCGTCTTCCCATTATCTAAGTACCTAGTCAACTAATGCCCCCACCTTAGAAGCCCGCGGCTACATCCACCTCCCCACCTACTCCTCCTACCCCCTCCTCAGCACCCCCTTCTCCATCAGCATCACGCCCAACACGACGGGGCCCGCGTACATGATGTCGGTCTTCCACCAGCTGCACTGCCTGTCGTACCTCGCCGCGCGCTACCAGCAGGGGTACGCGGGGACGCGGCTGACGGCCGAGGTGGCGCACCACTCCGCGCACTGCTTGGATTACTTGAGGCAGAGCGTGATGTGCGCCGGGGACACGAATCTCGAGGGGGAGGGGGAGGGGGAGGGAGCAGGGCCGGGCTGGGGGTCGAGGCACGAGTGTGTGGACTACGATGCCGTGCTTGCGTGGGCGAACGAGCACTCGACGATGAGTTGGCGGAGCGGGCTGATGCCGGGGGAGGCTGTGCTGTGATTTCTTTTTTCCTTTTTTTTTTATTTTATGTTACCTACCTACCTAGGTACTAGGCGAGTATGTAAAACTTCTAAGCACCTAGGCACTACGTTTTTTCTATGATGATAAAAGAGCTTTTGGTTGTGGAGATTGCTGGCCTTACTTACCCCTGAATTGCTACAACTTTTGGATTCAGAAAGGTCGAGATATCCATGGCTGTAAACACAGGCGTATAAGCACAGGGGAACCTAGGATTAATTAGCCCGGCTGAGTTGCAGAAGACTAACTATGCCTACTTCATCTTCATAGATGCACGTAAGCCCCCTAGGTTAGTGATTGGCCAAAATATTAAGTCTATCCGTACATGAACTACTGCAAGTTACATAGATCACGTGTAGTAGTAACACTAAGTCATGATTCATATTATGACTCCTCATTCGACACATCCGAACTATCGGAGCTGGCTTGATTCTATCGTTGTATCGACTCACAGCTTCATCACAAAAACTAGCGCAGATCCCAACTGCGAGTTTTATATCATTCACCATGGTTCTCGAAACGACGGCACGGAATTGGTACCGAGACGAGTATCTCATCTCAACGGAACCGCTGCTTATCCAGATTGACGCAGTAAATGAGGCGCTGAACTCGGATTTGATGTGGTGGGCACAGGGGTTACCGCGCGACGTGATAAAGAAGGCGCTTCATAACAGCCTATGCCTTGGACTATTTGTACTGCCCACGTCTACATCGCAAATCGCTGGTGAGTTCCTTTCCGTCCCTTCCGAATATAGTGCTGATCCACTACAGGCCAAAGTAGTCCAGTTCAAATAGGACTGGTAAGGGTGGTCACGGACGACGTCACTTTTGCGTACCTGACCGACGTATACATTATCCCTGAATACCAGGGAAAGGGACTAGGCAGTTGGATGATGGAATGTCTGAACGATATCATCAAAGGTTGGCCCCATCTGCGACGCTTCATGTTCTTGACGAGCGATAGGATGGACCTGTATCGTAAATACCTCGGCGCGAAGGACTGGTACGAATGCAATACGAAGGGTATTTCCATCGGTCTGATTGAAGGACCTGCAGCTCAACGTCCCAAGCACACGTAAAGGACATCAACGAGCCCTATTCAAGCTTTACCAGTCTTTCCATAAGCGCCACCAAATGCCTTTCTCATCTCCAAGGCACGTTTATAAGGGGGTGCTGTGGGTGGTTGTATTGGATCTAGAGACACGTGATCTGGTGGTAGGCGGTAGGAGGCGTCTGAGTCGAAAGCAGATAGGTCACCGCAAGCGATAAAGGGTGCAATCCATCTAATATCATCTTGTCGTCTTGGGCGGAGATCTTCAATTTGTACTTCCGTGATACCATCGCCATCCGTCTTCTTAGGAAGAGCAGGGGTATCGTCCCAAGCCCCAGTCTTTGGGTTTTGTAGGACTGTAGGTGCAGTGACAGGCAGATTCCTATTGTTATGCTCCGTCATGTCGGACAATCTAGAGCCAACTCCTAATGGCTCCTCAAGGCTCGCCGTGAACCCTTTCGGAGGTTGGAAATTTAAGCATACGATAAAAGCTTCCACGCTGCTGGCGCGCGAAGACCTCGGCTTCGCGACATGTACTTTTTCAAAGAATATTTTAAGTTGCGCGTAGAGCACATCGACATTCTTGCCCCTGAATATCTTAGCCACGAATTTACCACCTGGTTTCAAGACACATAATGCCAGGTTGAGCGCAGCGAATAGTAGTTGTGATTGAACGTAGATGTCTAGATCGTGTAAGCCAGTTACGTCAGGCGCGCCGTCACTGAGTACTAGATCCACCGGTTGCGCAGTCTGTTGGCTCCTGGTCTTTGAGTCGTATTCCGGATCCAAGGCTCTTAAAAGGAGTGGTATGGTAGCTGGGTGAGTAATATCAGCTCGTAAGGTGACAATCCCTGGTAGTGGACTAATGGGTTGTAAGTCGATCGCCACAATTTTGACATCCTGGCGGGGTTTCAGCTCTATCAGTGGCTCTGTCGCCTCCAAGAGTTCCGGCTTCTCAACATTGGTTTGAGGCCCAAAGAGGCCCAGCATCTGTTGACGAAATTTGGCGTCACGATCTTGCCATGCCGCCCTACCAAATTTCTCGCCTTTGATCAGGACCCTAGAAAGAACTTGTGACCAACTTCCGGGTGCTGCACAGAGGTCAACTACTCGAGTCACATTGGTAAATAAGTCGAATTCTGTTTTCAGTCAGTAAAATATCCCTACCAGCCCAGGCGTCTCTTTTGATTGAGTCAGGGGAAAGGAGAGGGGGAGGAGAGGACGACCTTCGTCGAGCTGGAGGAGTTTGAAAGCACTTCTTGCTCTCCATCCTTGTTCCTTTGCTAGCCGGTAGTAGGCATCACGTTTATCTTTGGAAGATTTTCCCATCTTTATTTTTGTTTTCCAGGAAGTATTATCATACTAGGTAGTAATGTTTAAGAATTAATATTTGAAGAAACTCAAGTTGAATTTTTGTAAGGAAGCTGGAAAGCTTGTAGGGCTGAATTAAGATGTGGTCAATGCGCAAATTCTTTATCCACTAGTTAGACTGATAAGATAAGCAGATAAAAGATCCCCAATTCTTTTTTTAAAAAGTTCCAAAGTTGTAACTGAAATTCAAAGTTCAACAGCATTCTCGTCGCATTGCACCCGATCCCGAAAACGCCATGAACGGACAAAAGAAACGGAAGGCCGCGGGACAGGCTACGAACCCCCCGGCGAAGAAATCAAAAGCGCATCAGTCAGCCCTGAAAATGGCCAAGCAAGCAAAGTCGCGAAAGCCCATCAGTGCTAGTTCTTTACGATGGCGCGAAGCCACACTACCCGATATGTTTAACGATGCCGAAGGCTTTTTTGGTCTAGAGGAGGTGGATGATGTTGAGGTTATCCGCAACAGCGATAACACGATTGAATTTGTAAAGTCACTTGTCTTTGAGCATTTACTATACGATTCTAACGAGAAGTAGAGAACGACTGTGCCTGCACCAGAAGAGGAAGAAGAAGTGGAAGACGAGGGAAAAGACAGCCCGGTAGAAGATGAGTTCGAAGGATTCGACGATGAACCGCTGGCCCGCGATTCTACGGAAAATAAGCCACCTGGCCCATCTATCAAGGAGATCGTGGAAGACTTGGAGATAAACACGACCGATGCCGCGGATGTGAAGGATAAAAGCGAGAAACCTTCCAAGAAGCAAAAGAAAAAGAAGAATGCCAGTAAAATGGAAGATCCGGAGCTTGAGACGAATGTCTTTGGTGGATTAGACTACGCGGACGAGACGCAAAACGAAGTCGACCTTTCCGAGTGGGTGCCGATAGACCTATCACCCTGGATTCTCTCGTCATTAGCAAAGCTAGGTTTTGCTAAACCTACCCCTATACAAGCTGCCACCATACCGCATATCATGGCCGGTCACGATGTCATTGGAAAAGCTTCGACGGGGTCAGGAAAAACCCTGGCTTTTGGCATCCCAATTGTTCAAAAGTGGTTAGAATTATCGGAGAAGAATGAAGCCCCCAGTGGCGACTCCAAGGTCCCACTTGCTTTAGTTTTATCTCCAACAAGGGAACTTGCACACCAACTTACAGAGCACATCAAAAACTTCTGCGCTGGCTTACCAACTTCACCTTACGTGTGTTCTGTCACCGGTGGTTTATCCGTTCACAAGCAGCAGCGCCAACTGCTCAAAGCCGATATCGTCATCGGAACACCTGGTCGGTTGTGGGAAGTGTTGAGTGCCAGCTCCGACTTAATGAGCAGCTTCAAGGCGATCCAGTACCTCGTCGTGGACGAAGCTGACAGACTTTTGACGGAAGGCCACTTCAAAGAAGCTGCCGAAATTTTCAGTGCTTTAGATCGGGTGGAGGTGGAGGAAGATGAAGAGGATGCGGAACCTTCGCCAAGGCAGACCTTGGTGTTCTCAGCCACATTTCACAAAGGCTTACAACAAAAGCTCGCTGGCAAGGGTCGTCAGGATCTGATGAGCCAACAGGACTCCATGGAATATCTTCTCAAAAAGTTAAATTTCAGAGAAGAAAAGCCGAAATTCATCGACGTTAATCCGGTTTCGCAAATGGCAGAGGGTCTCAAGGAAGGCCTCGTAGAATGTGGAGCCATGGAGAAGGTGAGTTGTAATTCATGATTTTACTGTGACGCGGGACATTCGCACTGACTAACTTACCTAAAGGATCTCTATTTGTATGCCCTGTTACTCCTATATCCTAACGCACGGACATTAGTCTTCACCAATTCCATCAGCTCTGTCCGAAGACTGTCCCCGATGCTTCAAAATCTTAATCTTCCGACGCATCCGCTGCATTCTCAAATGGCTCAAAAGGCACGTCTACGTTCTGTTGAGAAATTCACCAGTGCGAAAGAGGGCCAATCATCGATATTAGTTGCGACTGATGTTGCCGCGCGTGGCTTAGATATCCCAGGGGTTGATTTAGTAGTACATTACCATGTCCCTCGTGCCGCAGATGTTTACGTGCATAGATCTGGACGTACCGCGCGCGCGCATCGAACAGGTTTAAGTATAATTCTCTGTGCCCCCGAAGAGGTTACGCCAACTAGGCGACTTATCGCAAAAGTGCATTCAATCAGCGATAAGGGAGCGACGAGGAAAAGCTTCTTCGTGCAGACGTTGGACATGGACCGAAAATTGGTCAATCGACTAAAGCCTCGCATCACGCTGGCTAAGAAGATTGCCGACGCTGGCCTCGCAAAAGAGAAAGGCAACAAAGATGATAGCTGGATGCGAAATGCAGCGGAAGAGCTCGGCGTCGAGTACGACAGCGACGAGATGGAGCAAGTTGGGAAGTGGGGAGGCCGGGGAAGTGGCCGGATGGAAAAGCAGAAAGAAGCGAGGGCCTTGACTAAGCACGATCTTGGGGCCATGCGCGCTGAACTCAGGGAGTTGCTCTCGAAGCGTGTCAACGCAGGTGTGAGCGAGAAGTATATCGCCACTGGCATGGTAGACATGGACGAGCTGTTGCGGGGCGCAAAAGGGGAGTTCCTAGGAAAGGTTGGAGGCTTGGATATTGAGACTTTGTAGTCTGGTATTCTCAGCCAAACGTACTGTTACTGTTAGTGTCCGAGTAATATCCCTAACTACATGTAGTACCTACCATATACCTACCTACCTACTCGTGACGCTCTTCCATGGATAGTTCGGATAGAGCCAACGCTGTGAAGCGCCCTTGCTTTTTTATAATAACCATATCATGATATATTATTGGGCTTTCTTCGAATATGACGCTGATATTATGTTCTTGCAGGTGCCTGAGGCACCATAGGCTCCACTAGGGCCATATAGCCATATATTGTCACTCCGCCAGAGTAGTCAGGAATAAACCAAGCTTTCTTCCTTCCATCTTCCTTCTTCTTGGTTGCAGTTGTACTGCAACATAATATGTTAACTTCCAAGGTTGTATATAGGAAAACTAACAAGGGCAGGGCTTATGGAACCCCTTGACTATTGTCTACAGTCATCATGAGACGTCATTGTCGGACGATATCTATATTCTAGAGTACATAAGCTTCATGTTGGCGTAGAAATCAACGTACCTGCTAGTAGGTACTGGGGAGATGGTAGCATGGGTGATGGTATGGGTTATGCTTACTTGGGAAGTATGACTTCAATGTACCCTGGGTATTTGGCTGACAAGAAGCTCGGGGCCCCAGAAAAGCTTATTGTAAACCCTATACGACTATAGTAGGAACTCTAAGCATTGCCCCTGATGTCATTTTGGAGCAAGAGAGAGTTTCCCCTTTCTGTTTACGATCTTTTAGGTCCCGAAGTGACGGGAGCCTCGTGCCTTCGACCTGCTCCGAATAGTGGTATTTTGTATACATTTACCCCTTTTCAAGAAGGAGCTCTCTTAGCTAACGGTAGAATTGTTCAAAAAGAATTCAGCACACCAAGTCGGGATTTCTTCCAGGGCCAGCTCAATGTTGAATAATATCCTCGTTGGACCTTGACAGAAGCCAACGCTTTTCAATGCTGTCAAGGTTTAAGTTGGTATGTACATTCTCACTACCGTGGTCCATCTCTACAGCTCGATGTCATGATAAACTCCGTCAGCAACTATCAATATCCCGAGAAGTAAAACTGGATACACATAGTGGGCTCAGTCTCGGGATCGTCAAGTGCGAACGTGCCTCCGATGGTGTTTTAGGTCTGCACTTTAAACCTCCCACATCTCTCTACGCTAGGGCAAGTGGCCACAAGAAATCAGCGTGAGGTCCTTCACTTACAGTTTAAGCCCTGCTCAGTTGAAGCATTCCCGTATCATCTAATACTAGTTGGTCCTAGACCAAACACCATCAACTGGCCTTAGAGCGAGGCAAGCCTGGGAATGTGTGAACTTAGTGTTAGCCACATGAGCTATACGACTTCTTACTGAACCCTTTCCCCTCACCTTTCTTGTTCCACATACGTCCAAGAGACGGGTAATCATGGTAGGAGCTGTAGTATAAATTACCCTCCGGAGCACCCCATTTTTTACCTTCTCGTAATTTCAAACTTATCTACCAAGGGACTTGCCCTCTTGAAAGGAAGGATTCCGCAGCCACATCCCACATTTCACATTCCATATCCCATATCCCATATCCCATTTCTTATTTCTTATTTCTTATTTCTCATTTCTCATTTTCCATTTCCCACATCCCATATCCCATATCCCATATCCCATATCCCATATCCCATACCTCAGAAGAACCAAAGCACAAGAGTGTGACGAAGACAAGAGATCATTACTTAGTAGTAATACTTTTACCATCTAAATAACAGAGGGATGGTAACATATTCATGTTCGACATCTATTACGACACACCATGTCTTCACCAATCCCCGTCAGTCCACCTCCTAGCCCTACCCTCATTTCTCTTCAAGACTTTACGCCGGGACAGGACTCCACGAGAGCACGAACTGCTGAGGGACCACGACAACCAGAGATCACCATCACGCCGGCGCTGGAAGATGACGTCAACGACATACCAACCTCACAGCAAACTACTCAGGGCAGCCAAAGTAATTCTCAGCACGTTCAGCTTCCTGGGGATGATCTCCGGTTCCCGATAAAACCATCAGACTGTGGCGATGCCTTGGGCTTCCGTTGGCCTTCGAGGCAGAAATGGCTATACCTCACTATCATATTCATAGTTCAAGTGTCTATGAATCTCAACACGACACTATATTCGAACGGCATCGAAGGAATATGCAGAGAATACGGTCTTAGCCCATACGTGGTACGCTGGGGAGGTGCCGCCTCATTTCTGATTTCATATGCATTTGGCTGTGAGCTGTGGGCTCCCTGGTCGGAGGAGTTTGGTCGTAAGCCTGTCCTTCAGACCTCCCTAGGTCTTGTGAATGGCTTCTGTCTGTTGGTTGCATTGGCTCCGAACTGGGCTACACATGTCGCCGGTCGTACTTTAGGCGGCCTATCCAGCGCGGGGGGCAGCGTAACACTCGCATGTATCTCTGATATGTTCGAACCGGATGACCCCAACTTTCAATTCGCTACTCTTTTCATCGTGTTGTCGTCAGTCGGTGGCTCCATAATTGGGCCCATCGCCGGTGGCTTCATAGAAACGTTCCTGCCCTGGAGATGGACTGTTTGGATTCAGCTCGTCGTTGGTGTTGTAGCACAACTACTACATCTCTTCATTGTGCCCGAGACGCGGACGACCATTATCATGGACAGGGTAGCCAAATCCTTTCGGAAGTCTGGCAAGAACCCTCACATCTTTGGGCCGAACGAAATCGCCAATAAGAAGCGTATCGACTGGGTCGAGTTCGTACACGTATGGAAACGACCCTTTGTTATGTTTGTTCAAGAGCCTATTGTTCTTGTCTTCTCTCTATTGTCTGGATTTTCCGATGGCCTCATCTTTAGTAAGTCTTCTGAAACATCATTTTGCCTTCCTGTCTCTACCTCCCTCTACCGCCCTGCCCATCCCTTGATTTAGCAGAGATGAATTGCCTACTCTCGTGGGCTCAAATAATGTACTAGTAGGCGATGACATGATCTTTACTAACTAAAAGCTCTTTATAGTGATGGTTCAGTCTTTTGGCTTCGTTTACTTTCAATGGGGATTTAATACCATTGAGCTTGGTCTCAGCTTCATCCCTATTGGCATTGGGTACATGATCGCATATTTTTCCTTCTTCCCGGTTATAAAGCGAAACGTAGCCTTACGTACTAAACACCCGGAAAGCGAATATGCTCAGTATGAATCCCGACTTTGGTGGTTATTATATACCGGCATATTTTTGCCGGTTGGCCTATTCGTATTCGCCTTCACAGCAGCTTACAACGAACCCCCCATTCACTGGATATGGAGCATGTTTGCTTCCTGCATGATCGGCATAGCCAACTTTGCTATTTATATGGCCACCATAGACTATGTCCTCAGAGCTTATGGCCCCTACGCTGCATCCGCTACAGGTGGCAATGGCTTTGCTCGAGATTTCTTTGCAGGCATCCTTACTCCTTACGCAATACCCTTGGTTAGTCCATATGAACGTCTAGTAGCACAATTCGCTAACTAACGCGTGTATAGTTTGAGCGATTGAATATCTTTATGGGATCATTTATGCTATGCTGCTTAGCTACTTGTCTTTACGGGAGTGTATTTATGGTACACTGGAAGGGACACAAGTTGCGGCGACTGTCGCCGTTCGCACAGACGCTCGCGCGTGCCGAGGAGGAACAAGCCACTGCTGCTAGCCCCGAAGGCGAAGGACCCGGAGACCACCACGGCAATGTAAACCGTATCGTCAACTTCCTCCCGCCTCAGAGTCTCTCCGGTAGCCGCTCCAACTCGCGCGCAGCTTCTGTCGTAGCCTCGCCCGTCACTTCCCGCCGCTCGAGTCAGCAAATCGAACGCCCACCGAACCCGCGCCAGACCTCCTATTCTAGTCAGGGGCCAAGCAATAGCCATCATATGCCTGTGGTCCCAGAAAATAGTACGTCAATGAATGAGTCGCGCAGCAGCTGTACCTGTAGCGGCCAGACCCTAGTACCGGCTTGCAGTCTCTGCAGTAATAAGAATGTCAGCCGATCTGACAGAGCGTGACCCTATACGACGTTAGGAGAGGTCGAGAATGCGTAAACAGCAGAATTCCCAAATGTAAAGTTCACGATAGTTGAGCAGGGTAATGCGTCCCCATCTAGAAACACACCCATAAGAAAACTCCCCTAGACAACCCACTCATCACTAAGTACCTACTCGGGTACCCCGCACAATTCCCAGGCATCTTTGATCCAACACAACGACGAGGGAATTCCCGTCTGAAGACAGTCCATCACATCGACACTGAAGGAAACCCACCTGTCAAGCCATCTGGACCTAAGGGGTCACGTATGGGACATTGTGTTACGATGCGATACGACTATATATCCACCAAGTTATTGCATCTACTACATACCTAGGTAAGTTTTCAATCGCGCGCGATGCGTGTTACTTCCCCCTTAAGCGAGATGGGCAGAGCTAATGAGATATAGCCAGCCTACTTGCCCACCAAGTGCCTACCTGGCTAAACCTCCCCGCGCTCATTGGAGTTAAACGGCTGTTCGGGGAGTGAGGCTATACTGGGGATGTTTTTATTTTCATTTCAAATCTGTTTTCTTTCTTTCTATTCACCCCTTTGCTTGACCTCACATATAAATGATACCCAGGCGCCTACATATGCGGCATAGCGGCCTTTTGGACTGGATACGAAATATTTTACTCATGTGTTGGATTATCAATTGGTGTGCGCTTTTGCTGTACGGTCTGTAGCTTAGCCCCTGAAAGCGCGCATGCATATCTGGAATATTATGTGTTTTTGAAAGGGCCTCTGCCATAGCGGGAAAGCGGGCATTTCTGTAATTATTCTCAAAGATAATTTATTCTTATTTTCAGAATAATTTTACGCATACTACGGTATGATTCCTTCCAAACAGAATGCTCTCTCCGGAATAAAATTATTGGGATGCACGTAGTTATTCCATCGAATTTACAATGATTCTAACGGATAGGGGCTCCCGCTATAGTACTTAGCTGGTTAGTACGATGTTTTGTTGCAGGTACCTGAGGCACTACCCCAGAGTAGTCGGGAATAAACCACGCTTTCTTCCTTCCTTCCATCTTCCTTCTTCTTAGTTGTAGTTGAGCTGCAGCATGTTTTAATCTACGGGTTTGGTACTTGAGGGTTGTGGGTTAGAGTCGAAGGCACCTAGCGAATGCAAATTTTGCATTTATTTAGGTATATATCATGTTCACATGGATTGTTTCTCATTTTTGACATGATGTTAGGCGGTGGGGCGACGAGAAGTGTAAGCAAGTGGGTGGTTATTCGTGGTTTGTGATGGAGTTGGCTCTCTGTTGCTTATTACTTCGCCTACTAGGTAAATAACTATTTAACGTGGGGTAAAAGGGGGGGGGGCACTAATAAGGTAAGGCTTGAGAATGAAGAGGGGGGTGGGTGCCTGTGAGATGCCTCTGTGCAGGTATATGAACCTAGCAAATTCCAGAACAAAACATATTAATACGGTCGTAAGAAAGATGGGAAAACTCATAAATTACCTAGGTTAGGTAGGTAGGTACCCTTGTGCGAAATCGTGCCCCCCCTTTTTTCTAGTTACCTACCTAGGCTCACAGGCGCCTACTGTACTAGGTGCCTAGGTTAGTAGATAGGTTTCAAGGACCACAAGAATAAAGTGCAGAAAGGATTATCTACCTAGGTAGTATAGATTCTTTGAGGATACCTATATTCTAATCTCATGACATCGGTACATCCTTAGGTAGGTAGGTATGGATTTATATATACCTAGGTATATATATATATATACTATGCGACAGCGCAAGTAGTTATGTATGTACAACTTGAAGCTAACCCCCAAACCGGCCCCCCCCATATGATATCTTAACTTGGGCACCCACCCAGCTACATAGGTATATACAAGAAAGTAATCATAATAATAAAACAAAAAACACAAACCAAGATATCATCATCATCATCATCATCATCGTCATCATCATTGTCGTCGTCGTCTCAAAGACGCCTGACCTAGTCCAGCCCCCCCGATTTCCCAATGGCCAGCCAAGCTATCATCACGCGAGGTTATTCTTGATGTTGAGATACTGGCTGTCGGGATAACTCAGCAGGTTCTGCTCGCCATCCAGGGCCGCCGCGCCGCCCTGCGCCTCGTACGCCGCGGCGATCAACGACCCGTCGCCGGTGCGGTCGCCCGACGCCTCCCAGAACATCGAGCCGCCGAGCCCTTTGCCCTGGAGGTACGTCACCTTGCGCTTGACCATGTCGACGTTGTCGTACGAGATGAGCTCCTTGGAGGAGGAGTCGTACGAGTACACGGCGCCGGAGACGTCGTCGTAGGTTTCCGTGGCGCCGGCGCGCGGGAGCACCTTGTAGTCCCAGACGCCGGCCTCCCAGCTGCCGGTGCCGATCCCGCTGTACGGCTTGCCGATGCCGTCGGTGGCTTCGAAGCTGCGCCCGTAGAGGGGCAGGCCGAGGACGATTTTGTTGGCGGGAACGCCGCCGTTGATGTACGCGGCGACGGCGGCGTCGGTCGAGAAGGGCGTCGCGACGGGGTTTTGAGCGTTGGGGTAGAGATTCGCTTGGTGACCTGACGTCGTGTCCCAGGAGCCGGCGTAGTCGTACGCCATCAGGTTGAAGCGGTCGAGCAGGGGCGCCATGTCGCTGAGGTGCAGCTTGTTGTAGTTGGCCGGGCCGGCGGGGACGGCGGCGGTCAGGAGGAAGTGGTACCCTGGCGCGCTTTGGGCGGCGTACGCGTCGAGCTCGGCGCGGACGGCTTTGAGGAGCGCGACGAAGTTGGTGGCCTGCGTGTCGTCGGCCGGGTACTCCCAGTCGATGTCGAGGCCGTCGAAGCCCCAGTCCTTCATCAGGGCCACGGCGGACTTGGCGAAGGTCGAGCGCGTGGCATCGCTGGCGGCGGCGGCGGGGAAGTTGGTTGATAAAGTCCAGCCGCCTATCGACAATGCGACCTTGAGTTGGCGGTTCGCTTGCTTGAGCTTGTATAGCTGCTTCACGCAGCCGTAGGCGTTGTTGCCTACGTCGTTCCAGGCTAGAGTTGGGTGGTTAGCGAGCTTCTTTGGTATTGAGTAGTGATATACCTAGGTAGGTAGGTATGTAGTAGTCACTTACAATCACCATCGTAGTGCTTCTCTAGATCCGCATAGGTGTCCGTAGAAACCACAGTTCCGTCTGATTGGACGTTTGCGAACGAGTATAGGACTAGGTTGATCTGTGAAGCGGGAAGCTGTGCTGGTTGAAAGTTTCTCCCGTAGATACCCCTATGATCATATTAGCTACACTGTTCATGATATATACCTAGCTTAGGAGATTATCTGACCAATTTGTGAAGTAGACCATATTCTGGAAGGTGCTGGCGGCACTCTCCTGCTCCTGAGCATTGGCCGGGACAGGGCTGGCAACCCCTAGCGAAGACTGAAGCAGCAAGGTGCTAGCAAAACGTTTGAGGGAGACCATGTTGACTGATTGTTTTGGAAAAAGTACGAGATCGGTCTAAGGAGTGAATATAAGGAGTGAATGAAGCGTAAAGCGTCTGTTATGGTGTGATCTGGAGTGGCTCTTCGTTGAATAAAAGTCGGGGTTCCGATGCATTTATATCGACGATCCCATAAGATATGTCCACTGCGGCACGCTACAACCACCGTTGGGTGATTCACATGTGGCACTGGGATGTGATGGTGGATGCATCAAGACATCCTATGGGGTGTGTGTGAAATCCGGAATAAAGGAATCACTACCCTGGAAAGCTCCCAACGTGCCTCAAAGAGGCTCTCAGATCCATGGCGGCAACGTTGCTACTATCTATAAACCAAAGACGTACTCCTGAGCGGGTACCCCTCGCTGTGCCCCTCGGGCGCGGCCACATTGTTGTAAGGTGGATGGATGGTGGTCATGAGTAGGTCGTTCAGGCTCATGAGAGCTTCATGGCACCGGCAGGGCATATTCGGAGATTGGAAGCCCTCGTGCTTTCTTCCTATTCCGTAGGCGGAAGGTGGACGTTGGAATGTATCTGATATGTTCAAACTTGACAGGTCCGGTAATGAAGGTTGCCTTCACTCAGGGGAAAGCTGTTGGATGCAGCCAATCAACGGCCAGAGAGCTCGACATGACAATACTACCTCTTCTCTTGGGAATAGATTGCAATCAAGGGTGACAGCTTATCACAGGGTGGTATGAGACCATCATCTTCAAAGTTCATACCCTACCATCATTTGACCACTTTAGATCTTGGGACGGTTGTCATACTTAATATCGATAAGTCATGATCTATCTTGCTTTGGAGTAATCCTGTTTGACTGCCCAGGTGGTTTAGTATAAACCTGGAAGGATCAAATGATACAGGGGGGCTAACGTACGCAAGGGCAATGTAGTGTATAAACTGAGACATACAGGAAGCCTTCAAGATTCACTTATATGGGATGGGGTATAACATCGTCCCGACTCCACTAGAATAAGGCCAAGTTAGAATTAGCTTTCCAAGACACACTCCCCACTCTGTTCCCTTACTGAGCAACTGCTAGGGTGGTACCGCACATGGAATCATCTTACATGGTGCCGAGGTCAGGTTCACCAAAGAATCTTTGGCTGACCAGTATTGGCCAAGCCAAGCGCATCCCACCCCTCCGCCGAACGTTGAGTTACATCGAGAGTATATCGGTCATACTTGCAACGTTACTGGATGCCAGAGGAGATGAGTTATCTTGCGAAGCGTCTAAGGTTAGCTATCTGTGATATCGTCGCCTTGAGAAATAGGGAAATATGATGTTGGGTTGTAGTATGTGCGTGGTCGCGGAAAAATAAAACCCCCCTCTCAAAAAGACCCAAGTCTTCAAAGATGTGGTTCGTGATTCGTACTTTGGGATTTGAGCCTGCATACCTAGGTGGGTATCCGGGCGAGGCGCGCGATGCTTGGTTCTGTATGCCCGTGCCCCTGATTTAGATCCTTCGTACGCCTTGTACCTACATACATTAACCCCAGACTTTCAACCTATTTTTACATTAAATGCCCGGGTTGGTATTTTCCCTGGGTAGGCCATTTTTCTCGTCTCTTTTGTTCTTTCCTTGCCCAACAACGTCATTGAAACCCCCAAAACCTATCTTTAGTGTTTTCTTTCTTACCAACGTTTGAGTACGAAGCGCGCGACTGAAGGTCTGGCAATATTTAGGGACGGGTGACTATTGTACATCAGGTTTTAAAGAAAGGATTGTAATAAAGCATTTAGGACTATCCATATGACTCTGCGCTTCTTCAAGTCAAGATAGTGAGTTGCTTGATTAAGGTAAAATAGACGCACCTGTAAGCCCCTTTTCATATGAAAGTGAGAACTTATCTGGGCAATATTACTTTCATGCTTACCTAGACATGGCTCGATCGAGTGCGAATATCTTCCTTCCTATGTATCTTACTGTGATTGGCTTAGCGCGTGGCTTGATGGTGATGGCCTTGGGAATTACGCCGATGCCTTTGCAAGTTAGGTAGGTACGGAACTAGCGAAAGCCGACTGGACTGTGCCACGATAAATCGTCCTGCGCTAATGTTTCGAATGTTTCTTCACCTATTGGGTAGGTGGGCTTTGTACTCTGATTCCTTCGACACGCCGTCGATGATACCTAGTTGGTACATAGATTAGGTACGAAGCCTACCCGGCTCCTAGGTAGATTAGCAGGCTGCGTAGGTGTACTAGGTAAACCACGAAAGATTCGTGGACTCTTAAGGCTCGAAGTTTGGTAGTATAGATCCGTGGCGTAGATCCTATAGACCCAGATCGTCCAATCACGAAAATATAACGAGTACTTTCGGCAAGTAAATGATAATCCTGTGAATAAACCTATAAAAATAAGGCTCCATCTTAGATGGTCGACAATTTGAAGAGACTGCCTGGCAGCTACTGGAAATGATACATAGGCCTGATTCCAGCTAAATGGCGTTTCGGTGTCGATGATTGGAAATGGGGGGAATTTCCGAATTTCAAAAGTGTGTAAAATGGTAGGTAAATAAGCGGGTATCGGATGATAAAGCGGATAGCCAGATGAATGAAATTTTAGTGCTAGATCTTGCGTTTACAAGGCTTGTAAAGTGTAACCCAGATCTGTAGGCACCTCCAGGGCTATCACATATGGTTCCTAGGGACTGAAAATCGCCCAGAATTAGTCCGAGTAGTTATGTCCTTTAAACGCCCCCAGGCTTCACGCTGTGCCCTACCTGCCTACTAGGTAGTATGTGGGTGGGGTGGGGGTGGGGGTGGGTACCTAGCAGGTACCACACCAATTAGTCTGTAAACCTTATTTTCTTGCAGGGACAAGCGACGTCTTTCCAATTTTAGTTGACCGACGTCAACAGTTCTAGTTGATCCTATGTACAATACCTACTACCTACCTACTTCCTACTTCCTACTTCCTACTTAAGCCCGTCACAAAAGCTACTGGCTTTAGCACGTGGCAAACCAAAGCAGCTTACAGTACCTCCCTACTAGATGCCTAGGTTATATGGTTAGAGACCCTATAACTATACTAATCTACGAGAACGAATCCTCCATCGAATATAGTAGTTCACAATGGCAAAGTGAGTACCAAGAATGGGCCTGGTGTCTTACATTCAGCTTTGACCTTTATTAGTTTCTCTTTTCGGTCAGATACCAAGAGCTTGACCTTGGTGATTTCTAATAGAGAATTTCAATTACCTGTATGTAGAGCTTAGCCTGTCGCGAAGCTCGACATACTGCGCAGCTTCGGGCCATACACCCAAAATATGTACGGTGCCGGAATACCAATGGCAATACTAATAAACCCAAGTAGACTATTGCCCCATCCATAATCCAACGCCTGGTACATATAGGGGGTAAAAAGAGGAAAGCCGAACCCTGCTAGGCTGCGGAGCACGACAGCAGCTGCGAGTCCGGACGCCGCGAAACGCGAATAGCTGTCAATGATGTATGACTGCATCGACTGGAGACAAGCGACTGAACCGGCTGAGAAAATTGCCACGCCTAAGTTAGGCATTATCCAATGTAGCCGTGTTTGCACACTCCAGCCGTACCAGAACAGGCCGATGGGGATGAGTACTGACCCGATGAACATCGGCGGAATGCGGAATTCGGGTTTGCCAATGTTATTATGCTTCTCCTTAAGGTGAATATAAATCCTGTCGTTGGCGTAGGCGCTCACTTGCCCGCCAATTACGTAGCCGACTCCAAGCGAAATGTAGTTCAGGCCACCGACACCAACACTTTCGTGGTAGATGTTCTCCCAAACAGATGGGAAGTTCGAAAGCAGAAGGTAGAAGAGTCCAAAGAGGTAGGCCATATACAGAGCGATCACCTGGATAATAGGTTGCGTTACTATCATTCGACAGGGTCTCAAAATTGTACCACCGATCATTGAGAGCAAGCTTGAGCTGCTATCGTGCTCAGTGTATAGCTCGTTGTTTCCTGTCTGTTTTCTTAGGCGGTCTCTCTTACGTTTCAGCAATGTTGCATGATGCGACTCCGGTAGGAAGAAGAACCCGCAGACTTCTATCAGAGCAGCAGCAGTACTTGTAGCCCAAAACACCCAACGCCACGTCGTTCCCTCGGCGATAAACCCTCCAGCAATTGGTCCAACCACGGGACCTAGAAGAGGCGCCAGGCTGTATATTCCGACCGCCCTTCCCCGTTGCTCTGGAGCCCAGCAATCGCTAAAATGAATTTAGGGTTAGGTAATGTACAAGAATAGGCATCTAAGGCATGTTGGTAAGAGGACAAACAAGTTAACGTACCTCAACACTCCGCCGCCAATGGCCAATGGCGCGCTCCCACCAATTCCACTAAGAAAGCGAAAGACGAGCATTTGGGTCTCGTTCCGCGCAAACCCACAGCCCAAGTTCCAAGCTAGGTAGAAGAAATTACTCCACATGATAACCCGGACCCTACCGAAGGTCTCTGACAGTGGCCCGAACAAAAGTGGCCCGATAGCATAGGCGAGGACGAATATTGACAGCGTAAGCTCGACCTCGACGGGGCTCTTGATATCAAACTCTCGGCTGACAGCTGTGAGCGCTGGCGCCACCATTGAAGACGAGACGGGCGAGATGAAGGTGAAGGCGGATATGAGTATTGTAATGGCCCATTTCTTCCTCTTCGGCCAGTTCTTCGGGCACTCCGGGTCATGAGCACCGGACCATGTCACCTTGATACATGGGAGAGGTGTTAGCTTAAAGGCTTCGGTCAAATTGCATCGCGTGAGTGAGTTCTCTCACTGTTAAGGGCACTTACCAAGTTAGAGTCTTCACCTCTGGCTTCTTCGATGACCACGGGGGCTAGCTTTTCGACATCGTGCACCAATTCAGATGAACTGGCATTGCTGGCGCCCTGCTCAAGTGATAAGAACTCTGTTGATGAGTTGTTTACGTTGTGCGGCTCTATTTGAGATGCCAAGGTCCTTGAGGAGTCCGCGGAGCGTAGAGGGTGCTGCGCATATGGCCGTGTCATGATGTCTTCTAGACGGATCCATCCATCGCCTCCCTGCCCTGACGGAGAAGTCATGGCCAAATAAGGTATCTGGTAATTATTTTGGTGTAGAGTATTCCTTTTCACGAAAATCAGGTATTCGGAACGATGACTATCTATGCCTCTCAGCTTCGACGGGTAGATACCTGCTCTGCTGTGAGGCAGGTTCTAAGTGACAATAGGGATGCCTACGGCATGAGCTTGATGAACGAATAATGGATACGTCAGGCATTCTTTTAAATGTTTATAGCGCGTCTGGGTTATGAATTATCTCCTTTCAACTTCTGGGGCGTTATGAAAAGCAAGTAAAGTATGAGGCGGTCCTGTTGCCCCTATTATTCTACCTAGCCTACTTGAATGTCTCACTCATATCTGAAGGGAGAGCTTTCTAAGGATTTACATTTCTCTTCGCATATTCAATCCCAAATCATCCCCTTATTAAGCCACCTCAGAATATCGACTCACCTCACCTCCCTCTCTGCTGAATTGGGCACGTTTGTTTCAACCACCGAAACTGCTAGACATGTTAATCGGCCACTAATCTACACATTGACTCACCTCCCGGGCTGTGGCTGTCGCTAGTGTCTCGCTCGAGATTAGATAGTAAGTACCTACCTACACAGAGTACATTGCGATTGTCCTTTTCGGGATCCAATGGTTCGCCGACCTGCCCGCGAAGAGGAATTTATCGCGACGCGCATCCACGTTCGAGACACTGGCCTAACCCCCTTTTAATTATCTAACCCTTTATCCTAGTGACAGCACACCTACTAACAGTGCCACGACTGATCAACCTAGCCCGTATTATGGAATATTAAACTGCCAGAGCAACTGCACTCCGACCAGTCATGGCCTTTGCCGAGTTGAGCACCAAAGCCTCCATTGCCTGCCTGTCTCCAGTATATCTGCGATTCTTATTGCTGAAGTCAATTATTGTATCCAGAATGTACTCTCTCTCGACTGCATTGGCTGCTTCGTAGGACAATTGCAGCTGCGGGAGAAGCATAGGTCCAGTCATATTCCCTAGCTTCTTGATAAAAGGGATGCACATCCATAACTGACGGCAAAAGTCTTTATGCTCTACCTGTAAATGTGTGTCCAGCTCACAGAGCAGAGAGAGGGTATGGTAGAGTATCCGGTTCATGATCGTACATATCATCAAGTACGATATCACGAAGGACATCGCGTCCAAACTTTCAAAGTGGAACTTGCTGCCCACCGGGCCTTCGGGATCTGGCCGTTCCATCACTCGACCCGCACGACCTTTCGCTTCTATGATTTCCTTACCGAGGCGCTGGGCTTTTTCGTAGAGGTCCGCTACTCGGTGTCGGAAGCCTAGGGCTTGCGCCTCCCGTGAGATGACATCTGCCTCGCTCGAAATACGCCGATGCTCATGTACTAGGCTGGGCCAGAAGCCGTAGTAATAGCCTATCTTGTAGCAATCTCGCTTCTCCTCTGAGGCGGTCTGTTCCGGTAGTGATGATGTCTGCTTGATTACTTCTGCCCAGGGGGCGCTGAGGTAGAAGTTGTCACCACCTCGGACAACCCAACGAGATACCTGTTTGTCCCCTGAGCGTTAGCCAGGCCACGAACATCGAAGAGCGCAGGTGTGTAGGTACGTACCAGCGCCGCGTGATTCTCCAGCATGAGATGGACATCCAGATCATCCCCAAGCTTTGGCGGGCCCTTGCGCAACATCATCGTCTCGATCCCGGAGACATGCGGGGTGCGGTTATATGGCGTGCCAGTGTCGAAGAGCAATTCGAGGCGCTCGAGGATCGTGGCCGCGGCGAGCGTCTCGCACCGCAGCTGCAGCCCACGATCGCCCAGCGCGCGCCGCAGACTCCGCAGCGCCTTGCAGTATAAAGTCCGGTCCACCACCCGCTCGGGCGCGAGCCCCCGTCGCTGGTTCAGCCACGTGCTACACATGAGGGCCACGCAGTCCCGCAGCGCAGCGCTCTCGCTCAGTCGCACGGGGAGGTGAGGGGTGTACCCGACGCACGCGAGGTAGTCCCACGACGCAGCTTCGGTCCCTAGGTACCCAACCAGACGCGCGGCCACGCGTTCTGAGACGGTGGTTAGGGTTCGCCGCGGCTCGTTGGTCGCGAGGCGGAAGTGGCCGAACGAGGCGCCACCGGGGAGGTCTTGGTTCCGGATGATCTCGAGGTTGCGCGGTGGTTGGGATGTTAGGAGTGTCCGTGACTCAGTCTCTCTTTCCACGTGAGATTGGCTACTGCTAGTGATGGTGTGGTGGTGGTGGCCGTTGTGGATGAATTTGGTCAAGTTGGGTGGCCCGGAACAGGATGCGCCAGCACGGAGGCACGGTGAGCAAGTTGGCCATTTCTCATCGCACTGAGACACGGGTTAGTCGTGCGTATACTAGGTAAGTGGCTAGGTTAGATTGGTGCGTATTTGCATATTTAGCACGCTCTTCTTATTTATATACCTTGGTCTTCATCCGCTTGCAGCGCTCACACCTTCGGGATCTTGCTACGCCAACCATGTTTACGAGCGCGTTAATCAATCGAGAATTTCACGAAATGTTCGACACGGGCTTTGAGATGCTATCAAGATATATATAATCCCCCGTCTTATTTATGCGTGGCTGATGGTATGTAGGTATCTACCTAACCTAGGTAGTCATATTTAACATGGACCTGAAGAGAAGCTGAATCGCACCATAATACTTCTTTTGGCATGATTATGTTCATCTATAGGTATACATAGCATGCAGATGGATACATGCATATTCTGCAAGTCATACTGGTTGATGCTCACCCAGGTACGGTTACAGCTTCTGGTTCGTCAGAGTCGTGCTGTAGGTGAGATGTCAGAATGGCTAGGCATTTTGGATGGAGTACCTACATGTAGTAAGGCTGACTTTGCTTTCTGGGGGCATCATTGGAAGACACTTTATCATATTCATGTCTCCTCAAGAGACCATATCGTGTTATTTTAGACGCAAGTGACCTAAGAAGTCTGCGAGTGTAGGTAATATTCCTATAAGATGGACGAGGCCATGTTCCGCTTTGTGGTTATAGGTAATCTCTCTCAATCATGCATTCGCTACCCAGTCTACCAAGAACTTGGTTTTGAAGATGATGCACGTTTCGGTATTTCAAGCAGTTGCTAGTTCAGCCTCCATGGCGTGCAAAATAAAGCATTTGGATGAAGACGGGGTGTATTGAATCACCTACACATAGTTGTCTACGTTGAGTGATTTTCCTCTAGGTATAAATCAACACCAAGTACACGATCTCAAACACAACCAACCAAAAAGCTCTTCATTCCAACCTACCTACCTAACCTAAACAACATTGAAGTGGACTCTATATGACGTTTTCAGAACCCAGTACATAACATACCTAGGTCAGTTAGTTAGTTAGTTAGTTAAATAAGAGCCTCTCTCTCCCAAGATGGATGGATGATCGATCAGAAGAAGTCCCGACATCCATCCATCCATCCATCCATCCAAATACCCACACCACCTACCTAACTATTTCCCAACAAAAGTCACACATCCACGGCTCGTAAATCCCGCAATGGCGTCAACCAGCGAATCAGGGCCCAAAGGTTGAAAAGAGCGCGGCTTTGAGTGGCTGGTAGGGCATGCAAGCAGGAGCAGCAGCCATATAATATAGCGGGGGGGAGCGGGACACATTGGATTGCTGTGGATTTTTTTTTTATATATATAACTAGTTATTGCTAATACGCTTCTAGTGCCGGCTAATATGGTACCTAGTATGTTTGCAGAATAGGTGCATACCATATAGCTCTGCCGCTTGGTTTATAGGTATGTATGGATGGATGCTTTGATCTTACTACCAAGGCAGGTAGCTAGGTTAGCTACGTGCATTAGGTACTAGGTAGGTAGGTAGGTAGGCACATAGCTAGTATGCAATAGTATGTAGTGCTAGATGAGCTTCTTCTTACCTTGTCGTTTTAGGTAGGTGAGTATATCCCACGCACTCTAGGATGCGGGATATGGCTATCCCACTGGAATCTATCTCTCTTGGTTGGCTACCTAGATATCTATCTGTCTTTCTGCTTGCCTTATGTAGCCGAGACTGACCTCCCCACTAGATAGATAGACACACACAAAACAAGCCTGGTGATACTACCTGGGTCTAGGTTAGGGTTTCCCTTGAGGCGAGCGGGTGTGCGGGCGGCTGTTTAGGAGAGCGGAGATCTAGTAGGTACTAGGTAGTAAAGTAATGCAGTAATGTAGTAATGTAGTACCTATCGTAGTAGTACAGGTAGGTAGGTCAGTAAGGCAGACCAGCAAGGTACCTAGGTTAGTCGCATACCCGCAAGCAACAGGGCGAACCCGTCGAACTTCTAACCTGGTTCTCTCCTACCTACCTACCTGTGACTAACTAAACATCCTATCCTCTCCTATACCAACTCACCAGCGCGTCATCATCAACCATCATGAAATCCGCACGCCAGGCCCTCCGCCGTCTCGGGGAGCCCCTCCCCCGTACCACCACCGCGCACCGCCACTCTCTCCGCCCCTTCACCTCCGCATCGCCTCGCGGGTCCCCGCCCGCCGCCGCCCTCGAGATCCAGCAGCAGCAGCCGTCGCCGCCCCCGCCTTACCCCGTCCCCGGCCGTCCGACCCCTGCTGTTCGCCCCGAAGCCCCGGCAGCACCTGCTACTCCTGAGGCGAAGGCTAGAGCCAAGGAGGTACTTCGCGATGCGGTTGCTGCGACTGAGCCGAGGAATGACTGGACGAGGGAGGAGATAGCGGCGATTTATCACCATCCGCTGATGAATCTGGTGCACGAAGCTGTAAGAAGAGCTTTCCCTCCCCCCCTCCCTGTGATTGTATTCTTTGATAGAGAACTGTGTTCTATTTACATTTCTGCGGAACTTGATATAAACCTACACACGCACAAGGGGGAACTAGACTGATAACACCAGAGAACATAGGGCCTGATCCACCGACGCTTCCACAACCCCTCCGAGGTCCAGCTGTGCACCCTCATGAACATAAAGGTGCGCAACCACAACAATATCCCCAATCCCTATCCTTATCAACCCCCCATCCACTAACCCTCCCCCCCCCCCCTCCCCCCAAAGACCGGCGGCTGCACCGAAGACTGCTCGTACTGCGCCCAAGCAACGCGCTACCAAAAGGGGACCGGCCTAACCGCCAAAAAAGTCGAGTCCGTCGAGTCCGTCCTGCTCGCCGCGCGCGCCGCCAAGGCGAACGGGAGCACGCGGTTCTGCATGGGCGCCGCGTGGCGCGACATGCGGGGGCGGAAGAACAGCCTGCGGAACATCGCCGAGATGATCCGCGGCGTGCGCAGCTTGGGGATGGAGGCGTGCGTGACGCTGGGCATGATCGACGGCGCGCAGGCGGCGGAGCTGAAGGAGGCCGGGCTCACGGCGTACAACCACAACGTCGACACGAGCCGCGAGTTCTACCCGTCGGTCATCTCCACGCGCACGTATGACGAGAGGCTGCAGACGCTGGCGCATGTGCGGGAGGCGGGGATTAATGTCTGCTCGGGTGGTATCCTGGGCCTGGGCGAGACGAACACGGATCGTGTGGGCTTACTGCACACGGTTTCGACGCTACCTAAGCATCCTGAGAGCTTCCCTGTCAATGCACTGGTGCCGATAAAGGGGACGCCGCTTGGTGACCGCCCGCCGTTGGACTTTACTAGTAGTAAGTGCCCCCTGATATCGATCCTACCCCCTCCCCTTTCCCTACTCTAGGTAGCCAGCAAACCACCCCCCAGCTTTCACGTTGTAAAGCCTAGTTACCCCTTACCCTTTATCAAAACTAACCAAATAAAACCCTACAGTGCTCCGCACAGTCGCCACAGCGCGCATCCTCATGCCAGCGACCATCATCCGGATCGCCGCGGGGCGGAAGACGATGTCGGAGGAGAAGCAAGCGCTGTGTTTCCTGGCGGGCGCGAACGCCATCTTCACGGGCGAGAAGATGCTGACGACGGAGTGCAACGGGTGGGACGAGGACAAGGAGATGTTCGAGCGCTGGGGGTTGGAGCCGATGAGGAGTTTTGATAAGTCCCCGCCACTGGCGGCGGTTGAAGAGGACGGGGGGTTGTAGGTGGGTAAGTAAATAAAAGCTAGATAAAGAAATGAATAGGTAGCTGGTAAATGGGATGCAGGACTTCACTAGGTATCCTAAATCATAGATAGGTAGATAGGTGCTAGGTACTATGTGCTAGAAATCATAGTCGCGGCTTGTCTCGTCTAGTTGATACATCTACCACAGCCTCTGCACTTTCTCTGCCGCGTTCATTGCCTACCTGTTGTGGCTTCGTAGTAACCGCCGTCTGATTCTGCACCCACACCTCTATAGCGCTGCACAGCCCATCGATTTGTTCCGCCGTGTTAGCCGCGTGCAGGCAAATCCGCACTCTCTCGCTTCCAGCTGGAACCGTTGGCGCCACAATTGGTCGCACCATGTAGCCCGATAGCTGGCAGTGTTCCGAGAGGGCCCGAGGATGCGTGGTGAAGACTGGTATGACCGGTGACTTGGAAGGTGTTTTTCGAACGTGAAGTGTGTGGTGCTGTCCGGGTTGTAGCCGAGCGCAAAGGGCGTGAAGCTGGCGGTGGGTGTAGTGAATCAAGGTGTCCAGGTGTTGTCGCCGCGGCTCAGATTGGCCGCTTATGAGATAGTCATAAACTACATCGATACTTGCTAATGATGTGAAGGTCATCGATGTCGTGTAGATGAGAGTCCTAGCGTAGTTGATCAAGTACGACCGAGTGATGGAAGAGCAGAGAACAACACCTGATGTAAATGTATTAATTTTAATTTCCAGGGGGTTGCCAATAGTTTCTTGTGAAGCAAACAAATGGAATGCTGGAATGATAGATATGACACGTACCTCCTGCGCAACCCATCGCCTTCCCAAAGCCAAGGACTCTTGCCCACACCCGATCTTCCAGGGCGAGTTGGCATACTAATCCGCGGCCCTTTTCGCCGCAGATACCCACAGAATGGGCTTCATCTACGATAATGTAGCCATTTTTAGAAGGCAGGTATCGATCAACCGCATCGGCCACCTCATTCAAAGCCGCGACGTCGCCGTCCATGCTGTATAAGCCTTCTACACAGATGAAAACGTTTGTCTCACCATTACCGGTGAGTTTATCCTTTGAAAGCTGTCTCAAGATATCATGAAGCCCTAAGTTCTTGCTCTGGTGGCGCATGTCATGTTTCCCCAGATTTGGCTCCAGTATTGAGCTATGCGCAAACGGAATCCTTCTGGAAGCCCGGCTCATACGCATTCCATCATGAACGCTCGCATGGATCAATTCGTCGTAGACAATTACGTCCCCAACCTGCGGGACACAGCTAAGAAGCCCGGTGTTGGCATCATATGCAGAGGTGAAAAGGAGCGCGGCTTCGGCGCCGTGGAAAGCTGCAATTTTTGTCTCGAGTGATTCCGCAAATGGCGAGTTACCATCCAGAAGACGAGATCCTCCCGAGCCAAGAATGGACCTGTGGGGGTCGTGCAATATCTTTTTACCCTTCTCATGAACTGCAACTTCGAGTTGTAAGCGTTCTATCAACGATTTCTGTACTGCGGAATTTGTTGACAGGGATAAGTAACCGTTTGATGAGAAGTCGACGCAATTCGCAGGAGTATTGTTTAATCTTCTCAGCTTGCCATTGGATTTTCGACGGGCCAAGACAGAGCCCAGCTTGTCGTCCAAGTGTTTGTTCATGCCTGGCATTGCTGTCTATCCACCTACTCGGTATCTATACCTAGGTAGGTAGGTAGATATGCATGAGCTCAATTCCAAAGATCACAGTGTGTGTATTCGGTAATAGTGAGATGAGTTCATTAAACCAACTAGCCCAGGGCCCTAGGGTAACAAATAGGGGATCGACATCGTAGCTTCGATACTACTACCGCCGCCACTACTACGGTAGATCTAGTGGGGTCATCCATGAATACTTCGCTAAGTTAGAGATTTTCCCGGTACCTACTTCGTAGTATGGAAGCATTACATACCTACATGTACTACCACCCAACCAGCACACAATTCCATTTCCAGGTCATATTCAACCTACTTACCTAGGTACCTAGGTAAACAACGCCAATGTCTCCAGTTCATTCATTACTTTGGCGCTCTCTTCGAGTTTATCAAGTTTATGGAGCCAACACTGATGTCGGGAAGACCATCATCACTACCCTTCTCTGCAAGGCCGCGACTAAATCAGGACGGGTGGCTTACCTGAAGCCTGTGTCGACGGGTTCGCAAGAAGAGGCCGATGACCGGTGTAAGTGAACTTACCCCTAAGTCGTCATTGTACGTCGCTACCTTTGGGTCATACTGACATATGAGAATAAAAAGACATACATACCTAAATAACTTTTTAACTTACCTAGTACACACGTTAACATAATAGAGGATAGTCATATTGAAAAATATGCCCCAGACGTTATTCGAAAGACCTTGTTCCAGTATGAACTTGCGATGAGCCCGCATGCTGCTGCGAAAGGCAAGGTATGAGAATGCTCCTTATCCACCCTTGACGCCACTCGTGAATTAACATACAGCTATAAAGTTAGTACCTACAGACAAAGAGCTCCTTTCTAAGATATATGATTTTGCATCCGAGGAAGCAAAACAAGACGCTGGTTGGCTTTTCATCGAAACAGCTGGTGGTGTCCATTCTCCGGGCCCGTCGGGGACAACGCAAGCAGACTTGTATACGCCCCTGCGATGCCCTATCATTCTCATCGCTGATGCTAAGCTCGGTGGTATTTCGTTATCTGTTTCTGCATTCGAATCCTTGAGACTTCGCGGCTATGATGTCCAGGCAATTCTGGTATTCCAAGATGCCAAATACGATAATGAGCAGTATTTGAGGGATTACTTCACAAGTAGATATGGCATTTTCTTTGCATCTTTGCCAACACCTCCGCACAAAGTAGATGACGCCGACGTAGATGCGGAGAAGTTATCGCTGTATTACAAGGAAGTGGGCGAAAGTAAAATCTTCGCCCAAATCCTTAAACAGTTGAGGAGCAAGCACGGAAGACGCGTTGCAGGACTCACGTCCATGCGCCGCCAAGCAGATAAATCAATATGGTATCCTTTCACGCAGCACAAGCTCTTGTCGCCAAAAGACATTGTCGTAATCGACAGCGCTCAAGGTGATTTCTTCCAGACGCTCGCGCCCGAGGGGGATGAGAAACAACCTATTTTGCAGCCTTCTTTCGACGGTTCCGCATCGTGGTGGACCCAGGGACTTGGTCATGGTAGCCCTTCACTTGCGCTTGCCGCGGCCTATGCAGCGGGTCGTTATGGTCACGTTATGTTTGCCGGTGCCATCCACGAACCCGCCTTGGCTTTAGCGAATACTCTCCTACAAAATATGGAGAACCCTCGGCTTAGCCGTGTATTCTACTCGGATGACGGTAGTACGGCTGTAGAGGTGGCGGTAAAAATGGCTCTGCGGGCGGCTCGACTCCGATATGGCTGGGCTTCAAGTACGGAAATTGGGATCATTGGTCTAAAAGGCGGATACCATGGCGACACGATTGGTGCCATGGATTGCGCCGAGCCAAGTACCTTCAATGAAAACATTGAGTGGTACAGCGGGAGGGGCATCTGGTTTGATTACCCCAGCGTGAAATGCATCAACGGCCGATGGGTGATTGAGATGCCTGATACGTTAAGAGCAGATCTAGGGGACGACCAAGTATTCGAAAGCCTCTCTGATGTCTTCGATATCGAAGCTCGCGAATCAAAGAAGGGACAAGAAGTGTATGAAAAGTATATCGAGAAGATACTTGTTTATCATTTGAGCAATGGCCGAAAGTTTGGCGCCTTGCTCATGGAACCTATCGTCATTGGGGCGGGAGGCATGGACTTGGTGTAAGCAAGCAGCCTGAATTTCCATCTTTGAAATAGTCGAACGCTAACATGAGTGCAGAGACCCCCTTTTCCAACGTGCTCTTGTCACTGTAGTACGTCGTTCGGCAAACCTCTTTGGCTCATGCCAAGAAAGTGACACCTCCAACCCCACATGTTGGACCGGGCTTCCCGTTATATTCGACGAAGTCTTCACGGGGTTGTATCGTCTGGGGAGGTTTACCGCTTCGTCGTTTCTTAAAACCGACCCCGATATCTCTGTTCACGCTAAACTGTTGACCGGTGGCCTAGTGCCACTCAGTGTTACGCTAGCATCAGAGAATATATTTGACGCTTTTAAAAGCGATGACAAGGCTGATGCTTTGCTTCATGGGCACAGCTACACGGCACATCCTATCGGCTGCCAGGTTGCTCTTGAGTCCTTGACTCAGCTGCGGAGGATGGAAATGCGAGGAGAATGGGATTGGGCAAAAGATGCTGACTGGTCAGGATCTCCTAGTAGCCAGTCTAGCGCAGCACAGACTGCCATGTGGTCCATATGGCCATCGCATATGTTGAACTGGATCTCGAATCAGACACAACTGGTAGCGGGAACGTGGGCTTTGGGTAGCATTCTTTCCATTCACATGAAGACAACAGATGGCCAAGGCTACAAGAGCAACGCTGCGCTCAAGTTACAAAGCAGTCTGCTTGAAGGTGACAGGGAGAAGCTGTGGAATATCCACAGTCGGGTTCTAGGCAATGTTCTCTATCTTATGGGAAGCCAGAAGACAACAAAGGATGACGTCGTGGAGATAGTGAAGCAGGTTGAACGTGCATTGTCAACTTAGCGATATAGGCTTTTGTACATAAAGGATCTGGAAAAGGGGATAAAATGTGATAAAATGTGATAAAATGTGAGGCGTTACTTACTTGAGATGCTGAATTGTCTGATGAGGTGACAAACACACGACACAAAAAGTAAACCAATTTAGAAGTGAAATAACTTGAAAGCGCTGGAATATCTCAGAATATCTCAGAATATTTCAGAATCTTTCAAGATTTTACTCCAGTATATAGGAAGAGCATCGAGTAATGGATCTCTTGTCTACGTATCTTAGGCATCTGCTTGGTGCCTAAGTAGAACTTAAGTGTTTCTTGGGTATAAAAGGGTGAGGTGAGTTCTAAGCAAAGTGAAGGAGTCGAAATGGAAATCACCCTACCTACATATGTACATATGTAGGGTAAGTTGGTAAGTTAGTAACTAGGTTACCAGCTAATCGCCCTAATATTAATCAATTGATATTTGAGGCGTCCATGAATGACGTCAATGCTTACCTAAAGTCAGTTATGTCCATACATAGAAAAATGTTTAATTACTATCTAGGTACCAAAGTACCCTAGGTTACATGGTACCTAGTACTAGGTACTACGGTATGACCCTGACACACGGTCCCTTTTTTACCTACCACCAGTTGCGTCGCGCAAAAAGGACTAAAGTTAGGGACTTTTCCGAAATTCTTCCAACTTCAATCACGTTTTGCGACGAGCTCTTCCAACTTTCTAACTCTTGCCCGGCACTACCAGGCAGATTATACAATCCTTATGCTTTGGTTCTATTAGAATATTAAGAGGGCATATGTCCCATTACCCAAATTACACAACTATCTTCTTAAAATCAATTCACCACTATCATCCCTATTCATCATGGGTATTTGCGCCTCGTGTCTCGGTAGGCGACGCCGCGACTCGTACGACGAAGTATGCCCCCTAGCATTCCCAATTCGTGCCATTGGTGTTTACTAATAGGAAAGGATGATGTATCCCGCTTATTATTTGACGAGACGAACAATCTCCAATACGGGAGCTTCGGCGAACATAATCTTAATCCTCAAGCTGATCCGCTCGAGTCGCAACGAGAAGTGGAAGCACTACAGAGAGTAGTTGCCCGGACCTCTAAGTATGCGCCAATCGTTCAATGTTGCATTGACCTGGTCTATTGCTGCCATGCTTATCATATCCCTAGTAACCTCGTTGACGTCTTCGAAATTACTCCACAGGAGTCCCAAAGGACCCAGCCAGCAATGTTTTCCGGTCAAGATGCTCGTCTTGCCCGCTATCAAAACATACTCTCTACACTTCCGTCAGAGGGTGATTTTAATTCTGCAGATTCCGGCCCCGGTGCTGTAGATTGGTTGTTGAGTGAGGATGACATGGTTGATTTACACGGCAAGGCTCCAAGCATCAAGGATGAAGCAGGTGGCCCTCTTGTAGGAACATTTGCAGATATTACTGCTGCTGTGGCAGTATGAAGGAAGCTTCATAATGAATAATGACGCAAATTCATTGAATAAGTGTCGTTGAACTCTGCCAATCAATGGTGCCTGGATTATAGGTGGCCGCCTACATATGTAGTGAAGAGCCGAGCCAAGTCGATTTGGTAATTGGCTTTTCTTTTTCTTTTTCTTTTTCTTTTTTCGTCTTTTTCTTTTTTTGGGTATTCTTCATGTTGCTCTGCTCTGCTCTGCTCTACTCTACGACCCGACCCGACCTAGCTTTCTGGCGGGTCTTGTTCTAATCCAATCTTGGATTGTATGGCGGAGACGGAGATTCTTATACTAAATTAAGTTAACAAAGGACTATCGTCAACCCGCTTTCTTGCGTCTCACTAGCACAAATTCAACCAATCAGGTGATGTGTGTCCAGGGTTTTGAGAGGATGGAGTCCATCAAGTTACAGACACGTGCTCAGTAAACCCGGTTCTCCTTACTAGTAAGTGGGTTTCTTATTTATAAGAGTCCCGCCTGGCCGGTACGCATTTCTACATAGATGCTTCATATCAAAAGGTGATTTTCGTCCGGCTTCGGTGATATGGGAGCAATAGATGTTCTGAAGAGGCAAGAGGCTCACGATAACTCTTCTAGAAGGGGGAAGCGGGAGTCTGTGCGTCGGATCTAACCACTTAGCGGGTAGTCGGGAAGGGCCGCAACCATCCCCCCCTGATATATCATTCCCCCGGTCTAACTATCCACACCTTTAGGGTTATGAGTCCGCTGACAATAATCCACCTTGCGGCAAACAAGAACACAAGAGTAGCATCTATCCTACTAGATTCTGCTTTCCCTTTTCCTTTTGCTTTTGCTTTCTCTCTTCTCTTTCCTCGGACATCTGGAAGATCTTACTATGTACAAATCAAATACCTACTCTTAGGTACCCACTAAGTTGAGGTGTCTAGTATGTAGGTAGTCCGGCAAAGGGGACCCATCTACCTACCTAGGTAGGTAGGTATGACCTAGGTACATAAGGTCTCTGACACTACTCACCTAGGTACTTATTTCTGCGTTCCGGTTTCTATCATCTTTAGACCAAGCAAGATATGCCATACAGCCAGATAAGATTTTATCGATTAGTTCCATTTCTTCACTAGCATTTTGCCCCATTGTCCTTTGCTTAGTCACATTCCAGTCGGGTAGCAGTCACGGTAGCAGTCTTGGTTACAGTCCAGAGCTCTATATTTCAGCCCTGAAAAGGGGGCCAAAGATATCATACAGTGAGACACCCTTATGAACACGATTATGATCAAGTTGTCCAAGGAAAAATCCAGAATCCAATCGAATAAATCGCAGATAACGTACTCTAATGCTCTAAATGGGGTGACAGAATCGAATTCACCGTACAAAAGACCGGCTTCCCAGCATGCTAATCCAAAGGCCACAACTTCCCAAGATGCCCGTTCCCATTTTTTTGACACTACTTTCTTCCACTCTTACGAGTTGTCGTTGTTCTTGTCAACCCGAGACAAAAGAACTCTATTGATCTTGAGTAGCATGATGAACCCCACCCCCCCCCCCCTCTTCACCTCTTGTTCACCTCGTGTATACCGCTAACTAAGGTGTCTACACCACCGAGTACTGCCTACTCTGATGTTGTTGGAGCATGTTCTGGATCGCATCATCAACCTCTCCCATCTCCCTCTGGGCTTTCTCGATCGTTGCCGTTCGGTTCCCTTCCCTCTGCCACCGGTAGATGTCGTTCTGGAGCTTGATATACTTTCGTTGCTTTTTCTCGATGTCTTTGCAGAGTTTGCAGTTATCCTGCTCCTGGTTGGTACAGTACACCAACTTTAGCCCGCAAGTCTCTCCGGTTCGATATTCCTTCGTACACTGTTGTCGGAAGTGGCCCCATCTCCAATACCCACACATCCAGCGCGTCTGTTCGAAATAGCACATGGTCGTCGTTTGAGAGGAGTTAAGTCTTGGTTATTCAGGAGGTCTGGCCTGGCGGTCCACCAATTAGCTAAGCCAACAAAGATATCTTAGCCCCAGGGAGGATTTTTTTTGGGCCGTCAAGCAGCTATACCTGAAGGATTTCCACCAAGGTATCGTTATCAACGTTCACGGTGGACCAAAGTCAAAAAGTTCCCCCTTTTCTGGTATCTGTTGGATTTTTTCTGCTTAATATCTTTTGTTTGGGTTACTCCACTGCTAAGCATGAGTAACGTCAATAGGAAAAATCTGAAATACTTATACTTTTCGTCCACGCCTTGGGTTTCTTGCCCTTTCCACCCGACACCGATTCTCGACTTGCGTTGGCCGCAACCTTCCACCACATATTCGTCAACACTGTGCCCTAAGCTATCACAAACAACCACCGAAGATTGGTTGTTGACAACTCAGCCTGTCTGCTAATTGGGGTTGCATGTCCATTTCGCTACCAGTCCGTCCAACATGTTTTCCTAGAATGCTGGATGGATGCCACGTTGGCCTAGTTGCTTCAATTTTCCACCGGCTCAAGTTCCCCACCCTGGATACAGCCTACGAGTACCTTGACTGATGAGTTAGGTAGTTTACTAGCTACTTGATTCGAGAACTCTGTATGGCGGCCCCTCTTCCCCCTTGCCCCCTTCTTTATTGGGTCGATTTTGATACTTTGGGACGGTTCGCCGTTAACATTGATACGCGGAGCCATCAGCCTCGAGTTTGACACCCTGTTACTACACCCCGTTACACGCAGAGTTTGATCCTTTCTGTCTGCAACCAGGATGTAGCCCATCCCCACTGTCTGTCTATGCAAGCCATCTGGTTAGTTGCGGGTAGGTCTCTCACCACCACGCCCCCCCTGCCTTGTGAGGCAACTTACTCTTTACGACGAGCATGTAATGTCAATCACTGGAACAGGGGACCATGTTATGTCCCTTGCCACGTCTCGGGTCATTACCTTAAACGGATGCCCAATCGTTCGCCGCCAAAAAAAAAGGCCAACCTTTGAGTATACTCTGCTTCTATAACAAATAAGTTGAGTATCTCAAAGTCTCGGCCTAGACGGTTCCCAATATTTGCGTGGTTTTATCAAACTACTTAGTACCTAGCAGGTTTTTATTTTTTAATTGCGTATTTGCCACTACTTCTAGTTGCCGCTCCTCCCACCGACTTTATCTGATTGGGCTTCCATCGACTTATGTTCCTCAACTTGTCCAGTTCACCATCAAGCCACATCGGGAAAGAAAGATATCGTACTGACGCACTCTGAGTATCGCTTGCAGCTAACATATATTACGTATTTGTTCGAGCCCTTCCTGGCATCCGATATACCCGTCTAAGGCGTTGCGGAATCTCATGAGTCCTTTCCGGGAATGGACAACACATCGTTCCTACAGGGGTAAAATGTTATGATGGTGGTTTCGTTCATAGTAATAACCCTTTTTAGTTGAGAAAATAGGCTACCTTCCTGCGGCCACCTCTTAGCTAGGGCCAGATAGGGTAGGCCCAGGAGTTGTGTTTTCTATGGCACTACAAACGCCTCCTATACACGTGAAACCATATCAAGTCACATATAGATAGAAACCCCCCTTCCCTCCCCCCTATTCGGGTTATACACGAGTCAGGTAAAACTTCAGATCTTCAAACCGGGGGTTTCTTTAGACCAGCGACGTGGCAATGCCTTTCTGGCCGGGCTAGGCCCACCTGCACGATTTCGCCCCCGGCTTGTGCAAGATGCGTGCCCAAGAACTCTGGGGAATTCGGCCGTGGACACTGTTGCTTCCTAAATTATCACCTTGGTTAAGATATGAAATGGGCTACTATTACGGCCGCATTCCAGTCCTCCTCCAGGATGGGCCTATGGTGCTGTAAATAGGGAGAGAAAGGGGGGGAAATAGAAATAGCCCGAGGATGGTGACAAGAAAAAAGCAGTTTGCAGTTTTTACATAGGGCATTAGTGAGTGTGACATGAATTCCTTCCAGATTGTGCTGGAATCAGCAAGAAATCAAACTAGATTCCTAAAGAGGCTTTCTGTGTTTCCCCAAGGAAGTAAGGAATTATAATACTTTTTTTGTAATGGTTACTCTCGATAAGAATAGGACTACGTATTTGTAGCCACAATGCAAAATATAAATACTACCTTGTTTTAGGAAATCGAGGCCTTTGTAAATTCTGAATAGGCCAGTTGATGGGCTTCCCAAAAAGGAGGATAACCCGGAAATCAGGATGATGACATATTCAGCTCATGAACGACCTCCACACATGCGGGATGTTTGCTTTAACCCACGGCAGAAAATTTTATCTATGGTACTATTTGTCAAGACAGGAATCATATCACGAGACATAGGTCGATACTTGGACAACAAGCCCGCGTGTTGTCTCGCTAAATGGAGTCCAACCCACGTCACAACGAAGCGGACGTTCACCCCCGGGCGGCAAGGGATAAACATGAAGAGAGAGAGAAAAAGGAAAGAGAAACAAACTAAAAAAAAAGATTTCAAGGTCTCGGTATGATCGTAGGGTGATGTTTATGTATAGCCCATCGTCATTGTTTGCATATACCTACTGCTAACCCGGGCGTAAAAAACGCGAACCCCAGGTCAACACGGCCATATGAGGCGGCCCAAGTAGGGTTGTGAATAAACCCATTTTCGGGAAAATTATGGATTTCCCCCCTTGGCCTTGTACCCCACGGCCCGTTCCGTTCATATTAACTCTTAGTAGACAACAAGTAGGTAGATAGGCAGGTTGGTAACTGGGTTAGGTTGGGCTTGGGGATCTATGTACCTGTCAGCTTTATAACCCTGGAAATTCTTTGCTTTGACATCTGCAGCTTCAACGTAAATCATGAACCCGTCCGTACCTGGGACACTTCCAGGAGAGAGAGAGGGATACCTGACGTTAAAAACTTGATTTCGAAACAGCCAATCAGAGGCGTTTAGAAATACAGATACCTAATAATAAAAATTTAAGGTGATATGGGAAGAAACAAAGATTTCGAACCAGGAGCATCATAATTCGGGCCACACTTTGTCCAAATCATGTGCAAGAAATGATATGCGCATTCCCTTAGTTCGAAAGTAAGCAGAAGAGCCGGGCTTGGTCCCCTCTAGCCCAATAATACTCCGTGGCCTCTGAACAGAAACAAACTCGCCCATCCATCGACTTACACTTACCCACCTCTGATGCTATAGGGGTGGCACACCCCCAAAGGGGGGGGCGTGGGGAGTACGAGACCACCCTCCCCCCATTAGATGCAAGTGGCATGCAGCTTTAACCCACCCGCAAGTGTTTGACTAGAGGGAGTGAAGATCAGCCATGTGTTCCTGTTTTGTTAACAGCCTCTTGAAGCCCTGCACTGCCAGCTCATTGGTTGGGGGCTGGAACCAGGCAAGTCGCCGCAGCGGGATGTACTTCAGTCCCATCCGGAGGATACTCACAGAATTGTTCTTGAAGAAAGAAAAAAAACAAGCCGTGATGTGAAGGTCGGTCTGTTGTACGTACGTACGCACATACGTAATGTAATGTACGCTATCTACCTACCTATCTATCTTGCTTTAAGTCGGTAGAACAAAGAATATAATGCAGCAGAATAAAAATATACATGATATCTGATGTCTGCTGCTGCTTCTTAACTCTTGGCCTGATCTTTTATTTTTGTTCATCGACTCGGGCTCTCCCTTTCGCTCTGCGGTACCACGAGCAGCTCGTCAACACGACTGGGCCGGATTCGACGAACCGTCGAACCGTCAACGGACCGCGTTAAACAAAACAAAAAAAACCTGCAACCGAGTAGCCATTTTCTTTTTTTTTCCTGTTCACCGTCTCTTGGACTGTCCCGAAACGAGGCTTCATCGAGTCCCCCCTAATGGCTACGGCTTTATCCCTCATCGCCTCCTCGTTGGACAGAGCTATGAGTTGTCCGTCTCAGCGACATTGATTCTGACGGGGAGACAGGGGTGAGTGATTGGAACGGCTCCGTTGCCGACTCTGCCTTGGGAAATGGGTTCACAGGGTGTACTCCACAGCGGATGTGCTCGCATCGCATAGATGCAGGGTGATCATTTTTTCTTTCTTTCTCTTCCCTCTCTTACATTCTTGCTTCTCTCTTTCTAACCTACTCATACATCTTGCATTGCAGGGTCACAGCTAGCTAATTGAAACTAGTTCGCTCTATACACACGCATTAGCTAGGTACCTATAAGCAGCCCAGTGGTTAGTTGAAGCCTCACCCTAAAGGGGGAAAAGAGGGATAGAGAAATAAAGAAATAAAGAAAGACTAGGTATAATTGGGTATGTACCTTAGGTAGGCATAGGCATAGGCATAGGCATGTTGGCCACCACACTCCCCTCTTTCCTTTGACCCCCTCGGAGCCCAATTGACCGGTCATATGGAATGGGCAGTTTTCTGCCATTGGGCACTGATACTAACCGAACAGAGCGGCCAAGGTGGCGGCCGGGAAGGGAGAGGGGAGAGGGGGATCGCGACCACGTTGACGGCCAGAAAAGGAGACCGCCTTCGGCCCCTCAGGGCCGCGCCGGGCTCCACCGTTCGTTCGGCGGATGTTGTCAAGGGAGGGGGACCCCTCTGGACCCTCCCCCCTCCCCCTCCCCTGGAAAGGTGAGATACACGTCATATCATGTCCACAATAAACTTTCTGACTTACAGCACCCACGTTCTTTATATGTCAGGTACATGCAACGCGTCGGGCGGGTTTCCGGGAATTGTGACGAGTAACAAGACTTTTTTTTTTCTTTTTCTTTTCTTTTCAGTATAGCTTCCTTAGTTAGGCCGAATTGAGCTTTTCACCAGAGCTAAGTTAATGCATAGAACCTATTTGAGTTGTGTTTTTGCCCTTTCCGGAAGAGAAATGAATTGTTAGAGAAGTTTGGTTTCGATTGCGAGTCTATAATAGTCTAATAGTATAGCCCCTTGAGTCTTTATATAGAAACTCGTACCACCTTTACTGTCTTTTAGGTTCAATGCTGTTATTACTCCATGCCTGTATGGAGACCAACGTCTAGGTTAGATGTACCGAGACAGACAACACATTACTATAGTTACCTACCATGGTACCATTGATAGTCTCTTCAATGTCTCTACCACTTTAACCCCCCTGCCCTTTTCCGATCGTAAATGTATGTATAATCGTATCTGGATTAGAGGAATCAAGCGACTAGTTATAGTATGTACAAAATACTAAGGTTAGGATCGTTAGGTAGGCAGGTATGGCATGTACAGTAGGTAGGTAACATTCAAGTTGTGGGGTATGTGACTTTTCCGTGGATCTCGAGTATACCCAATCCCAATACGAACACGCCCCCCCCTGGCTTTATTGTAGGGAGGTATAGGTAGGTTATCTACTTTACCTACATTAACTCATACATATGCGCCTAATTTACTACGCGTGATGCGTACATGACATCCCGCGCTTCTCGTCCATAGCCAAAAGATGAAAAAAGGTTCTTAGAAGCTCTACAGAAAACTTCTGTGGATCTCTGCCGTCTTCAACCAAATCTGTGTACGGTACCTATATCGGGACACGGCAGGCAGACGGACGTTAAAATATTACCTAGTGGGACGAAAGCGTAACATCTATACCTACATGTATATAAAGAGCCTAATTTGACGCTGCGTACATACATGCCTACATGCCTACATGCCTACATGCCTACATAATATATACATATACATATATCGCGGATCTTGGGTCATCTAGTCCCGCTCTCGTGCGGTATTCTGCAACTCATTACGATCTGAATTTAGCATTTTCCAGCTGGTGGATTTTTGGTTACCAGGTTATGTTGGTACCTATAGGTAACCTACATAAGCCTTAATAGGTCCCCTAGATGTCTTGGGATGGCACAGTAAGTTCACACGGACCAGGGGTATTCTCTATACCAAGCACCTAACAGGCACTCCAAGGGTTACAGTAGGCAAAGGAATAATTGATACATACATAGAATAGAGTCAGGTTACTACTACTACCTAAGCAATTCCATGTCCGGCTTTCCCTCGGACTACTAGGTATCCTTCGAGTCAACTCATGCTGGGTAGGTATCTCTGTCTTGGTCTCAGAATGGGCTCACGCCTAGTGCTTTCTAGGTATGCAAATCGTTCGAAAATACTACTTTCTTCCAAGAAAAATAAAAATAAACAAAAAAGTCCTACGAAGTATAATAGAATATAGCCGAATACTGAGCTCGCTGAGATGGATTTATTTAGACGCGCTCATTGGATAGGTAAGTTCAAGTTGCTAACGATTTCTTACCAACCACCAACCACCAACTAGTTACATGTGTATGTAAGAACGATACCGCTAAACACCGTAATCAATTATAGAAATGGGCAATCCGGACACTGTGATCACCGGGCGGCATTCATTGAGAGTCCGTGCATTAAGTAGCTTAAATAGTTTGGATGTGCTTAGCTAAACATAAATCCTTTAACCTTGTATATATATACGTAGGATGTACATGTGAATTGACAGTCAAAGTGGAAATACCTGCCCTAAGCCTACATGATGTTGATAATACGTGTAGGGCAGCTGCAGGGTACAGGTATGTTACTTACAAGTATCTAGAATTTAGATATATACAAGCTGGAGATAAATGTGGATAGACCTATATATTAAAAAGATAAGATTTAAGGATCAAATTTTGCTACTAAAATATTCTTAAATACATACGGTGGCCCAATAAGACAGCTGTGCCAAAATGAAAATAATGATTAAGTTTATTCCGAATTTAATAGGCAGTCCCACCTTTTAAGAAAGAAAGGCATGTATATCGGTACTTTAGCTAGTTATATTGGATAATTGAATAGTATTTTCTTAAAAATGTTATATTTTTTACCCGTATGGTTATGTGACTTAGTCATGTGACATGGCTATATAAGGTTATGTAATAACTATTCCCACATGGATAGTTTTCTGAAACATATAGCTACATATATGCAACCGGTATCAATCAAAAGATCATTTAATTACGGATTGAATGATGTAGGTTGCATACTGGTGCGATATCTGGTTGAAAGGTTATTCAGGTAGATATATCGTGGGTCATCACGTGATACCCCTTAGCGTGACCTCCAGGCGGCTCCAAAGGCTCCTAGCGTGGCTCCAAGGGCTCTTACTATGGCTCTAGGGGTGATCACGTGCCGTCCGGCCTGCCACCTACATTTGATTAACTTTGCAACCACGTATCGCCTCAATTCGAGACCTATATCAATCAATTCGTAATTGAATGCACTTTCAATTGGATTTGGTTGCATATATGTAGCTATATGTATCAGAAAAATATTCAACATAAGAGGCTAGACCTTTGATTAATACGAAATGTGGTAGATAGGTAAGGGATATGTGGCTAGGGGATATGTGGCTAGGGGATATGTGGCTAGGGTATATGTGGCTAAGAAGTGTGTGTAACAAGTAGGTAACTAGCTTAGTGCCTTTTACGCTTATTAATAAAAGTCACGTTTAAATCATAAATGCATCGTACATGCAAGTTATTAGGTATGTAGGAAAAGGGGATATAGCCAGTACTTAGCTTACTATATAAAGTAGTATCGTAGCTCAAGTACTTTTTATGCAAGCTGTACACGTATATGACAATATTTACTTATCCATAAGCCTCTCTAAGTACAATCCACTCTTTTCACGTACTCGTAGCACTGTTCTTAATTTCTAAATTCGGAATAGTCAATCTTAATTTTTGATTTTAGCACAGATGTCTTATTGGGCTACCATAATACATAACCACAATGTTTTGCATTTTTCTTTTTGGCGTACCTGCCACCATCTACTAGGGGGGAACAATAATGCTTATCTTAAACACCTCTAGGCTTTGTTTTAACAACGCTAATAAGCTCTAATATAAACGTTTTTAAACCACACAACCATTTAATGAGTATTAAAGATAGGTGACGCTATATTAAAATAGTAATAAAATGCTAAAAATATAGTCTTTTAAAGTAAGGGGTTAATCGGATAAATAAGGTATAATACATCTTATATAAGAGGTAATAAAATGAGTTATAATAGCTAGTAAATTGTGGGCTTTTTAAATTAAATAAATGGTTTTTAGATTTTTTAATTTAAATAAATTAATTATGGATTTTTTAATTAAATAACTTTTAAATAAACGGCTTTTAAAATAAATAACTTTTAAATAAACGTTAACTTTTAAAATAAAGCTTTTAATTAATAATAACGTTTTAATTAATAAAAGAATTAAAATAATTTTAAAAATAATAAATGATGGGACTCAAAAGGTCAATCAATCAATCAGTCAATAGAGAATATAGAAGAGAAGAAGAGAGCTGAGCTCCCAGCGTCTCAGGCTGGCTATATATACACAGATAAGGTTCAGCAAGCTGTGGCAGCAGCAACCATGGGGATGCCCACATGGCAGTAGCCATGGATAGCCACGGGAGTGGCTATCCACGTCCATGGCCACATCCACGTCCATGACCATGTCCTAACATCACCCCCCTTTCAATGGAAAGGATAACGTCCACGTTATCCACACCCAATACATACACACATGTGTGTTGATCCCTGATACTAATCTCTAAGCTGACCCGTGCTGCTTCAACAAATGGAAGCGACTCCAGACAGTCCTCCTAGCGGGATACATGTGCTTAAGCCCTAGGTGGTTGGTGTGGTGTTAGGTTGCCTGAGGCTCTGCCGATGGCCTGTGCGTTGAGGCTCTATTGCGGCTCTGCTGATATATAGGGATAAAGATATAAGGGGAATAGTGTTTCCAAGACAACCATGTTGAATGGTTGTGTTGGAGGGTCTCGTCGGCTGAGGGGACCGAGAATTGAAGGATCTCGTCGGTTGGAGGGACCGAGAATTGAAGTAATAAGGATGGTTCCAGCCACGAACGTCTCCTGGCCAGGGAGAGCATTCGTTGCGCTCGGTGGGTGTCGGACCGGCGCCGGATATGCTGAAACAGATTGATATATCTATGGGGGTCGGTCGGATTGAAGAGAGGTAGTTGGACTGCAATGGATAAATGATATAAGAGTTGTCCCAGGTGCGTAGGTATCCATATAGCAATGGATAAGAGATATGGTCAATTAATAAGGATGTGGTCAATGAATAAGAATAGGACATGAATAGGGATATGGTCAATGAATAAGGATGGGCAAATAGGGATATGGTCAATGGATAAGGATGGGGTCATGGTTGGTCCATGATTAAAGATATGGTCGATGGATAAGGATGAGATCAATGAATAACAATATGGTCAATGAATAAGGATGGGGTCCATGGTTGAATAACGATATGGTCAATGAATAAGGATGGGGTTATGGTTGGTCCATGATTAAAGATATGGTCGATGGATAAAGATGGGATCCATGGTTGATCAATGAATAAGGATGAGGTCCATGGTTGGGCAATCAATAACGATATGGGCAATGGATAAGGATGGGGTTGTTGATTGACCCTTCAACAACCAAAAGGTCTGAGGATTTTCTAGGTGAGCATATTGCTCACCCTTCGGATGAACCGGGATGGTATGGGGGTTGGAGGTCTTCCAACCGTAGCAAGAGATGCTACCAGATGATGGGACTCAAAAGGTCAATCAATCAATCAGTCAATAGAGAATATAGAAGAGAAGAAGAGAGCTGAGCTCCCAGCGTCTCAGGCTGGCTATATATACACAGATAAGGTTCAGCAAGCTGTGGCAGCAGCAACCATGGGGATGCCCACATGGCAGTAGCCATGGATAGCCACGGGAGTGGCTATCCACGTCCATGGCCACATCCACGTCCATGACCATGTCCTAACAATAAAGGTTTTAATTATTAAAAAAAAACTAAAAACTAAAAATAAGGCTATTATTATAATTCTTCCGGTAAGGGGTTACTAAATAAATATAGGTAAACTTATATATTAAAAGGATAAGATTTAAAAATCAAACCTTGCTATTAAAATGTTTTTAAATATATAACCATAGTGTTTTGCATTTTCCTCTTTGGCGTATCTGCCACCATCTGCTGGATGTCAGATGGTGGGGGATATTTATGTACATAGATCATGTACATGTGTACTAGGTATACTATTAGTAGTACCAGTTGACCTACATGTAGTACTGTACCATGGTTGAGTTCCAATGTTGGCTTGTGACGAACGCTTGAAACACGATTCGTACCAGTCCAACCTTAGAAGAACCATAAACCACAACCACTGCCACAACTGTCAACCACACAACCACAACCACTTCCTTTACCACTACCTGCTCCACCTGTAGACCAGACCACCATTCGTCACTCTCACCTAGCTCACCAACATCTCGAATTCAATTTCATCTAATCCACCAATTTTATACCGCCTATTATTTGGCCTTTTATGTGTATCAGTGATCTTTTTTTGTCAGCCCCTCCAGGCACATTTTTTGTGACTGCTCATTTCCAACTACTGTACCTTCGTAGAGAAAGAGACTGAAAGAGTCCAGCCTTGATGGCCGCCTTCAGTGCCACCTTGTCTTGCACGAACCTCGACCGATTAAGCGGCCACTACATCGCATCGCATACAGTGTGCTATTAACCCTTAACCCTTAACCCTTAACCCGCGTCATATTGCTATCATATCTACGCGACCCTACTTTACTTTATTGATGAAGGATCTTGTACATACATAAGTCACGAGCTCAAACTAGTTGGGAATAGCTTCCTGGGCACTGCCAGCCCCATTCCATATTGAGCCTTTCCCAAGGTTATAAACATACCTAAACATACATACATATCTACTCCTAGCCTACCTACATAACAGCAAGGGACCCAACCTCACCGGGTGCAAGCAGATACCCACGCAACAACTCAGCTGTGCTGCTTTTTAACACACACTCCTGCCTAATACTCACCCTGGCGATTGGCCACTCGGGGAACGCGGATCTTGTCGAGTTGGCATACAAGTTGGCATACAAGTTGGCATACGGTGCTGTGACTGATATTCACCATCACACCTTGCTGTCATCCTACGGCCTATACTCACCCACTATCTCACCGAGGACAACGCACATTGACCTTGTCGTACAGTATTACACCTATCGTCGTATACCTGACTCTACACTGTGGTCACCTGACTAATAATATCCATTCTATCCATACTACCATTCCATCACCATTGACACCTAGGTAGTAGCCCCGCGTATTGCTGTCTTTGCTGTCTTCGCTGCCTGCTAAACTGCAAACATGTCGGCTCGCCAAATCCCAGAGGAAGCGGGCGACTTGCAACAGCAGCAGCTTCTCACCAAAGCCCGCGATCTGACCTTAGTCACGTCGCGTCACGCCATGCCGCATACATCCTCTCTAGCTGTTGCCTCGTCGTCGGTTGCCGAGAGTGGCGATGCTACCCCATGGGAGCCGGCCTTGCGAACGGCCACCATGCTTGATGCCCAACCAAATTCCCTGGTTACGGACTTTTCAGATCCCGACCATATGGAAATTTACTCTACTATGCTTCAGGATGAGCAGCGGCCAGCCGCGGGTCAATCTGTTATTGCTTCATGCCCGTCACTAGATGCGGTGCCCTCGTCGGGAGCATCTCCGCCATCGCCGGCTGCGTCATCTTCTTCCAGTAAAAGTCCACAAAGGGAAAGAGCGGCAGAAATCGTGATGACGGGACGGTCCATCTTGTTGCGCTGGGGGTGGGACTCATTGAGTTTAGACGGACTGCCGAATGAGATCCTGACGCATATACTCACCTTCCTAGACGTGAGCGATCTGCTGTCCACTTCCAGGGTATGTGTACTTTGACCTATACCATCTTTGGGTTAAGAAAGCCGAGTTCGGTTCTCATGATTAGGACTTTATTCGCGTTACACGGCCTGGTTTTTGTTTGCACACACATGTAACATGATCATGAGCCATTATTCTCGCACTTGCATTTATCCCATGAGAGCTCAGAACCAGAAACTCAGATCCGTGTTGATCTCGGCCTAATACACCCTCTCCTGATTAACCCCCTTCTTATTCCCTGCATTATCAACTCTCCTAAATGATATGACGCGTCGTTGATCATACTATGCTAACCGTAACGATAGATTAACCATCACTTTAGGACTCTGTCCTTACACCCCATCGTGCACGCCCTTCGTCTACGGCGCGCCCGTCTCTCCCTTCCACCCCTCTTAGCTTCCCCCTCTCGACCGACGCTCACAGAGTTGATCGCTCGGCACATCTTCCTAACGCACACAACGCAGATTTCGCGGCGGCTTGCGCGTAATCTGGTTGCCATCCGACTTTCACGTCGGCTGCCACTGCGACCTTCTGCCGAGTCGCTTGTGCAGCGTGGCGTGCTGCCACCCGAAGTCGTCGAGGGCAGCGTAGCCCCTGGCCTGGTCGCTAAGAAGCGTGCCGTCGAAAAGGAGAAGCTGAAGGACGGCCTCCGTCGCTGGGTCGGCGCTGTCTGGCGCGGCGAGGTTAGAGAGCGAAGTGAGGGTGTCAAGAAGTGGGAAGAGCACGCTGGCGTTGGTAGAGTGTGGCGACTGAGGCGATTCTGGGAACGGGTAGGGAGAGATGGCCCCGGACAGGCGCCAGGGGTGGCGTGAAGACTATCTGATTTGTCTCTAGACGGCTTGGTCCCCTCGTTGTTTGATTTTTATCTTATGACGTATGATGGATGATTGTTCGTCAATCATGGCAAAACAGTACTATGAGGTTGGATTGACGAATGGATTAATGATTGATGAAGACTGTAACGGTTGGCTAACAGGACGATTTATTTATGACAGACCAACCCTGGCTCTGCTTGGCCTTGCTAAGCATTCAAGGTTATGTTTAAATGCTGAAGCCAGATGACTTCGAACGATCTATGGTAATTATGTATATGGACTCGGTGTACCGGTGGGATATCTGTGTTTTGGGGGAGGGTTATTCTTCTCTCAATCTTTTTTCATCTAGGGATCTCAATTCGCCTATCGTACAATAAGATAGTACCTATGACAGGAAGTAATCGGTAGTATGCTGAATACCTAACTCGCAAATGCAAATGCAAGTGTGATGTGTACCTCCCCCTTTTTTTTCCCCCTTCCCCCTTTTGTTTAACCAGCTAACCACCTATGTAACCCCCTATAGAATTTTGTTTGTGGGCAGCAAAGCAAGACTGAAGAACGCCGCCCCCTATGCAGATATTAAGAATTCCGATTTCTGTTTCGTCGGGTCTAGTTTAGTTCAGGGCTGCCCTGTGCAAGACGAGTCTGATGATATTATGGTGTGGGTGGGTGGGTGTATGTTGCCATCAGACTTGTCTTCTCTTCTCTACTCCTACTTCTTCTCATCCCTGCCTGCCTGCCCGCCTGCTTCCGAGAGGAAATTTCCTTCTCTCTCCTGGTCTCCTGGGTTACTTTCTCTACTATATATGTGTACGCGTTCTGGTCCATTGTCGTTGTTCGTTACTTCTTTCTTTCTGTACGCCTTTTGTCTTCACCGGAACCGGAAGGCATCCCAATCATCCTCATCCTCGTCATCATCGGAGTCGTTATCGGCGGAGTTGTTGTCGTTGTTGTTGCTGTTGCTGTTGTCCACGCCACTCTTCTTGTCCGTATCTGCGTCCGCGTCTGCGTCTGCGCCCAACGGTGAGCCCTTAGCCATCACGATGTCAGAGGAGGCGGATGCGTTGCTGGATGTTCTCGTGTTGTTGATGTTATTGTCGCCATTATCGTTATTGCCGTTGCCGTTAACACCCTCATCACCACCCACCACAGCACTTCCTCTGCGCCCCTTCCTCCCCTTCCCCCCCTTCCTCAGCGCCTCCCTTCGCTCCTTTAACCGCCGCACGCGGCTCTCGAGCTCCTCCATCTCCTCGAACTCGGCCTCCAGAGCGCGGGTGGCGTCCTCGCGCTCGTCGGCTATCTCGCCGTCGAGCAGCAGGTGCTTGCGGCGCTCGTTTTCTTCTTCTCGCGACTTGGCGGCGAGCTGGGCGGTGGAGAGGGCGGGGGCGGAGATGATGGCGTCGGAGGTGTAGGGGTTGGTGTTGGTGCTGGTGTTGGTGGGGGTCACGGGGGTGGCGACGACTTCGGCTTCGAAGGCGGCCCATTCTGCTTCGTCTACGGCTGCTGCTGCTGTCTGTGTGTTGGTGGTAGAGGTGGATATGGGGAGGCTTGTCGCTGCGGCGGATGAGGGTAGCGTGGCGCTGGTGGGCGGTGTGCTGTTCGTGTCGGAGCCCATGAGCGGTGAGCGGCGGCCGACATGCGCGGCTTTGGGCGTCGAGGTGGCGGAGTTGGAGCCCCCGGCGGCTGGGGTGGCGGGCCGCGACGGTATCGCGATCTCGACGCCGTGGCCGGGCGGGTTGGACGTCCGTCTCGAGAGCTCAGGGGGCGTCTGCCGGTTCTCGCTGCTGCCGTGGTTCGACGCCGCCATGTCTGTTCTGCTCCGCTTCGTCCGTATCGTGTCCTCTGCATCGTCGTCGTCGGCCTCGGACGTCGAGTCGTCGAGCTTGCGTTTGCCCCCGTTGTCGTTGTCGCTCCTATCTACTAGCTGCGGCTGCGAGTGGTTCTGGAGCCGCTTCGTGTGGCTCGGGCCTCGGATGTGACCTTCCCACAGAGCGTCGGACTTGATGGGCTCGTGGCATAGCTTGCACAGCAGCTTGCCGGCGTCCGAGTACGCGGCGTAGGGGTGCTTGATGCGGTTCTCGGCGCGGTGAGCGCGCAGGAGAGCACGGGCGTCTGCCATTGTGGGCGGGTGATTATTATTGTTGTTGTTGTTGTTGGGTGTGTGGAAGGGGAAAAGGTAATAGATTTTACCTAAGGTAAGAAGTCAAGAGTAAATTAATTGGTTGAATTTCGATATAGTGAGGTTTTTGAATTAAAGGAGGTATGGGTTTGTTTAGAAATGGATGTCACATGAAGTTTTAAAGAATCGTCATGGTGACGATAGTGTGGCTGCTGTTTTAGAAAACGAATCAATTAGCTTCTGTGAGACTGGGCCCAGTTACACTAACCTAGTCTGTTGAGAGCCGTGGACTTCAGCAAGATGCCGCACGGTTCAAGGGTTGTTTTAAAGATTCATCAGCCACAGCTACAAAGCTCGGGTGCCCCGCACCTTAACATTTTCCCCAATTCCCAATTGGAGCTTCCTATTGCGCTAATTGCGCTAATTGCGGAGTAAGTGCAGGGGCAGCTCTCGGGCTTCTTATCGATAACTAGCGAGCATCGTTTCTGGAAGCTTGTTGGAATCCGGCGAACGCTTTAAACTTGGACTTAGCATTCAACCAACTCCTCAATCCATCAACCTTGCATAGTAGCATACATGCTTACTTACTTGGTTACATGCTACAATTTATTTAAACCGACTGTCGATTCAAGCAAAGCACATCTGACCATACAACTTACAATTTTATCACTCCGATACATGTTATGGAGGAGGAACAGCCTCAAGTCTCCTCCACCTGGCCCCCGCCGCCTCCCTTCTGGCGCGACTTCAAGCCTGAAAGCCTCGCGCGAATAGACGAGCTACGGAAGCAACAGGCAGAAATCGAAGGCGCCACAGATGCATCCAAAATCCGTCTACGAGGCCTCCCGCGCGAGCTTCGCAATCTTCAGCCGCCGATAGAACCAGCAGACGGGGTATGGAGAGTGTTTGGTGATACATACAGACTGAAGGACGAGCTCCCGAAACTCGAGGATGTAGATGTTAGACGCTTATTCCCAGACGCGGAGGACAGGGATCCTAATGGAGCACACATCGACCGCGCTCTAATATTAAAGAGGATAGCCAAGTCACTACTGCTGAACTTTTTGGAACTTGTCGGGATTATGTCTATTAATGCTGATGCCGTACGCTGTCGCATCTTTACCAATACTACTTTGAAGGCCATCTAACTGACTGGGATATAACATAGGCTGCTGAGAAGATTCGCGACCTGGGCGACCTGTTCCTAAACTTCCACCATCTTATCAACGAGTACCGACCACATCAGGCGCGAGAGTCGCTCATCTCCATAATGCAGGCGCAGCTAGACCGCACGCGAGCCGAGACAAATGCGATTCGAGATGCCAAAGATAAAGCCGAGCGGATTATGGAAGGGCTGGGAAGCCTTAAGATCAAAGAAGATATCGACAGCTTACTGAAGAAACCCGAGAAGCCGCCGGCGTGGATAACGTCGAACAACTTGTGGGCAGCGACCGAGGAAGACCTCTAGAAGGGGGAAAAATGCGTAATAGCCCTAGGTAACGCTAACTACGGAATCTTGATCTATTGCTTGAGACAATATGCGGTGGCTACTACTGGTGTGGCAACTTTTTGAAGGCAATTAAAAATGATACCCCTTGGGTTTGGGATGCGATGAATAGGCTAGGCCTTGGACGAGTGGCGCGAACACATATCTCTTAGACTATCACAGTAGGATTCACGCCAGGATTGTATTGTATTGACAAGCAAAAAAATAGTGCGCGCAGGCTAGGTACAACAAACACCGAATCAATAATAGAATTGATGAACTCCTCCTCCTCCTCCTCGTAAAATCGTGCGTTCGTATACCATTGTCATTGAACTTAAAAAGGTGCCCACCTTCTTCCTTCTTCTCAGGCTGCTCACATCACCGTGCAGGGAATGGGGATGCAGCAGCACTCGAAGTCACCGCAGTCGATGCATTTCGTCTTGCCGCCTGTCGCTTCGGCGGGCTTGATGATGCTCTCGAAGGTCGAGGACGCGGCGCTGCCCGGGCCGTTTCGGTTGACGAGGTGGGAGTGCGATGAGCCACAGGCCATTTTTGCGGTTGGTTTGTTTTTGTTTTTGTTTTTGTTGGGTTTTGGTTTGGTGGTGTATTGGAACTTTAACTATGTTAATTAGGTACCTTCTTATTTTTGGGCGGTAGGTGATGAATCGGGAGCTAAATACTTACTTACGCGTTCTTATGGCGCTTCGGTCTAGTGCGATATAATGTTTTTAGTTTATTTTCTTTGGGGAGGTTAGGTTAATGGTGAGAAGGTTCAAGACTGGTCGACGCTTATGCCTTTTATATACCTATCGTACTACTAGTACTATGCAGTAGTACATGACATGGTTGGTAGGGGAAGGCTGTGCCTAAACTAACACTGGAAAGTGCCGGTTTCACGCTTTCCAAGGCTAGCTGAGCATCCATGCGTGAAAGTTGAGGCCCAATCAGGACAAAGGCCAAGAAGAGCAGCGTCGTCATAGATGTGGGTAGGCTAGCGAGGTGAAGTGATCAATGTTACTATGCACTCGTTATGTTACAGCAGTCATTTAAAACAGAACAACTTTTTATATTCACGATCTTAATCACCTCCTATCAACCTGGAATATAAATGGCCCTTTAAAATCTATTCAGAAAAACATTTGGTATTAGCATGTATCTAAGGACATAACTTTTACTTATCACTTCGCTTTCTGTTGGAATACCACTGAAGGAGAATGAGGAATATGGGTTAGTCATACAGTGATTAGTAATGCGTGATCACGTGACGTGATTACGCATTTAAGTAGATTCATTTAGATAGCCATTTACAATAGTCTTCTCTTGCTCCTTAGATATTAATACAGTTATACACCACGTGTTTGGTATCCCACCCAGCGCTGCTGCAACGCAGCAGCGTATACATTACTACCTACCATTGTATTGCAATACGTGATATATTCGGTAGACCTTGTCCACCGACACTGATCAGTAGTCGACCCGACAAGTTGACTACAGAACAGCAAGGTATTCAGAGGAAGGATATCGGATAGGCCAAGCAGTGAACCCTTCAATGGCAACTCACTGTAAGGAAACTATAAGGCATCCGGACAAGAAGAGATGAAGAGACACAACCCTACCGGCCTCAAAGCCCAAGTAGGATTGTGTGGACTACATGCTAATATCAAGATCTTAGGACCGTTGAACGTCAAAGCTTCACAGCTGCGAAACTACTATACGGTTATAGGATCGCGTCCATCAACGCACGAAGGAACCTTCAACCAACACTACTATCCGAGATTTGAACAAGTCTTAGGACCGTTGAACTTTGCAGTTCTACAACTGCGAAACTACTATACGGTTATAGGAGGAGATCATCTCATAGAAGAGTTGTTCGAAGACCTTCAACCAACACTACTATTCGAGATTCGAACAAGTCTTAGGACCGTTGAACGTTGCAGACCCACCATTGCAAAACTACTATACGGTTATAGGAGCAAGATCATCTCATAGAAGAGTTGTTCAACAACCTCTGTATCATTCACCCAACAACTGCCGAACCTACGTGGCATCGAGAACCATTCGAAAACCTGATTACAGACCCAACTACACCTTCGCCAACACACTGAAGCGCAAACCTCCCCAGCTTCGACCCACACAGCCCTTGAAAAGACAAACACAATCTCCTTTCCCCCTTACATTCTTATTCCAAGATTGTTGACCATCCCTATATTCATTTCGAATTTTCATCCCTATATCCAGGGAATTGTTTCACATTCTACGATACCCTCGTCTAATAGCATTGCGAGCTATTGGTGATAGCGTCTTCCTATTGCCCCAGCATTGCCCCTAACTCAAGCGCCATATTTACCGCCATCTAGCGCGCTCCAGCAATTACCTAATGCTGGCATACCGCTATTTCCAAGGCATGGCGAAAAACAAGATATGGCAACCCTCGGCACCGAACCACGGGAGTCACCAGACGGCTAATCCTTGAAGACGATGGAATTATTCGGAGACGAAGGCGTAGGAACATAAAGACGGCACAGAGCCAACCTACATGGCGAAGGGCAAATTACCAGCATACGTCTCATGACTAACTTCACCAACCACGTACCTCTGTTATTTTCTATCACTTACTTTCAACCGTACTCAGTACTACGCAATCCCACAAAATGGCAAACCCGGACCAGACCTGGCAACATTACATCAGCGAAGAACATGAAGGCAACGAATTCGACGTGGATAACCCACCCTTTACCAGGGCAGTGACGGATAGTTATATTGCCGAATGCTTCTCGGGATATGATGACCAACTTATAGACGAACCCCTTTGGGATACCTTCCGCAACGACTTCGAAGGATGGACACTCGTTCACTTTAGAGCATCAAATCGTAACCTCCGCACAAGGGCCATCAAGCACTTAAACGACCACGGTATATACAGCTCAGATCGCGGAAACAGCGCTACGCGGCTAGTTGAGATCCTAACCGCCGAGGAATTTCCAAGGTACCCCGAAGAAGAAGCCAGACAAGTTGGAGAGATCAACCCCGACTTCATCTCAAGGAGCAACCCATTTTTCACGGCAAAACTACCCAAAATTATACCGCCTGAGGAGCCACCTACCCCGACTGAACCCGAACAAGCTCCGGTTCAGGATCAACAGACTAATCCCCCTGAACCGCCACACGAACCCAACGTAGTCCCATCGATCGAGATTCCACACAGAACAACACCCCCGACCCAGCATCCCAGGCAGGCGACGCAGGCACAGTCCCAGACCCCGTCCACACAAGACAACCGCTTCCCCACCCCAGTACCCGCAACCGAGACTGCAATGAATAACCTCAGAGCCGACAATCCGCGTCCAACCTACGGCGAGTTCAATCAGAGGAGCATACAAGGCCCCTCCTTAGACCCACCACCCGGCTCCCGATTACCCCTGCCATACAACCAGTCACCGTTCCCTTCACAGATGATGCACAACCAAACAATGCCTCCCCCAGACAGACAACCCCAATACCAGCCCTATAGCGGACCCAGTGCTCCCACTATGTCCTCACCCCGAGCACTCGCGGATCTAGCGAGGATGTACACAAACGAGGACTCCAAGTTTGGCGGAGACAAGTATGACATCTTGGACGAAAAACTGAAGATTTTCAAGGATATGTGCAGACGAGCCAATGTGCAAGCTCACCAGTACCGCGACGCATACTCGACAATGCTAAAGGGACGAGCACTAATGTTCTACTTCAACTACCTAGCCGAGAAGGACCTTACATTCGAGGAGATGGTGATCCGAACGAAAAACTTCTACCACACGACAGAGAATCAACAAATGTATATGTCCGAATGGAGGAGTACAACCATCCACACCGTAATGAGGGAGAACCCCGACGCCGACATTGTCACATGCCTGGAAAAGCTTATCGAACAAATCCAGAGAATACACAAAGGCTTATCAATCAATTACCTCGAAGACGTTAACCTGCGAGAAGGAATGATAAGCGCGGTACAAGGACACCCGGCATTCGCTGGCGTACTGCTACGGCCCGCAGACACCTTTGAAAGCGTCTGTTCCGACCTGCGGAGCGCCGCTGGCAATTCACTGCGATGCAGGGCGTATACAATGCACAACGCTGCGACTGATAGTCAGTATTGGGTTGATCGCACCTACCGAAGCACCAATCGAGGCAGAGGTTTTGTGCCCAACCGCAGGAACTTTACACCAGGTAAAAAGTCGGATAGCCGACGCGGCACCAGCAGCGACCGCTCGAAGAAGTGCTTTGTATGTGGCAAAGCAGGGTGTTGGTCTACTAAACACCCAATGTCTGAAAGGAGAAGCAACCGCTCTAGCTATCGCCGCTTTGTCCAAGCACAAGGATATGAAGACAACGATGACGACTTTGCTGCATTCCTCATCGACTACGAAGGAATAGAGACAGTCCCCACTGAGTCAGGGGACGAAGCAGACACTGACTACGATACATGGATAGCGCAGCAAGACCAGAACGAGCAGGAACCGGAAGGAACCTCTCAATACATGACGGCATATGGCACAGTAAATGGTGAAGAGATTGCCACCATCCTGGCCAACCAATCAACGTACCATGCATTTACCGGCTCCAACACATTTGGCAATGGGCTGGATCACCTACCGGATCCCGTGAGGAAATCCCACAGCAGCCCTTGCATGTTCTACCTCGAGGACCGATACTCGTCGACCTTCCAAGGTATCATGCCAGACACAGGAGCCGCTGGAGTATCTACAGGAGGCCAGCAGCAATTTATGGCGCTCCAACGCATGCACCCAGAAGTGACCCTCGATACATCCACAGCAGGGAACCACAGCGTCCGCTTTGGTGATAACCCAGAGCAACACAATATCGGCACGGCAAATGTATCAACACCATTTGGAGTAATCCCATTCCAAATTGTACCGGCCAACACCCCTTTCCTAATGTGCCTCCGAGACATGGATCGGATGCATGTCTTTCTCAATAACGTCGACAACGTCCTTGTCCACGAAGAGAAAGAGTACCCAATTGTGAGGAAATGGGGACATCCCTGGTACCTATTTGACGACAAGGAACGAAGCCTCGCATACTGTCATTTAACAGAAGGAGAACTACGACAGATCCACCGACGATTCGGACACCCCGCGGCGGAGCGGCTACACAACGTCCTCACGAAGGCAGGATACGACAATATTGATGCGAAGGTAATCGAGAACATCAATAAGTTCTGCCACCAGTGCCAACTACATAGCCCGACACCAGGACGATTCAAGTTCACGGTGAAGGACGATGTCGACTTCAACCATAGCATCTACGTCGACGTGATGTATATCCACAACAAGCCGGTCCTTCACGTAGTCGACAAAGCCACCTCCTTCCAAGCAGCCAAGTTCATGAAGGACATAACGGCCAGACATACATGGAATGTACTTAGGATGGCCTGGATCGATACCTATCTAGGACCACCTGACAACATGGTATTTGATGCTGGCAAGAACTTCACCTCCCAAGAGTTCACCAGCAACGCAAGGGCAATGTCAATTACTGTTGAAGAAGTCCCCGTCGAGGCTCATAACTCAATCGGTAAAGTTGAACGCTATCATGGACCACTCCGACGTGCCTACGAGGTAATCTCGGGTGACCTGCAAGGCACCGAGGCAGATGAAGCATCTATCCTACAGATGGCAGTCAAGGCGGTCAATGACACAGCTGGCCCCGATGGACTTGTACCTACCCTCCTCGTGTTTGGAGCGTACCCACGCCTTGCCGACAGTACACCACCCGCACCCTCGTTGACAGCCCGTGCAGCAGCAATAAAGAAGGCAATGCAGATCGTGCGAAGGCTGAAGGCAAATCGACAAGTTAAAGAGGCCCTCGGGATGAGAAATGGCCCCTCGACCATCGACACCCTTAACCTCCCGCTACAATCAGAAGTGCGAGTATACAGGGAAAACAGAGGATGGACGGGCCCCCATACACTCATTGCACGACAAGGAGAGACATGCACGGTAGACGTCAACGGCAAGCTCACCAACTTTAGGACAACGATTGTCAAACCGTACCTACGCGATGAGAACACGGAGACGCCGATGGCATATGACAGTGAATCTGGTTCAGACAGCGACGGACAGAACGACGAATACGTTCCGACTCTTGAGGACATTCCCCCGACTCCACAACGTCGCGGACGTGGACGACCGAAGGGAAGTAAGAACAAGGCCCAGCATGTTACGTTTGGAAAAGTGTCCTACATCACAACCAAGGAGGCCGCTGATGCGGAACTGGCAATTCAACTCAGGAAGGAAGGAAAAATAACTACACCTGGGGAACCGTTCGAAGCATCAGATGCACAAGAGATTGACTCTCTTATTGAACGCGGTGTTTTCCAATTCGAAAGGTATGATGAGCGCCGGCATGGAGGGAACAGGTTGTTCAACGCTAGGATCGTAAGGGAGATCAAGGGCAAGACAACAACGCCTTACGAGAAGTCGCGGTTGGTCATTCAAGGCCACAACGACGCTGGCAAGGACTTTGTTTTGACTCAATCCCCCACGATCCAACGATCAAGCCAACGAATCATCGTCGCCCTGGCGCCCGCACTAGTAAAGGAAGGTATGAAGCTATGGCTTCGAGACATCACCCAGGCCTACACACAGTCAAACACAACGCTGAACCGCACCATCCTCGCAAAGCTCCCTCCGCAGATCGTACACAAGTACCCCAAGGGAACGATCATGAAGGTAATCAAACCATTGTACGGTATAGCCGAAGCAGGAACCCACTGGTGGGCAACATACTTCAAACACCACCGGGAAAACCTGCGGATGATAACCTCTACGTACGACCCGTGCTTACTGGTAACCGAATCCGACCAACGATTCGGCCTCATTGGCATGCAGACAGACGATACACTGGGACTATCAGACGATGCGTTCAGTAAGCTTGAAGAGGACGAACTCAAGAAGGCGGCATTCACTGCGAAACCCAAGACCTATCTCACACCAAGTGAACCACTACTGTTCAATGGTTGCACGCTCTCTATAGAAGAAAAAGGATCCCTTCATCTTCAACAGAAAGCACAAGGAACGAAGATAGAGCTTATTGAGCACAACCCAAAGGATGCGAAGCAGCAGTATGTGCAGCAACGCGCCCGAGGTGCCTATATCGCCTCAATTTGCCAGCCAGAGGCTACGTTTGATCTGTCCGAGGCTGCACAGCACCCGGACCCTGATAAGGAGGCTATCGTGAGACTAAACAAGCGACTCCAATGGCAGATGGACAACATCGAGCGAGGCCTGCACTATATCCCAATCGACCTCGCAACGGCCAAAACATACGTCTTCGTTGATGGCTCGTTTGCCAACAACAAAGACTTGAGTTCCCAGATTGGATATATCATCTTTGTTGCAAATGAAACCACCCAGGACAACACGTTCACGATGGAAGGGAATATCATACATTGGAGCTCCACCAAGTGCAAAAGGGTAACTAGAAGCGTACTAGCTAGCGAGATATACGCCATGATCCATGGTGTTGATATGGGCATCGCAATCTCTACAACAGTCACGTCGATCCTCAGTAAGCTAGGTATCCCAGCAACCCAAATGATTGTGTGTACGGACTCATTCTCGCTATACGAATGTCTGGTCAAGCTGGGAACAACGAAGGAAAAACGCCTGATGATTGACATTATGTCACTACGCCAATCATACGAACGAAGGGAGATAAGTGATATCAGATGGATCCACGGTGAAGACAACCCAGCCGATGCGATGACCAAGTCAACCGCCAACAAAGCACTCAAGACGTTTGTTGATCACAACCGCATCACCATGCGCCTACAAGGATGGGTGAAGAGGAGCTAGGAACATAGCCTAGGCCTCATCAGAGCCGTAGGAGCCCTCCCGCTTGCCCCGGCCACGCCTCGGCAGCCCAGAAGGAGGACCATGGACGATACCATCATCACCATCGTCACCACCCAAGTCAACGCCCGAAAAACCACCACTCACCCCATCCCCAACAACAGATCCGCTCCCGGAACCCACAACCCCATCAGCACCCCCAGCACCACCAGTAGCAGAAGCCTACGGCCACGATTAGCGCCACCCTCACTTCGGGCACAGAGCAACATACCTGTTCCAACTGCCCACGAAAGGCAGACACATTGTCAACCAGCCTGGTTATTTGCACAACCATGTCCTGCGCGGCATTCACCATCGCGTCCTTAAAGTCTTCCTCGGCACGGCGACGATGACGAGCAGCGCGAACCTCGCTCATCCCATTCCTATTCTTCACGTCCTGAAGACACTTGTATAACGCCATCTGAGCACGACGAACGGCGATCTATACACGAGCAGTCAGACACCACAACGGGACGACATTCTCTTCCAACCACCTACCGAGCGCACTCCTGCATCCTCCCGCAACGCACGGTAACAGGCCACGGCAATCCGAGCCGCAGCCGCCTCGAGCTAGCCAAGTATCAGCAACGCAGTTACTTATTCCTCCTCTCCTTGCATACATACCTGAACACACGGTTTCTTCGCATGATAACAACGATCACACTTTGCCGACCCGTCTAAGGCAAAGTCAGCCCCGCGAGAACCTAAGGGAGTAGACGTACCTACTATCGGTTTCGAAACACCCATAACAAGTATGACCGTCATCGATATCATCGACTCCGGGTACCCACCCTGTCATGGCATAGGCGCAGCGGCGACACGGCATGGAACGCGATGACATGTTGAGAATTCAAAAAAATATACAGCCAGAGGGATTGACTTGATGGAAGAAAAGGACAAAAGATCAAGGAATAACGTAGAGGGAGAGCCCAGCCTTATACACCTCAACTCTCCGGTACCTTTCTGACATATCACAAAACGGTACCATAGTGACCGATAGGTGACTCAGGAAGGTACCACGCGTGAATAAGGCTCACAGAAGCAGTAAGCAAAACGATGTGAATACCTTCACCTTCTTCCTTACGAAAGAAGCACAGCAAGCCCTTTTACTTTTGTTACCCCTCCTTTACCCCTTGCACGCCGACGCCGCAACAAGGCAACCACGCACACCAAACGCGCAACCACGTAATAATGGCCTAATCTACACCTCGGCGATGCACCCCTCAAGCCGCTATCTCACACTACCGTAAAAAGAAAAATTTGCCAGTGTTGGAATACCACTGAAGGAGAATGAGGAATATGGGTTAGTCATACAGTGATTAGTAATGCGTGATCACGTGACGTGATTACGCATTTAAGTAGATTCATTTAGATAGCCATTTACAATAGTCTTCTCTTGCTCCTTAGATATTAATACAGTTATACACCACGTGTTTGGTATCCCACCCAGCGCTGCTGCAACGCAGCAGCGTATACATTACTACCTACCATTGTATTGCAATACGTGATATATTCGGTAGACCTTGTCCACCGACACTTTCTAAGACTCAATCACCGAAATTCGGCCTCAGAGAGAAATGAACGTTCTGGTCACCTAGCTGATCTCAATATCTATCGTATTCATCAATCATTCAAATTCGATTTTATTGACAAACTTATGAGACGAGACTTCCGTCTTCGGCCGAGCATCGTGCCTTTGAAATTCATTCGATCTGGATTTGTACTGTATGATCCGAGATGCTGATAGACTATGAAGCTACGACAGCTAAGCTTTAAAAGCCGTCGACTTAATTATTCCTAGGTCACTTCTATATTTGTTTTAAATCGTGCCCGAGGCATAGAAGGCCCCGCGTCCATTTGTCCCAACATAAACTTGTCCCTCTGTGTTTCCGCTGCCGGCAAGTTTGCAATTATCGATCGAGCCAAAACCTTGAGTGCCTTGGATATTAGTCCAAGAAACGCCATCATCTGCGCTGCCGTACAACTTGGCGCCTGCGGATCCTGTACCAAATGCGTACAAATTCCAGCCGTTACCTGATCCGCGTCCAAGTGCGATCTGGTACGTGTTTTTAAGCGTAGTAGAAACCTGAGCAAATGAAGACCCGTAATCCGTCGAGTGGAAAATGCCTGCATCAGTTGATGCCCAGATCTCGCCTGCCTTGAGAGGATGTGACACGAGATCGCGAACCGCGGTGGCGCTGTCGAGAGAGCCGGCCTTCAAGAATGATTTGCCCGTATCCGTACTAACATAAAAATCTGCCGCGGAACCACCATAGAATACAGTGTTGTTCTGCTTGTCTGAAGCAATAACAGCTCCTGGGGGGAGACTAGATACTGAAGCGAAGGCGCCCTGGTCTTGAGAACGCTGTACACCGTTTGTGGCTGTTGACCAAACCACTGTATCAGCGTTGGCAGAGTAGGCTACCGTGCCACCGCTCATGCTTGAATCCGCTCCAGAGTAGATATTCCAGCTCGTGCCGCCGTCACTTGAGACTGCTACCTGTTGAGAGCCAGAACTGGTACCGATGCGAACAATGTTCTTCACAGACGCTCCGGCGTAATCAACGCTCGAAGACGTTGCCCAAATGGGGTTCATCCATGGCGTGCTTGGCGATACCTTCAAACTGTCTACGTCGGGGAAAGTAAATCCGCTATCGTCACCAACGGCAGCCAGCAGTTCGCTTCCTCCAGGTGGTGAAGCCAAGTCTTGTACGGAGAATTCCTCGATGCCGTCGGCTAACGACTGAATCGATATGTTGTGCGACGTGTCCCAGTTCGTCAGGTCATGGCCGCCGAACACAGTCAGGCCGGTAGAGTAAAGCCAATGGTCGCTGTCGAGGGGATCGATCACCAGCGCTTCGATCATCCAACCAAGATCTTTCGTGTCCATATCGATGAAGCCTGTCTTGATCCATGGGGCTTTGGAAGTCTATGGAACTGGGATTAGTATTATTGCTCACTCTTCATTCCCGCAGTTCACTTACTGTGAGTCCATAATAGAGGTCCATTTCCGGGTAATTGGCCCACGTCCATATTTTGGTCCAAGTGGCCCCTGAGTCGGTCGATCTAAAGATTTGCGCATCTGGCCACCACGAATTCAGACTTGCTACCACAATCGTCCCGGGTTTCTGCATATCGACACCAAGCCCTCCGAAGCCGAAATAAAGATCACCGCCAGATGCCGGCGTAATATCTTTCCAAGTGCCCGCGGAGAGGTCATACCGGTATACAGCCCCCAAAGTTCCGTCATATGGTCCAGTGCCATCGCTATATGTGAGGTACAAGGCTTTTTCTTCTGGTTGGAGAACGCACTTGTGTGGGAAATATGTGCCTGGCTGGTCCTTGACAGGATTCCAGGTCGCGCCAGCGTCTTCAGAAACATAGACGCTGGCCGTGGTATTGTCAGCGGTTCCGACAAAGATTCGCTTGGTGGCACCTTCTGCTACGCCGCTGGTAGAATCGAAGGTCACAAACGCCAGGCCCTGCTTGTCACCATTGTAGCCCCCGACGTCGTTAGGGTCCGGGATGAATGTCCCGACTGCTGTAAAGGAGGATACTCCATCGAATGTCACTCCGCCGTCCGTACTCTTCCATAGTCCGTTTCCACTACGAGCGCCGAAGTATAGGATCTTCGAGTTAGCTGGATCAACTGCGAGGCGTTCACCCATTCCTCGACCCGGCATGTTGCCCCCCACTTTGAATGAAAGTTCTGTGGTCTTCCAAGTAGCTCCTTTGTCAGTGCTACGAATAATGGCACCGGATTTTGGATCCCTAACCCACTCCTATATTAGTGTCCCTTTCAATGAAAGAGGTAGGATAGACCAGTCAAGACATACCAGTCATTCGTGTACATTCCGACGGCAGCATATACCACATTCTCATCTTGCGGATCAAGCGCAACGGCGTCGATTCCCCAGTTATGCCAGTTCTCATTATCCGTGATGCCATCCGTGACTGCGGTCCACGAATCATCCTGCTCATTAAGACGGTAAAGGCCACCAATATCTGTCCGAGCATAGGCCACACCCTTGGCTGTAGGATGGAATACGATTCCCGGCACGAAGCCGCCGCCGCCCCCGATCTTGACGTTCTGCCATGTAAAAGCAGCTTCGGCCACTGCTGCAAGTAGCTGTATCGACATGAGAAGCTTCATCGTTGCCAAGATTTGCTGCAAACCGTGTCTAGGACGGTGGACAAGCGGCTCTGCGTTCCAAAAATCTACATCGAGTGGGTATGCACTGGCCATTTATGTATCTCATCTATTATATACAATTCATATATGCGCAATCTGTACCTACATACCCGAGACACATGGGCCCGATGTTACCCCACGCAACCGTTTCCGGGATCAGATGTCAAGTAGATTTAGCCACTATCATGAGTGTTTCTATACGAGATGCGATTTGATGCAATGTCTCACCCACCGGCCACCGGTGCGGATACTCTGCACTAGACTTTTTATTTTTACTTTTATAGAAGCACCACTGGAGAGGAGAAGTGGGGACAGGCCTTACCCCCTTTTTCATTCCCAACGAATAGAATGCGCCCACCGCCAACAATCCGTCCCGATTCGGCAAGGAGAACTAGCTTCCGGGGCCGGGACCCTTCCCCCTAGCTAACGGGCCTGGGCGGGCTTGCAACATGCGACGGGATCAGAAGCTTGGTGGGACCAGCTCGGATGTTCGCAGGCCTTTTGTCACTGCCACATTCTGGGCATGTATGTATGTAATTTCGTGAATTGCGGTGAATTGTGGTGAATTGTAAAAGGAACGGTCGGTGGGCAAAATGGGATTTTGGGTTGTATAGGGGACTCCGTGGAAATTATAACTTCTTACACACCTATTTTAACTTCTTACAACCTGTCGTACATAAATTGCCCTAAACTAAATGGTTATTTGGCTTTTTCATGTTTAGGTATAGGAATTGGATGTTGGATGTTGGATGCGCACCAATCGCCGCTTACTATAAGTACTTGCATTCCTAGAAATACTCTATACCCTTGTCTTAATATTACACTGATTTAGTCGACGTTTTATCTATACATATGTATATAGTGAGGTGTAAGTGGTGAACTAGGTTAATTTATAGATGGTTCAGTCGAGTAATAAAGATGCCTGCCTATTCTTCGCGTAGCATACTGTAAAAGGCAAATTGATATTTATAACCTACCTAAGTTATGTAAATAACTTAGATTCTAGCCAAGTGGGCCCTCGAGTAGGAACAAAATCAACGCCTGCTATCTTGCTGTAACAGATGATCTTAGGTCAAGTGACCTATTCAACGAGATGGTGTGCTTGTACTTGCACTGACTGACCTGGATGCATGGGTAGGTACCTAGTGTAGTATTCATAAGAGGTATTGCCCAGATTCTTGATCATCTGATTTTTATACTTGCGTAGATACCTACTTAATGTGGGGCTATACCATTCACGTGGGCTAGAGAAAAGGGGGGGGATTTGTAGGTGACTTTAAAGTCGGCACATGACTTGATATAAAACTAGAACAATACTAGGTTCACTGCTTAGGATTACGGTATAAATAACCTCGGAAGTTGTCAAGGCCTGCCTAAGGCTAGCTGGAACAAAGACAGCTACATGTATACCTAACCTAGTATGTTCCCTTCATAGTCTCTTAGGGGTTGTTAGAAATCACTGCACACTGCACAGTAAAGAAGTTGGTGATGACATGGATAGACCATACCTTTTCTACTTAAGTGATATAGGTTAGCTGACAGTACCTATCTATGAAGTTAGTGTAAGTGAATCCTTTTCTATGATGCCTCAGGAAAGAACTACTATATAGCCTAGTTAGGTGTGCGGGGCCAAGGATAACTGAGCCACTTTACAAATATATGAACTGGAAGACTCTTTGACATAATTCTTGGATATACATTATTGAGGAGAGAGACTGCTAGACAGTCTTAGATAAAGGAGTGGTTAGGTACCTAGTTACGAGGTACCTAGGCATGTAGATGGACATGTTGAAATGTTCGGGTACTAGGTATCGTCTAATGCCCGACTATAAAAAAATACTGCTAAAGGAAACTACCGCATATGGTAGGTTACCAACAGATGATGCTTGCCTCCCTACCGACTCCACATCCGGTATTGTTACAACCACAACAAGAGCAATGAAAGCAACAATAACAACAACGACAATGACAACAAAACTCAGACTATAGTTTACCATACATCCAACAAACGCCTTGCAATGCCACCCCTCCTCTAGAACTCCTCAACACAACTCATCCGGGAACCAAACAACAGCCCCCGTCCCCTCCTCGACATGGAACCACTGCATCTTCTCGCGACTCCACGTCCAATACGTGTCCACGTCGTCGTCCTCCCCCTCTCCCCCCTCCTGATCCGCGGGAGCAGGGCAGCAGCTCAGGAACAGGTCCCGGCACTCGGGCGACACCGAGTCGAGGTTCGCCTGGTACTCCGAGACCGGCCTGTGCGGCCCCCCGCGCTGTGAATGGAGGGCCGCGAGTTCTTCGCAGTCGTCTGGGGTGCTGAGGTCTTGGGCGTGGCCGTGGCCGTGGCCGCTTGCCTGGTTTGAGCGCTGGGGTGAGGTGGTCTTTGGGGTGTTGGCGCTGTTGTTGCTGGTATGCTGCCATTGTCGTTGTTGTAGCTGTTCTCGGGTGGAGATCGGGTTGCCGGCGGGCGAGCCGTGCTGGGCGACCAGTTGCTGGCCCCTTTCCCTATCCCTTTGCGGGGCTCGGGGCCGTAAATTGTAGCCGCCACGCATGGGCGACTTGGCCCGCCTGGCGATGATTCGCTCATGCTGTCTATCTATATGGGACTGTGGCGAGTTTGCGGGGTTGGTGTAATGGTAAGGTATGAGACCATGCTTGCTATCTATGCTCCCAGTTTCGATACGTGTGATGTGACATTGGGTCTTAACAGGCATAGGGGCGGGTTGCATTCAAGCAATTGTCTCCTTTACCAGGCGTTTTAGAGGAGGGGGGGTTAGGGGTGATGTGTGGCGAATTCAGAAGACAGTTTTGCATATCTTGTGGCAGAAGGCTATCGTGGGAAGTCAGGCTACAGCTAATCCTCGAACACTATACTGTTCTTGAGGCATGATAGAGGACACATTGTCGCCGTTGGCTAGCTAGATAACTTATACGATATCTATATGACTATGTTCGGAATTTTCGGTCAGGTAATCTAGGCAGTCGTAAAATCAACCTTTTACTTCGCAAATGCGGAGAAGCATACCTAGATTATTCGGTATGGCTGAAGAGTACCTATTTCTCTTGCTTTTGGTAAAAAAAAACCCCCATGAAGGCGAATTATAGATGACTACAACGTTCAGTTACACTCGGGCTTTATGCGAATCTGACATGGATGTAGTTCGAGGTCAGCGTCGGTATCGAAAGGCTCAATACCATGAAATGAGGCTGCTTGTCCTGTTCAGTGAGCTTATTATGTTTGGGCGCGGGGGATAGTTGTTATCAGCACCTTGGAGGCTGAGGATAAAAGCACTTTGGAATGCCTACCTACAAAAGTGCAAATCACCTTGAACGCACATAAGATGGATAATACTTATTCAGGCAAGCAGTATTATAAGGGGATTACATATGCATCGAGAATTACAGATGAGAAATCGACGAGAAATTGCAAATAATTCGAAAGACATCGTGAAGATTCCGTTAGGTATTGCTCCAATCCCTTCAACAACATATTATCGTAATACGGACAATTGAAGTCATGAGCTCAGTAGGTTAGATGCTACGATGATAGTATGATAGTCGTCGACTTACGTTGATAGCTTGATTATCAGATGATATGTTTGCAGCCCTAGCCCTTACGAATTGACTTGCATTTCCCCCGACCCCTATGCCAACGAGTCCGATGTGCCCGGTCAAAAGTCTCCTTTATACCCGGGTAACGCTCGGTGAAGGATAGGAAACTCCGACCCTCTTTGGTATATTACACTTACCAAAGTTGCTGGTGTACACCAAAAGTGGGTCTCGCAAGCCTCGTCGGCGCCCTTACCCATACTACAGGTTGATGCTATTCCCAACCTCGCCGTCGCTCCCGTGGCTCCCGTCATTGCCCTCGTCTATGCCATCGTGTAGCCACTCATGCCGGTGGTACAGTAAGCATGGACCCTGTTAGCAACACCACCAAAATTACTAGTAAACACTATCAGTGGCTGTGTACTATGGCTAGTGTGGCTGGTACCCACTATAAATACACGTTATTACACCCAATTCAATTACACGGGACATAAAAGTGTAATTGGGTGGATTTAAAAAATGGGTCTGGTGTAGTTGGATTGGGTTGGATGTAATGTAGGGAGTGACCTAAGAGAGGTAGCAGGTAGATGCCTATATCAAGAGAATCTTTATACTGGTCAGGTTGCGTAGACTGAATGTACAAATTCGGCCGTATTCACACGAGAATACACAAGTTGTACACTACCAGGCCTTAAATTGACCTGCCAGATTTCTGACTAGTGGACCGGTCCAACGTGTGACAGCTACATAGCAGTCGCCCCGCCGTAGGTTCATGCCTTCCGGTGCAACAGCGATGCCAAGATGTGAAATACCTTCACCATGGCACTACAGAATATTAGCTAGAGGAACTTGCTTTACGCACGTGAAGAAGATAAGGGTACCGGAATTTTCTCATATCATGACCAGTTGAGCAAGCCGATGGTGGCCATTTGATTTCAAGAGGCTACTAGCCTAGTTAATAGACTCCCTTGGCCAAACCCCGACGATAATATCTTTCCTCAATGGTCACCAAGCCTCACGAAAGCTCCTGTCAAGGGTCTACCCGAGGACAACATGGGGGCTATATGAAAACAAGAATAGCCTTTATACATACAGCTCACATAATCCCGGAGATATGAAAGACCCCCACGCAGAAGCGATGTTCTGCGTCTCCTGGGTTCCGCCTCATGGCGGCTCCCTACCGATGAGCGCCCCGGCCCCCAAATACGTTCATTGAGCGGCCTAGGTCTTCATGGGATGCACTATGTAGACTCGGTGATCTATTAGGGACGTCACATGACATGAGTTCTAACAAGAATTAGTAGATGGTTAAAGAGCTAAAAGTGGAAGTTTAAAGTTGATAACTAGCCTAGCCGCTAGTTAACCAGGTTATCTTTGATCAGTGACCTTAGGTAATTACCTAACCTTAGTAAGATCTATGGGTTTGTGGATTTACTATGGTCTTAGGGGTGGGAAAAAGGACAGCCCTAAATAACGCGCTAATGGGTGGGCCTATTAACAGCACTTATCTTATTAATGATAGTACTTTTAATCGTTTATTTACTTTTAGTCTTCCTAAGTACCTATGGGGCAAGCTTAAAACGCTAACACCTAATCTAGTATGGTATACGATCAGTGCGGCCCCATCGGTACTTCTTAACTGCCCCCTGACTGTCCTTTTTCCCAGGCCTGATACCGTCGTAGGATAAACTTTCAAATAAAGACCTTTCATTGGATAGGAATCATAGGATGTTTCCCGGGTCACGTGGGGATAATGGAAGAAATTTAGATATCGGCATATTCGACTCCGACATACGGCGAATTTTTTAACAATTATCGGAGTGAGTCAAGAAGGAGGGAGTTTAATCTTTACTACCTACTATAACACTACATCTAATAGATTTCTTTATTTTTTTTATTCAATTTCTGTTCTTCTGGTTCAATTCTTAATAGATCTTGATTTATTATTATTCAATCTTAAAATTCTTAGATGGCAGCAGTAAAAGCAACTACGGCTAGGACCAAAGGTCTCGACACACTCTTCTCGACAGCTCATAGGTCCAGATTCTCTACCCATCAACATCAGCGTGGACGATATAGTTGGATACATTCATCTGCAGGACCAAGTCAAGGTAAAAATGCTTATTTCCTTATTAGTTCATTCCTTCCTGTTTCCACCAATTCCACCAATTCCACCAAGAGGAGAGGAGCTATTTGCATCTACTCCACATTATGTATGACCCTCGAAACCAGTTCTTCACCTGGTTCTATTTTACCATCTTGCCACACACTTTTGCCACTTCGATGTTCCTGCCCAGTGCCATTGAACTACACAAGTACTATATACATATCAACCATGTACAGTACTTGAATTGCTTTGCTTGACTCTTTACTCAGTGGTCTGATTACTGCTACACCTACATGATATATTATGTATGTATAAACGACTTACGGCCTTGCCCGATCTTTGCTTCTCCTGCAACTCTCTCTCCACCCCCCTTCCCAATAACTGTCTACCATCTTGTAGTGCAAGATATAGCAGTAGCGTCACGGATCTGTTCCACACTTTTAAGGCGAACCAGATACAAGACCAGAGACAAGCAATATGCTAGCCTGGGTTACTGGACTTATTCATGATCATCAAGATGAAACCGTAGTCAAGTTTTGCGTATGATACACTACACTGCACTACACTGCACATGCGCAACATGTAGATGGGTAGTGTAGTGTAGTGTATTGTAATATACATACCGGCATACTTACCAGTCTTACCTAGTACTGACTGCCCAGGTGACCTTCTATACCGGCTCAACTATTATCTCCCCTGCTGCTAAAAATTCCCTCAGTATCTCATTAGTAGCTTCTAACTTGCATACCTCCATATTTATTATTATCACATATCACATATTATTTCATTGGATTTTTTTCTTTTTTGAAAAGTCTTCTTCCACTATTTTGAACTTGAACCATTCCATTACCTTACCTACCCTACAATACATATTACCTAACCTAACTGTCTAACCGGAGTAGAAACGTCACCAGCACCGATAAATACCCCACTGCCGTCATTATCAGGGTCCATAACCAACAAACTTACCCCACCGTCTCCAACATCGCCGTTACACACCCAAAAACGACTTTTTCACCACCAAACAGCCATGGCGAGACTGAACCTTGGTAACATCAACCCCCACATCGTTGAGGCCAAGTATGCCGTTCGTGGTGAGCTAGCTGTAAAGTCAGAGGAATATCGAGCCAGATTGAGAAAGGGAGACCAGAGTTTACCCTTTTCCGAGGTTATCAGCGCCAACATTGGCAACCCTCAACAGCTCGACCAAAAGCCTATCACCTTCTTCCGTCAAGTCTTGAGTTTACTTGAGAACCCTAAACTCCTGGAGCACGAGGATGTCCTTTTGAATACCCTGGGTTATAAGAAGGATGTGCTGGAGCGAGCACAATGGCTATTAGATCACGCAGGCAGTGTGGGAGCCTACAGTGCCAGCGCAGGTGTTCCGGCCATTAAGGAGAGTGTTGCCAAGTTCTTAGAAAGTACGTATCGAGACTACCAACATTCATTGAGACTGAATTACATAATATCGTAAGACTAACCTTCTAAACTAGGACGAGATGGCTTCCCTGCCGATCCCGCACACATCTATCTCTCAGCCGGTGCATCCTCAGGTGTCAACACCCTCCTGCACATCATCTGTGCCTCCCCTAAAACCGGCGTTCTCGTACCTATCCCACAGTACCCTCTCTATACCGCCTCGCTTGCTGTTCTCAACTCCACGTGCGTGCCATATTACCTCGACGAGTCTGCTCACTGGGGCACATCGCTAGCCACCATCAAGGAGTCGTATGAAAAGGCCCAGGCTGATGGCATAGATGTTCGCGCTATCGTCATCATTAACCCGGGCAACCCGACTGGTGCCTCGCTCTCCGAGGATGATGTACGGTCCGTGCTTGAGTTCGCTGCTGAGAAGAAGCTCGTAGTGATGGCCGATGAAGTATACCAGACCAATGTGTTCATTGGAAAGTTCCACAGCTTCCGGCAGGTTCTCCTGACTTTACAAAAGGATCACCCGGGCAAGTACGACGATGTCGAGCTCGCGTCCCTTCACTCCGTATCCAAGGGTATGGTGGGTGAGTGTGGTCACCGTGGCGGATACTTTGACTTAATCGGCTTCCTGCCCGAGGTTGAAGAGCAGATCTACAAGTTCGTCTCCATCATGCTGTGCGCGCCTGTCATCGGCCAGTGCCTCGTCGAGCTCATGGTCAACCCGCCGCAACCCGGCCAGCCCTCATACGAACTGTACAGCAAGGAATTCAACGGCATATTCAACTCTCTCAAGACCCGCGCCTACTCCCTTTACGAGGCCTTCAAGGAAATGGAGGGTGTCGAGTGCGACAAGCCCCAGGGCAGCATGTACATGTTCCCCACCATCAAGCTACCCGCCAAGGCCATCGACGCCGCTAAGCAGGAGAACCGCACCCCCGACGAGTTCTACTGCATGCGCCTGCTCGAGGCCACCGGCGTCTGCGTCGTCCCCGGCAGCGGCTTCGGCCAGGCCGAGGGCACCCTGCATTTCCGAACTACCTTCTTGGCACCTGGCACAGAGTGGATTGGCTCGGTGAAGAAGTTCCACCAGGAGTTTATGGATAAATATAGATAGATACCTGGGTTTTAGATAGATACCTCAAAAGAACAGAGCGTGGGAGAGGGAGGGGAAAGACCAAGGCAGACAGGGTAAATCTTGAGTGGCAATGACAGCTAGTAGCGATGAATGGTTCGGGTTCTTCAGGTTCTGCCACGATGGGTAGTGAGTGAGTTCATAGAAAATTGGGGTTGATGAAATAAAACTAAAATTCCTAGCCAAACATTCAATTCGAAGAAGAAGAAGAAGATGATGATGATGAAAATGATGAAAATGAAAATGATGAGTACGGTTGTCTACCGTACCTATCTTTCCCTTGAGTCTCTTTACTTAACCTAACCTACCAAGGCAGTGATAGTAGGTATTCCATGCATACCTAATGTATATCCATGGATACCTACCTACCTTACTCATCATTCAACTCTTTGAGGATAGGGGTTCCCATTTATACTAGGTACATACCACATAGGTAGTAGGTAGGTATTATATCCAATCGGCAAAACCAATCAATAAATAAATGCCCAGAACATTCACACACTCATCATCAATGTCACAAAATCTCATCACATTTCATCTCATCTCTTCACTCGACATCATATACGATATACTTTCTCATCTCATTTTTTTTCTTCTTCTCAATGGTTCGTGGTATTGGTACATTAAGTAAAGTAGCTAGCTAGGTTAATATTTTCTTATAGCAAGCGACAATAACATAACTCATCGTCGTCGCCCTCCCCTTTCATCCTCAGCCCTACTACTTCATCGTACCAGCAAACCCGCGCAGCCGAGCGCTACTATGCCCGTTCGCTGCCGCGTAGCCGTACCGATTGCCCGTACTTCTGGAGTTTGGTGATGAGTTGATCGCCCTGCTTGACGACGTCCTGGTACTGCTTATTCTTGTCGTCGGGGCGGTTGGTCTCGATGACGCCCTTGCCCGTGACGCGGTCGATGGTGCATGGGATGCGGCCGCCTGCGATGAACTTGGCTAGGTCACTGTTTTTTGGTTAGCATGTTAGAATTTATATCGATATAAAAATTGAGATATACGATTTGAAATGTGAATGGGGGGTAAACATACCGGTCTAAGAAGTCGACTGTGACACCGAAATCGTTGGCCATGCTCTCAAGACCCACAACCCGGTAGCTTTGTAGCAGTTGCTGGTAGGCGCGGAGACGCATCTCGCGAATAAACCAGCTCTTGTGCTCGTGGAGATAACGGTCTTGGGTGAGGAATTGCTCCTCGACAAGAGCGAGGGCCTGGAAGAATAGCTTGTAGCGGCCCGTGTACAGACTGTTGACGAGCTGGGCTAGCGGCGAGAAGTCGACGGCCATCTCCGCCTCAGGCTGGTCAGTCCCGGTCCCTAACGTAGTCAGGTTGACAACAGCAGTGTTCTTGCCGTGCGCCAAAGCGCTCGCACCATCCTTGGCAGAGACGTCGCGCATATCAGCGTCTTCCGCCCCGGGGCCGGCAGAGATGGCGCCGGACAAGGCAAGCAGCTTGTCGTCGCCATCAGCGCCAAGAATGGCCTTGATCTCGGGGGCGTCAACGACCTTGCTCTTGAAATCAACCCGCTTAAGGGACACAGAGCCGGCGAGAACAGCATAGACGACTAGATTGGAATAGGTGCAGAGTTCGTAGCTGGTGAAGGTGGATAAGGAGTCAAGCAGGAGGGGTGCGGCAAGGTTATAGGAGCGGACTGTGAGCAGGTGTAAACCTTCGTAGGCCTTCAGGCGGTTGCGACGGTCCCAGTCACCACCACTATCAACGAGGGTCTTGGCACGGGCGACATGCTTCTTCACGAGCGCCTTATCGCCGTAGAAGAGACCCATGCGGATTATGGCCAGGACGAGATCGATCTTGGTACCGAGGATGCCTGTCTTCTCGAACACGTCCTCGTAGGTTGTTATCGCCTTGTCCTAATATGTTGTTAGCACAAAAGCCCTGACTGACTACACACCCAAAGAGAATGTGGTGAATATTACCTTATCTCCAATCTTGGCGAAGAAGTCGGCACGCTTTCCCTTGGCAGCCATAATCTCCGTCTCACCAGCCTGTTCGACCGCTTCGTCTTCCTCCTTCTGGAACTCCTCAAGCTCCTTGTCGTTCTCGGCCTTGAGCTTATTGTAGATCTGCTCATCCCATGGTAGTGTTGCGCCGATATTTTTGCTAGCGACCATGCCAGCAGCGCTCGGTTTCCGTCCGGTGGGCTTTGTAGGCGCCGAAGCTGATGCTTCGCCAGTAGAGTTCAGGATACCTTCTGTTGGGTGGGCAAGGTACTTGTACAGAGGGGCCATCTTGTGCTCGTTGATGCCATCTTGTAAGATCTTAATTGCAGCTTGCTGGGCGGGCTTTGTTGCGTAGGGATTCGTGATGGTGAAGACATGTTGGGCTAGAGGTAGAGCGGGCCATTTCGCGTACTGAGGGTCGGAACCCATCTTGATCTTGGTAAAATGAAGCTTTGGGGGGATATTTATCGGAAAGGAAGAGGTTGATCGCAGTATGGGGAATATGGGGAATATGGGGATGATATGATTTAGTAAAAGTGTTAGGTTTTGAATAAAATTGGTTAGTGTTGTCAACGTTGTTGGCAGATGAAAAGACGATGTACTTGTAAATGGAGAGCTCTTACTTTCTGTGCTCTTACTTTGCCAGCGGTTGCAAACAGCTGCAGGCGGCCATCAGCGAACGTAACTTCCGACTGAGAAACCTTGGAGCATATTACATACCAACCAATCATAGAGCATGTGTGGATCCTATTAGAGCCTCAAGGTATGTACCTAGGTACCCAGCTTACATACCCCGGTTCTAGGTAGTCGTAGCTCAATGCCAAGACGCGCATACATCCATTAAACTTCAGACTCAGCTTTTACATATTTTCAGGTACCTTGTACTTACTTACCTGCTCCACAACCAGTACTAGTAGTATGTATGTAACTTGACACTTTCATTCTTGGACTTTACAATCTCGAAACTTTTCTTTATACCAAATCAAATTATATCAAATCAAAACAAGCCAACACAAATCTTCCAAAGAGCAGCAGCTTAGGTCTACCTCATTGAAATCAATCACCTACATCTAAATGAATCGGCGCCATATCTAAAACATACGATAAACCTCTAAATCCTCTCCGCCATCCACAATGACAGGAGACGACCCTACCGAAGAGCTACCTCAGCCCTTTGACGCGAAGCGACTTGAACCTGCCAAGAAACGCAGGAACTCGCAGTCGCCGGCCAGAAATCCCAACAAACGTCGAGAAGATAAATCAAACTTACCTGCCATCGACGAACTACCCCAGCCATTCGACGCAAAAAAACTCGAACCCGCAAAGAAGCGTCAGCGTTCCAAATCGCCATCCTCCGAGGCACCTCGAAGACTCAAACGACCTGGTCGCGGCGCTCGATTTTCCCAAGCTGAATCATCCTCCATCCGTCAACGTCACGAACAGCGTGAACGCGAGGCCGCTGCTGCCCAAGTTACTCTAGAACAAAGAGGTATCAACGATGTTGTACGCCAACACTATAACTCTGTGCCCGAAAGAGGTAGAGATTGGCGAAAGACAGACAGCCGCATTAGAGGTTTGAGGTCATTCAACAATTGGGTCAAGAGCACTCTGATACAGAAATTCTCTCCCGATGAAGACCACACCCCAGGTGCGCACGAGCATGGGCGCGACATGGCCGGAGCCAGGGATTACGAGTTACTAGTCCTTGACATTGGATGCGGAAAGGGTGGTGACTTGGGCAAATGGCAGCAGGCGCCACAGAGAGTAGAGTTGTACGTTGGCTTAGATCCAGCCGATGTCTCCATCGAGCAGGCAAGAGAGCGATACCGTAGCATGAGCCATCGCGGCGGTGGCCGAGGCGGTAGAGGCGGCTATAGGGGTGGTCGCAACCAGCATCAATTTGATGCGCGCTTCTTCGTCAAAGACTGTTACGCAGAATCCATTGGCGACATCGACATCATTCGGCAAGTCGGGTTCGACCCTTCGCCCATGGGAAGAGGCGGGTTTGACATCGTGAGCATGATGTTTTGTATGCACTACGCCTTCGAGAGCGAAGAAAAAGCACGAATGATGCTGCAAAACGTATCTAGCTCACTGAAGAAGGGCGGCCGCTTCATTGGCTGCATCCCCAACTCTGATGTAATCGGTGAGAGGGTTGTCAAGTTCAACGATTGGCTCGCCAACAAAAAGAAGGGGGAGTCGGCCAAACCCGAAAAAAAGGAGGTACCTGCCGAGCCTAAGGAAGAGGGGGAGGAGGACGAAGAAGAAGAAGAAGAGGGAGAGGCTGAAGAAACGGCCGAGTGGGGCAACGATCTGTATCGAGTCCGCTTCCCCGGCAAGACCCCAGCAGACGGCATCTTCCGTCCACCTTTCGGTTGGAAGTACAGCTTCTTTCTTGATGAGGCGGTTGAAGAAGTGCCAGAATACGTGGTACCGTGGCCCGCATTTCGTGCCATTGCCGAGGACTACAACCTCGAACTACAATACCACCAGAAGTTTGACGAAATCTGGGAGGCCGAAAAGGACGACCCCATACTGGGCCCCCTAAGCGAGCGCATGGGCGTCCGAGAGAGGGGGCGGGGCCAGCTATTAGTTACACCAGAGGAGATGGAGGTCGCAAGCTTCTATTTGGCCTTCTGCTTCTATAAGGTATAGGGGCTATTTAGTTGTGTATGGCGAGGGTGGGGTTTGTGTAGCCGGAGTGTGGTTGGCTAATGTCACAGCCCGGTGTATTTGCGAAGAGCCCAAGGCGAGCTTTGGGGAGTTACAGCAGGACTTGGTATGTAGAGCCACGAGGTCCTATGTGTAAGGATTCTCTAAGGTTGGTGGGTAGCATGCCTATCCATTATACATCGCCCCCAATCCCAGATCAGCCATACAACTACATACACCAAAGCAGACCTATGCGAGCGTATGAGATAGCAACATGGCGTGTCGAAAAGGCCTCTGCAGCCTAGCCAAGACGCCGCTTAAGAATAATACAGATATTCAAGAGTGTTCGTAGAAGGTCATCACCCAGTCGAATATCATCAATGCGATTAGTCATCGGTCGCTGTAAATTTTTTGCGTATAAAAATGTGCTAGCTGAAGAGTGAATCATGGGTAAAGATGTACGTTGGTGAGAGGCCCAGCTAATGTTACAATGGAAGTTAGATAGAGAGATATCTGGGGAGTCTGCACCAACACAATGAGTCAGCATGTGCGATTTTGCAACCGCTTAAGATGTACCTAGGTAGAAATGGCCTATACGTGCGTTTTGGAAAAGGAGAAACCCAGATATTGTGAATGTTAAGGAAATCGTTAATCCGACTGCAATGCAGCAGTCTGACTTGGTATCTAGGTAAGGATTGCCCTTTTGTCCTATAAGAACCCCTTTCCCCTTTTTAGATCACGAAATCCGGATTCACCTAAGAAAGTCATAACACCTCGAAAATCGTAAAGAAACTGCAAATGAGAAGTAGGAGAGATAAGCTTTAAAGAATGGCCAAAAAAAGAGAAGGCCAAATGAGAACCATCACGCCTTGGTGTAATATATTCCATGGAAATCCCCGTCTCTTGCGAAACCCAAAGATGGACAGAGTCTTGTTCTAGATAAACCGCCATGAACAAATGAATGGTAAATTTGAGGATTCTGGAGGTCCGGTTTCTGATTCCCTTAATTTCTCATAAATCCTTTATTTCCAAAAAGAAAAGAAGAAAAAGGGGGAAATGTCAAGCCCATATAATAGGTCAGTTATTTCAACCCCCTTTCTTCTCCTTCTCCTTCTCCTTCTTCTTCTTCTCCCTCCCTTTCTCCTCCCCCATATCCTAGACGCCTACCTACCTACCTACCTACCTAGGTACGCATCAACCATATCCAACGCCATCCCAATCCATCCAAATCCACCAAATAACCCTGCCCCTATCCATATTCCTACTGTTACCCAGTTAATCCTTACCCCCGCCAACATGAAAGAATGGAGGAAATAATTCACACTACTCCCTACCCAGGTATCTTCTTCTCCCCCCCCTTTAACCCTTACCCTTTACCCTTATCCCTTCTCCCCCTTGCCCGCCTCCTACCCACCATGCCCAAACTCCCTCCCCGGTCTCCCATACGCCATCTCTACCATACCACCTCCACCCACACCACCGCTTCCGCCACTCGTCACGTCTAGATGGTGGCCCACTCCTCGCTGCGGCTGCTGTGGCGGGGGAGGGGTATGGTAGTAGCTACCGGCCATAGGATCATGGGCGTAGGTGCGGAAGTACGGCGGCGGGGCGATGCTGTTGCTGTTGCTGGCGTTGAAAGAAGAGGGCGTGCCGGTGTTGGTATGTAATGTTTCGTTACTCGTGTTATTGTTATTGCTGCTAATGTCGGTTGTAGGGGTAGTGTTGTTGTTGTTGTTGCCACTGTTCGTAGTAGTAATGTTTCCGAGAGCTGGGAGCGTGGTGGCCATCGAGTGGCTGCTGTTGTTGTTCCAGCCGTACGGTAAGACGTTGTTGCTGGGTTGTGACAGCGGCAGCGACTGTGGTGGTGGTTGTTGTTGTGGCGGGAGGTGGGATCTGCTCTTGGAATAGGAGGCAGAGTACGGGCTGGGTGTGTGGTTAGTCAGTGGATCTTTGGTTAGTTCATCTGTCGGTCTCTCTGTGGTGTCTTTTCCCCCTTTCCCTTTTTTCCTTTGGCAATGGCTAACAGGCCATAGGTAAAGCTCGCAACCTAGACATAGGTACAGGTAGCACAGAACAAACAAACCTGTAAAATAGCTCACTAGCTACCTACCCAAGGCACACAGGAGAAGGAGTAAAAGGAAGCAGAAGAAAACCTACTCATTAGCAAAAGAAAGCGCCTGTCCTCCCGCCTCAGCCGCGCCATACTGCGAGCCCGGCATGGCCAGGTGTCCGTGGCTTTGGCTACTACCAACTCCAACTCCACCCCCAACTCCAACTCCAACTCCAACGCCCCTCCCAAACTCAAGCTGCCGCCCCATCCCCATCTCCCCACGCTGTCCACCACCACCACCACCACCTCTCGACGTCAAAGCACCAACAGGCGACACCGCGGTATCGGACCCGCTACTCGCCGACGACGACATCGACATCGAGCGGCCACCACCACCACCACCACTGCCGTCACGGGCGCTCGAAGACGAAGGCGAGCGCTCCTCGCCGCGTTTGCGGCAGTTGTACTTGCGCACGTTCCAGCGGATCAGACGGCCTCGGTACGCTCTTGTTCTGTTGTTTCGAGCGAGGGGCGTGTGCCTCTTGTGTTAGTTTTTGGGGGTTTTTTTTTCTTCTTCTCCTGAATTTGAGGGTTTTTGCTTTGGTGGAGAAAGGGGGAAAGGGGGGGGGGGGGGGGGGGGGGGGTTACGTGTGTGTACTTTTGGTGCGATATAATTATATACCTAGGTAGGTGTGGCTTTACACAGGAACCCGAAAACAGGTACCTGGGGAGGTAGGTATACAGCGGACAGAAGAAACACGATAAAAGAAAAAGCAGGATGCCAGAACGACAACAAGATAATAGAAACTCAACGGAGAATATATATGACGAGGAGGGGCTAGAAAGAAGAAAAGAAAAAAAGAAAAAGAAAAAAAAAGAAAGGGAAAATCCTTACGATGCTTTAAACCCATACCTATCCATCATCGTCTGCCGGACCACCGAGAGCGTGTTCTCGGTGTAGAGGTTCTTGATTGTGTCTTCGTATACTTCCCATTGCTTCGTCATGTTTTTTTTGTTTGTTGGTTGGTTGGTTGGTTGGTTGGTTATACTCTAACAACAATAATAATAATAGTAGTAGCAACAACGACGGCAACGGTGGTGATAATAGTATAATAAGCGATATATCTTTCTCAGCAGATCGAAAAGCGCAAGAAACGAACAAACAGAAGATTCAAAAAGCTAAGGAGGAGAATGGTAATACGTTTAAAAAGGGGGGGGGGGCGAGAGCAGTATAGAGGTAAGAAAGAGAAAACGAGAGCCGCTATAGGGCAGGGCAGGGTGGGACTTCAAGTTCAAGTTCAAGTTCGTTCGTCATCTGTAAGTAGTAGAAGAAGAACACGATAATAGGGAATGAGGAATACTAGGAAACCACATCCCCCTACCCCCCGGTTCTTCCACCCTTACCCTCCCCTCCCCTACCCTACCCCCCCAAATCGCCGTCAGAGCCTCATCTACAACCTACCTAACCTACCTTACCCCCATCACACATTACATTCCATGCGGGGACTTTACCCTTACCAGGAGCTGTGTTTCCTTTCCCTTCAGGAAAGAAACAAGGCAGCAGTGATAGAAAGGGGGGAGGGGGCAAGTTGTTTCAATTCCAATTCCCGGTCCGGGAACTCTCTCGTACGAAACAACAAAACGGAATGGTTTCTTTTCCCCCTTGCCTATGCGGTAAGGGGAAAAAAAGTATTCCCTGAGAGAAGCAGGCTACGGCGGCTCTCGAGCATGTTTTCTGTTTTATTTATTTATTTATTTATTAGGTACCTGTTTTGTTTTATTCGATAATAATTCCCTTACGAACTACAGCTGATATATGTGTGTATGTGTGGATGTATGTATGTATGTATGTACGCGCTGCTCTAGGCCACATTGGGGGGGGTGGAGGAGGGAGCTGCGCATACATTACATTACATCTCGAGACCGGGGTTCTTTTGACCAGAGCCTTGTTCACAAACACACATATCATATCTCGCAGTATGTACGTAAAGTTAAGGATACAAGTTTAGGTAAACTACCTAACCTAGTAATATTTCATTTTCTGCCCCCAACGAAACGAAAGTGGGCTTTGTGTTTTTATCCATAAAAACCTCTGGGGAAGAATTAGCGAGGAGAGAGAGAGAGAGAGAGAGCAAAAGGACAAACCCCCGTGTTGTGTATTGTCATAATACAATAGGGTGTTCGGTCCCGCAGCCACTTTTTCCTCAGAGCCTGCTTCTTTAGCGCTATCGTTTTGCGGCGGAGAGATAATGACATTGCATGGCTAGGCAGTCATGTGGGATGCCGACTATTTATTTCTCTCCAGTAAGTCAGCATATATATATGTGTGTGTAATAAGTAATACAGCTTCTATGCCTACTTACCAAGGTAGGCATGGCTTTCTACATACTCATGAACCCTTGGTTGAAATATGAGTTTGTCATTCCACTTACCCAGAGGTGAAGCTTATCGACACCGAACCGGCTCACCTTATACGTACCCACCCTCCACAATCTCACCTGAGGCTGAGAAGTAATATAGATTATGCCAAGCTGATGAAGGGGCGTTCCGATTCAGACCAATCAGGAATAGGCCATCCTTCAACTTGGATGGCCAGTAACCAAGTAGGTAAAACCATGAGTCAGCCTATTTGACGTGCCTATAAATAGGTCATTATTCATCGGGCGGCTAATCATGAACTACTATGCAAGTACCCCAGGTAAATACGTAAGTAGGTAGGTAGGCATGAACAGAGAAGTGCAATGGTAGAACAGTAATACAAGAGATAGAATAGAAGGCAGTCATATCACGACTGCCGGTAAGCTAGCATGTAAAACACGACGATCCCCAGTTCTCATGCAAGATCCTACCCACTTACACATGAGACACGGATAAAGAAAGCGTCGTCCCGATCCCGAGGTTGAAGTCGGCGATTAAGGGTTGCAATTGGTATATTGGGCGTATCGAATTGCGAATTGGAGATGAAGAAAAAGACAATACCACCCCACCATACTATTATCTTCTCGTTGCATAACAGCCTCGTCATTGATGATTATGAATGCCGAATAGGTACTGATTTAGTAAGGCTTTCAAGCTCTCGCCTAGGTAGGTAGGTAGTTAGTCTTGATCGCGTCGAAAACACTCTTCCGCATATTACATTAAAGATCTGCGCCTTCAGGCCATTTCGTACGTCCCCAAGTTGGAATTTCCTAATTCTGACAGGATCTTGTTCGGAGAATTCCAGATTAGTCTCACCCACACTTGTCCTTTGCGAAGCTAAACCTCCTGCTTTGTCATGAGGCTCTGCATACCCTAGCCTCATCTGTGAAGAAACTTCCAAATCTTCCGCCCTGGGACAATCGGGAAACTATATCTCTAAGAAGTAGTTGCCTTCTTCTCGTCCGCAGGGGCGCTGTCCTTGCTGTCCTTGCTGTCCTTGCTGTCCTTGCTGTCCTTGCTGGTATCCTTGCTATCCTTAAGTGTGTTCTGTCGAGTGACCGCAGGTGTGATGGCTGTAGGGCTGCTGACAGTATCTCCGCCCGTAATACCTGCCTCTTGAGCTGCGATAGGGTCGATTTTCTGTGTCTTGCTATCGCTTACAGACGCAACCCCGGAAACATTACGTGAAGACGGCTGACTTTCATAAGCTGGGCCCGTCGCGCCCGCAGCAGCACGGATAGCGTCATACCACTTCTGAGCCTCACTTGCAGAATGAGCTATGAAATGGAGCTCGGACGCCCCAGCCAGTTTGCTGCTGAAACTGCTGCTCTTGTCCTTTCCTTTGATATGGAACTTCTCACCACTGGGCGCACCGATAACAGCGTCGGGGAGGTAAATAGAGAGTTCCGGCTTCGGGTCATGCCGTAAGTTGTCATCGTCCTTGAACTCGTGCAAGTACTTGGATGGGGTCACGACGTAATACCCTGCTTGGGTGCCCCAGGATAGCTTGTTCCGCGACTTGCGCTCCAGACTGCCTTCGATGAGTGGCTTGGTCGAGGTATGGTTTTGGTTGGGGAAGGTAACCACGTCGACGCTCCGCGGCGCCTCCTTTGGATCGACTAGGCGATGACCGTCACGTGTTAGGAAACCAGTCCACTCAAAGTCAGCTGGGATACACTGCGCCGTGCCTAGCATATCGGTGTAAAGTGCCCTAGTCTTTTCAGCTTGGCCACCGGCGACCTGGTTGAGGGCATCCATTGCCTGCTGGATGATTTGTATCACGTGGGCTTCAAATTCCTTGAAACCGTCCTGAATGTTGATAAGATCGTTCCTATGGTTGTTTTCCTCGATAATCTGTTTGTTCAGCCTGTGGATGACTCCGCGCTGGAGGACATACGGGTCCTCAGTGGGGGTCATTTTACCACCGGCTGACTCGTAAGATGCGGCATGCTGGCCGAGGAGCTCAATGTGCTTTTGAGTAGTGTTCCTAGCTTTCTCAATTTCCTTGGCTGCCTTCTCGCCTCCATGGGAAACTTCCTTATGTTTCGCCTTGATTTCCTTGTGTAGCCGCTCGAGTATGGGCAAGACAGACCCCTTGAGGGTTTTCTCGGTTTCAGCGTTCGAGTTGACCATGGCCTACGTAGGTAGTAATATTAGGCACCCAATACAACAGAATCTAGGTAGTGACCATCGAGGTTTCGCTATCTTACTTGGGTATTAACGCGCATGTTCTCGAAAAATCCCGCGACGCCGCCGAGGCCCTGGTCGAAATGGGCCCCTTCTTTTAACGGATGAGAGATCGTCTTAAGGACCTTCTCGTATTCCTTAGAGTGCACCTTATGAACCTTTTCCACCGCGCCGACATAATCCTCTAGATATCCCACAGCATGTTTCCAGGCTTGAAGCCTTTCGGCGAGTAAACCGGCGGTCTAAGGGGGATACGGGCCGATATTAGCGATGGGACGGGACATGAAGGACCAGAGAGAGTGAATACGATTGCGACTTACGGTGGTAGGGTCGATATCAGGCACTGCATCTTCGCTAAAAGTAGTTGCCTGTCTAATAGGCAGTACTTGCGAGTCGCCACTCATTATGCGAATTCTTTGATATCGATGTGTGTCTTGCTACAATGAGGTGAGTGAATCTCATGCGATATATCGTGACCCCGCTCGCTCCGAGAAAGTGTGGTGCTTCGTTCCGGTTTTCTTCTTTTGGGGTATTTTTGGGGTCGAGATGTGATGATCTGTATTGTACTGTAAGTTGTGGAAAGTAGGTAGGTATGCTAAATTCAATAAGAGTTCTCAAGGTAGGTAGTGACTATTGTTCTTTGTTTCGCAATGGGAATGATGGGAATTGGGATATAAATGATTATGGTGTTATACACTATACTAATGGAGGTAAATCTAGCAATATCAAGACAGTCAATAATAGGAAGTCGATCAAGTGGAGGGGTCGAGAAGTAAAGTGGTGATGGAAGAAATCGACGGTGAATGGCTCATCCCTGTGTCGATCATCAAGCTTCTGGTCCCTGTCATTGGACAGAATTGGATCTGATATCACGTCGATTAACTATCGATTCCTTGCTACCAGAAGCCCAACCTTCACCCATGCTGCACTCAAGCTGCTAGAAAACATCTTGTCTAGCCAGAATAGGTAGGTTTATTAGATGGAAATAGTGCTAAAAAGTACTATTATAGTACTATTGTGTTACGATCTGGCAAGTATGTAATCTCATTAAACATCTAAAGTACCTAGGTAATTAAACTTAAGGGCTTAGGTGTAGCTAGCGAGCTGCAACATTGAAGGAAGGTATGAACTACTTGGGATATTCCAATCATCCAATGGTCACACGGCATTAAGCAGGTATCTTGCACTTTCTCGTTCAAGGAAGAGACTGGTAAAGTTGCGAGATTGTGACGTCAACAGGGTGCTACGTAATTACGCTAGCATCGACATAGTAGTATACTACTGCGTAGTAGGTACTAGGTAGCACTTAGTATCTGCTAAGTCACTATAAGTGCCTACCTAAAGGCGTCTTGGTGCTTCTACTGCATGCCCAGGACACATATTGAATAACCTAGGTTAGACTATTTGTGTAATGAAATCGCAAAGAATTGCATCATACGACCCAAGCACCATCCTATCCAAATGCGACAGAAATCTTGTAAAAGGGGAGAGAAGGGGGAGAAAAGAGGGAGAAAGGACTCCCCTCATCTACGTGACTGACGATAATCCCGCAATCCGTCACGTCCTTGCCTACCTAGGTAGTAGGTACATGGTAGGTAGATATACTATGTATTTATATAAAAGCCAAGGAGCGCCAACCACACGCCATGCGAGGAATTCCGGCTACGGGCGGACCGAAGACTTGGGATGAACGTAATACATCCATAGCAAGCAAGAGGTGCTTAGGTTGCATCCCTCGGCCGTGAACAAGCACCTATCCCACCTACCTACCTACCTACTTACTCGTGTACGCGAAACAACTGGAACCCAACAACGTTACAAGCGAGAAAACTTTCTCTTTCGCCTCTTTTTCTCTTCTTCTTCTTCTATAACACGTGTGAGCGCAACGACACGAATAATACCACGGTGGGATACATACAACACCCCATACCCATCATATATGTAAGGCCGCAAACCGTAATTACCCGTGCTGAGGTTACAGTGAGTGAGGTTGAGGGTGGCATTCGTTTCTTTTCCTCGGTATCTATGCAAATTGCTGAGATCGATCGTGATCATGAATGGAGAGTATGTAGTATTGCTTTATGACATGAGTCATTTGGTTGTTGTCTATGTAGGTGTGTATGTGTGTACCCAAGGTATGGAGGTAGGTATGCAAGTAAGTATGCCAATGCCCGAGTGAAAAAAGTGTTAATAATAACAACAATAATGATAACAAACATGATGGGGTATATAACAATTGTAAAGTACGTCCGTCCGTAAATAATAATGAACAATCCAATTCGACCACTCTATCCAGAATCCCGTATCCAGATACCGATCCGCCGCCCGCCCAATGTATATGCAATGCATGTTTTTCTCGATGAAACCAGCTCCTATCTTAAAACTGCAGTAATGTGTGAACATCCGCCCCTATTGAGCCATTTAACGCCTAGCCATGAGTAATAAATTTGACAAATTCGATGAATTGCCTGATGCTCCAAATCATTGACGAAGCCATTGGAATTGTGAGAAGATCCAAAACTAGTAAGAAGAAACCCGTGACAACTCTAGCCACTTCTACCTTGGATGAGTCGTAGTCTTCGCTCGCCGTCAGCGCCGCCGACTGCTGCGTGACTGGGAAGGAAACTGAAGCCCCGAATCAAGTGCTGGCTGTGTCTGCTCCGTGAGCTGCTTCTCGATCGAGCCTGAGAGGATGTGGCTGCTTCGGCCTGAGCGGCTTGGCTTTCTGCAATGGTCGACATGGGATCGGTAGTTACGACGCGACTTGGCGAGCCCGGCACGCTCATCGCGGTCTGGTAATCCGGTAGCCCGATCGAGCCCGTGTAACTCTGCGTCCTTGGCAGCGGTGTTCTCGTAGCAGTTGCGTAACTTGGCACCTTGCTCAGTTCCTCCAAATCCAAAAACTCGTTATGCTCCGGCGGTGTGTGGTGTCCCGTGTGACCCGCGTGGCCATCCTCGCTTGTTCGTCGTGAGATCTGGGTGGAATTCGTGTGAGACGAATTCGCTGTGTGTGACAATTCGGCGGTATGGTCGCCTTCGTGCATATGATTGAACGGGGTAGTAGCTCCTGAGTTAGACGCGGCAAAGGAAAAATACGAGTCGTTTCTTTGAGATTCGTCGAGAGAAACGTTCTGTAATCTGGAAGACAAGGCGGCAGGAGGAACAGCTAAGCCATGAGCCATGGACGCTAGATTCTCCGACGAACCTGCCCGGGATTGGGCGTAGAATGGACTGTTGAAACCGCTAGGTGCTCCGGGTGTCATAATTCCGCTGGGATCTACATTATCGTATAGCTGATCGAGGACGTGCATGCCGTAGCCTGGAGGTGCCATGATTGATGAATCGCCCTCATTTACTTCGCCGGCGGTTTCTGCTGCCTGGTTAACGAGGTTTCCTTCCTCGTCCAAAGGCATATTGGGTGAAATGAATATGGTGATAGGCAATGATGCTCGAAGCTGTTTATTCAGTTGTTAGTGTAACCCTCCCTTAACGTGTATAGCTAGTCATAAGTAGATTCGTACCTCAGAAATATGGCCATCAGGATTCTTCAGCGCAACCGTTAGCTTAAGCTTGTGCCTAATCTTGATGCCATGAACCGAGCAATCTTGAATGCACCTGGTTAACCTCTTCGGCAGCGGTAACTCTTTAGTGACCACCCAACCTTCCTGACCTGTTTCTTCGATGTTGTTCTGCCAATGGTTCTCGCGGCTGACCTCGAAATTCCACGATGTGACGTCACGATCATGTTTATATGGTCGTGTTGGTACTGGCGAATTCTCTACGCTGAATTCCTGAGCCTCGATAAGTTTGACGGAGATGGTGCCCATTTCCAGGCCTTTTAGCAAGGGCGTGAAACGCAATTCCAAAGGAATGTTGCTGCCAAATACCACTGCTTTTTGTGGGACAACCACAGAGTACTCGATCTTATTAGGCCATATGTTCTCCACACTCATGGCATGGTTAAATTCGAGCGCGGCAGGCTCCAGAGTTCGAATGATGCGAAATCGCTTGTAAGCATGCAGATTCTTTGCCAACTTGCCCCTCGAGACGGTAGCTTTTAAAACGTAAGTGATGCCAGTCTGGTAAAGCCCCTCGACGCTCTCAGCGGTATCTCCAGGTAGTAAAAACTCAAACGGCCATTCGTAGTTCCCTGGGGCCAAGGTGTTGTGATGCGTTGTCTCACCGACGAAGGGCGCCCAGTTATGCTTCAAGATGATAGTCGACCTGTCCACTTTCTGGTTGTGAATGCCAGACGGCGTATGCCTCCCATCGACCCACGCCACTCTGCAGTTGCCCATAAGTCGTAGGTGAATATCCTCCAATTTCAGCTGTTCTCTTAAACACAAGACTAATACGCCCCTTAACATCTGTCCGGAAGCTTCATGCTCGTTTCCACGGAAAACGATGAAGTCATTCTCAAGGCTGTAACTATATCTTAGCAAATTGTTGATAGGAATAGCAGTGTGTATGTATGAGTATCGACTACTCAGCTTACCGTATTTCAAATAAAGTGCAAGCATTCCGAATGGCACCCGAGGTAAAAGGATTAAACGAAGGCATTTTTGACTCTACTGACTCAACAGCATGTACTATTGCTTTCGAATATTCGGTGGTGCTCGAAGAGCTGTCTTGTGAATTTCGTCCACGAAAGGTGAACGGCAAATGGTGTAAGTTGGTCATGGGTAATAGATCAGCGATGGGCGAGGCAAGAGTATTATAAAGCTGCAAACAGGTTATAGGAATAGATAAGCTAAGTTGAAGCAATCGGTCCTAGTACAAAGCGCGTGGCACAGCTTGTAAGGATATGTATGACACAAGATACGAAGTAGAGACCCCTTAGTGAGTGGGTACCGCTATTGTTTAGTTATATTCTTTTTTTCCCTTGACCCTTTTCTTTGATAACGGTCTATGGGCCCAACTTCCAAGGGACCATTCTAATAAGACGGGAACACTAGGGACTGGTAGTGACTGGAACGGGTTTGGTAAACGGGAGCTAATAAGTTCAAACAACGAAGGGATATTTCCGCCGCCGCCCTCGGGGGACTCGTCCCATTTTTTGGGCTCATGGTCAGGATTAGATTTTTCATTCGTGTCTCTCTGTTGTCTTTCTCCTCTCACAGAGTTACATATAACACTAAGAACTTACGGTTGCCATACTTGGGCCAGGGGTAAAAATTGTACATGGGAAGTTGGCTAGACCTTGTCCGGCTTGGGTATTTGGGTATTGGGACGGTGGTAGCCGGCCGGGATCTGCAGTTTTGTAGTTGTGTACTTTCTTACATTACTGCCCTGCCCTGCGATCTGCTAACTTGTTAACCTAGCTACATTAGGTATCCAGTTACGTGCATGAATAGCGGAAGCGAATAATCTTTCCTGATATCCACTTTGCGGCGGCGATTGTGTGACATCTTTGATAAATTTTTAAATTTTTTTCTTTTTAAATTTTTCAAAGGGGTCAGTAGATAAAACCATCCATCCATCCATTCCAAGGTTGGTGTTAGTGAGTCCCGAGGTCCCATAATAGTCATGTGGGGCGTCAAAGCCTGATATCGGCCGGTCGCAACTTCAAGTTCGATGTTGCCTTCGATATTCAAGATGTTACTAGGTAACTACGTACATATGTACCTGCTTCAAGTTGAAATGTTAATCGTGCTTGAGGCTTGAGTCACGCGATACATGCCATTAGGTACAGAGTACAGAGTACATAGTACTTGACTGTCCAAAAGCGTTTCTCGTTTTCTCGTTTGTCGCCCTCTTTCCTACTAGACTTCCCACATGTGCATACACTGCCATACAGTATTTCTTAGCAGTTACACATGGAGTGATCATCACCAACAGTTCCGTTACATGTGTTGCATTGTACGCCTCAACTATTTAAGTCACATACCTATCCCTACCACTGACCGAGTCTCGTGAAGACGACGAGGTCATTTTATCTATTTCCTCCCTCTGCCACCTCAACTCATTTTCTTTGGCTGCGACTTTATAAGTGGGTGTACCGTAACTGGATAACAAATATCCCTATGTGCCATACAACGACACAGTTCTATCCCTACATGTAGGTCAGAGGATTGGGATTTCTTATCACATCCATCATCCTGTAGTGTGGAGTTGGTTGCCCGCTTCTAATGATGCCAGCATGCGCATTCATTAGATTACATATTTCCAGTTCAGCTCTTGTCCTGACTCCTGCGGCTTGCAGCCAGCGCGTAACACTGGTCTTCAAATATTCACAGCCCACGCCCACAGCCAGGGCGGAGCTGACCTACATACATATTTGGAGAAATATCGGTCTCATGATATGTCACAGTTGCACACATACACATACACATACATATGCACATACAACGTACAATACCTTCGTCTTCTGCAAACTGTTTTCGTGGAAATGTTTGGAAACGAAAAAGAACGCATTGTATATGCATCGTAAAAATCGTCCCCGAATTTTCCACGAGTTTCCCAGGTTCCGTGGGGGTTGTGGTCTCGATTTGGCATCTTACTTACTTCTAAATTCTCTTTTCAGCTGGGCGGTGAATACCGATGAGGGGATACCGTCTCATTAACATCACCATCATCTCTAGATCGTTCTATATATGGCTGCATGTGGCTTTATTACTGACATGATCAAGGGATTGCGGCACCATGCGCCAAGCTCGATTGGCTCGGCAGAGTGCGACCTTAATTCTGCATGGTTCCCAGGCGGCGCCGCGGCGTTGTCAGCCTGTTCCGCTACCTATCTTCGCTTCTTCCGAGACCCACGAGCTCTTTTTTCGGCCAAACAAACAACCGCATGAACCGAAACAAACACTAGAGTTGCTACCGAAACTACTGCTGACATCGGTAGGTCTAACAGCATCGTAGTATATCGCTTATTATAATACATACCTATTCGCCAACATTATTTGTCAACCGACGCCGAGGTATTTTCTAATATTCTAATGAGTTTGAAAGCTATGAGAATCCCCTGAACTCGGTATCCGGCACTCACTTTTGATTAACCAACCAGGTTTCAAAATGAAATCGAACACTTCTCAAATTCTAGAAGTCAAATTTCAGCACTTTCAATGTTTCAAAAAACGAGATTCGGATCTACCACTAAGTTGACAAAACGCTCAGTGACAGTTCCAAGGCAACATACGAGGCATTTCCCTATCTACAGTACCTACCCAGTAGGTGGGATGAAACTCGTTTGTGACGGCGCCAATGGCATCTCGTCACTTAAGTGGCATCCACATGAGTGATAAGACCAACATTGAATGCTGTCCAACAGGTATTTAAGGGTCCACTCTGGCCAACGAAGTTAGAGCCTCAACATACCATGGTCCATACCTAGTATGTACTGTACCTAATTAGGTACCTTGGTAGTATAGGGCTGCATGTAATAGCGAATAAGCGTTAATGTTGCCCTTGGACGACGAAAAAAACCTCTTGGCCAGTTGGTCTTGGTAAATCTTCAGAACCCAAATTTGGTGGTGTCTGCTACATAAGAGGTAGGTATCATTACGCGTCTTGTGCTACGCGGAAGGCATCCAACATATCCATTACCTCTCTACTATCCAGCATATCCCACACAGCCACACAGGGATTGCGGCAAGTACGTATCATTCCGCTCGAGTCAAACACGTGCCGGAGCATATACCGACATATAAGGATTGGATCTTCCAAGCTATCGCAGACATGATTCATCAACTGGGCTTCGGTTTCCACCGAAGTAAGGGGCTAGACCTTGTGAGGCCAGCAACACCGCATTGACGGCCATCACGGTTTTTTCCGACGAAGCGAACAAGGCCCTCGAAATCCCGTAACGTGGAATCCGTCTCACTAGCGCTGAGCCTTACGATTCTTAAGTGGATCACAGTCTCGTCAGTGGAGCGGCTACTGTCTAGTCTTTTTGCTAAAAGGATGGATTGATTTTCATTGATATCCAAATCGGACGCACGTGGGGGGTCAATTATTGGCATATCATATCCAAATTCATATCTATCCCAGGCCACCGCCCGAGGTTCTAGAAGACAAGCTGAAACGGTGTTGAACGGTGAAAGAGGCGCAAGCTCACACCGACGGCTCTTGGGTCGTAGATATCCGCGCGTACCTGCCACTGTTTAAACGTTAAGCTTTGCTAGCCGCGATCGACGAATTACTCTTTTTAGAGGGGTCGTTCCTGAGACCGTTCCGACTTGTGTCATCTAGCCCAGCCCTACCAGTATCAGAGCAAATATTGAAATCAATATCATCGAAAACATACTGTATCAGTGTATCTGCCTGGCAGTGCCTGCATATGTAACGGCCTAGTCAACTCGCCGACAGTGAACAGTGGACACATCGTGGGTAGGAACGGACCATCCTATCCATTCCTACACTGCATGCACGTCGAGTCGTTGGTGGTCTGAGTTTCGAAGGGCCGAATCAAAATGGAGTGGGAATATCATACCCAGGGCCTGCGAGGTACATGTGTAGGTGTCAAGGAAGCGCGAAACCTTGATGAGGCTCTTTAGGCTACGCTCTAGACAGCATTGAGTTAAAACAATTGTCCGGCGCCGGCGGCCGGTGACTTCAAGATCCGTACATGTAGGAAGCCCAATCAGTCTCCTCGCAGGTATGGATCACAGTTAGAGAACAGCAGCAATAACAACATCAACAATACCCATATTATCTAGGTATCTGCGTACATAGTATAGCTGCAGGAACTAATCTTCATATAGCTGCACTGCGCACATACATGCATACTAACATTGAAGTAGGTATCTAACTACTTCTTACTAGCTATCCCAGGACCTAGCTAGCTATCTACGCAGGTACTCAGCTTGCTCAAGCTGTCGAGCTATTCTTAGGCATAACCGTAATCACGACCTAGCACTAGGTAGGTAATGTTACTAGTATCAATAACGTAGCTGAGAAGCGAAATGACGAGATAACAAAAACCGAAAAAAAAATTACATACTTACCTAATTACGGTCCATACCCAGAATAGTGTATCTATCTATGTCCATATCTGACAAGAAAATCTAAATAACGCAACTCCCCTCTTTTCACATGCCTTTTTGATATTATCTATGGATGGATGGATGGATGGATGGATGTATCCATTCCAGGTTCCCATTATCTACTAGGATTCTAGGATTCCAGGATTCTATGTAGTTACATATGTAACCTAGTCTGACATATCCGTTCTTAGATACGCACCTACATATACATACATGTACGTATCTCCTTACCCAGGCCCCTTACCTACCTAGTTATTTATTTACCTGCGTATCATCCTAAAATCGTACGTCCATGGGTAACGTATGAGCCTCATTTTAAATACCTACATAACATACATACATGTAACTTCGTATGTATGTATGTATGTATGTGTTCCTTCATACATACCTAATCACCAATCACCCTGCAACGTGACCCGCGGCTTACCTGATGCAGACATACCGTCGTTTATAAAACTGACACAAACAGATCTGCTCGCGTATCGCACTCATACCGTACCGTGGCAGCAAACACACATACATACATACATGCCTAACCTACATATAACTATATCCATAGTTAATAAATGCAATGGTCGCATCGCATCGCATCGCATCATTAGGAAAGGGGGCAAGACACCTAACCTCCCTAACCTAGCCAAAACCGACTCCTCTCTCTGTGCTGTGTTCAGGATATTCAAATTTCCAAAGGTTGTTGACGAAAATCATCTCGTCACCGATTCATTTTTAGTTTCATGCCTACCTACCTAACCTATGTAGGTATCCATACGTTCTAATGCAACTGGTAGAATAGAAGAAGAAGAAAAAAGAAGAAAAAAAAAAGGGAGGCTCCTCAAGGTTGCCTTGCCTTGCCTTGCCTGCCTACCCGCTGTATCAGAACTACCGAGTCCCACACTTACACCGAGATGACACCGGACCAGCCTTCCGGGCGGCAGCGGCAAGATACCGCTTTGAATCCACAACCTTCGACGATCGACTTGCTTGAACTTCCCATTTATCGGAGTATCCATCCAACCATCCATCAAGTCAGCTTCGCCTCCGTTTCTCTTTTTCTGATCCTAGACTCAAAAATTTTCAACCGCGCAACAACCGCGTAACAAATCGCCTCGCGCTGTTAATGACTAGCAATCCGAGCTATTGCTTCGCCAAAACCCACTTCCCACCCATATCTATTTTAACGTATGTAGTCGAATACCAGTAGCCAGGATGTTGTGTGAGCAATGCGTTCTAAAACAACGAAATGCATCCGTTTTATTCCTATCAAGTATCCGCTTGGGCCGGCGCATCTGATGGCCGGTTCCAAGTCCTGATGTGACCTAATATAATTCCCTCAGTATGAGCTGTCAATAGCTTCGGGGCGTCAGCGCTTACCTGTCTTACAGCTCGTCACGATAGCGTCCTCCGTAAACTCAATCCAGCTAAGTGGATGCGTGTCGGCCACCTTAGTCAACACAGGTGGTAATATTGCCGTTCTTGATCGCGGCTCGACAGGGTGGTTGATCGTGTTTTCTTCCGCTTCTAGCCCTGACACAATGGAGTCTGATCGTAACCTGCTAGTAGACGTGCCTTGAGTCTCGGCACGCTGTAGCACCGGCAGTCGAGACGAAATAGACCCACGCTGTCGACTAGCTGTCTATTATCCCTAGTTAGAAAATTTCAAGTTCCCAGAACTTTGGAGATGGAAAACTGACTGCCTTGGGTTTGTGCAACATTCCGACGTTGAAGTCCCAGAGACATAAACGACAATCCTCACCCACGCTACCGAAGCGGTAGTTTCTCTCATCACATCTCCATGGATCAAAGGCCACCGATGTAACCCATGATTGATGTCCTTGGCATCTTGCTATGAGTGTCGTCTCTGAAGGGCACCATATGGATATTAAGTCGTCTTGCCCCCCTGTGAGGACATATTTGCCATCTGGCGACCAGCATACACACGTAAACCCACCATAATACGCATTATACACTCCGAGCAGCCTATAACTTTGTCAGTACTTATTCCGAAAGCCACTCATGGTACCTACTCTTCTTTAAGATAATCGATAATCCGCATCGTGCCATCTTCAGACACTACCGCTAAATGACGGTTGTCAGGGGAAAATTCGAACGCGTTAATCCGCTGATTTGACAGCTTCCAAATGGCAACAGGGTTGCTCTTCTGATTCTTTGAGTGAACTGATTTCAGCACTTTAATCTCCTTGAAATGGTCAACAACCTTGGGAGTAGAAACATCCCCGTTAGACTTGTTCTCTTCCTCGTCAGGGTTGAAGACGGCATCTTCCTTCTCTTTGTCGTATACAACCAATGAGCCATCCATATGTGCTGCAAGGAATAGATTCTCAGCTCCCGGGATCCAACGGATCTGGGAAACCGGTGTCTTATTAATTACGCCCTATAGTCTCGTCAGTGCAGTCCCTCGTGAAATAGGCTATACCCTCACATTCTTATTCAGTCTAGTATATCGCTGAGACATGGGCTCCCACCAGATGATCTCGCCCGTTGAAAAGCCCATGATCATATCGATATGGCTAGGGCTTTTGGTGACTAAGTTGACATCGTGGCTTAAACAATGCGCCTTTGTGAATAAGATCTTAGTCAAGTAGTCGGCCTTCGTCGGAGACGACAAGTCTAGCCACTGAAAAGCCCGATTGACGTTGACAAAAGCAAATAGCCCATCGCTCGGTCGATCGGTGATCTTCTTAGAGAAGGTCTCGTTAATGATAACGCGTGAGATGAATGATGAATTACTCTTAGTCATATTATTCTTGGGTTTGCGCCGTTTATTAGGATCCTTAGTCTTTTCTGGCACTAGCAGAGCATTACCATCACCAAAAGCTGGCGCCGATGTGGCGGTTGCCGATGTTGACGGACCTCCATCACTCATTGATGTGCCTCGTCCCTCACCGTCGCTACTAAGCTTGGCGTCATTGGAGTATCGTCCTTCGCTGGGATGTTCGGCGATGCTCGGCGATAGTGTAGTTGTGGTCGGGGTAAGCTTGAAGAGAGCGGGCGGCGGCGTTCGGCTATCTAAGCTGAGAAGAGACACTCTGCTTCCCGTTGTAGCTGGCTGTGGTGTCGTCGCTAAGGGGTTGGGGTTTATCACCGGGGCCTCGGAGGGATGAGGTGGTGGTGTCGCGAGGAGCAGGTCTTCCTTGAGGACGTATGTTCCTACATGACAGCTTTAGCGCTGGTCCTGGATATCCTTTATCTTGAAGACTAACATACCCTCTCCTACAAGAAATTGGTCCTCGGGGTGCGACAGAATGTTGTTGGTCTCGACCATGGGAGTCGCATGACCGGCAGCAACAGCGGCATTATACGCTGCCTGCGTCGGATACCTAGGCGGAGGCGGTAGCACACTTAAAGGCCATTAGCCGCTTAAATACTATGGTAGTCGAGGAATACAGCATGGCCGCAGGAGTCTTACAACATCATGCCGGCAACTAGTTCTTGGAACAAAGCGGTTGAATGATTACACTCGATAACGTTGACAGCGCCGTGTAACGAGGGATTATAATTGACACAAACCAAACCTCAAAGGTATAGCTCAGCAATCCAGCTGTTATAGGCGAGGTGCAAAATGATTCAATGGCTCAATGGCTTAATGAGCGAATGGTTGAATAGGGTAAAGGTGATCAAATAAAGCAAGAGTTGATGAAGCAAGCTACGTCAGCTTATTACTATAACTTCGACGGACATATGTATGATTGCACAAATGGATGGGTTCGATGTTCATAGCTTCGAATGTTGTAACTATACAAGTCGAGTCTCGGTCAAGTAAAGCAAATCGGAGGTAGAAGTTTAAGTTGCGCATTTTGGGAATCGTCAAAAGAGTAACTTCCATGGTTGGCAACTTCCAGGCTCTATCTGCTACTAAGGTAAGCAAGGCCAAGTGAACAAGGGTATTGAATCTCGGGAACTGTGAAGGTTTGGTGTGGGGTAAAGGGACACAATTGGATGAGGGGAAAGAACAGCTCCAGGGCTGTATAAGCGTATAAGTACATGAATACGTAAGATTGAATTCAAATAGACAAGCATATGTATTTAGAGGAAGGACTGAATTCACTGACTCCAATTTCCAAGGCTGCATCTGTCACGTACATCTAGTTACCTATGTACATAGTAGCTACATACATATGTATGTACATATGAATTTGATAGGTAATAAGGGTGCTCATATAGGTGATCTTCTCCAGGGTCAGTTGATGATGGGTACAGTGCTTAATTACCTGTGTATGTGATTCGTAGCTTCAGTTCATGTGTTTGGAATGTACTGTAATTATTTACATAGTTAAAGATGCATTTAAGATGAGCTGTCTATGCAATGTACAGTAGCACTGGCATTCGTGTAAATACTAAATAGAAGTTATTATAGAACATATGTAAATTTGAAGCCACTCGAACTCTATTTATATATGTACTACAACATTTACATACGTTATCTAATCAGAGAATTAACCCTTGCTAGACTCAAAGTTAGATCCGAAATATTGGTAACATTGATGATTGAACATCCAATGCATTGTATTCCTTGTATTCTAATTGTATCATACAAGTACAGTGCGAAGTTACGTAGTAATGCATAGTTAGTAACTTTTGGATCTCAAGTGCTTGTCTAACAGTTCACCACTCATCACTCAGCTTCCATTCTCAACTCTCCAGCACAGCCAATTCCGCCTCGCCTCTCTGATAGCTATGGACGAATAAAAAATAAAAGTAAAACTATCTTCTACTAATCTTACGCTCTTCGACTACTACACGCGCCGAACTATCTATCAGTCTACTCTCTTATTGTAAAGCTACTACTACTACCTAGGCATTCAGCTCGGGCATCAATGGCATCATAGCATATATCCAAGTCCCGAATTGCTGGATCTCTTACCCAGCATGGCTACAGGTATGTACATCACACTGTCCTACACTTGGTCCCAGCAGTCGCAAGTTCGAATGGGGTCAGATGATTGACATCACCAATTCTAAAATAGTACGCGTTTGCGTATGCGGAGATGAGGGGACCGGCAAGTCGAGCCTCATTGCATCCCTCGTCAAGGACGTTTTTGTGAGCAATAAGATTCAGCCCGTCCTACCGCAGATAACTATCCCTCCAAGTATCGGCACTCCCGAAAATGTCACCACTACCATCGTCGATACCTCAGCCCGTCCTCAAGATCGAAATACCTTGCGCAAAGAGATCCGGAAGTCCAATGTAATCCTCCTCGTCTACTCCGACCACTATAGCTATGAGCGAGTCGCCTTGTTCTGGATGCCTTATTTCCGTTCACTCGGCGTAAATGTTCCTGTTGTCTTATGCGCCAACAAATCTGACCTTGTGGATAATGCGACGCCACAAGTTGTCGAAGATGAGATGCTACCCGTTATGAATGAGTTTAGAGAAATCGATTCCTGCATACGAGCAAGTGCCAGAGAACACCAAAATGTTAACGAGACATTCTTCCTCTGCCAGAAAGCCGTTACGCATCCCATCGCCCCTCTCTTCGACTATAAAGAAGGCAACTTAAAGCCGGCGTGTATGTCAGCTTTAAAGCGAATCTTCTACCTCTGCGACAAGGACCAGGATGGATACCTCAACGATGATGAGATTCAAGAATTCCAAGCCAAATGTTTCGAGAAGCCCCTAGCCCCAGAGGATCTGGAGAATATCAAGCTGTCAATCTCCAAGTCTATACCTGGGTCGAACACCACAAAGGGGGTTGATATGCGCGGGTTTCTCCAACTGAACAAGATATATGCTGAAAAGGGTCGTCATGAAACTATATGGATAATTCTACGCAAATATCACTACACGGGCAGCTTAAGTTTGGAGGACAGTTTCATTCGTCCCAAGCTTGATGTCCCAGAATACGCATCAGCCGAGCTAAGTCCAGCAGGCTATCGGTTCTTCATGGACCTCTTTTTGCTATTCGACAAGGATAATGACGGGGGCTTGAACGATCAAGAACTTGGTGCCTTGTTCGCGCCTACGCCTGGTCTGCCATATTCCTGGGTGGATTCTTGTTTTCCGTTGACCACCGTTCGCAATGAAGCAGGTTATATCACTTTACAAGGATGGCTTGCTCAATGGAGTATGACCACGTTCCTCGAGCCGAAAACCACTCTAGAGTACCTTGCATATCTAGGATTCGAGCCGTCCAATCCGAGGGAGAATCTCACATCGGCTTTAAAGGTAACAAAGCCTCGTAAGAGAAGAAGACGGCCTGGCCGGGTTGAGCGGAATGTAGTGTTATGCTACATCGTTGGTGGGGGAGGAGCTGGCAAATCATCTCTCTTAGACGCGTTCCTCAACAGACCGTTTGACGGTTTGCATCGGCCAACTATCAAGCCCAGGAGAGCCGTCAACAGCGTGGAACTTCAAGGAGGGAAACAGTGTTACCTCATCTTGGAAGAGCTTGGGGAACTCGAACCCGCCATACTAGAAAACCAAGCCAGGCTAGACTCATGCGACCTGATTTGCTATGCATATGACTCATCAGATCCAGATTCCTTTTCTCACATTGTGGACCTCCGCAAGCGACATCCCCAGCTTGACGACTTACCCTCGATATACACAGCTTTAAAGGCTGACAAGGACAAGACGACTCAAAGAAGCGAGTTGCAGCCAGATCAGTATACTTCGAGTCTAATGATGAGCACGCCGGTCCATGTCAGCGTAACCTGGAACAGCATAAACGAACTTTTTGTGTCACTAGCCGAGGCCGCGACCAATCCTAGCACTGCATTCCCCAAGAGCGAGGAACCGCCTCCGGACCGGTCGAGCTTATATCTCGCTCTAGGAGCAACTACATGTGCTGGAGTAGCTGCCTTTATGATCTGGAGGAGATCCACAAACTCGATTTAACACTTGACAAATTCTAAGATTTACCCCCTTTATTCTCCTTATTGTCTTTTTAATTTCGGCTGAACGGGCATCCATTTGGCGCATGTTTTTCTTTTGTCCCCACGGATTCCGATAAATGGACTGCATCGGTGTGTGTGCGTGTGTGTGTGTATGGTTGTCCATGAAGTCTTTCTTCCCTCCTACCCCAATGAATTATTATTGTGCATGATACCCCCTATCTATCTTCGACTATCGTTGAACATATCAGTATTAGACTACCAGTGCGTTAGTATTTAATGAATATAATTAATGAAAGAGCCCCTCTATATCTCGGGGTAGGTACACTCCTATACCCCAATGAGATGCCAGCTCTTGTATAATGAGCCCCTGACGGTTATAGAAGCGTGATACGGTGATACGTCTGACATTTCCATGGTATTATATGAAAATCACCCAGATAGTAACACCCCATATCGCAGGGAGCTCTTTGACATGTAGCTTAGGGGTCTCGACTGCTGTAGGTTCGTATACATTTTTATTTATTGCACGTCCGGTATGGTAAATAGACAAGCCGAAGACCTATTGCTGACGAGCTGAGATGTATAGTTAAATGGTACTCTTAAATTAAGTAGGAAGCTAACTAACTTAGGTATTTTGCTGGTTTTATTCCTAGGTACCCAGGTATACATGAAACGAAGCGAATCCTTCTATCCCATCTACGAGCTCTTCCCCTATTACTATCTATCTATCTAACCTAGGTATCTATGTTTATCTACTATGTAAATATGACTATCCTCCTTCTTTATACACCTAATTCCCCCGGGTAAACCCTCACACCTACAACTTCGCCCCTTCCCTCCTCTTCCTCGCCGCCTCACTCTCCTTCTCATTCTCCTCCTTCAACCTCCGCGCCTCGTGCCCGATCTGCCCAGGCCCCTGATCGCCCGGCGCGGTCGGCGCATCGCTCTTCTTCGGCGCGCTCCTGTACCCCTCTTTCTCGTTCTCGTCGTTGATCACCTGCCCGCCAGCGTCCCGGCGGATGCCGAGCTCGAGCAGCTTCGCGAAGACGGCAGAGAAGTGCGCGAAGAAGAGGTCTTTGTCGGCGGCGTACCGCTCGACCCACGGGCGGAAGGAGGCGTCGGAGAGGAGCGACATGTCGGTGGGCAGCATCATGAGGCCTTCTGGCTTGTCTCCCTCTTCTGCGGACTCGGCGTCGTCGTCTTCGTCTTCCTCGACATACACGAACTGCTCGACCCCGCTCTCCAGCTTCTTCTTCTTCCAGTCGTTCGCGAGCAGCAGCTTGAAGTACTGGTTCGAGAAGCGCGTCGGGTTGTTGACCCACTTCCCCTCGAAGCCCGACCTGTCCGCGTGGCAGCGGCCCAGGTTGTGCGCGCCCGAGAGCGCGACGATCTCCTGGTCGCTAAACCCCATGCGGTAGAACACCGCGCGCAGATGATCCGCCCCCTGCGCACCGTCGGGCAGGCGCCCCCGCGGCGGAACTTTGCTCTCGTCCGCGAAATCCGTGCGCCCCCCCTTCCACGCGATGTCCGCCGGCCCCCCCATCTCGGCGATCGCGACGACGGCCGCGAGCGTCCAGAGGTCCGCGTACGTGAGCCAGGGAAACTGCTGCTTCACGGGCTCGAGGAAGGCGCGCGCGTGTTGGAGGCCGGCGTTCGCGGGGTCCCCGCCCTCGGCCTCGTAGCGCATTCCCGCGCCGTTGGAGCCGCCGGTGTTGGTGGTGGCGCAGTAGGTGCCCGCGGCGTGCCAGGCGAGGCGCACGAGCACGGGGCCGGCGGAGCCGTCGTCGTAGGTGGGTTGGTGGAGGAGGGCGCGGATGGTGGTTTTGACGTCAGCGAGTTGGGATGAGGTGGGCTGGGATGGGGAGGGAGGTTTCGGTGCTGCCATGGTTGTTGTTGTCGGTGTTGAGGGTTGGGGGGGTTTTTTTTTTCTTTTTTGCTTTAGGGTATTATTTCTCTTTATTAAATATTTCTCGATTCTGGAATATCAATGGCAGATTGGACTTGACTTTTGGACAATTAGTAGAAATAAGGAATATGAAAGATAGAAAAGAGAATGAAAAAAAGGTGATTAGGTAGATGGCAAAAGTTAAAGTGTATGAAACTCCGATCTCGTTAGATAAATTCCTAGAAATTCCTAATCGAAGCCTCGGCTACACTATAACGAATCTCGTTAGATCACCCGTTCGGTTTATCGTCGTCAGTGATCCACTTCTTGGTGTCATTAGTTTCAGCTCACGGGCTAGAGAGACTCTGGTTAGTTCCATACACTCGATATCTTACTAATTTTAGATATTCAGGGGTTGAAGTAAAGCATGCTGCTGCTCATTAATGCCGAAGTTGAGGGTAAAACGGTATGTATTTCGAAAGCTCGACGAGATCGAAGACCCTTTGAGTTAATACACAGCGAGTTCGATGATGTTTTGTTTTTTTACACCATATCTTCATCGTCTTCCTCCTCCTCCTCCTCCTCCTCCTCTTCGTCTCCTTCGTCATCATCATCCCTCATCTCTTCATCTTCATCCTCTGACTTAACCGAACCGTCACCAGCAGCTTCTTCCTCTTCGCCCTCTTCACCACCGCTGTCATCTTCTCCATCACTGTTGTTCTGCTGTTGCGCCGCCAGTTGCCGTTTGATTTTTCGGAGCATAATCGGGTCGGGCTGGAAATCCGAGATCGAGACTTCCTGCATTTCATGTTAGTCCTCCTCATCAAAACACCAATAATACTTAGCAAGTGTGTAAGTTATGTTACGTACCTTATTGCATCCCGTCTGTGGACAACGTGCCCGTCTACCCGCCTGCGATCGGAGAAATTGCACAATAGAATCCTTCTCGAACGTGTGTTTACACTTCTTACTCGTGTAAGGGTCTTTCATAACTGCCATAGACAGCGGGCAGTGTATATCCATGTGCTCTTCCGCGACGATTAGATCGTCGTCTTCGTCCTGCTCTCCCTCACCTCCATTGCGCGAAAACCACTTCGAAGCGTCAGGCAAGGGCTTTCCGTCGCTACCGTGTGCCGCATCATGCCATAGACGCTTGAAGCCGATGTAATCATTGTTGATGCCGTACTTCTCGTACAAATTCTTCGATGCGTATTCCGCCGCTGCCGCATCCTTCGCTTCCTGCAGCAACTTTATCGGGCCCGTGACTTCAGGAGCCGCCGCGTCGTCATCGTCATTCTGGGCCTGGCTTTGTCGCCTCTGTACAGCCTCGACTTCAGCCTTGAGCGCCGTTTCTTTTAGTGCGGTACTGTAGTCCTCGAGCTCGATCTTCAGGTCGATAACGCTGCGCACGGCGTGGTCGCATGCTTCGGATAGTTGTGGTACCTCCTCTTTTAGCATTAGCACGCTCTTCTCTAAGGCGCGCTCGCGGTCGCTCTTTTCGCCATCTGCGCCCCGTCGCTCTTGTAGGCTCTTGAGGGTCTCCTTGCGTGCGATGTATCGATCGTTGATGTCGCGCACACTGTCACCAAGGAGCTCGAGGCTGCGCTTTAGTTGCTCTTCATACTTTCGCGTCTCCTTGTTGTTGGCAAGGCGGGTGAGTTCGCGTATGGATTCGATATTCAAGGGACAGGAAGGTGGTTCGTAGTCTGGTAATTCAAGAGGCTCCAAAGTATGCGAAGCTACGCGGGGATGGTTCCGCTCAGAGGCGGATTGAAGCCCTCGTCTTCGTGCGACGGCAGACATTGTTGTTTTTGTGGGTGGTGAAGACCAGAGGATTAGGGGGGTATTCAAAATCAATACACAATTGTTCAGTATAATTGTTAGTGGTATTTGACTTTGACTGCGGAATAGATTCCTTGAATTTTAGGTAAAATATAAAATATTGTAAACCAGCATGTTGGTACCTATTGTTGGTACCTATTAACGCGTCTAGGAAGTCGCGTTTGTTCCAATACATAGTACCTAGTAGTGAGCAACCGTGGGGTAATTAGGTACATGTACCTACCTTGCAGGTGCATATTGATAAGGAGGGGCATATCGTTATCGGGTACTGCGGGGTCTCTTCACCTTCCTCACTGAATCTTCCATATTGAATCTTCCATATTGAATCTTCCATCTTCCATCTTCTCAAGCTTCAAATTCTTCAATTCTCTCTCGCTACTTCATAATACTCAACACCTCAAAGTGAATTAATACTTCATTTCATTATCATCACCTCATACCCTCATACTAAATATAAATACTACACAGCAAGTAGTACAATTTCGGTATAGATTTTGATGCATCCACTTCCTTAATCCTTTATTCCACCAGTGAATAGAAATCTTCCTGTATCCAATCCAATCCTTTTCCAAAACCAAAAGATCTCGATGAATACGAAAGAAATAGGTATCATTACAAGAAGGTAATTTAAATAAGCCCATGAGGGTAAGTCGGGATATCAGAAAATAATGTTAGGATGTCAGAATCCCGGAAATGTCAAAACTCCTGCTTAGTCCCCGTAATCACTTTCGCTCTCATTCCCATCACCTCCCATCATCTTATCATGAACCGTATATAGTGCTTGGATCCACGTGTCCAGCATGGCGTTCAGCGACTGCTCCTGGTCGTACCCGAGCTGCATGTCGTGGATCTTATCCCGCAGCCGCTCGTACGCTTCTATCATGACCCATACCTGTAACGCCGATGTCTCTTGACTAGACTGGGTTGACATGCCGTTCGCAGCCGAAGAAAGCTCCTTTCCAAGAAGATCTAGGCATATCTGCAGACTGGGACTTGCGGGCGATGCCCGTCTTGGCGGTTGCCGGATTGGCTCCCTCCTGTGACGCAGCGGCGGCTCAAGCGAGAACGACCTTGGGGTAAAAGGGATCGCTTCTTCCTCGAAAGCCACCAGCGTCCCGTCGTCTGAGTGAGGCGAGTCTGTGACGGATAAGGCCTCGGGTATTTCCCTGAGAACATCTTCCCCGACCATAGAGTGACGCGCATCTGGGCGATAGGAGGACCCTAGCCGTAACGGCAAAGGTTCTTGTGCCGAGTCATTTAGTATGGCGCAACTCGATTCCAGCAAAGCCCTGTAAGATTCTGCGATGGCCTCGACGCTGGACACTTTGTGTGCTGCAGGCTGGTCCCGGCGTGGGTGGTTTTCTAATTGTCCGATGTGGTACACGGGTGTCTTTGCGTATTGTCTGGTAATCGACGAGGTAGAGGAGGGTGTGGCGCACGAAGCTCTTTTGTCAAGTGACCGTCCGGGTTTGGTGTCGCTGACACTAAGATGCGCGAACTCGGGGATGACTTGCATAGAGTGGCGGTGTGGCTTTTCGTTGGATCTCACGACCGGAGGAGGTCCACGGCAGAGATAACCACTTTTTCGAAGCTGTTCGAGCCATTTCCCATCGTTTGTGTCTGTCGTTTGTGAAATCGTCTTCTTGCTGTTCGTGTTTTTGTCGGTGACGACGGGAGTAGGTTCAGCTTTCTTAGCGTCGGTGTGGTCATTAGGCTTATACCAGCGCTGCTGGGTGCCGATCTTTTGGAGCTTCCTCCTTAGCTTCTTGCCAGGGCCTTCCGACTTAACGGCGGCGGTGGTAGCAGGCTGCTGCTGCTGCTCTATTATCGTCGATCCCCTATACCAGTTCATGGTGAATAGTATTAAGTAGGAAGAAGACTTAAAATTAAAAAGAAACTAAAGAATTACACTACTAGACAAAGACATCGAGAATGGCGTACGGAGTGGCGGGAAAGGTCACTATAAGACAATACGAAGATGCTGTTGTTTTTAGTGATTCTCTTGCCTACCTAGAGTTACATCAAGGAACCCAATACCTATTACAGGTATTACAGGTGTTTGTAGAACGATGACGTTGGCGCAATCGTGGGATAAGTCTGTGTGTCCGCTAGTACCAAGCCAATACGAAAACCGGATTTGCATAGCCCCTGGACAACCTCTACCAAGGCCGCCCAGGAGGGCCAACGAGGGTTTCTTAGTCGCACTTCTTGGAATGGAATATGGCTGACCTGCATATGCAACATTGATGGCCTAAGACTAGATAACCTACCTGGCTACTAGGGATGCAACCCGCCTACTTGGGAGGTCTTCCCAACTGAGGTTAGAGAAGAAGGCTTGTTTTTTTTGCCATCCGCTATTCTCAGCATTGATGAGCACCGACAAAGTAACACCTCATCGTCTGTGCTTAAGTTCACGATGTTTTTCGTTTCGTTTCATTTTGGTCGTCAGTGCTCTGCTCTTTGGTCTAATTCTATTCTGCTAAGGTTACATGCATTCATGATACGATATCTACCTACCTACCCAAGTAGGTATCTAGGTTAGGTATTGTACGTTAGTAGCTATAGATTATGTACAAGACAACTAACGAATTTTAGCCCCTCTGCGCTGAGGGCTGAGAACGAGTCTGCGAGCTAAATAATCCAACCCTGGTAAGCCTTACTACAATGCACCCAATCCCGACATCGTGTGGCGAGCGCTTAAGGCGTGGCAACTGGCCATGGAACGATGGGGAGGGCCAAAAGCGTGCTGGTTATATGCAGTAGGTAAGACTCGTACTACCAATACGAGCCTTGTGTGTGTAGGTAGTGTTTTGGAGAGAACGAACCACAGACCACAGACGTTCGCTTCGGTTGCGAAGAATCGGGGGTGTGGAATCGCCTCTGTCGCATTTTCTTCCAAAAAAGGATGCAAATAGGTAGTTACTTACTTCCTCGTTTAGATAGGAAAAACTTGAGATCGTAACCCAGACTTGCATATCGATAGATTGTCTTTTAGTTCCATATAGATTACTATTATGTAGGTTAGTAGGTAGGTACATGTATGTATGTATGTGTATTGATCCCGCTCTCGTCTAGGGTAGCACTGCAGATTCCTGACCGAGGAAAGCTGACGAGGAGACTCGGAGAAGAAGACGTGTGGAAACACCTCGAGACAATTCTATACATATCCAGGTACATGTATGTATGTAAATGTGTATTATTAGAAGTCGAAGCAGCACGATGTTGCAATACCTACCTACATACCTACTCACCTTACGTACACCTACATATATCGACACCGCTATTCTAATAACTAGGCTAGTTTCTCCATGAACATGTATATATGTAAGACTTCCGGTCCTGTAGATAAGATTCCCGTGCAGATTCGTGACACAAGAAGCTCCCTTCACTGAAATCCTTCCGCCCCCAACCTCTGCCAAACTAACGGCAAATGGTGCCGATCGATGGAGGGGTCCCTTTTTTTTTTTTTCTTCCGGCAACCCTCGGATCGGATCGGGGATGCGGGGCCAGTCATCTTTTTCTCTTTTTGAGACCCAAAAGGGTATTCCCTGGAGGTCTAATAATCTTGTGTTGCTGTCAGGCGCTCAGCCTTGTGTTTCTCTTCTCTGTGCTCCTCTCTCGACTCATGGCTGCAAGGTTTCTTACCTGCAGCGGGCAAGGAGGGGAAGGGGATGAAGGTACTGTAGGACACTGTTCCTATATTTAGTTGCTTTTCACGTCTTGCGAGAGACATATCTTTTCTTTTTCTTTTTTTGCTGATGGGGATTTTATTGGGTTGTAGATGTAACCACGGCACATGGGGTTGGAGGAGGCAGCGACCGCGATGACACTTGCTTGCGCTGAATATGTTGTGCATACGTCTTGTCACGTTTGTGGGGGGGTGAGTGAGGCTGCCATGTGTGCCGTGCCGTCCTGAGGTCGAGGGTTGAGATTAATCGTACAATACAATAACTACAACACCACCTGGAATACAACGATCGCCCGGACATTTTTTTTGGGGGGGGGGAGGGCATACCTATTTTCTTTCTAATGCTAACACAGGTAATTTACTAGGGTTAATATGGAGGCAGAAAATCAATCAATCAAGCCCCGAAACTCCTCGAAAAGAAAGAAAGAAAAAAATTCTGACCGACCCCAAATTGTTTCTTGCTTCTTTGAAAACTTCGCACTCGTCACTTGCATACAGCCTGACTAACTGACTGCCCATAACTATTCACGCACATGTCTCATCTCATCTCATCTCATCTCATCCCCCCCATCCCCTCCAAACCCCACACAGACTGCCTCGCCAAGGCAAACATGGCAAGACAAAGGCAAGACAACACAAGCAGCTCCTATCTTTTAGCCTTCTAGCTTTTTTTTTTTTTTTTTTTTTTTACCTAACTAGACACCATATCCCACCGCACTGGTCTCCATGGTGATGTTGATGGCCTGGCACGTAGGGTTGGTCGGGGGCGAGCCGTGGTTCGCGCCCAGGACCCAGGAGACCAGGTACTCGGTGTGCTGGTCCAGGGGCACGAGGCAGAGGAACCAGTTGTTGTAATTGCGATCGTCCGTCGTCGTCGTCGTCGTCGTCGCGTTTGCTCCGCTACTACCACTACCACTACCACTACCACCACTGCTGCTGCTAGGAATAGCAGTGGGATTTATGTCGGTGCCGTTAGTGGTAGTGGTAGCAGCAGCAGCAGCAGTGCCGTTTACCGTCGTGTCGTCGATGCCCGTCATCAGCAGGTCCCCCGTCTCGCCGTCGAACCCGAGCGTCTCCGGGTTCGCCGTCTGGTTGAACACCGGCACCGCCACGTTCGACCCCGGGTCGTAGATCAGCCCCACCGGCCCGTACGTGCTGCTGTTGCGGTACGTCAGGTACCCCGCCCCGTAGTCCCCCGCCCCGTACGAGGTGAAGAAGAACCCGGTCGCCGAACCCCGCGCCGAGGGCACGGCGCCTTGAGTGTAGCAGAGGCCGAGGGTGTCGGCGCAGGGGTGTGCGTGGCCTGGGGGTGGGAAGGTTAGTGGTAGGTAGGTAGGTAGGTAGGTAAGTGTCCGTGGGTGTTTGAGAGTGAAGTTACGCCATGTAGAGTTAAATGTGTTGGGTGGGGTTGGGTACTAGGTAGGCAGGCAAGTTGGCTGGCTAGTTGGTAGGAGGGAAGGGAAGGGTTACGTACCGTTGATGGAAGCATTGACGTTGCTGCTGATGCGTAGCTGGAAGGGGCCGTTGTCGACGATCTGGGCTGCAGAAATGCTCAGAGGTGCCGGTATCAGCAGTTGGAATAACTTTCGGACCCCCATCTTGGATGATAGATAGGTATGAGGTATGTATATTTTCTTGGTTGGCTTTTTTTTTTTTCTGCCTTTCTTTCATCGGCTGCTCGTCAAGGTTGGTTCTCTCAAAATCTGGTTGCTGAATCGAGGGTTCTGTAGGACTCCTACTCGTCTTTACATTCACAACTGATGAAGTAGAAGGGCATGCAGATATGTGGTGGGTGTGGTGATTCTTAAGAAACACCATGATCTCTAGGAGCATCACGGCCATCTTACCTCTCTCTGTATTAGAATCATTGAATTCGTTCTTATGGGTTCTAGCCGAGAAGTAATTTGCCTGTCTGGCGATGTGCAACATACCTCGAATGAGGCTGACTCAATTGAAATGAGATAGACTCGCTATGATACATACGACACGAACTATAAACTTGTTTCTCTGCGACAAGAAGTGGGTAGCCATTCCGAGTCACCGCCGTTTGATTTCTAGACAGAAGGATGTTGTCTGGTTGAAGCTAGGGTTCTTGCTTAGAACCTCGCTACCCCCCTTCGAAAGAACGGCTTGGTTCGATGCTAAGTACCTACCTAGATGCAAGCCTGGCCTGGCAGCTCTTATATTCGTATCATTATTCTCCTCTATCGTCAACTAGATAGTATGTATCTTCCTTCCATATCAATAACATGTCAGCCCCAACTAGGTACCTACGCATATAAGCTAGACTCATACGATCATTGATAAACGGCCACATGGGCTTGAATCGAGATCCTCCAAATTGGTACGACTCTATGCTGTTGTACCGGCGGCAACTTGGGAGACGTACAGGTACCACATACCTCTGTTTCTTTCAACGTGCATTGGATATCACGATATTAAGCTTATGAAATAGGATCACAGTATTACATGGTCAGTTTGAGGATGAGTCTGTGGATGCTTATTTGAAAACTGATGGGCTCTCATTCCTTTCGCATTCTTTTCGGAGTATTCCGTACTGCCGTGTGCATGGCAAACGTGGAAACGGTGGTTTCTAGAAAGCATCCTACGTAACTTGCCACTGGTACACTTTGTCTCTCTTGCCCTTTTGATATTTACCGGGCCTTTTTTTTCTTTCTCGAAGTGCTAAGTGAGAGGAGCTAATGATGGATGTCTAGGTACGTTAGACACCTAAGGTATATCTAATATCTAAAGATAGGTGAAAGGACATGCGTAATATAGAGGTGTGTTGATAAGAGACATAGCAGCAGCAGCTCGCACTGCTCTTGGGGGATGAGGCCCTACATCAGGATATAGTTCGATCACAACAACGCTGCCTTAAGGAAGGAGTACAACTGGACTGTGGTATATTGAGTATTTAGTGTGTACACTGTAGGTTAGGTAAATATGTGTAAGTGATTATATCAATGTAGTGATGAGGACATTGCCACTGCGTGCCATCTCAACTGCACTTGGAAGCAAACACCAAAGGAGCAAAAGTAACCAATTACGAGTGCTCGAATTCAAGTTCGGTAAGCTTTTGTTTGGTATGGAGCTTAATCAGACCACTCAGACCATCCAGACAGCTGATGATGGAGAAAATTGATTTTCTGTCGGCCAACTGATGGTCTTAGCTCGGTCTGGATCTCTAGTCGGCCCAGCTTGTTGGCCACCCAGAGGCTAGTTAAAGTAATCACAATGGCCATGATTGGCCATTTGAGTTATGCTTTGAAGACGGTCAACCAATCACCATAGATATGATGACCTTTACCTTTGATCAAGCTCGATCAGTGATGTCAGCAGAAGGACTTGTACTGATAATACTGTCCCGTCATCTGTTTGCAGACGCTATCAGCTTCGAGTACAAATATCTACTGCCCTTCTTCACGTTTTCCAATATTCCATCTCCCATCTCGACATCTTCAACATAACATCAACACACAAATCATACCTTCTAACTTGTATTGTATTTGCAAACACAAATCTCCAAACAAAATCTATCGACTATCCTCAACTTTACATTCCACCCTTCTTCATCACATCCTACTACCATTACAATGGCGACCCAAGTTTTACAGGCAACCCCCACTTGCTGCGGCAAGAACTCTGGCGGCGAGTGCGTGTGTGGTAAGTTTGAACTGTTCATCCATCATGGACGACACTGTATGAAGTAACTAACGCCTCTTCTTCTTTACAGCTAAACAAGCTACCTGCTCTTGCGGCCAGAAATCCGCCCTCGCGTGCAGCTGCGAGAAGGCTTCCACCGAGAACGAGTTGAGCGGCGCTCGATGCTCATGCCGTGCTCGTCCTGCTGGCCAATGCACTTGCGACAACGCGTCCAAAGAGAATGCGCCCGTTAATGGCAGCGCCTGTGCCTGCGGCTCTCGTCCCGCTGGATCTTGCACCTGCGAACAAGCCAGCTCGAACCCGAACCCGAACGAGATCGATTTCACCACGAAGTAGTCAAAAAGGCTTTGAGAGCATGCTAGTACGGGGATATGGCATTCATACTGAGTGATGCTACTGGCCATATGCTGTCATAATGGCTGTGGCATGTAAATGCAGCTCTGGAGAGAAAATCTAGGGGATTTCATCGGATGGCATGGTGGTTGGAGTTCGCGGAGTTAGGTTTTCGGTAGCAGAGATACAATGCAATCACGTTTTTTTTTAATTAACTTGGAAGTCGTGCGACGTTTCCGGAGCCGCCTAAAAGTGATTTCATTGTTTCTATTTCCTTGAGAATCATCGAAGACCTAAGACATTCATGTTAGCCTTCGCCTACAACTATAATCAGCGGTTAAGAACCTCATCGAGCCATGAGTCATCACGAGTAGAAGTATGGCTGAGATGATACTGATTAGTTGAAGGAAAGAGACTGCCACCTACATATGTCAATATGAAGTTTTATGAGAGACATCCCACAACACTCGTGATAAGGCTTCACAACTATCCAGGTAGACACTGATGAAGCATTCCTAATTCAAGAAACCCAACATATGTATCGGTATATTTCTTTCCATAGATAATTATTTTGTACCTATCTAGGTAGGTGAAAGTGAAGGGTCTCAAATATCAATGGCTAGACAAAAACCAAAAAACCTTTAGATAAGAGTGGTAAATACGATTATTCGCTTCGCAAGTTTCAAGTACGCACATCTGAGTAGATTATTTTTATTGACCGCCTTTCCGAATTATCCCTTTTTCTGCCGGACAAAACATACCAAAAAACCAAGTTACAGGGGTTAGTAGAAGTTGAGATACCGATATGGAAGACAAAAACGCATTTGATAGGTAGACTGCGCGGGCGGTGAGAAGGATCGAATCTTTTCCGGACACTAGGGTCGAGGCCAGGGACCCACTGAAGCTTCAATAGAAAAGCTATGGTGGGGCCATTCTGTATTGTTTAGATCCAATTATCCATTATTTACGAGGTAGAAGGTACTAAGGACTAGGTGCACTTGTACTACATTGTACTACCTAGTACTACTAGGTACCTAAGTGCTACCCAGTAGTGTACAAGGTTTGTGCCCTGCATGCGGTAATGTGGATTGGTAATTGTGGATTTTTGGGCTTAAAAATTTCCTACCAAAAATCAAAGCGCGTTCTTTTCACTTTTCTTTCTTTTCGCTCTCACTAACTTCATCATCGTAAACATTCTCTTTCTTTACCCAACTTGTTCCTTGTCGATTATTCTTAACCATAAACAAAGAATAATCTACTCGGTATTCTTGTTACGCGTCAGGTTTGTCCCTGCGATTTCCGAATCACCATATTTGGTCAAGGACAATTCTATCCTATTCGGTAAGTCAAGACTCGTCTGATCAGATCAATCGAGAAAGACACGCGACTATTGCGTTACCCGTTACCCGCGCAGTTTAACCTACCCTATCCTACATACTCTTTCCTACATACCCAAACTGCCAAACCCAAACTCAATTACCCACTACCTATTACCTGACTAGGCACCTCACATAATACCCTAGGGTAGGTATCCAAACTTAGGTAGATTGATCCTACCATTGATCCTACCTACTTTACCTACTCACCTATCATTCTACCAATATTGAACCCACCCACTTACTTACCACTCGTACCCAACCCTCATTCTTACCACACCTTTGTACTTCCTTTTAATTTCGCAATTCAACCCCCACAAACTCTCAATTCCTTCATCCTTTACTTACTGGTCACTTATAGACTATTTCCATCAACATCTCCATCAATAGTTTCCATCAATCTGAAAACTATCATACCCTCTACATCCAGCATCAACTGGAAACAACAATACGCGATGCCTCCTAAAGATCGCAAGGCTTCGGCCAAGTCCGGCGTCACTAAGGCCGCGACCTCAGCTGCATCGGCCAAGAACAGCCGATCAAACAACACATCCGCTGCAGGTTCAGCTCCTGGTCGCGCTAGCCGCCGCACCGCGAAACCCGCATCGAAGGTCGACGAAGAACTAGATGATGCTGGCGAAGAACAAGAGGAGACTGAAGTAGAAAACAGTCGCACAATCAAACCCGAAAAAGCACAGCCCCGAAAACGACCCGCCGCCAAGAAGAATGCCCCCTTGACCAAAGCCCAGAAAGAGGAGGAAGCCAACCTTGTCCGCAAAGAAGGGGAGCGACAAGCCAAGCGCAAGAGAGAGGAGGACACGGAGTCGGATCATGACGACGACGAAGTCGCAGAGCCTAAGCAGGCTCCTGTTAAAAAGCCTGCTGCTAGAAAAGCCGCAGCGCCCAAGAAATCGGTTTCGCCGAAAAAGCCCACCAAGAAGCCTGTCTCTAAGAAAGCCAAGACTTCTCAGGAGGAGGACTCTCAAACTGAAGCGCCACCTGCAGCCAAAAAGGCTCGCACCGAAGCCCAAGTCAACGGCGCTGTCGTAAGCCCCCCTGCAAAAGCTGCTGCCCGCACTCGTGGACCTGGTGCCAGAGGTGCTGTACTCAACGCCGTTCCCTCGACGCAGTTTGATGTCTTCGTCTTTGGCGAGGGAACTTCAGGTGAACTTGGCCTCGGGAGCAAGAAGTATGAGGGTAAGAAGCCTATCGACGTGCGGCGACCTCGTATCAACCACAACCTCAAGGGCGTCGTCGCTATAGCTTGTGGTGGTATGCACTGTGTCGCTCTGACTCATGACCAGCGGGTCCTCACCTGGGGCGTCAACGACGACAAGGCGCTAGGCCGTGACACTCACTGGGAGGGTGGCACTCGTGATATTGAGGGGGACGAAGATTCAGACGATGAAGATGATACCGGCATGAATCCTAATGAAAGCACGCCTGGCCCAGTCGACCTTAGTGCGATTCCCGAAGGAACGAAGATCTCCCAAGTTGCCGCGACTGACTCTGCCTCTTTTGTCGTCACAGACGACGGCTGGGTCTATGGATGGGGCACTTTCCGAGGTTCCGATGGTATTATCGGTTTCAGCGAAGGCACCAAAATCCAGCCATCTCCCATCCTCATCCCCGGTTTGAAGGAGATCAGCCGACTGGCCTGTGGCTCCAACCACGTCCTAGCCATGGATAACTCGGGCAAGGTCTTTACCTGGGGTAGCGGAGGCCAATACCAGCTTGGTCGAAAGCCACTGAGCCGTCTAGGAGGTCCTACTGCTGGACTAGCTCCCCAGCCGTGCAGCAAGTTTTCCAAGAAGCATTTCGCCGTTCACGTAGGTGCTGGCTCGTATCACAGCTTTTATATTGACAACGAGGATCGAGTCTGGGCTTGGGGCTTAAACAACTACGCACAGACCGGACTCAACGTGCATACCGGAGAAGACGATGCGATGGTCCTTCGACCCCAGATTGTCCAGTCGCTTGTGGACGAGAAGATCCGCCAAATTGTGGGTGGAGAGCATCACTCGGTAGCTTGCACAACTGATGGCAAGCTTTTGACCTGGGGGCGAGTAGATGGCCATCAAGTTGGCCACCCATCGAGCCTCTACACCGAGGAAAACGCTGTCTTTGACGATAACCAAAAACCCCGAATCCTGATGGAGCCGTCCGTCATCAATGGTATGTTTTTTTCTTTTGTTTTTTTGCTATCGTTTCCACGAAGTAGGCTAACCATCATTACAGACGTCAAGGCAACATTTGTCGCAGCGGGCACGGATACCAGCTTCGCCATTGATGAGGCAGGCAAGGTTTACTCTTGGGGCTTTTCAGCCAACTACCAGACAGGCCAGGGAAGCACAGATGATACCGAGGTCCCCACCGTGATTGACAACACGGCCATTCGTGATAGGAAGATCGTCTGGGCCGGTGCTGGCGGACAGTTCTCGATGGTGGCAGCTGAGGCAGCGGCTCAGTTGACTAACGGCCATTAAGTGCTGTTATAAAGATTGGTGGTATACACCCACATGGCGGTAAAAAAATGATGGCGTACGGAGGCCTCAAGGTTGTACTAGTATAGAGTTGCATATTGCATATTTCATTTTCGGCTCGAAAGGAAAATTCGAGTCTTTGCATGGGGTCTGGGTGGGCCTTAAGTCCATCACTACGACTAGATGACTCGATAGGAAGATGCCCTTTGGGCAATGGACGAACGAGTGTGGAATGGACAACGCGCCTCTCTTATGGGGAGTTCTTTTTCAGAGAAGTGGCTTCAAGGCAATTCTTGTGATATGGTGATATTGTGAACAATGGCAAACCCCGATGCTTCTGAGGCTTGTGAAATAATGCGATGGCGTCTCGGCCCTCTTCTTTTCATTTTATGTATTAGAATCGTGTGAAAATTGATATGGTGTCTACGGTGAATGAGTGGCGGTTGAGGGCAGTATGGTGACGTAAGGAGTAGCACACGTAACTCCAAATATGATCTGTGACCGGCTACATGGGTAGGGGTGCTTTGCTGTATTTAAAGCATATCATGAAATCGATCAACCCTGCTCCTGGTATACAACCTACATACCTACCTACATACATAGGAGTCGGCTTGAACCTTATGACATATCGCATAGCAGGTACATTACCTAGGTACATACTCCGGTAATCAAAGTTCGTAGGTCAATTATCAACTTCATTCCTTCTTTTCTTATATAGGTATAAAGACCGCATTAAAAAAAAAAAGAAAAGCAAATAAAAGCAAGTGAAAATGCTGGGCCGTCTACTCCTCACCGTCGACGCCCTCGGCATGTGTTTCGGGACCATTATGGCCGACTGCCTCAACGAGACGCACATGTTCAATCCGCGATGGCGACCGCATGCTAAGTGAGTTTTTTGTTCCTCCTAATCTCCTATCCCCCCCCCCCTTCTCTCTCTCCTGTAGGTACATAGATATTAGACAACTAACACACACCACCCCCCCAACAAAAAGATTCCACAACGCCCAAACCGTCTTCCTCGCCATCATCCTCTCCCTCATAACCCTCTACTACACCTGGCGCCCCACCACCACCACCACCACCACCACCAAGCCCCAAACCCTACAAGCAGAGCTCCGTCTCCGCCGCGAATTCCTCTTCGTCGCCGCCCTCTCCGGCTCCATCTACTGGATCGCGGGGCTGCTAAGCATCCTGCCCCCCGGAACAATGGGCCTGGACCCGGAGTTTGGCGGGCCCGGGTTCCCGCAGGCGAAGATCTTTGTTGGGTTCATGGCGGCGGGGTTGGCGGGGGCTTGGTTGGAGTATCCGTGATTGTTTTTTTGGGGACGTGAGGAGGGAGAGGGGGGGGAGGGGCGTTTGTTAGGTACCTACCTACCTACCCTTAGCCCGATATCATGTCGGATCCCATCCTCATACCTACAGGGGATAATATCGTCATGGCCTTATCAGATCTACTTAGGTACTCACTGACGAGAGAGACAATATTGCTCTGTCTGCACCTGCAGGTACATAAATAGGAACTTTAAAATGAAAATACCTACCTATAACTATATCACAGCGATGGAAATCCTGCTACCTACCAGCTTCAGCTTGACCCCGCCGCGATTAGGTGGTCAAGGGACCCTACACTTATGTACACTCCATCCAATATCACGACAGCACGTATCGCAATCCCGAGGTTGCGCATTTATTAGCACTCTACTACTAGGTATGAACTAGGTAGGTGTGCAAGCGAAGTATCCAGCTGACAAGAAAAATACGTATTGCTAATCTGAATTCTTGAGCAAGTTGTAAAGATGATGCATAGGCAGGTGCCCTCATGTGTACTATATAAAAGATTGACCGAAGTGCAAAAACGTGATGAATGCGACGACGTATGCTCTCTTCCTCCCTCAAAACAATCAAAAAAAAAAACCTCCCTATAAAAGAAATTACCTCCCTCCCCAAATACCTATTCTCGTTATTCTCGTATACCTAGATACCTTACCTTACCTTACCCTACTTCCCCTCCATCCTCTCCCCCAACTTCGCCGCCACCAGCCCCGCCAACTGCCTCAGCGTGCCGCTCCCCACGATCTCGAGCACGCTCAGCGTGAGCCCGAACGCGCCCTTGAACCAGCGGCGCAGCTCGATGGCCATGAGGGAGTCGAGGCCCATCTGCGCGAGCGTCAGTCCCAGATCCACCTCCTCCTCGGGGCGGAGCAGGAAGTCGTAGATCTTGCGTCCGATCTCGTGCGCGAGGAACGTGAGGGTGCTTTCGGCTTGGAGAAGGGTTTTCCCGCCGTCGGGGGAGGAGGAGGAGGAGGAGGAGGCAGCGATGCGCGTGAGGAACTCCTGCAGCGCGTTGTTCTTCTCGCTGGTCTTGGCGCGGTCTTGCAGCCGCACGTTGTGGTAGATGCCCATGCGCCGGTCGCGCCGCCACATGGTGCGGCTGCTCGGGTCGTCGAGGTCCTGCTCCGAGCGCAGGCCCATGATCACCTGCGTGCTGTTGTACCACGGCGTCGGCGGGACCGGGCTCAGCATGGGGCCGCTGGGGTGGGTGGGATAGCTATCTAGGAGGCCTAGCTCCAAAAACTCGAGAAACTCACGCTCCGTGAGCAGGTACAGACCCTGGGCTTTGATGTTGTGCATGGCGTGCGCGTTCTCGGCTACGAAGCCGACGTCGCTTATGGGCCCGATGTTAAGGACTGAGGCTGGCAGGCCGAGAGAGTGCCGGTAGCGGCAGAAGGATTCGATAAACATGTTGGCCGCGACGTAGTTACCTTGTCCGAGGGAGTCGGCGACGGTGACGAGTGAGCTGGCGAGGAAGAAGAAATCTAGTGTGTCGAACAAGAACGCTTTGTGGAGATTCCAGGTACCGTCGACCTTGGGCGCGAGTGCATCTTTCCATTGCGACCATTCCATATCTACAACTGGGACATCCTGTAGGATTCAGTTAGTATGAGTAAAGCAGACAGTTGCTTTAATTCCGAAATAAGATTCTTACCCTGAGTACCATGGCCAACTGTATGACCCCCTTGATAGGAGACCTTGACCGGCGAATGGTTTTTTGGACGTCATCCCTCTGGTCAACACGCCCGGCAACCGCCGTAACGGAACAGCCCATGGACTCCAACTCCATGAACAAGGACTTGCTCACATCGCTGACGCCCGCACTACGCGAAAGGAAGGTCAGGTTTCGCGCACCTCGCTCTACCATCCACGTGGCGATCGATCTACCGAGACCTCCAACACCACCTACGAGCAGGTACGTGGCAGCGGGATCGAATTCGATGTGGCGAGGCTGAGGCGTAGACTCGATGGCCGTCTGCGAGCTTAGCTCGGGGAATCTAACAACAACTTTGCCCATATGGTCGCCATCTTCTAAATGACGGAACGCCCTAAGTATCTGTTTGGCGTCAAAGGTGGCAATGGGCTCGATCGGTCGGAGTAAGCCTTGCTCGTAGTAGTTGACAAATGTGTTGAGCAGCCTATTGCATCGTTAGTATAAACATAGGTGACCAGTAATTTTCAAACAAGTGCTGGCGATTTTCGGGACTCACCTTCTCAACCACTTCGGCCGCTCCCTAAACTGAGACAAGTTCACACCGTGGTAGGAGCGGTTATCCCCAAAGGGCAACATGTTCAAGCGCCCAGAACCGTTCGAGTCCCGCAGGCCGAGCTCGACCATAACACCGAACTTGGCGACGCAGCGCCAGGACTCGTGCAACAGCTCGCCAGACAACGAGTTAAGCACGAGGTCCACACCACGACCATCCGTCTCCCGCATGACGCCCTCGGCGAACGACGCGTCTCTCGAGTTAAAGATGCGGGATCGCGGGAGCCCGAAGTTGTCCATCAGATACTGCACCTTCTTCTCGCTGCCGACCGTGGCGTAGATCTCCGCGCCGAGCATCTGGCTCATCTGCAGCGCCGCAAGCCCGATGCCACCGCACGCCGAGTGGATTAGCACACTCTGGCCCGCCTCCAGCCGCCCTATATCTAGGAGGCTGTGAATCACGGTACCGAAGCACACGGGGATGCTGGCTGCGGCATCGAAGGCCAGGTCATCCGGGATCTTCATCACGATCTCGGCTGGCGCTACATTCCTGGTCGCGAGACACCCATTGCACAGCGCCATCACCCGATCACCCGGCACCAGACCCGTAACCGCGGAGCCCACTCGGCGGACCACGCCGGATAGCTCGTAGCCAAGGGGGACCCGACCCGGCACAGCGGATTGTATGATGCCCCTCGCCAGCACGACGTCGCGGAAGTTGAGGCCTACTGCGCGCGCCTCAATTTCGACGTGGTCTGTGGGTAACTCTGCGGGGAGAGGTTCGTCGATCCAGTGGAGCGATTCCATGGAACCTAGCTTGCCGACGTTCAACGCTGTCCTGGTATGCTCAGCCGAGGGCTTTTCTACTGGGGCCTCGCTTCCCTCTTTCAGCCGGTCGGTTAGCGAGAAGGGGTGGTACCGTGGGATGCAGATCTGATTGCCCTCGACCGCGAACTCGCGGTCCGGCGCCAGCGTACCGATGTCTTCCTGTATGCGTATTTTCTCGAATACATCGAGAACCAGATCTGCGAACCTGGCTTCGCTCGCCTGAATTTCGAGGGTGCAGAGTCCGGGCACTTGCTCGGCACGTAGCGTGCGCGCGACGCCTAGGAATGTCGCCGGACGGGGGTCTTCGCACCGGATTTGGACCGGCGTCGTTAACCAAAGCACTTTTTGCTGTCCAAGAGCCCTCGCGAACTTTTGCAGGCTGGTGAAGGCGTCCTCGGTCAGGTTGACGAACCAATCACTTTCCAGATTCAGCACCGAGATGATGTCCCGGTCTACAGGGGGGTTCGAGGTCAGAGCACATGATGTGACGTCCCAGCCTTGGAGCTGCAAAGCCGAGCTTAGCGTACGGGTCACCGCCGTGTGTTCGTCGCCACACAGTAGAGCCACTTTCTTAACGGGGACTGTCTGTTTGGTCTGCGGCCTGGAAACGATGGTGACGATTTGGTTATAGGGTTCTTCATCATCAGACACAAAAGAGTCCACACCGGAAAACCCGGCGCCTTTGAGTTCGGTATCCCATCGGTCGACCGGCATTAGAGGATTGGAAGGTCTCCCGTCGGCCTCTCCCAACCACCACCCCGAGAAGTGACCGAACACATAGTTGGCCGTTCGCAAGGTAGGAAGGAGTTCCGTAAGCACCAGCATACCGTCTGGTTTCAGTAGCGATCTAATGTTTCTGAGGGTCTCCTGGATGACGGGCGTAGCGTGCACCACATTGGCTGCCAGGATCAAGTCGTACGACTCCTTTTCTCCGCCCGTGAATCCCTGCTCGGACGGCGACTTGCTGATATCGAGGACGGTGTACTCCATGTTAGGCGCGTACGAGAAGCGCTCGCGGGCCTTGACTAGGAATCCGGATGAGACGTCGGTAAAAGTATAGACGGAGTAGATGGGGAAACCGCCCTCGTCGACAAGGTCGCGCAGGATCAGCTCCGTGGTGCCACCGGTGCCGGCGCCAACCTCGAGAATCCGTAGGTTGGGGCGTGAGTTGGAGAGCAGGCGCACGAAGTCGCCGTACCCGAAGCTCGTATGGTTGTAGATCTCGGTCAGCAGGTTACCCTGCATGAGAACTTCCAGCGTCTCGCGCGTGCCAGAAAAGATCTCCGCCGCGTGGTCGCACACGCGCTTCGTGCCGATCGAGAGCGCGCGGTGGGAACCCTTCTCAAGGACCGCTAGATGCGACTCGATCATGTCCTGCTGGGCCGCTGAGCTCAGACCTATCAGCCGCGCCGCGTCGTCGACGAGAGGAAACTGGCTTTTCCCCGCGCCGGCTAGCTGGATCCCTTCTTTCATCCACTCGCGGAGCTTGGCGAGGTGTGGCTGGCACGGATTTATTCCTTCGGTCTTCCGAACCTCCTGGAGCATGCACAGGAAAGATAGCTCCTGCTGTAGCCTGAGGTGTTCCCGGTCGGCCTTCGGAGGTGCGAAGAGAGTCTTATGATCTACAAAGTCGAAGTCAGGGAGCCACTGCACATGTGCCGCAGCGTGTCTGTCGATCAACTCGACTGCCTCGTCATTGTCCTCGAGGGGCGCTAGCTGTAAACCTCGCATCCTCAGCGCTAGGCGTCCGTCAGCCACGCACTCAACTTCACCGAGGCGGACGTCGCCCTTTTTAGTCCAGGCACGTGCGTGCATCTCCGACGCTCCTTGGGAAATGACGAGCTCTTCGATGGAGGTCGGTACATATAAGCCGTTAAAGTTACGGCAAAGCCCCTGAGCCGTAGCGATCATGAGAAGTTGTAGGCAGCCGTCTATTGCTACGGGGTGGAGGCTGAATGGGGATGAGGTATGGTCGTGCTTGTCCACCAAATTTGCTTCTGCGACTTGCGCGGTAGCGGATGTGACGATATCAGTGAGGGATTGAAACTCGGGACCATATATGAATCCGTTGTGCTCCATGGCTTCGTAAAAGGCCGAGCTTGGCAGTTTGCGAGGTAGCTCCTCCGCGGTCCAAGGCGATGTGCTACTTGCCTCCTCGATGTGTTTAACCTCTCCCGTACAGTGCTTGATCCAGGTGGACCCGCTATGCGATGTGATGTTGAACTCATACCATTGGGACTCATCCGTGTCCGTGAGCCGTTTTTGGCGTAGCGTCGTAACTATTTCTGTCGGTTTTTTGTCACTCAGAACTAAAGCCGTCCGAGCCACTACATGGCGGAGGTGATAGCCAGATCTTGTGTTTCCCTCGGCCACCTGGCGAATAGCTTCGCCGGCCATGGCGACGTATCCAGCGAATGGGAAGACAATATCTTGCGCAACTTTATGATCAACCAGCCAGGAGGCATCATCCAGGTGTAGGACGTTCCGCCACAGTGGCTCCGCATCTGTTGATTCGGTAGACCTCACACCAAGGATACAGTGATGAGGATACTTACGATGCCGCCACGCCGTGGCCAATCGACTTTCGTCCCAGAATGACTGACTGCCGTGATCCCATGAGTATGAGGGCAAACCTGTAACCACCCGACCGCCGGTGAAAAGAGGACCGAAGTCGATGTTGACATTCTCCTGGAAAAGCCTGCCTAAGGCAGATAGCAATGATACGACACTGTCTGTACCGCGTATCTGCGAGGAAACGTAGTTGCATTGCCGCGAGTTGGCATTGCAAATCTGGCGGAGAGGTCCAGCCAGTGCTGAGTGAGGGCCGATCTCCAATAGGATATCGGACTCGTCTCGTAACTCGAGGAGGTTTCTGACTGCGGTGCTGAAACGCACGGGTGAGACGAGGTTGGAAACCCAGTACTCTGGTCCGAGATCAGCGGAATTATTTATTACCTTGCTCGTGACACTTGACATGAATGTCGTCGAAGTTACAGACATGATGTTGCCTTCAGCGATGCCCATTTCGTCTTGCAGCAGGTGGAGGTACTCCTGAGCAAGTGGGTTCATATGATCTATTAGGTAAGTTTGCAGTCAGCTATGGTTTCTTACGTATAATGGGCGGGCTGATACTGCTTACGAGAATGATATGCCATGTCAACTTTTAGCAGACGGGTAAAAGTTTCGGGCTTCGCTGCTTTGATGGTGGATATGGCCTGCTCGACTAACAGCCTATCTCCTGATATGGTTGTGCTCTGAGGACTGTTCTCACACGCAACCACGACACCCTTTGGTAGAAACTCCGTCACCTCTCTAGTACCAAGTCCAATTGCGGCCATGGTACCGTTCCTGGACTTATCGGTGGAGGATACAAGACCACGGTAGTACGCCGCTTTGATGGCAAACTCGAGCGATATATATCCCGCAGCATATGCGGCGGCAATTTCTCCACTGGAGTGCCCAACGACGGCGGTTGGTATTACCCCTATTCGCTTAAACTGTCGAAAGACTGCGATTTGCAGTGCTGTACATAAGGGCTGCGATAATTCGGCCTTGTTCATAAGGCTAGTCTCGGCAGGTTTGCGTAGCTCAGCTGGAAGCGTAGGAATTTCAAATCAGTGCCATACTTGAAGATGAATTTCGGAGTATTACTGAGTCTTACCTTCAATTGTCCATTTCGGGGGCCTTGCGGCATGCTTTAATATGCTGTCCATGAGATTGATGTCCTCCCGGAACTCAGCGCTGGTAGCGAGTAGTTCCTTTCCCATCCCGGCCCACTGGCTTCCTTGGCCAGTGAAGACCATCGTAACTTTACGGTGAGATGGCTTTCCCGGCGCTCTTACTATACCGGAGGTTTCTATTACCTTATCCCCCAGGTTGATCGCGAAGGCCCTGTGTGGAAACCGTTCCCGACGGAGAGCCAACGTATAGGCGACATCATGTAGGTTTGAGAGGTGCTGTGAGGCATATTCTTGGTATAAATCTATCTGCTGCTTGAGTGAATTTTGGGTGTTCGCCGAGAAGAGAAGAAGTTCTGGCCGTGATGCCGAGGCTGCCCCAAGGTTACGTTCTATTCCTTTTGATTGGGGAAATGAGTCGAGGATGACCTGAAATGGTTCAGTTTTTGTCCTTCTTATGCCGGAACTTATTTATAACTTACGTGTGCATTGGAGCCACCGATACCAAAAGAATTCACACTAACCCTTTCTGCTCTATTTAAAGGAAAGGGGATTGGGCTTGTTGGTACCGTAAGCTTCTTTTCTTTGAATGGGACTGGAAATTTATTCATTAGCTATCAGTCTTAGTAGCCTTAGGTTCGCGGACTTACTCTTGGGGTTGGGGTTATCGAATTTGATATTAGGGGGTATCGTCTTATTTTCTAGAGCTAACACAGCCTTGATTAAACTCGCCAGGCCAGCAGATCCCTCGCAATGGCCGATATTAGGTTTCACGGAGCCGATGTATACACCATCGGCTCCGAAGATCTCACCAACAGCAGAAGTTTCGATCGGGTCACCAACGGAGGTTCCCGTGCCATGACACTAAAATGTAGGCATAGTATGATTAGCCTCAAATTACTAGGAGGTTGGCGGAAGGGGTAGGGGAATGATGTGTACGGACCTCCACAAATGCCGTCTCGGATGGATTTAGCCCTGCGTCAGCATAGACCTTTTTCATGAGCGCCTCCAGAGCTTCTCCTCTTGGAACAAGCATACCCTGGCTTTTACCATCGCTGTTTGCTGCAGTACCCCTGATTACTGCTCGGATAGGATTGCCATCACGTATGGCGTCTGTCAAACGTTTGACATAAACGGCAGTGAAACCTTCGGCTCTAGCGTAGCCGTTGGCCGAGGCGTCAAAACTCTTAGATGACCCATCAGGAGATAATACTCCTTCTGATGTCATAAGCGCTGTGAGAGCCGGCCCGAGTATCATGTTTGCACCGGCAACAACAGCCGCAGAAGCATCGCCAAATTGAATAGCCCTGCAAGCCTCATGCAGAGCTATCAAAGATGCTGAACAGGCTGTTCTAATCACCATGCTACATAATTGCAAATTCGACGGTTAGTCAGATCTCACAAGTTCCATGTAATACAGGGGGTGGATAGCTCACCTTGGCCCGCAGAGATCATACTCGTAAGACACGCGGTTGGCAAGCATCCAATCGCCAGAGCCCGTGACAATATGATTGCCAACATGCTGATCCTCCTTGCTTCGCATGTGCAGCCACTCGTCCCCGAACGTGCCCACATAGCACCCGATTGGCTTGCCACGATAGTTAACTTCTCCCGCATCATCGAGACATTCTCGTGTAACCTGTAGCAGTATTCTCTGCTGGGGGTCACATCTCTCCAGCTCTACCTGGGTCATGGAAAAGAGAGAAGGGTCAAATCGGGAAAGGTCATCGTCTAGGTAGTAACCGAACTTCGTTTCGATACTTCCTTTGCCCTTTAGCGAGTCGTCAAACCCGGCCGTATTATACCGGCTATTCGGAACGGGGCCCCGGGCGTCGCGGCCGTTGACCAGAAGATCCCAGAAGTCATCGGCGTTTCGAATGCCGCCAGAGAGCCTTACGCCGAGTCCACATATGGCTATAGGGGCAGAGGCTGGTCCTGGAGTGCCCGTATCTCTAATCTCCTCGAAACTGGAAGATGCCGAGGAATAAGATACCGAATAGCCATTTCTTCCGTTCATTGTGACAAAGTGGGCGGAAGGGAAATCCGGCCGCAGTAGTCAAGGGTAATACGAAAGATCAACTAAGTCGCGTTCCTGACATGTCAGTTGGGGGAGGTGGCGCGAATATGATAGACGAGAAGAACTTGTTTCACTTTAACTAACACGATCGAAATCACGGGAACTTGCTTGTTCTTATCACAAAAGGGGCTGAATTGTATGCATCTCTTGGATGCTCGGGCAGTCGGGAGAGAGTGCTAATCGAGTTGAGGTCGTCTGACCACGAGAACTGAATAGAGTATAGTTTTGGTTAGTGGTTGTAACCCAATGCGGAAGAGGATTATGTATATTATAGGTAGATGGGGACGTCAAGTGTTGTTGAGACTGGTATGATGTTGTCTTCCAAGGTTTGGGATCATCGACGTAGATGACGAGATAAGCAAGCTTAATGAGACTTTTGGTCTCATCTATCCCGCCTCAGCGCCGGTCCAAAAGTTCACGAAGTCTGGTAGGCTGCCCTTCCCGTCGTGGAGCCAATAGAACAATGCGTTCCCGATATGCTAGCATCCAGCCGTACGGCAACATGTACGTTGGTGCAAGTATGCGGATTACCACGTCGTGCTAACCCTTGCTTCAGCTATAGAGGCATTGCGATAAGATGGATGCCGTTCACTACTGTACCTAGTTTTGTAAGTTTTACGATATGCTAACTAGGGGGCGTTTCCTGATATGCTGGTCTTCCTAAAGAATCATCATTGCGAATAATAGGAATGGCAGGAATACCTAGTAGCGTACTAGCCGGGGAAGACATGGCCGAAGGCTAAGACAGGATGCTAGGTTCGTGTCTACAAAGGGCGTGCTAGGGGCGACGTTACATTGCCATGGCACAATCAGTTTGTAGTATACATGAGAACCACTCCCTTGGGATTTCTGTCTAATGTGTAGTGTGCCAGTGCTCCATATCGGGTTTGCCGGAGACCCCAACACAATGCAATGAGACTTGATGGAACTTGATGGAACTCGATGAGTTCTGCAGCAGATCGTACCGCAGTAACGACGGCATTGTTGGCGGCTCGTGTCTGTCTGTCTGTCTGTCTGTCTGTCACCGGCAGCCACGTGCTGAGGTACTGCAATGCAACTTGTACATGATAGGTATAATGAGCTCGGTCTCTGTCTAGTATCCAGTGGCTGATGTATAGATGCTGGATAGACATCCATGGATGAGTATGCAAATAGATCATGCGATGTCGCACATTGAGACTTAATTACGTGTAATTAGGACTACACTACATGTACATGTAGGAGGAGGAGGCATGTAAGATAGTAAAGTGGTTCGTGCTGAAGGTCGATCAGTGTGGAGTCGAATATGAATAGATCTAGGTACACCACTACGTACCTAGACAGACTAGGATAGTACCTACCCTATGTAGTAGGTTAACAGGGTTAGGTGTGAGTTTGTTAGCTGATTCTCAATTATCCTAGATCCTTGCTGAGCCGTTCGATCATGCTGTTGTGCGAGGTTGCACGAACCAGACCTTGGTCTCAGCTACATACATACTGTACATAGTACTAGGTAGTGTAGTTTATATTTATATAATGCATATATGCACGTAGGAGACGACTGGAAATAGATATACTATGTATATACATATGACATATGTAGTCTATAATAGGTGGGAATTGTTTGCACAATAAATGCAATATTAGTCGGTGTTGGTTGCTAGAAAAAGTAAATAAGCATGTCTCACTGCCGTCATTGAGTAAGTGGTAATCAATGGTATGTCAGTGCGATATTACATGCATGTGTTACGACAACCGAAAGTGCCGTTATCAACAGTTGAACATCGTGAAGGCGCTCAGAGTGAACCAAATAATACACCATATGGTTGGCACAAATGCTACCTATACATATTACTAGGAGCATAATAAGATTGCTCCAATCCCATCAATGTTGCTGACCAGCAGCTTGACGCCAATGACTACCTAGTTACTATGTAATTAATTCCATCACATCTTGTCTGATATGAGAAATTTTTTGATCCCACCTGGGCACACATACATAGTATGTACCTTCGTATTTAGCACCTTATTGTTGACCCAGTTTATCTCATGTCAGCCCATATGAAGGCCTAATGAAGGTATCATGTATGTAATACGCACTAAATAATATGGTTGGGAGGTGCACACATGCATTTAGTTATCATTGATATTACACTATTGATTTCCTTTTTCTATTTTATACGACAGACACAACTTATGAACATGTCTATAAATGCGCCGAGAGGCAAATAGAGCGCTCAGTTCCTTCTTTACTAGGAACCCTTGCTTACATCAGTGTAGCATCGTGGATTCCTCGCTGCGGATTGACATCCGCGAACGATATTTCAGCCTATGAATGGACAAGCTTCGGCGGGTTATCCGCTTTTGTCACGGTTATCGTAGCAGTAGGATCTGGGGTACAGGCAAGGATGATCAGTAGGTTGTATCTGCTAATTGTATCTACATACTAAATAGTAGCTGTGTCACCTATCTAGTGCTGTACCTACATATAATGCATTGTATCTAGGTAGTATTATGTACAACATGATTACTGCTGAAGGAATACCTTCCTAGTACATACATGTAGTGAATGTATGGTAGAAGAAGGAAAAAAAAAAAACCAATGAATTGAATTTTTCCATGCAAAAATAACATTGAAGTCACATCTCCTAGGTACTTGCCTACGTATATTCAATAATATTATGTATGAAGTTCGTGCCCGCCTTTCCCCTCCTGTCCTGTCCTGTCCTGTCCTGTCCTATCCTTCCCCTCCCATTTTTTTTCTTGTCTTGCCTTACTTCCGAACCACCCCTACTGTACTACTTTCATCTGAAAATCGAAGGCTAGGCGTATTCTTTGCTGCGTTGCTCAGGTAGGGGTAAGCTGAAATCAGCTTGATTTTGGTTATTGTTTGTCTTTGTTCACCAACATCCAACATACATACTATTTGTTAAGGTTGATCATTGCACACATGTGCAAGTAGTTACATCACTACCTACCCAACTCCAACCTACGGGAGCGGCCCGAAGCTAGCTGGTTACGCTTTGGCCTCATAGGCAGTTAGTGCTCAGTTAACTAACTCCCTAGGCTCACTTATAAACATTGGATACATTGGATACTTATTTATCTAGGGGGTATATCAAATACACATATATTGATATGATAAACAGCCCCGACTGAACGGTATGGAGACTACTCAACACCCAACTTCAACCAGAGATCGTGGTCGACACCAATCATTGGCTGTGAGATCGTCGGCGTCTAGAGCCGCATCTAGCTCAACACGCTGTCATACCCCGCATAGCCCTCGCACCCCGTTGTACGCCGATACCTTCAATATTGACCATCCCCCTATTCCCATCTCTTCAAGTCCACCAACATCAAGCTCGGCTTCAACGACGACAGCCCAGCTATCTTCGCCAACTCATTCAATATCTAAAGGGACCGACGATTTTCAGTATACGCTAAGGTCGACTAGGAACGTTCCTGTTAGTTCCACCCCCCCCTTTTTTTTTTTCTTGTTTTTTCAATTTTAATTTCACATATTTATTGCATATATTTAATTTATTTCCCTGCTTTTATCTTGCCACTCGTTGGCCTATCTGTTGGCCATATGCATTATCTACCTACATTAAGTAGATACATACTAATAGCCAACATGAATAGCTCAACCCGGCATCCGAGCAACAATGGCCACGCACGAACCCCGACATTGACGCCGGTGATGATGATATTGATGGAGACCTTTCCGATGATGGCTCTGCCCATCGACCAAGTATGAGAAGGTGGGTAATCGCCCTTGTTTTCTCCGCTCAATCTAGCTAGAATCGGGAACTGATCATGGAACCTTCTACTCCCCCCAGAAGCTCCACCAAGGTGTCTGCTTCTAGCTCGTCTAGGTTCTTTCGCTCTATAGTCTACAAGTTTGGGCGCACATTCCACAGGAGTAGGCACCCTATAGCCATCCCAATCCTTCAGCAGGCGATAGTACTAACATCTAATTAATCTGAGAAGATTACTTTTTACCCCACGATAAGGTATGTATGTTTGATTAGATATTTATTGAGAAGTGTCTCCAGCTAAATTGAATGACCCCCTTTTTAGCAAGAACAAGAGAGAAATAGTAAGGCGCTGCCCCGTCAATAAGTTAACTAGAAACAAACTGATAAATGAAAACAAAAAGACCTCCAGCACGAAATTAGCGTTGAAGTACACGAAGGAGAGTTACATCTCTGCCCAGTAGTGAACCCTAGAAGAGTCCTCGATGTTGGCACAGGAACAGGAATATGGGCGGTAGATTTTGGCATGTCTCATCTTACCCCCCTTTGAGTTGCATTACATGTGAATCCGTTTAATAACAAGCGCCACAGCTAAGCGACACCCGGATAGTGAAGTACTTGGAATAGACCTGAATCCTGTTCCACCGCCACCATTCATCGTACCTAATTGCCAATTTGTGATCGCCGACGTTGACGAAGAATGGAAGTTCAACCGCCCGTTCGATTTCATTCATGTGCGAAGCTTAGGTGAACCGGCCGATAAGCATCACATATTCAAGTCGATATACGATAATCTGGCGCCCGGTGGCTGGGTCGAGTTTCAGGAATGGCTTCTCCATGTACAGTCGCCAGATCGTTCCCTCGAAGGCACAGCGTTCCATAAATGGAACAGATTAATAGCTGAAGGGAGGTTATCTCTTCTCAACTCGTTACTCTACTTAGCTATACTAACCTTTTACACAGGCACCAAAAAGCTAGGGAAATCGCTCTTCTTTATTTTGGACTACAAGAACTTGTTAGAGCAAGCAGGCTTCCAGAATGTTGTGGAACTGAAGTTTGCTGTCCCCACAAATGCGTGGGCTCCTGGAAAGCAAACCCAGAGGATTGGAACCCTGCAGAAGACCAATACACTGCAGGTCATTGACATATATTCGCTTAATGTATTTACCCAGGGTTTGGGCTGGACTAAGGAAGCGCTGGATGCTTTGCTAGTTTCAGTGAGGAAGGACATTGAAGACACCCGTATCCACTCCTACTCAACATTGTAAGGCAGAATAACGAGAAGATACTCGAAGAGGCGATCACTAACAAGTTGTAGAATGACGGTCTACTGCCAGAAACCTCCCTCCTCTTCTGCACCATCAATCGCTACGACAGGGTCATCCTCTAAACACCAAAGACCATCAGTATAGTAAATGGCTCTAGAGGGGTTACTGCACTTGTACCCGGCGTTGGAATTTCTTGGGAAAATTGTTATGGGGGCATACATGAAGGATAACAAGTAAGTATCATTGGGAATTGATACGAGCATATACCTACTGGGTATTTACTCAAAGAAGCGCGGCGTTATGGGGATGAACCGGAGATCAAAGCGAGTCCGAGGCAGGACATGGCGCCGATAATGTGAGGGAAACATACGTATTTGGCATCAAGGTAAAATTGAAGGCATACCTATTCATGAATATAGAGGGACGGTAAATCATACAACGGATACGCATATACGGGTCATTGAATCACTAAATCACCAGGCTTCACCAGACAGACATCAAGTATCACCATGCGGTAGCTCGGATGGATTTGTGGCCAATCACGTATGACGATGTAGCCGTATAGGGGAAGTACATTGTGTACCTGCCCAGTAGGCTTAGTATGTAGTATGTACCTACTTAGCATGTAAGGGGCGGGGCGTTGTGACACCATTCCAAGGTCCCCTTACCAGAATAGGGGTAAAACAAGTAAGCACTTAGTATTCACTACTTCATCGACGCGTATTACTATTGGATGACGCTAAAATCTGTGCAACTAGCTACGTAGGTAGGTTACCTACGCAGTAACGCCTCGTGGTTCACCTTGCACTACCACGATTTACTTATACCGCGTTACCTTGTCATAGGTTTATTTGCACGGTCAGATCTTAATCATAACGTGGACTGCTCTCAACTCAATTGGCGTCACACAGCCACAAGATAACCGTTCAGGTATGCACCGACGTAACAGTGATGCTGATATATTCCCCGATACCTAGTCTTCACCTTTTTTTTTTGCAACAGTTGGTGATGACATGTGCAACTTTGCGCCAAGTATGGTGTCCATCGCCAAGTGATTTCAACGGTTCGTATCCAAATTCCAAGACCAAGCTGTAGTTATATCACAACTTGGTCCTTGGCGAGTCATGCATATGACCTTTTTTGACATCCTCATGAGGGTAGAAATATTCCTAAGTGGAAGTAATATTCAGGGTTACTTAATGGTCACTCGGAAGATATATGAGCCTGTGGGACCATTCGAGCCCCTATTTAGCGCAGACCAATCAGCTTGAGCTATCGTTGCAAGATTCCAAAATGAGTTGGGACTACTTAAGTGGTTGCATATACGATAAATACGGAAATTTTTGTATTGAGATGGAAGTTGGATTAGGAGGATGAGTTTGATGTGAGATGTGAAGTAAGGTACTCAGGTAGGTACGTAAGCAAATAATAGGGGGTGTCTTATGGGGCACATCATCTACCCCTTTTTTCTTAACACCGACGGAGTTAAGACATCTGCAATCCTCATTTCCGTGGCTTTTCCTACTCCACGGTAAAATATAATCCCCTCTTTCACCTTCCTTAGACGATTCAGACATTACTAATGAGTACTCTTACTAATTACCTGTCATAACTTTCTGGGAAGTGTTTGCCTCGATTTCCCACGCATGTCGCCGTCCCCAATTTCCATGTGGGGTAGGTAGAGAAAGTAATGGCTGGTGTCGTATTTGAAGGCGGAGTATCAGCAACAGCAACAATAACAGACAACTGGATTAACTAATCCCAGAGGATAAGCCGAAACCGAACTCCGGCTAATATATCGGCAATATTGTGGAAGGTTACAACGATCTGTCATAATCTACTTACAGCACCTGGGGTATTAGGTAGGCATGGTGACAAACATAAAATACAATGGATGTTTCGGAACCTTGTGCCGAAAGTCTTTAGGGAGCTGACTCTGAAGACTTCGCACATCAGTAGGGTCAGTTATAAGAATCCTATAAATCATGTGATAGATAATTCGGGCTTGATGATGTTGTCGAAGGTGTCTGTCTACCTACCTACGTAGGTCCATGCATAGTGGCCCCCTTTAATGGGAACCGTGATGCGCACTACCTAATCTAGTGCTATCTGTCTACCATGGCTGCCATGTCAATTCACTACACAATTGTGGCTTTATCACACACCACACCGTTGTCTCCGGCGCATTTCCAGCCCTCGGTCCTAATCCTGTAGGTAAATAATTAGTCACCACTTAGAAAGCCCAATCTGATGATTTCAACATTGCCCCGCTGTCGATTCCTCCTACTACTACCGTGACACAAGTACATATTCAATGGACGAAGTTGGAGGGAAAAAAAAACTACCAGCACCCCTCTCTCGTGCTTACCAGAGTCTCCAAGCCAGCTAGCCTCCTCCGCTCTGTTTTTTGGAGAAATGAGCCCTTTTTGGTAGGAGAGTAAATATATCCTCGCCGTGCTTCACTTGAATATCCCATCATCTCCACTAGTAAGAAGCCAGCCAGCCCCCCCATCATGACGACGACCACCACCAAGCCATTCGACATCGCCATCGTCGGCGGCGGCATCAGCGGGCTCACGCTGGCCATCGGCCTCCTGCAGCAGAACGTCCCCGTGACGGTCTACGAGGCCGCGTCCAAGTTCGGCGAGATCGGCGCCGGCGTCGGCTTCGGCCCGAACGCCGTCCGCGCCCTCGCCCTCATCAGCCCCGAGCTCCCCCAGAAACTCGACCGCCTCATCACCTACGGCTGGGAGTCCCAGCGCATGAACTGGTTCCGCGCGCGGGTCGGCGACGCGCGGAAGGCTGGGCCTGACGGGGTGTTGAGGCAGGAGTGGAAGGGGCAGAAGAATGAAGGGAAGAAAGTGGGAGACCCCCTTTTCGACGTCGGCTACACCGACGCCGATGGCGTGAAAGGCGGCGTGCACCGGGCGCACCTGCTCGACGAGCTGCTCAAGCTACTCCCCGCCTCTGTGTCACATCTTGGAAAGAGGCTGGTCAGCATCGACCCTGCGGACGACGAATCCGAATCATCATCAGGGGGAGACGTGGTGCTGCACTTCGCGGACGGGACATCGGTGCGGCACAGCGCGGTCGTCGGCTGCGACGGGATCAAGTCCCGGACCAGGGATATCCTGCTGAAAGGCGAGGCGAAGGCCGTGTTCTCCGGGAAATACGCGTACAGGGGCTTGATACCGATGGACAAGGCGACGGAGATGCTGGGCGCGGAGATCGCGCAGAACTGCCAGATGTACATGGGGCATCACGGCCACCTGCTCACGTACCCGATCGAGAAAGGGAGGACGATGAACGGTAAGCAAGCAGCTCAACAGCATAAAACCAGGGGCCTTCCGATCCATCCATCCATCCATCCATCCATCTTTCTCACTAACCCAACAACCAGTCGTCGCTTTCAGCTCCTGCGACACCTGGTCCAACCCCGACTGGGTGGTCAGCACGTCCAAGGAAAAGATGCTCTCGGACTTCGCGCACTGGGGGCCCGACGTCGCCGCCATCATCTCCGCGATGGAGAAGCGCGACATCTGGGCGCTGTTCGACCACCCGCCCGCGCCGACCTACTTCGGCCTGGCCCCGCGCATCTGCCTCCTCGGCGACGCCGCGCACGCGAGCACGCCGCACCAGGGCGCGGGCGCGGGGATGTGCATCGAGGACTGCTACGTGCTGAGTCGCTTGCTGGGGGAGGTGCAGGGTGCAGGGGACATCGGGAAGGCGTTTAGGGCGTACGATGCGGCGAGGCGGCCGAGGACGCAGAAGCTGGTAAGCACGAGTAGGGAGGCGGCGATGCTGTATGAGTTTGAGCTGGTGGGCGATGATCTGGAGGCGATTGAGGAGAATTTCACGACGCGCATGAAGTGGATCTGGGATGTGGATTTGCAGGAGGAGTTGGAGAGGGCGTTTACGATTCTGAGGAGTTGATTAGGTAGCTTGGTATGGCAAGAGTTGGTAGTTTGAGAAAATATGGTTCTATTATCTATTTAATACTACCTAGGTAGGTATGTGCCTAAAGAGCTGCGATCAGTTGGCTTTTATACCTACTTAATAGCTAAATCTGTCTAGGTACTAGGTAGGTAGGTAGGGTGTCACTCCAATCGCTTTGTTCCGGTGTGAATTATGTCCCAACTGATGTCTCTCTGACGCTTCTCTCGATACCCTTTAGCAGATCTAGGTATTGACTCAGCTGTCGGTATCGAAAAGTTTTCATCTTATAGTTAGCTAGAGATAGTTCCTCAGACCCAACCGGTGGCAGCTTCATCTCTTTGATCTCATCGCCAAGATGAGCCATGAGGTGGCGTAGGTGGTCAATACTTATCGGATAGGCAGCACAGCACATGCTTGAAAAGGCGGCGGTGAGTGCTATGATGATATCTGGGCGTTTATCGTGGGCAGGGCGGAAGCGGGCCGCCATCGTCTTTGCTAAAGCAATTCGTTGGTCTAGGCTTTTATAAACAGCCATATCGAAGCGGCGATTCTGTTGGTAAGATTGCCCGGCTAGTGTATAGAACCCTCCTTCCCGGATGGCTTTGAAAGGGACGCAGGAGAAGGCAGGCCCGCTGATAGGACCATACGCTAGGTACTCATCTTGATAGTTTCCACGTGCAAGCTTTGCTTCATACAAGTCATCGACGGGGTAGATCTTGACATGAGGATCCAACAATTTCCTATCAATTAATGCGATGTATCCCCCTGGCTGAGAATTTGTATACCTTTCTGACACGATTGGTTAGCAAGCAACTTATCCGGTAAGTGGTATGACATCTCGCCACTAAGAGTCCCAGAGTGCAAAGGCAAACATACTAGCAACAGTGATGCAGGCTGCCCATGAGCTGAAGTCAGTGTCGATAACGTAGTTATCCAGATGACCGTTTATCATCCGTTTAAGGTCTTGAGATTCGTACATGTTAGTTGGTTCCTTGCCGTTGAGAAAGCCGTGCGGAATAATCCCAGCCCGACTATTCAGACGAGGATCAATCCCGCCTCCAGAGTATGGGCTAAATCCTCGAAATAGGAACCGCGGGGCGTTCTTTTGGGATTCTATAGAGTATTCAGTATTTTATCTCCTTGACATTTTGACTCTCGAGCTTTGTGTACCTAAATGTTCCCACGTTTTCCTTGAGAGATTGAGTTGCTTGAGGGTTTTTGGAGGTTTAGGGGGCGGTGGAGGCTGCTGTGACTGTATCTTTGTTAGTATTTGATTCGTAGCAGTATTTGTCTTAGGTTGATGCATAACGGTCAAAGATGGTAGAGGAAGGCGTACTGTTTCTGGTAGTCTAGCTCCAGGCAGCCGGTCGAAACCTGCAAAGCCCCTCTTGGTCTGTTTTGTAGGGGCCTCGATGTTGTTGTCGGCCGAATATTCAAGACTGTGTTTACCAAACATTGTTCAAATCCTTCACTGGCCCTATTCCAGTGTCGAATTTCACTATTCAAATCTCTGTTTACAGCTTATTTCATTCTTATGAGACGTACAGAGGCGGTGGCCCGGGTTTATAACCTTTCATTACACCATATCCTAAGGAACCGCTACCCCCAATATAGTTCCAAGTAGGTATCTCCTCTCATTTCTGTGAGGGACTCGATCGACCATGTTCCTACCAGATTCTTCAGCTACCTATCACTCGCTCAAGAATAAAGCATACCAGAGAAAATGTTTAGAATCTCGTAGATATAAAACGTAAATAGAAACCACACTGCCAAGTAACAAAGCAGACATTGAGTGAAGATGTGAATCTTACCCTAAGACAAAGTCTAGCTTTCTTAAAACCTCGAGATCTTCTTTATTACTTGGCTGAACCCTTCAAAAAGACTAGGTGCCGGGTTCTATTTTGATATAAAACTTCCGTTAGGTGATCATAGGCGAATATTAGTCCTGAAAGCACTGGAAAAAGCGAACCAAACCCACTTAGATACGCAACCTTGTAGGTTGTACGATGCACTATGACCTGTACCACTCCGATTAAGAACGAGAGGAAGCTGTATGTAACGTGCCAATATATCCAAGGACTAGAAGGTTGATCAGCTCTAAGGTTGCTACTAACCGGGAGTTCAGGGGTCGCTATATGGTATCCCACTGGGCTTCTTGACTGTAGTATACACATGCAGGTATGCAATCACTTAGGTACCTAAATTAGGGAAAATACCACGCTATGATATTCAAGTAAAAGAATAGAACTCCATGTATTGGTGCTCTCTATACCGTCTGCGGAGTCGGGATAACAGGCTTGTCGTGAACTAAACCCGTGGGGACCGGGACGAATCCCCTAAATTCCTAAGTCCGTCACGATCCATGCGGCGCAACACTGTATACCTCATGCTATATAATGATTCAAAGTGAAAGTTCATATCTACATACCTACATTAATTCTTCAAATTTAATATCTTATTTTTATTTCCACCTTAGTATTACACAATATCTAGTTACAGGTTCAACATGGCTCTCTCCAGTATTTTTCCCGAGTCATTAAAAGTAAGGGGTCGCTTCATAAAGCGACAACTCTTCGAAGAGCCTCCGGCCATATCACGAAATGATGTCAACCTTCACGGCAAAACCGCCATCGTTACAGGCTCCAATACTGGACTCGGATTTGAGTGCAGTCGTCAGCTCCTGAGTCTAGGGTTAAGCAAGCTGATCCTAGCCGTGCGCGACAAGGCTAAAGGGGAGGCAGCTAAAAAGGAGTTGGTAGGCCAGAATACAGAAGGGGTCGTCATCGAGGTCTGGGAACTCGACCTCTCGGTATACGATTCTATTCTGAAGTTTGTCGAACGAACGAAGACCCTCGAACGAATAGACATCGTCGTCCTCAACGCCAGCGTTGTCAAATTTTCACTGCAACACAACCCGAACACCGGCCACGATGAAGTCATTCAAGTGAATTGTTTATCTACTTACCTTCTGACCATATTGCTGCTCCCAGTACTTAAAAAAAAGAAGGGGAACCAGTCACAGAACCCCAGTCGCTTAGTTATCGTAACCTCTGACACTGTCGACTGGGCCATCTTTAGGGAGAAAGAAGCAAGGCCCCTATTGCCAGCCTTCGACAAGCCCGAGTACTTCGACGACCAAGATCGCTATCCTACCTCCAAGCTCCTCGGCCAACTCTTCTTGACAGAGCTAGTGAAGCGCGTGCCGCCGTCTGTAGCCATCATCAACGCGCCTAATCCCGGGCTATGCTACGGAACGGGGCTGAATAAAGACGCGGATGGTACCCTTACAGGCTTTATCCTCCACCTGATGTGTAGCATCCTGGGCAGGTCCCCTGCTGTCGGCGCTCGTGCGATCACTGACGCGGCTGTCAACCATGGGGAGGAGTCTCATGGCCGACGTCTGGAATGCGGGCAGCTGTACGAGTAAGTCTTTTGCACGGGGTACTACCTAGATTGTCAGATATATGCTCACAGTCAACTTCTCAGTATGCCACCGTTCATATACACACCCGAGGGCCAGCAGATCGCACAGCTACTATGGCAGGAGACGATTGATGAACTTTCTTTTGCGTGCGTTGGCGAGATTATCGACCGGGAACTCAGACAATAATCACCGATATCGTTCTGGATCGGTAGGTAGGCCAGTGTACATAGCAAAACGTCATATCAAACCAGCCCCTGAATTATCCATTTCCTCAAAGATATATATATATATATATATATATACCCTGATATTTATAGATAGGACTTAGTGACTATATCGCCATCTATTTGGGTATGCAGTATCCCTCAGTAGCAGCGAACTGGTACAGGCCTCTCTATACTTACCTTAGGTAGGTACCTAGCAACACAGATCTAAATCACACATCATACCGATCCGTATGATGCTGAGCCGGGCGGTAGATGAAGTAATCAAAAGTAGCAGGCAACGCAGTCCCATTGACATCCGAGCACGCCATCCCCACAAACGCGCCTGTGAAGCTCCCATGCGCCTGGTGACCACCACATTCATCAGACAGGATAGAGGCATCGTACACCGGCCCAATCCTTTTCAACTCCTTCCCCTTCCCCTCTCCCTCCAGCGCATAGAAGAACCGCAACTCGCGGCCGCGAATACTCAGCGCCAGCCTCACCTTCCCCTCGTTAGGAATCTGCACGGGCTCCGCAAGCGGCTTGTTAAGGTTGCCATCCGGCCAGGACTTCTCGGACGTCAGGAGCAGCAGCTCGCGCTGGCCGTCCGCGTGCGCCGTCACCGTCAGGTAGAAGAAGTTGTAGCGGCAGTAGTACGCCGCGAGCCCCGCGAACTGGCGCTCGTCTGTCGGCGAGAAGTCGACCACGGTCTCGGCGTCGTACGAGAAGTGCGTCTGCCGCCGCGCGACCAGCGCCTGCTCGAACCACGAGCCGATCGCCTCCCGCCCGAACAGGGTTAGTTTCCCGTCTTTTCTGGTGGCGAATATGCGCTCCGTTTCCGGCGTCCGCAGCCATTGGAAGTCCTTGTGCAGCCCGTTCTCAAACGTGTACCGCTGCTCCGCCCAGTACCGGCTGTCGTCACGCACTCCGGGCACTTCTACTTGAAGCGAAGGGACGGGGCCGTTTTTCACGTAGAGCCAGTCGTCCTTCCAGAAGGCTTCTTGGATCGCTGTCTCGCGGCCTAGAACACAGCGGCGTTCTTGGGTTGTGGGACGGCCGGTTAAGTGGACCAAGTACGGCTTCCCCTCTGGCGTCTCTACGATATCGCCATGCCCGGCCCTCTGCAAGGCAGCGAAGGGTGCGTCTTTGGAGGTGAGGATGTGCTTCTCCGGATGCACCTCGTACGGGCCCCAGATATCCCGAGCTCGAGCTAATGTGCAACCGTGATGGTAAGCAGTACCGCCCTCCGCCGTCAAAAGATAATACCACCCATTCCTCTTATAGAGATGCGGCCCCTCAACGAGGTCCAATTCCGTCCCCTGAAAGATGTTTTTCCTTGGCCCAACCAGCTTACCCGCCGAGGGGTCAAACTCCTGCAGCACGATTCCTGCAAAGGAACGCGGTCGACTCCGGTGGTCCTGCAACATATTCACAAACCACTTCTTGCCATCCTCGTCATGGAACAGCGAAGGGTCAAAGCCCGAAGAGTTGACATAGACCGGATCGGACCAAGGCCCCTCGATCGTCGGAGCACTGACGATGTAATTAGGCGTATCCTTAAACGAGCCATCTTTACGCTTCACGTCCGTATACACCAGCCAGAACCTTTCCCCGTCGTGCGAGAGACACGGGGCCCACACACCGCAACTGTCAGGATCGCCCCGCATATCCAACTGCGCCTTGCGGTTCAGGGGGCGGGTGACCAGCTCCCAGTTTGCCAGGTCCGTCGAGTGGTGGATCTGCACGCCGGGATACCATTCGAACGTCGAGGTGGCGATGTAGTAGTCGCTGCCGACCCGCACTATAGACGGATCGGCGTTAAAGCCGGGCAGGATGGGATTGCGAACCAGCGGCATGGTATGAATATAAACATAGAAATTACCACAAAACAAGCTCGAGAGAGAGAGGGAAATTTTGACTACGTCTGGATTAGTTTCTTGCCAGTGAAAATGAATGAGAATACACATACAAGGGACGATGTTGAGGAAGGTTCTCTCCGTCTTCGGCTTGGCTTGGTAAAGATGCCCCGAGGGATCGGACGGTGTATTTAGCCGGTGGAACTATACCGAGGATGGGAGGGCACTACCGACAGCCAAGACTTGCCATCCGCACCTGGTCGCGTATCAGGATGAAAGGGTATGAGGTTGGTTGACATAAATAAGCAGCATATAGATATACAATGGAGGATTCACATTTATTTAATGGGCTTATACCACATTTCATGCCCGAAAGTCTCGCATGAGACTTGGTTTTCAGGGGTCAAGAAAACTTGCCGTTGGAGTGTAGAACCGCAGTCACGGTTGAAACGGGTATTATAGCAAGAACCAGCGTAGAGGAGCTATGAGCTGTCGTAAGGGCGATATTTAACCGTTAAATCCAAAGAGAATCCAGGCATGATATCTCACCGTCCACTGTAACTCTTCGCAAATTAATTCATAGAATTATGCGAGCAGGATAAAACACACCAAGGCCACTGTATCCTTTTATCCAACCAAGCCATAAATCTGACCCCTAGACCCGAAGTTTACATCCCATCCGCCAGCATAGCATCGACCAACTGGACATGGCGATCCGCATTCGTCTCGCTCCACTCGGTCTCGTAATTCAGGCCGTACGGCCAAAAGTGGCTCCCCCCACAGCTAATCTTCGCACTCGCGCCATCCCACGACCTCAACAGCGGCAGCGCCGTCGGCCAGTCCCCGGACGCGCACTTCTGGTCGAAGGCGGCGGTCTGGCCGACGCCGAGCGTGTGGGAGATCTCGTGCATGGCGGTGCGCTCGGTCATGTACGCGCGGTCGGACCCGAAGCGCAGGTCCCCGTTGTAGCTGGCCTCGGCCGTCGGCACCCCCGGCGCGTAGTACACGCGGATCGTCTTGCTCGCGTCCGTGAACCGCGCGTACCGCGCGACGGCGAGCTTCATCGCCGCCTCGATCTTCGTGTACGCGTCGGACTGGTCCGCTGTTGGGCTGGAGGCCTTCTGCAGCGACCATGACAGTGCGGCCGAGGTGGCGGTGACGTAGGTCAGCACTGAGGCGATGATGGAGAAGCGCATGGTGGGCGGTGGTTACCTAGGGACGGGGATGTGAATGGCGCTGATGACGGGTAGCTCAAGCTCTGGTGTGCCGTTCAGCTCAAAAGCGATCGACCTTTAAGCATTGGTAGAACATATATATACATAACAATACCTACCTACCTACCTAGCCTATGTGGTATTTTCCCCTGTCGATCTCATGATGGATGCGCATTGAAGTGATACATTGGCATTATGGCTTATATACGCGCGCTTCGTATTGCGGTCTCTTCCGGTGGGAGTTTAACCAGTTGAGGAAAGCAATCCGGCCTATACTAGGCCGGGAAGGCATTTTTAGTTCCAGTTCACCCGCTTCATATAACCACCGTTCTTACCTCCTGACAGATTCGGACGGCTCTCCTCCGATAAGGGTAGCAGAAAGCAACCTTGAGACCTTGGCGTTCTTCGGGCTAGAACAGGTCGAGGTTATGCCTCCTTGGCACTGGGGAACTTCCCATTTGAAGGGGTACAGCATGTGAGGATTGCTTTCAAAGTCTTAGATGTTGTACGAGTTGGATTCCTAATAAGTTCTTAGGTCTTCAGATGTTTAACAAGGTTGTATAAGAGCCTCACCGGATAGCCGACCTGGGCTAAGAAGAGAGCTCGAATACTACTAGTAGTACTCCCCTTTTACTACCCGACTAATATATTTTTACCAAAACTGTATATTGTGTGCATGATATGAGTTTATCGTCTTCGAAAGCCCAAAGTTTCATTCTCAAGAGTATCATACCAGGTAGGTGTAAAAGCTGATTCATATATAAGTATTTCTACTTACTGAGGTACTTAGGTAATATATTTTCTCACTTTCAGTATTCATTTCTCTACCACGATCTGATACCATCTCTTGATTGATGAAATCTATATCTTAATCTACGGCGCTACATGAAATTCTGTTGCAGGTGCCTCAGGCACTATAGGCTCCACTAGAGCCATGTGGCCCATATGGCCATATATTGGCGCTCCGCCACCGTAGTCAGGAATAAACCAAGCTTTCTTCCTTCTTCCTCCTTCTTAGTTGCAGTTATGTTGCAACAAATTCAATATTCGGTATCACGCTCTCTAAAGAAGTGCCTATCACTGATATCCTTATACCAAACGCCTCATTCATAGCTCGCCGTTTCAACAGAGTGCCTTCAGTCTGCTACATAACAGTAAATGATCAGTCATAAATTCACTGACGACTGACTTTTCAAGAATCTTATCTTTTCCCCCCTCTTGTGGCACAAAGATCATGGATGTGCCTTGAGAAAAGTCATGATCAATTCGGCGCCTCTCTCACTACTTATCTCACCCCTTACACTTATACTTGGAATCCGAGGCTAATATACATAAAACCACATAACTGCAAGACGCCGACGTGAAAAAAAAAAAGCTTGGAAAATAGCAGCCAAGTGGTCCATATGGCGTTGATATCAAAGGTGCCATGATTACCTCCAGGGATATATCCTAGTATCAACCGAGGTAGCTTTGGAGGCTTACACATACTCATCTACCTACCTACCTTAGGTAGTTAGTATGCATACATAGAGGAATATGGTGGGGTGATGGTGTCAAGTCGAGCTCATGCTACAGACCAGATAGAGCCCTATTAATCAATCTCCGCATATCATGTCACATATCATGTCTGTCGATGTGTATCTTATAGCCAATCGCTACATGCTTGCAGTATTGCGCCTCACATATCTTACCTCATCATCTATAGCATTGACTTCCTTTATCTCCGATTTCTAGGTACATATTAGGTATATAATATCACCAATTCTTCATTCGATTCTGCGCTTCGTCCTACTCTAGCTATAAGCCTATGGCCCTGATACATCATTTAATCTTGTCAAGTTAAGGAGGCGTATAAGAAATTTGTTAGTCATGGCTGGTCACGTGTAAGTAATCGAGCAGACCGAGGTCATCATAGATATTTCCACCGTATACTTACGACTTATCAGGAACATGATGGACGACTATCTGATAGCGAACTGTCCGTCAACGCAGACCCTACATGTTTACCTACCTATAACCATCACTTGCCCTAACCAAGAGTATACATAGTACCGCCGCCAATCCTCAGATCTGCCCTTCGGCTCCTTATCTCACAGGGCGCCATCACACAGAAACCCTTCGTCGAGCATGTCCGGGCCAGGTTTCGGGAGAACCCACCTACACTCAGGGTCTTTAGCACGTTGTTTACCGGGAATGACGGCGTGACCTCAGAGTGTTCGGCATACGTGGCGCAGATCAGGTGCATGTTTTCGTGCAAAATGTCGGAGGAATCAATCCCGCAGTCAGTGAGAGAGCCATGTTGTCGCGCCGTAAAGGCTACAAGGTCTAACAACGTTGTATAGCCTCGAGCAATTCGTAAACGCCATATATTCAAGGAGAGTCAGTGTAAGTATTTTCTTGATGATTATTATGGAATCCATACGTCCATAAACTCTTCTAGTCCCATGAACGGGAATGGTTTATATTATATTGCCCAGGGCAAGCAACAAGCACTCAACTAATGAACAAATCCCACATCCATCTTCATCAGTGGTCAGAAACTAGCGAAGTAGCAAAGCTGCTCACCAGCTTTGACGGGGACATCGTCCAAGCAATCCAAGCCCTGAAAGAAACGGACCCCCCTCCAACCGCAGAGCTCCTGATAACCCTGAACAACTTCCTCGCCAGCCTCAAGAACTGCGCGGAGTACTGCTCGGCCGCGCAACCTCGCCTGAGATTTCCTTTCGCACGCGGCAGGCAGCAGCTCCAGGATGCCATACGATTCCTCTTTCCGCAGCAAAGAAGCACTTCCTTGCCCCCCACGCCGCCGGAGCCTGAGAGCGAGGAATTGGCCTCCTTGCCGGGCGAGATAAGACAAGCGGCGGTAGAAACATTCCGCCTCGGACCCTTCGAAGTGCCCAGACTCTTCAACGGGCTGTGGCAGCTCTCGTCGGCGTCGTGGGGGTCGGCGACCACCACAGACCAAGAGCGGGCACTCACGCACGCAGCTAAATGCGGGTTAACCGCGGCGGACATGGCGGACCATTATGTAGGTAATACCTAAACTACACGGGAACAGAACAGTTGTTCCTTTCCAAGCTCCCAAACAAAATATTGAACAAGAGACTTCAGGGAGACGCGGAGCTCGTATACGGTGTGTTCCGGAACAAGTTCTCGAAGCACAGCCAGACTACCGTGTTTGCCGCGACCAAGTGGGTAAGCAGACCATCAACCAACCTTTCCGCCATTATCTTTACTCAGGGGAACACCGGCAGTGCGTATTCTCGCCGATCCCGAAGCCCGTGACGGCCGCCTGGGTCTCAGACGCCGTGTGCGAGCGGTCGCGGCGGTTAAAGGGGCGGGTTGAGCTGCTCCAGTTCCACTGGTATGATGTACGCACCCTTCCTTTACCATAGTATGCAAAACAAAAAAAAAAAACACCACCCTCCCTCCAACCCGCACCCCAACCAATATCATCCTCGAGGACTGACAAACCAGCGCAGTACACCCAAAAAGAGTACCTCGACGTGCTCGCCGAGCTAGTCCTGCTAACCAAGACCTGCCCGACGACCGTGTCCGCCATCGGGCTGTGCAACTTCGACTCCGCGCACCTGGCGGAGGCGTGCGAGCACCTGATCGCGCGCTTCGGCGAGGTCGGCCTCGTGTCGAACCAGGTGCAGTTCTCGCTCGTCGACGCGCGGCCGCTGAGGAGGATGACGGAGACGTGCGAGAAGTACGGGCTGAAGCTGCTCACGTACGGGACGCTTGTGAGACACATACATACATACATACCTGCCTCTCCTCCTCCTCCTTCGGCTTCTCAACTCTCGGAGTCTTGTGTTGTGTTGTGTTGTTAATTTATTTATTCGCCGTAGTGCGGCGGCTTCCTCTCCGAACGCTGGCTCGACAAACCAGCGCCGGAGCCCTATTCGGAGTCCAACCGGCTGACTCCTTCGCAGCGAAAGGCAAGTGCACTCTTCTACCCTCCCCCTTTCCCTCCCCAAACTTATTACCTATACCACCCCCCTCCCTCTACCCCCTCCTCCCACCAACCAACCAACCAACCAAACCCCCCTAACCCCCCCTCCCTCAGTACCTCGACACAATCCACCACTGGGCCCCCTGGCACACCTTCCAAGCCCTCCTCACACACCTCTCGTCCCTCGCCGCCGCCCACAGCGTCAGCGTCTCCTCCGTCGCCGCGCGCTGGGTCCTGCAGCAACCCGCCGTGGGCGCCGTGATCGTGGGGGCTCGGCTAGGCGTCTCCGAAGACCACGCGGACGACAACGTGAGGACGTTTGGGTTCCGGCTTAGTGGTGAGGAGATGGGGAGGCTGAATGAGATTGCGCTTGGGGCCGAGGGGGGGAGGATGAAGGGGGTGTTTGAGAGGCTGGGGGATTGTGGGCGTGAGTATCGGAATGTGCATTGATAGTAGGCATGGAGTGTCGTCTGCAGGAGGAGTATTTTATCAGGGTAGCATAAGTACTTAGGTTAGGTAGGTAGATAGTATAGGAGAAGCGAGCAGAAGAGCTTCATTACAAGATGGCCCTGATTTTATCCTATGTAAAACACCTCTATATTGATCAACAGATATTTCATTTCATATTTCTCAATTTCAATTTTAACTTGTTTATAACGCTATTTACCCACGAGATGAAAATGATGGGCTTAGAAAAATAATATCTATTAACACATTGAAGTGCAGTATAAGATCATCTCACACACACGCCATGGTTAGATATAATTTTTTTTTTCTCGAACGACTGCCGCCAGATTTGCTTCTCTTTTTCTTTTAAACGCCGGAGACCAACCGTGAGCTCTTTCTATCAGTCCATATACATTGGTTCGCCGCCGTTAACGCCTTGAACAATTGTCCCGTAATCACCATTATTCATTATTGCATTTCCGTGTTGATTATGAATGCGTGCTGTCATGGGGTTGGTAGCATTCATGTTCTGCATCTGTCGTACATCGATGCCCCTATTATTGGGCCCTGAGCCATTGACGGCAAATCGCGGTTCGGTAGAATTTGGAAGTCTTTGGTCACGATTCCTCATCCGCGGTACATCTAGCTGCTGGTGTGGTTGAGTCGTCGGTGGCTTTGCGATGATAGGTGTGATCGGTGTAAAATTATCGTCGTCCTCCATTTCGGCATCAGCATCCTGGTCGCTATTTTCTTCTTCTTCATCAACGAGAGGGTTGGAGGCAGTAGTGCCAGGCGCCGATGTCATTATTGCCGCGGCCGCGGCCGCCGTGGATGTTGGTACCAGAGGTTGGGGATCATGTGCCTGAGCATTTGCTGCCGCCGGGACAGGTCGTTGCGGGTGGCCTGTCATTTGAGACGGAGGAGCCGACACGGAAACGGGAGTTACATTAGCAGCGGCTGGCATGGACTGTTCGAGGGACCTCTGCCCGGCCATACCAGGGCCCCTTGACGACACTATGACCGTTTTCCATCGATCAATGGCGCGGGAGACCATGGTATCGAGGTCAACGTGGCGATCTTCGGCGTGAAGGCCAATGGACTGGTAACCTTTATGACCTAGATCTAGCAAATACGAGATCAATGATTGCTCAATGGGGAAGGTTGCTGGTGGAACCATCCTAAATTCTCTTGGTTGTTGCAACCGATTGAGTTGATCGATCTGCATCCTAAGGTTGGCATTCTCTTGCTTGACACCATGTTGAGATTCCTTCAACTTTTCCACCTCTCTCTGCCTTCTCCCTACGCTTCTTGCCAGCTCAACACCCCACAACTCTGTTTTTCTCGGGGCAGGAAGCTGCTCCCAGACATGGTAAGTTGATTGTAGATGCTCATTGACTTGTGCTTCAAGCGCAGTTGAAGCTTCTTCTGCCCTCTTTATACCCTCACGTGGATCGCGGGGAAAGTGCGTGATCGATGGTGGGTATATCATGTCTTCGTGTGATGCTGTGGTTGCCATGGCACATGCCACCCTCCACTTCTTAAACTCCTCTTGGAAATAGGTTTTGAGCGCCTCATACTGCTTCTGAGCCGGAGGTTGTATGGACCATGAAGTTGAGGTCGGGTGAGGTGTAGAGGAAAACAAGGTAGGAGGAGCTTGGAGGCATTGGAGAGTGAGAGCAGGGAAGTCTAGGGAAAGGGGGTCAAAATCGAAGGGGACGGAATCCATATCTATCTGTTGCTTAGCAGCCCTCCACGAACTGAGTAATTCCCGCAAAGCTAGTTCAGCAGCTCTCGCTGTATCCATGGCATCGGCTACCTTCTGTCTCGCATCTAGTTGTGATCTTTGAATCGTTCGGCTCGGTGCACGCTGCACAGAAGGTCGCTGGCCGGTACCATCGTCCGGGGTGCCTCTCAATTCCCCATTTTTGGGGGGAATGTCGTTGATGACGCCAGTGGCCTCCCACGTAGGCTGGAAAGGGTACTTCGGCAATTTATGGTCGACAACGAATTGACCTTCTTTCGGTATGCCAGACGCTTTCACGCCGGTATCTGGCGCGGGACTCCTCCTAGAGGATGCAGTAGGTGTGCCAGGAGTTGAGGTATCTCTCCGGGCAAGAGAGCCCCTGGGTTGCCTACGAGTGATACTCCCTCGCATTTTTCTGATAGCATCGACATCATGAATACCATCTGGAGCCTTGGGGTTCTTCTCTTTGATATACAAATCCAAATGCCTCCCTAACGAAGATGATGTAAAGGCCTGGCCGCAGTAGGGGCAACTCCTATCTTTCGGCGCACTGGACTTGGAAGCGCCAGGAGACTCGGAGGCGGCGGCGGGATTAGTTCCCTCGGACATGACTACTAGGTAAGGAGCTCGAGCTAATTATCGGACCTAGGATGAGGTATAGAAGGACAATTCGGAACACTGGTGACGCTGGTGAGGTTGGTGTTTTACGAGAATACGTGTAGGGAGGTTCGATAGCGAATTGAAAAGGAGTCAAGATCAAATTCAAATGTCAAATTCAGGGTCAGGGTCAGGAGGTAGTAGAAAAAAAAAAGGCTCAGGAGATATTGTATAGGTATATATCATCAGTAAGTGCCCCGAAGGAGCTTCCCCCATTCGGATCTCATCCAGGGAGGAGGCTCCTGAGAGGGATCCTTGAGAGTCAGCGGAATAATCTCCAATGCCGTTATCATTTATCTCGGAGAGTTGTCCAGTAAAGTGCAAGATGGATGCTCGATGCTCGATGCGAGAGATAAAGGGTTCGGATGGTCAGGAAGTATTTGTACTAGGTAGATAAATCACTTGTATAATATGTGTAGATGAAGGAAGAAAAAAAGAAGTAATTATTCTTCTTCCTCTTTTTTTTCCCCTTCCCTTTCTGATTGTCCCTGGTGAGCTTCAAGGTTGTGATGGATATGGATGAATATGAATGGATTTGTTGGACCTTCGAGAAATGTCAAGTTATGTTTGGGTCGCTTCTTCTGGGGGGGATTTTCCGTTCAGGGGATCAGGGGCTAAAATAACTTACTATTAAGAGTACTTGTACCGTATACCGTTAGCGCTAACCGGCCCAGGACACTTTTAGCAAACTTTAAAAAAGATTTAGGTCAGCTTGGCCTGCAGATTATGTACCGGTTATGTATCCTCACCGTCTTCTACCCTCTATAAGATGCGGTAAGTACGATAAAGTACTTATCCAGCTCCCTGAGGTACGAAACACGGAGTTGGGAATTTATGACCGGGATCTTTACGTGTGGAGCAAGAATCGACCGGGAGTTAGTGGGACCAGAGACAGATCAATTCAAGTTGTGGCTTTCAATCTTCTAGGACCGCGTAAGGTACCATAATCATTCCGCTGGAGGAGCTATACTTTTATTGCTCGATTTTCTATACAGTTTATGCAAGTTCGCCAAAGCTTAGTGGGATCGTTAATCATTGGATTAATATTGATTTTCCTCTCATTACATAGTACTAAGTTAGGTATGTACATGAGTATTGTTGATTCTAGTGGCTTTCTAGCGAACAACCAGTTGACATGAAGAGCTCCAGTTGTTGTCGTAGGACGTCATCTTACCTAACAGCTACTTGCCCGTAGCTGTTCCGGTATCCATATAAATTGTCTTTCTCCTTCAATTGTATGTGGAACTTTACCAACTTTACCTGCACTAGTATGTACAAATACATGCCTAATAACATCAGTGCCTTCAAGTTCTACATTGTACATCAATGATAGGTAGGAGTATGTGTCGGCTGGTCTCAGCTGTCAGCGGTGTCACCAGACTAAAAGCTCGGGCCACATTTCAATACCTGCCTACTAGTTTAGGACCGTTAGGTAGGGTAGGTACTAACTAGGTAGTGTACTAGGTAGTGTACTAGGTAGTGTAGATGCAACACGAACTCCGTAAAAGGTACTACTAGTAGTACTAGCTGGGGGGGGACCTATTGAGAACGTAAACGCCTATTAGGCAGGTACCAGGTAGGCATGTATGTATTAGCACCCTTAGCAAGGTCAAGTGCCTCCCAAACGTCAAACCTGAGATTATTGATTATTTCTCAAATTCGTCTTGTCGCAAACACTCGTTCGCAAACTCTACCATCAAACATACCTATTTGTCTTACAGTCTGGCCTCTTCTATACCATCTTCTATATCCGGCGTAAATGAATTAGACATACCCTCCTTTTCAAACAAAAATGCCACCTGGTATGTCATCCATAAACATGTTCGCGAAACTGCAGATGTGTTGCGCGCGCGCGACGAAGTCCAGGTTCTCCCGTGTCTTGCCCAGCTCGAACACGTCCAGTGCTATCGACAAGAAACTCAATAATTATATGCAAAGACTGAAGCTAATCCTTTTTCCTATAGCTATTAGCGACGACGAAGAGTCTGATATCGGCGAGCTATCCGTCCCCTTGCGATCGACGCGCGAAAGGAAGCCAATGAGTAGCCTCAAAGACGGCGATGATATGGCCAAAGCGGTAAGAAGTGGCTCCAAGAACGGCGATAACGACCACGAGGAGGACAATGACATAGAAGAAGAAGATGAGGAAGAAGATCCAATGGACTTGGAGGAGGATGAGTGCGTATCACTCGCCAATGAATAAGACAAAAATCAAAGCACGTATCGCTAATGCGAACCAAGGTATATCGTCGAGAAGATTCTCGCCCACACCGTCGAACCTAATGTAAGTGACTTAAGTGACAGACCAGGAACTGCTCTTAATAGCTTACCAACGCATCGCATAGGATTTGATCCTTTTCAAGGTCAAATGGGAAGGCTATGACAAGAAGTCAGATCAAACTTGGGAGTCTTATGATAATCTCAAGTACGTTCAAATACCATTCTTACTTGCCACGTTTCGAATTTCACGTCTAATGGGATCTCAAAAAGGGAAAATGCGGTGGACATTTTAGAGGAATACCTTGCCAGCGTAGGTGGGAAAGAAAAAATCATCGCGGATACCAAGGGAGCAATGAAGACGAAGAAGCGCGGCAGGCCTCCCACGGGAACACCATCAAATGGTAAGAAGCGACCACGAAACGAGGACCATCCCGCTTCAGCGACGCCCCCGGCTGGTACAAAATCCTGGAAACCACCGGTAGGTTCCTGGGAAGATGAAGTTGAATCCATCGATGCTTGTCACGATGAAGCCAGTGGCAAATTGATCGTCTACCTCACGTGGAAGAATGGTAATAAGACCCAGCACGAGACTAAGGTCATTTACCAGCGGTGTCCGCAGAAGGTTGGTTCTCAGAGCCCAGACAACCCTAACCCAAACACCAGCTAACATGAAATTACAGATGCTTCAGTTCTACGAGCGGCATGTTAAGATCGTTATGTCCTCAACTGACAATAGCAATAACTTACCCTAAACTCGCTCTCGAGGACCTCGACTATCTACCAACCTAGTATCTACCTACCTAGGCAGATAGATAGCGGTGATGTTGCTAGTGAAGCACTCATGATACAGGTCTCCTACAATTGGATGGATGATATGAATAACTAGGCACGGCACCTTGTATACCTACGTTCCCAAGCAATGTCTCAGCTCAGGTCTACGAACAAGTATATGGATTTCATTTCATTTTCATGGAGGAGTTCCGGTCCGTTTCAGCAAATGGTCAATGACGGGACGAAGGCAAGGGGCCCCTGTGCTCAATATTTACACCTTTCTCGAAGGTACCAAGCTGATATTCTGAAGTCAGATGCTCTTCAGCCAAAGTCCAAAGTCCACGAGCCTCATGGAAATTTCACTATTTTCATCAGCCTTCAATTTTCACGAAAATGTAATTGTGTCCAGTGAGCCACGAGTGTCAGTATGTCATTATCAACCTACGCTCCTCTCGGCTTGGCAGTATTAGTTGTGTAAATTGACAGGATCACAGCCAAGGCTTTTTCGAATACGCAGTCGTCGTAATTGTACATTATGGCCTCCATAGGTACGAATACTACATTTACATACGTACACGACATATGTACTGTGTACTAGTATTAGGTACTACTAGTAGTACATATGTACATCACCTGGCAATGGCACTGAGGTGCCGAATAGATGCAGAAATGGGAGATGGGAGATGGGAACAAATTGTGCACGGGCCAGGTTTGGTCTTCCAATGCAATGTTCCGGTGGAGACTCGGAATTTACATATGTACATTCAATGTCATTCATTAGGTTAGGAGGTTGGGGGGAATAAAACTAGCGCTAAGGGTTGGAAGCTTAGAAGCTTAGACCCTTTTAAAAATCGCTATAATCCTTGCAAGGAGCTCCTCCTGCCAACCACCTGCCAACGCGTTCTGCCCGTTTTTTCCGTTTTTCCCGTTTTGCCCGCGTAGCTGTCGTGCCAGCCAGTCACAGGCCAGCCAGTAACAGTGCATACATACCCCCACCGCTCCTAGTAAAAAAAAAAAAAAAACAGCCTTAGGCCCTGAAAAAGTCTCCCTAGGAGCTTGCTTGCTTCATGTGCTTTCACACATATTCTTCCCGCCTTGCGCATTTTGCGCCCAGCCTCGCTATTTACTTTAAACCGGATGGCGGGGCAACCACCAGTATTTGTACTTTACTTGCTGGACATTTGAATTCCAGTCGCACTTCTTTCCCACCTAAATAATTTATTCTACCTATTTTGTTCTTTTTGGTACTCACAAATAGGTACACAGTATTATTCAGTATTCAGTATTACTTCAATTCTCCAATTCGAAGCATAATACATACTCAATTTATCCTACCTTCTATAATCAAGACTACGTACGAGATTATCATCATATTTACCTACTTACTTACTCCCACTATAACCACCTACTCTTTGGCATTGGGCTGTTTATTCATATTAAATAAATAAACGACAAAGCCGAAAAGAAGAGCATCTTTTTCCGGCCGATTCTTACACTAACTACCTTCTAAATTCCATTCTTGATCTTACTCGACTGGAACTCAACTGAAACCCCAAGGGTCTCTCTTCTTCTATTAACCCAACCAACAAAACATTCCTCCCATCACTCGTTCGCATCCCTCGAGAGGATACGACAGAGCAAGCCAGCCGCAACCATGGTCAAGGAAAACGACGTCATCGCCATCATCATCATCGTGCTCTTCATCGTGCTCGCCCTCATCGCCTTCGGCATCTACCGACTAGTCCACCTAGCCCGGACGCAAGGCACCGTCACAGAGGACAGTACAGAGTCGAGCGACATAGTGGACGATCAATGATCCTAAAGATGGATCTCCCTCCCCTCCCCCCTCCTTTGCAAGGGAGGGACGAAATCTTTATCAATCGGAGCGAGGTCGAAGATGCTTTCATTCATATATAATAATCACTACCCCCCCCCAACCTCTTATCTATCTCCTATCGGAACCCCTATGCTACACTTTCGGGGCGGGGGCGGCGATGGTTGGTCGCTAGTCTACTAGTTGCTGCTGCTCGGGGTATAACCACCTAGGTTACACGATGCGCAGTAGAAGTCTCACGCCCCCTCCTCCCCTACTCAGGGGAGAGCAGAGAGATACTGCAGACTTCCCAGTCGCCTCGATGCCTGTCTCCAAGGCTTTGCCCTATTACCCCCACATCTCGCCTCTAGATTTGACACTTTCTCATACATATATTTGTTTGTTGTTGTTTCATACATATATTTGTCTGTTGGTGTTTCACGGCATCATCTTTCACGAATCTCTCCACATCCATCCATCCATCCACCTCTGTACATATACCTAGAAAGAAATAAGAGAAACGAAACGGGGCATCATCATCTCGGGAACAATCACAGGCGCGAAAACCGGAGGCGGGGGAACACATCCATGTTTTGTTTTGTTTTGTTTTTTGTCGTTTACACACACAAAAAAGGGGGGCTATTTCTTTCTTCATTACGGGCACGAACGAGAAATCAGGGCGGTATATTTATTATCTGTATGGCGAGCGAGCGAGGTAACGGAAGGGGTGGGGTTGCCTAGGTACCTGTCTACTGTATGTATGTATGTGCGTGGGAAATTATTGACGTTGACGATGGTACATATATGTATGAAATCGGGAGCTAGCTTCGAACGGCGGGGAGGGTTCGGTTCGGTTCGAAAGTTACAGTGGAGAGAGAGAAGGGGGGGGGCAAGGGAGAGGAAGGGAAGGAAGAAACAAACAAGCAAACGCGTGCATGTACGTATGTAACGAAGAACATTTATGATCGACGACGAACGATTTGGGTACGAACGTACGTACGCACGTACGTTGGGTAGGCTGGCAGGCAGATGAGGTATTCGGGCAAATGTGCAATGGATAACCTACATTAGGTAGGTAGGTTAGGTTTACTAGGTATATAGCAACGGGCAGGGAGACGGGACAAGACAGAGCAGACAGAGCAGACAGATTGGTCTGGGAATGTCGTATGAATTGTATCCCATGAGCTTTGGCTTTGCTTCATCTACTTCTCTACTCCGCGCTGTACTTTCTTCGTGACATGTTTATACAAACCTCGGAAGCTTTAGGGTTGCAGACTTCTTTCTCATTGACTAATAATACTTGATCAAATTAGGTATGTATTCTCGGGTGTACTGTAAGCTTTGTTTCTAACTCACTTCAACTAACCCCTGAACCCCCTTGAGCACGCTCGCCTAGGTATGCATACACCTTTCACTCTCTCACTCTCTTTACCTAATTTCATAACGCCAGAAATGCCCCGAGTTCTCGTATACGACCCGTATTCCCTTATATAATAAATACCTTAAGAACAAGATGCAAACCCGCTCGCACTTCTAAATAGCTATCCTCCTTCTTCCGCTATAATGTACTAGCCATCCAACTCCATGCTTCTATTTCCAAAGAGCCAAAACCGAGATCTGCCCCTGCAGCAAGCCAAATCAAATGATTGGGCCTCCAAAATTCTGTGTGGCGTATGATCGCGTATATGGCGCAAATTAAGATCCAAATATTCCACCCATATTCCGTGGGCATCGTAATAACATCCTGACGTGTCTGAACTTTCCATCCGAGCTTACTATTTGAAGAAGGACTAGGGATTGAAGAGTAGTCACGATGAAAGCGGCTTTTGTGCCTCTCTTGTCTCCTGGTTATCGAGAGAACCACCCCCCTTGTTCCCATTTTCCGGGCACGTAAAGACACTCAACTCGAACTTCGTCATTACTGATCCCATCAAGTAAAACGTTGAGCCGTTTGAAATCAATCGGCTTAAGAATCCAGCCATCGAATCCGGCCTCGACATAAGTCGCATAATCTCGCTCCATAAGAGATGCCGACACAGCGAATATCGGGATTCTCTTATTAATGTTAGCTATAGCAGAGAGTCCTGGGCATTTGCCCGAGTTTTCGTACGCTCTGATCATCTTGGTACTAGTAAGACCATCGACAATGGGCATCTAACATAACACAAAGTCAACCCTAGGATCCCTTCACTGATATGATATCACAACTCACCTGCATATCCATAAGGATAACATCAAAATCAGCAGGCCTGTCTCTAAATACTGTGGCGCAATCATCGCCGTTGACTGCGTGGTAAACGCCATGCCCACCCTTTTCTAACCGTTTTTGAAGGAGCATCATGTTGATTGGATCATCTTCTGCCACGAGTACCTGCAGTTTGCTTGAGTGAGCAATAGACGCAGACTTGAGTTTGGAAGCAGGACTGTTATCTGGCTTGGGACTTCTGGGGATTTCGAATAGAACCTTCGATGTTTGGTTGGCTGAGGATGCTGTTGGTTGATCAAAATACTCATCAGGTACCTTGACAGGTTTGATGGCTGTCTTTGTATCGGTCACAGCATATCGACCGTCAGTATTATTCATTGGAAATGCATTTAGGTCTTCGGTGGATTGTTGGTTCAGAATAGAACCGTCCGCGGCTGGCTGAGCTCTGTTTGGACATGACAAAGAAGGAGTGGCAGGATGGAAATTATCTTGCCGTTCCCTTGAGCTCAGGCGTTGTATGCTCGCAGTTTGCTCGTCGGGTTCCCCCAATGCAAAAGGTGTTTGAATTGCGTCAATCAGGCGATCTGCATCACTCTTGCTGCTCTGGCCACTATTACTAGCACCACTTCTCGCGCTGCTGATGCTTTTTACTTCGTCTAGACTTTGTCTTTCGGTGTTTACGCGAATTGACGGAAGATCGACAAGAGTAACCTCGTCCGCATCTGCCGATGGTAACGTTTTGGTGACGGAGGCAATACTCAGAGCCTTTCCGGTTTTCCCGAAAGGTTTCTTAGATCCAAATTTCTCAAGGGCTTCATCTGTTGGTAATTCGAAAGGGAGCTGGATGACGAATCTTGATCCCTTGCCCTCTTCGGATTTTAAACGTAGCTGTCCGTTCATATTTCGAACACTTCTTGCAACCACAGCTAGACCCAGTCCTAGCGTCCGGCCTTCACCTGGATTCTCAACCTCATCAATTGGCACCGAGTCATCTGCATCCGCACTTACTTGCTCCAGGTCTTGGAAAAGGCTGTCCAACTTTTCATTGCTCATACCACGACCCGTATCCTGTACAACAATTTCAACTCTAACACGGGTCTCCAGAACTTCACTGACATAGGCCTCTACCCGCACAAACCCCTGAGTTGTATGCTGCATAGCGTTTGCCGTCATATTTGCAATTATTTGCCGTACTCGACGATAGTCACCGTGTACATACTGAGGAAGTCCATGATGTTCGACGACTGTATATGACAGACCTTTTCGATTAGCATCTACCTTAAAGGGTTCCGTTGCCTCTTGAATGCAAGTCAGTAAATCCATGATTTCGTCTTTGATCAACTCCTGGCCCTCTTCCATATTGGTGAGATCAAGAAGATCGTTTATCACATAAATTAGTGATTTGGACGCTGAGTGGGATTTTGCAAGATTTTCTCGGGTTTCCTGGTCGAGGGAGCCTTCTAGAGCAATTTCTAGATAGTTGATGATTGCGTTTAATGGCGTACGGACTTCGTGTGCAGAATTTGCCAATAAAAGTCGAGTCAGTCGACTGTTTTGTAAAGCTGCCTCCTTTTGTCTCCAGACCTCGATGAATTTACCTAGATTGACATGAGCGCTTTTTTCACCTAGAACAAATATGTAGCAGATGAGATATGAACGTACCGTATACTAAACACAACACTGCCGCAGTTTCTGCCTGTTCTTCGGACCAATCCCTACATTTACCAATAACAATTTCATGCCATTCCTTGAAGCTGGATCGTGGTTCCAGAAAAGCTGCAGTGCCCTCTTTCACGACCTTCTCATATGGATTGCCTGCCCATTTTACTTCTCTAGTTTGACCTTTTCGGAAGAAGACAATGAAGTCGCTACCACCTAGGCTGAGTGGAACATACAGCAGCCCAGCGATAACGGAGAATCCGGGTGGGTAGCAAAGGTCGGGAAAGTCCTCACGGATGTCTTGCGAAGTCAGAACAGAAGTGAACTTCCTCAAGCGCAAATACTCCAACATGGCTAACGCTTCCTGAGACTGTTCAATTTTCCCCAATATCTTAGTCTCTCCTCGGATAGACAGAATTCCAAAATCAGCGTCAAACAAGTTGATGAGGTCGTCGGAGGATGCTGTGATATATCCTGAAGGGTTCTTATCAGTTGGCATCGTGTTGATAAGTTTCCTCGATTGTAGGCGTGATATAAACGAGTACCGTTCTATATTTTGTGAAGCTGAGTCTCCAATAAGCCGGCATAACTTCCGAATAGGGAATGAGACTCTCATTCCCTTGGAACCATAGCTATGACACGCAATGAGCCCCCATAACTCATTGAAAGCATTAATCGATATGGACATGGAGGACCGAACAGCCATATTGGCAAGGTATTTTAGATGGATTGGGGACATGGCCCGTAAATACGCATGACTAAGGTCAAGTGGTCGTTCAAGATCTTCCGGAGAGCGGCAAACCAGTCTTGCAGATTCCAGATCTCTATCGTAGAGTAGTCGAACTTTGTTGAGTTTGTACAAGTCGCGTGCTTGTTTGGGGATATCAGAAGCCGGGAAATGCAAGCCATAGTAGAGATCGCGAGTCTGAGATGGATCAACCAACTCTGTCACGACTTTTCCGTTGAAGGCTGAATCAAACTGATACATCATGACTCGGTGAAATCCAGTCAATTCTTTGACGATGCCTACGAGGACTTTGAGGAATGTGGGTAAATCCGGCGCAGATGCTAATTGCTCTTGAACTTGTGACATTATATCAAAAACTTGCATGGCACCAGCCTCGCCACGTTTTTTGCGAGCGCTCCGAAGAATCCTAAGGGGTCTACTGCTGATTTCAGTACTTTCGGTCAGTTCCTGCATAGTTGGGTCCTGACAAAGTGTATCTTCGGGCTCGTCACCATTAAGCTCGCCAGTCGGTCGAAGGGGATGCTCCTGGTCATCCTCAAGCTCAAATTCTAGTATTATCAAGTCGGGATGACTATCGTTGATGTGCATCGCACACCATAGCTTGACAGATTTCTTTTGAGGTGGACGTATAGATATACTGAACACGTCAGGGCCATTGGTAGCAGGGTCTGCTTCTTCATCCCGTATGAAATCGATATGATCTAGAAGATTATCGGCCTGCTCTTCGGTAAAGATTTCGGTGAAGCTTTCGAGTCGAAACAATTCTTTGGGGGAGAAGCCGATTATTCTGTTCGAATTTTCACTTACGCATCGAACAGAAAGCCGGCCATCAGCCTCTTCCCGTAAAGCAACAAGAAGACCAAAGGCCTGAACAGCGCCAGGGGTGTGGATGGGCTCGTCCTCACATCGTTGTGATATATCGTCCCGGCCAGTAATAACGGCATGACCTTCATCGGTAACGACATGACGAAAACGGACTGTCGTTAACGATTCGTTGAATTCGGTAGGAGACATACGCCCGGACCTTCCAGCTTGACTTTCACTCGCACGAAGAGACGCGCTTCCTCTTGTTTTATCGGAGCCCTCTGAAGATGCATAATTGAAAATCGGCAATGGCTCAGCAGAAGCGATACGTTCGATATTTGGTGGTAGACTTCCTATGGAAGTCGAAATTGTGTCTTTCCTTCTTGGCCCATCCTTCCCTCTAGGCGATCCTCGAGACGAGGAAGAAGGGCTTAGCCCGGTCTCGATCCGTTGGAGCCTGCCAGCCTTCTCGGGTGGCATATAAGGATCGCTTGGCCGACGACGGCCATCCCAGGTCACTTCTTGACGACTTAGGTATGTTTGTTCACCCGAACTCCGTAACAGCGTGGCAGATGTCGGTTGCGACTGGTCAACACTAATGACGGATCGGATAGGGAAAACCCTATCAGGGGGATCTGTAGCACTACTAGCGCTCGTGCCATATTTAAACTGGTGATCCGACGTCATGCTACGGGGCGAAGGAATGTTCGAGGTTCGGTCATTTGTAATATTGGTGTTTATGGGCATAGGTAATTTTTCGGAGGTGGGCGGGGGCGAGTTGGATTTGCCTATGGGGACATTCCCGACAGGCATGGGTACGTGAACCGGGCCCTTCTCGTCGCTATCCGGCTCGTACGATGACTGGAGTGGGATCTCTGGGTAATCTCTAGGTTGTATTTCGTCAAAAGGCGACTCATTATCAGCATGGTCCGCAATAGGCCTTTTCTCAGTTGCCGGGTCTGGGCTCGTCTCTTCCATGGTGCTGTGAGAGCAATCTCAGGGACCTAAAAGTCGGTGGTAGTTGATCGCAACTTTGGCTAGGCCCTACAATGCCCTTCTTTCACCACTTGATCCTAATACACATAGGTAACCTTTCCATATATGGTTTCTATTAAACCCAGAAGGGGGCCCTTTATTACCTATAGATTGTCCTTTTACAAAGTAACCAAGAAATAGAGTGGATAAGAACTTAGAAGACTACCCCGTAGATACCCCTAGGTAGGTAGACTCCAGTCCCTAGGAGAGACAGCCCAGCGGAAGAGGGCAATGTTTCTTCAGGTACGGTGATAGGGTGATAGATAGGATTTAGCGATATGTAACAGTCCCTAAGGTACGAGAAAGTATCGAGAATTGTGCATCGATATTCAAAATCCGATAGTGGCAAGTCGGTAAAAGTTGGTGGGGGCCAGTGAATCCTTTAGATGGTAAATCTTGGATAGTTTGCCACTCCTAGATGCTTGAATTGATGCTGAACTGGTGCTGGACTGGTGCTGGACTGGTGCTGGACCCAAAGATGGCCTGGATAGTTCTGTGGGCTGCCAAGAAGATGATAGCAGGGGGGGATCGATGCATAGGGCCAAACCAGGTACCATCGGTGAAGGGTGATTGATTGATCAGTTTGATGTACAAAGAAAAGACAAGATTAGGTTGTGACAGGTCGTATGTACTACGTAACCAGCATTAACCAGCATGTGGCATGCAAAGAGAGGCAATTGGTATCAGATTTTTAAGGTCTGATGTAATAGATCTAGGTTAGAGTGTCGCATTGCAGCACTTGATACTACTGTATTTTTGATACTACTGTATTTGTATTTGTATTGTATTGTACTGTACCTAGTAAGGATTAAGCTGAGCTGCCCAGGTGCCTACTTGATACCCTAGGTACTATGTGGCAGCATTGTGGCTGGCAGGTCAGGCAGGTACACAGCGTAGATGAGTAATAATAGCCCTGGACATGATTCAGATTTCTTCTTTTGCCTTCCCTTTCCACACCACACAGGACCGAATGCTCCTGACGTCTTCAGTCAAGTTCAGCGCTTGAGGGCGAGTACTTGCCTAGATGGGCTTAGTTGTTTCGGGCTAGCGTGCCGTGATCTTCAATGATGTTGTTCATGTATGTGTGTATTGTACCTATGTATTGTACGTAGTTATCATCAATGTACATCATTGCACATGCGATGAAGATCTCAGAACCGGCAGTCTGGGTTGGTGGATACCGCAAGGCTGTGGGAGGTAAAATTAGAACATTACTTATAACACTACTTATAACATTACTTATACAAAAGTGACAGTGCCGCCTTTCAAAAATGACCATACATACCATCATTGTCTCCTTGATACATTGATCCATTGGTCCATGTTGTCAGAGCTCTCATCATGATAACATTGTAACATTGAAAGGCTTAATATTCATACACACCTACGATGTACCTACCGAGGTACCTAGCCTAAATCATTGGTATACACAATGCTTGCCTACCTAGTATCTAACAAAAGGCTTGGTTGAGAGTTTCAAAGAGAAATGAGACATCTGGAAGAATTCATTGTCGTGAATACGTACGCCCGTACACAGGTCAAAGACACTTCCCCAAGACAATGCCTCTGTTGTGTGCGGATACCCCCTAATATGCCTGTCTAGACATTGTGTGAACTGTTATCATATAAAGGCGCTTGTTCGCCAACGAGCCCAGGACTCTTGAAGTTTTCCAACTCGACAACACGACAACTAACATCAAAAACTAGCCCCCAGGTTAGGACGTCTCCGGACAAACACCAGGTAAGTGAAATAGGTAAGTAGGCCTTGTGCCATTGAACTCGAATTGCATTTATACATTTCCTTCGTTAATTTTCTGTTGATATTAAACATCATGGACGACTACAGTGCTGCTGAGATCTCCTCATACCTCTCACCAGGTCGCAGGTTTTTCAGCCATCGGATTACCACAAATGCTGTAAGCAAGAATTATACCAAACACAAGCCGCGAGCTTATAGCATGCAAGTCCCAAAATCTTGGACCAAACCCGTTGATGTCGAAATGAAGGATGACTCCAATGTCCATTACGGCGGCAACAGTAACACTCGGGATGTCCAACTGGGCTATTCTAAGGAGATAGACATGGCTGATGCGCAATCTACCATGCCTGTATTTCCTAGATTTCCGCCAGCAGAATCTCCTACCACCGTCGAGCTAGACTCGTTACCAGACGCAGAAGACAGATTAGGCACACTAGATAAGCCAAGGAAATTTCAAGCATCAGTGCAGGAGGTTGGTTCTCCAGACTCGCAGGCCAGCAGCCTCGCGAAATTTGAATCCGAAGTCCTGGGTCTCTTGCAGAACAATCGCAACAAGGTCCAGTCCATCATCATGGAAGCTGGTCGGCTCGAAGTCTTCTTCTAAGCAGTACGACAGTCCACATGGATCGTAATGTAAAGATTAGGGTAACTTGTCTCGTATGGGCTGGCTTTAAAGATTTCTTCGCATTTCTGTTGGCTCATTTCCTAGTTCAGGTATCTAGGCTAGTATGAATAGATTTCACACTCGCCGGTCATCATTATTCAAGTTGTTTAGGATCATTTGAGTCCCTGGCTATGACATTGAATGCTTGACATAGTACCGGACTGAACTAGGTACACATTCATTCACCTTATGTATTCACCTTAATCTCATTCTAATAATGTATAAATAAACTCTGCTTCCATACATGTATTCGTAGAAACTTTTATAGTATGTGCATTATCCCTATAACTTTAACGTGGTGAAAAGACTTCGATGTTGATAAAGGTAAGCACAAGCTTGCTTAAGCCAATCAAATCACAGTTCGTAAAGCTCATGTGCTGTTACTCATGCGAGAGGGGTCCATTTTCTCCATACTAAAGATTATATCCCCAACTACCAACATAACAAACCTTGAAACCTTCGTGAACTCAGGCAATGGGGAATTCTGCAACACCGAAGAACTGGCCTACAGTAATCCCGTATCTCTCGCAGCCTGCCTACGCACCTCACATCACCAAGCCCCAGCGGCAACTCCTTAGCACCCGGCCACCCGATCTCCATGCCGAGATCGTACGAGACCTCTCGCGAGGTCCTTCGGCTCTCGTGAGAATCGTTCCCATCCACGACCCCTCACACCCCGCAAATGGCCAAGCAGGGCTATTCGCCGCAAGGCAACTTGCCCCAGGCTCTCTCATTCTGCCATACTACGGTATAGTGCACTCGTCTGCGCTGCCGCACAGCGCTGCCCATGAGAAATCAGACTACGATCTCTGGCTGGATCACGAGGGGGCGCTGGCGGTTGATGCGGACAGGGCCGGCAACGAGGCCCGCTTCGTCAATGACTACAGGGGCGTGAAGGAGCGGGCAAACAGCGAGTTTAAAGAGTGCTGGGATCCAAGGAGGGGCGAAAGGTGTATGGCCGTGTTCGTCCTGCCTGCGGGTAAGAACGCTGGGAAGAAGACTGGTGTGGGGATTGCAAGGGGTGAAGAGATTCTCGTTAGTTATGGGAAGGGATTCTGGAGTAAGAGGAGAGACGAGAGCCAAGAGGGTTAAGTATTTGGATCAAGCCTCATAATTTAACATTGAATTCATTTGCCTCTTGCTTTTTATCAATTTCATATGGAGGATAAATAGAGCAAGCACGGCGGAGATTGGATCACTAATAATAAGGGGGACTACAAGAGAGGCTATATGTATCTTTAAATATTCTAGGTGTTAGTTAACTGGTCCATGCACAGTATACAATGGGTTTTATACGCATAATATTTATATATGAGTATGCATATATCCGTTTATGCTACTAAAATAAAATGCCAAACCCAGCACACAAAATAATTGAATGGCGATCCGCACTCCGCAAAATTCTTTTTCCAACTCCCTCTTTCCTTTCGCCGCCACACCTGATTTGATCCTCTCAACACGAAACCTTTTCCCGTCTCCGAGAATTAGGATTGACTTTTGAATCGTCAATTTGGGTTTGTCAAAGAAAAAAAAAAAAAAGAAAAAAAAAGTAAAACAGCCCCCAGTTCTCCAACCTGGCAACTGGGTTAAAACCGACACCATCGGCTGTTCATGTTCTTCCTCCTCCGTTTTCTGGGCAAATTCGGAACTCGTTCATCTATTTTCCATCCCCATTTATTGGGAAGAATCGTCACAGGTATGTCCAGTCTGATTTTCAAACTTGTTCAAGTCTTATTTTCTACTTTGTCCTTTTTTTTGAGAACTTTTTTACTTCCCTTGTTTCATTGTTCCCTGGTTTGCATTTGGACATGGAGCTGTTACATCCTTCACTCGCCATGTCGGCGTTACGATGTAAATATGTTTTACATGACTTCAAAATATTTCTAATTACCTAGAACTCGAAGGGGCAATATTATGTTATTAATATAATATTGCTATCATCAATTGTCATTGATCTTGTCCTTATCGTCTTCGGTCCTATGTGATTCTAACAATTTTTAATCGCAGGTGAAAAAACAGAAATAACAGAAATAACACGAACTCTTCATATAACGCGACTGTCGAGGTTGACGAATTGTCGCACCCGTGCATCATACAACTTTGACTAACCGAGATACAACAATTCATTGTTTGTTGCTGCTGTCGCGTCAACTGACAGTATCTACTACATCTCCAGCTATATATAATCAGCACTTCCATCGCCATCCATTTTGTAACTTTCGACGCGTCTTTCATAGAGCAACCCCATCACCATGCCTCCAGATATAGATCCTATGTTGCAGGACACCATCTCTGAAGTGCAGGAGGATGCTGTCGACGTGCCACAGTATCCAATGCCCGCTCCCGATGCGCAGAACGGTGCACAATACGAAGACTCACATGTAGACCAGCAGGAACCGCAAGACCAACCACAAGACCAACCACAAGACCAACCACAAGACCAACCACAAGACCAACAAGACCAACAAGACCAACCGCAAGAGACTGAATCTACCGGGCCCTTGCAAGATGCTCGCTCGACATTTACGAGCGCCGAAGAATTGCGTATTGCAGCTCAACTTGGCGCAGGTCTCAGTCAAGGCATGCCTACGCTTGATTCTCACGAGGAGGCCAATCTTCGAAATGCTATAGCCAATGCCCATTCCGAACCTGACGAATCAGAACCTCAGCAACCAGACGACCAGTTGCAACAGGAACAAATGCAGCATGACCATATGCAACAAGATCAGATGCAACAGGATCAAATACACCAAGACCAAATACAGCAGGATCAAATGCGTCAGGACCAGATACCACAACATAATGGCCATGAAAGTCATGTTTTGGAACAAGAACCCCAAAAACAAGAGAGCTTGGCCAATAATCACCAGCCCCTGCACCCAGAGCAACCCACCATCCCACATAATCAACAGCCAGGCCATGAATATATCCCTCAAGAGCATTACCAGCATGAGCATCAACAAATCTCTTTACCTCACCAACCACAACATCTCCAGCAACAGCCCCCTCATTTGCAGCCGCAGGGTACGCCAGAGCAGCTAGCTCAGCATTACGCCGTCCACGCCGCAGCTTTCCCAGACCATAACATCCCGCCCAGGAAACGTTCCAAGGTATCTCGCGCTTGTGATGAATGTCGTAGAAAAAAGGTGAAATGCGATGCTGTTTCGGAAAATGGCGAGGAGCCCTGCTCCAACTGCCGTCGCTCTTCAATTCGCTGTCTCTTTAGCAGAATTCCTCAAAAACGTGGCCCTAGCAAAGGGTATATCAAAGAGCTTGCGGATCGAATACACCACATCGAGGGAAAGCTAGCAAGCGAAGGAGGCAACGTGGATGGTCTTGCGGAACTCCTAACTACTGCTAGGAGAGACTCGGGTGACATATTCAATTCCTCTGGTCTGCCAGAGGATAATAGTCGAAAGAGGCCCTATTCAAGCATATCTGGCGGGGACTTTGCAACACCTAACAGTTCGCGCCAGGCAACATGGAGCTCCGAACCCCGAGCTATTCAGCCTTATCAAACTCCGGCTAGCACCTTAAAACCACCTCCTTATTCCGCTAATGGGTTGGCACCCCAACCTCTCCCTAGGACCGAGCCAGACACGCCATCTCGCCCAGCTACAACCAATACTCTCGAGTCAGAGCCAGTGCCACTCGATCTTAATACCAATGGCTCAACTCGTGAGCTAAACGACGACGCCTTCAGTGGCTACCTTAATGTCGTCCACACGTGCTTCCCCTTACTTGCCGCAAGCAAAGCAGCCGTCGAAGGACAACTAGCACAATGTCCACCTGTACTTCGGGATGCATTTGTTGAAGCGCTCTATGGTAGTATGCAGTCATTTGTATCTATCCCTGGTTTATATACCAATGGCGATATTGGTTCTGCTGCACGGCTACTTGCAGATTGGGAATCCGACTCCACTCCGAGGACGCCGATCATGAATCTCGTGCATCTCCAATCCCTCATATTGACGGCTATTGCCACGGACAATTATGGCCCATCCTCATTAAAAGGTGAGCACGGAGGCCCTTCTAAAGCCTCCGTGTTGGGACGTGCCGTTGGCTTAGCTTATTCGATGAGACTACACGTTTCTAGCCAGGAGACGACCGTAGATGGACAACTGGAACCCGATTCGATCGAGAATATGGCCATTCGAGCTTGGTGGACATTGGTCATGTTGGATCGATGGAATGCGATCGCGACTGCAAGCCCCTTATTCATACCAAACGACAGTGTAGTCATACTTCCCAGCTTAAACTCGGTCCTGGGAGAGCATGTATACCATTTAGCGCGTAAGTACCAACTTTCTTACACACGAAATACAATGCTAACCATGAGTAGGTCTGTCGAACATCCTGGGCCATTTTGCGCCAGTCTCCTTGGCCCCCCCTAAAGCTCTCTCCCCTGACTCGGGTGCTGCCCCGATATTGAGTTCCTTCTTCAATCTATCTATCGAACTCTTCCGGGAGATTCTTCCCCAGAGCATCACACCATCAAGTCACCCAATAATACACATGGTCTACTGGCATAGCAGATTATTGGCTTATCTGTTTCAGACCAATGCAAAGTCTACCGATATCCTATGGCCTTGCAAGGAGACGGTAGAGCTCTTGCTCACGAACACGCAACTACTGAGTCCACTCAATCATCACTTCTTTTGCCTAGTCGCGTTAGTATTGATCGAGCTCGTCAAGGTTGAAAAGACACGCGATGAAGTCATCTTACTTTTGAAGCAACTTTTGGACTCGAATCTGGCGCCGTCGACTTGGGATGCGGTAATAAGGGATCGTATTGCAGAGCACGTTCGACCTTCCACTGCTCAGACTGCTGCTGCAAACCAGAGCCTACAGCATCTTGCTGATTTAGCCACGGCATCGGAAACCAATGTTGCCAAGCCAGAAAAGGGTGCAGATTCGGTATCACTTAGAACAAGTGATAATTATAGCGATGCTGGATTTGATCCCTCAATACTCACTCGAGGTGGTTACTTGAATGTTCTGGCCAACGGGCAGTCATCAACAATACGATAGCCTCTCCTAGAACAACCAAAGTGTACGCCTCCCTCCCTTAACCTGTATTATAACGTCCTAACATATAGTAGATACAAATGACAATAGTCTACATCATGGTGCATTGTTTTCTGACCTCTTGCGAATGTTGATGTATGCCAAATTTAGGAGATACTCGTCGTTCTACATCTCTCAGGGGGCATATATACTCTCTATACTATATTCGACAGACCTTTCTTGTTTCTGGTCATGATTCTGCAAGAGGCATCCGGATTCTGGTGGTCTTTTGTTCCTTTTCCTGGAACCTTTCAGGGAGTGTCAGAACTCGTTGCCAGAATACATTTCCAAGCAAGTTTTCAAATAGTAGTTTGCTTTGTGGGTAAGCATGTTGAGGTTTGTTCGCAAGTAAATGGATAGTCATCTAGGGCTATCTAGTAACGATGGAAGTGGCAGACATTGCCACAAGCCAATCTAGAAGGACATGAGAATAAGCTATCGCGGTGCTTACTATACTGCCTAACGCAGTCTACCTACATCTACCTGGCCTAGTACTTTTGACATGGAGTCCTTACAAAACCCAACCGGCGATGCAAGAAAACACATGGATACAATAATGTCGAGTTACACGAATAGTAACATCGGAGCTACTTGTAAAATAGTGCACATGTGGATTTAGGGGATAATCAAGATAGGTTACCACCCAATTAAATATTGTGGTTTCTCACCTTCAACAAATTTGGATTGAAAGTAATACCCTAAGGTTAGGTATATGTATCCCTAGAGATCACCAAGATCACCCACCAAACTCAGTGCAGATCTGAGTTGCTCGGTATTTACTGTACCTAGTAAGTGGGAGGTAAGTCAAGTCGTATGCTGGCATAACGACAAGTGTACATACTTGCATATGCTCTACACCAATCACATCAGACCAAGCACCGAAAAGGGAAAGTGACCACATGCACATCCAAAAAAGTCTGCATGTGGTTCCTACGTACCAGGAAATCTGGTTTTCAAGATCATCTTTTTACTACCTTGAGGCACACGCAATAAGTGGTCCCAGAAGGCACACAAATCAGCAGTGTTGACCATCATACGCCCCTTTAGGGCGTCCCCCCTTTTCCCTTTAGGTCTGGTTCTCCTTGTCGGCTTTCCTCATGTAGGTGTGCCCTGTGTGCCTAGGTAGTAGGTACTAGGTAGTCACACTGCGATCCTACCCTACGGCTCCTTGGCTCACCTCATTGGAACAGATCGGGTTCTGTAGTGATGGGATCTTCTTTACACTGTTACACAGGTACGTGTCCATACCGGCACGCTGGATCGGGGCCAGCCAGTGATATATAGTTAGTGCTGCGCGAACCATGTGTTTCCGTTATATAAAAAGAATCCTGAAAACAACATCCTGGATGGAGTACCCATGCCAACTAATGAGGCGAGTTGGCTGGCAGTACCTAGCTAGCTAAAATTCGTCGGAGATCCTGACTCCGCTTGGTATATATACTGTACCTGTGCCGTAGGCGTCACCCCCCTTGGCCGACAAAAACTCCGTGGACCTTGCCCCTACATAGGTACCTTATGCCACAAAATATGGATAGTGAGGAGCCCGTGATGAGCCACTTGATGCGCTCGATAACCGCCCCAGCTAGCTAGCTACCTTACCTACCTACAGAGGGGAATGAACAGACGGCCTCCTACCATTATACTAAGTCGGGCGTGATGACGCTAGCATCCATACATTACACACATACATGTCTGCTGTGGAACAAACCCGGATCTAGCGGCATAGAGGGAACACCAACCATATATGTATTGCCCGCGCCAGAGAGGGGAGTTGGGAAAAAAAAGGAGGGCATGGTAGGTATCCATAGTGACGATACGTATGTAGGTGAGTTAAGTAATGCCGGAGCTAGCTGCCCCAATTGCATATGTAATTAGTAACGGAATTGAAAGGTTAGGTAGGTAGGTAGTCCCCGTGTTAGCGCGGGGGTGCCCTTCGATGTTGAAAAATAACCCCCCCGAGAAAAAATTCGGATTCCGTACAAAAGCCCCGTAAGGTGGGTAGTGGGAGAAAGAGAGGGGGCAGGAAAGGAAGGAGAGACGAAATCGGGGCAAGGCAAGCATCGCGAACGTAGGTAAGGTTGAGAACCGATATAGGGAGGGGATGGGATGGCTTCCGTCGTTCAGCCTTTTTCTTCATTCCGGTGAACTTCTCCGTTCCCGGGTAAGGGGGTTGGTTTGGTTTGGTTTGGTGTGCGTAGGGCAAATAACCTACCTAACTTAAGAAGTTAACTAGGTTAGACAGTTGTTAGCTACGTAATCCGCCCGAATCTATCCGTCCCGGCGGCGCCTCTGAGAGAATTCCAGGACGAATCAATGCCAAGTGATCCCTTTCAGCATCCGATCTTGCACGTGTACCTGAATCTGAATGGTACCATAATGTCGTCACTTGTATGAGAGGTTTAATTTCTCTCTATATGTCTGTAACATCTCCCTTTTTTCTAGTTCTCACATATCCTGGGTTTCTGATCAGTCAGTCAGGTGAAGCCTCATACCTAGGGGTCTTGGTTCTCTGCATAAATAACAGTACAGTCCTCCTCCTCCTCCTCCCCCCGGCTGTTGCCCAGCCCTCTCTCGGCGGTTTTTCTAAATTCTTGCCAAACAAATAAATATCTTGGACGTTTCTTGGAAGTCCCGTCATTGTTCCACCACGTCCCGCTTCTAGAACGCTATCTACTTGCCTGCCTGTAACTTATATTCTATGTCTCTACTTCCCTAATCTTTCGTCCCGTCCGCCCGTCGGTTCCTATCCACCCCTGCCTTTCCACCCACCGGCATCGCGAGGGCTGAGTAAGAGACCTATGCTGCGCACGCGCCGAGACTCCCGGGAAGAAAGTGAGAGGGAATTAAGAAGAAAAAAATTGAATCAATAAGAACAATCAAATCAAATCAAATCAAATCAAATCAAATCAAATCAATTTTTTTTTTGTTGAAGACCTTCCATTTGCAATCACCGGTTGAATGCTGCTGAGTTAGCTTTGCACATCATTTGCGGCGCGCGTCTCCTCCTCCTCTCAGGCTCTCTCTCTCTCTTCCCTTCTCCATTGTTTCGGCGCTTTCTACACGCCGCAATTTCTTTTAAATTTTGAAGATCTTCGTTTGTTCCTCTCTTTTTCGAGGACAAGACCTAACAAAAAAAAAATAGCAAATGCAATGCGGTCCCAATTCTCCTCTTTTTTTTCTTTTCTCTAACACAACAATGGCAGACAAGACAAGGGCTTGACCCGCCCGCTCTCTCGCGCAGGTCGCGACATCGGCTGCAGGAACAGGAAATTCTTCTGGAGCCTACCAAGACGCACCTTGGTGGACCGTTCCAATCTCTCTCACTCTCTTTGCTTGCCCTTGTAGTAGTTACTTGTTCGCAACGTTCGGCTCCCACCTTTTCTGCAGAAACGGGGATTTGTCATGCTAGCTACCTAGTCCTTCTTGGCCCCCCTTCCCCTAGCTAGGTAGCTATGAAAGAAGAGAACCACCCCCCCGCCAAACCTTTTAAACGGAGCCTCTTCGCCGCGGCCGGCAAGGGAGAGGAATGGGGGGCAGGTGGGAAGAGAGCATGCAAGCTCCTCGATCCAGTCAGTCGCAAAAGCTCTAGTCAGCAAGCGGATCGACACATGCAAAAGACACTTCCGGGCGGCGTTATTATAATTTAGAATAACGGTTTTTTCTGTTATTATACTATAGCAAAGGGCTGTTATAGATGAACAATCTACCGAAATAGGCAAGTGTATACCGTACCAAGCCAGACGAGAGGGAAAGAAAGATTACGGGGGGTGGGTGGCAGGCAGGTGGAAAGGAATCGCGAGAGAGTTTTGTGAGCTGAGCGACTCCGATTTGTCTTCCACCCCACCCCCAATCCCCCCCATCCCCTAGTTAGGGTAGTTTGTTGGCGATTTCTTTTTTGGGAAGACTTGTCTTTCTTTGCCTTTTCTAACCGAGTGTACCGAAACGCCCATTTCCAAGGCTCCTCTCTCTACTTACATACATACATACGCACGCGCTGCTGTACTTCTAATCTATGTGCAGGAAACAAGGTAGTTTTGAAACAGACCGCCTCTCACATGCGCGCTATCTCTCTCTCATATGCTCTCTCTGTCTTTACTCTCTCAGCCCGTTGAGGGTCTGAGTCTAAAAAGTTAAGGGGGAGTGTGGGCGGGTTTCTTAAGAAAAAAAAAAGGGGGGGTGGGGGGATGACAGCTGCAACAGGATGCAGCTGGAAGAATAATATGTACGGATTTGACGATTTCAGAAGAGGAAAAGAAGAAGAAGAAGAAAAGGTCAAAGTTTCAAATGTGTTGTAAATGCGTGCGCGAGCTGTTCGTCCCGTATGGGAACTTGAAGAGGAAGAAGCCGACCCGAACCGAAACCAGACCAAACCCAAAGGAATAAGAAAATTTCAAAGAGCAAACAAACATCCTTCTTCTGCTTGCTGCTGCTGCTGCTGCTACTACTCCTCTTGCCCAGAACGCCCACTCGAAGACCCGCATTGCTCATGGAAAATCTGAATCTGAAATCTGCCACCCTAAAAACAGCGAGTACCTGCCCCAATCATCCCGGAACAAGGAGATGATGATAGAAGATAAAAAATGACAATAATATAATCCGTCCTTTCTCCGAGGAAGTTTGCATCCTGCGCCTTTGTCCATTCGATGGAGGTCCCTTAACCAGGGTTATATATAACATGCTATGAACAGAAAATAAAATGTAAGGAGTAAGGGGGGCTAACAAAAGAAAGAAAGAAAGAGAACGCGAATGACCAAAGAGAATTTCTTTCCCTGAGGCGTATGTGTAGGTATATACGAAGATGAACGAGAATATGTGTAAGTAAAGTATAAGCAGTAGATAGATAATAGATAACAACGACAACAACAACAACAACAACATGAGTTTTCAGATATAAGATAATTTGTTTTGTTCATAGAGCGCGTGGTATCTCATAAAAAAAAAACCTGGATTTGAAAGAGACGATGAAGATGCAGCGGCGCGATGAAAATGTGTTGAAGAAAAAAAAAAGAAAAAAAGCCAGCCAGCCTGCCTCCCCCCTTTGCCCATTCCCTTCCCTGTGCTCCCCTTCCCTTCCTCCCCCTAATCCCCTATCCCACCCCGTCCCATAAGAACAATTGAAGATCATACCTAATATAGTAGATACCTATGTATATATGTGTATATTTATATAGTATATGTAACGAGAAAAGAAAAGCAGAAAAAAAAAAAAAAAAAGTAACAAGAAAGATGATGACAAAACGATGGATGGAAAACCCGCTTTCTGGAAATTCCGAATTGCCATTATAATTTGGAACCTGCCAGTGTGTGGTTTTTTTTTGGTTTGATTGTCATAACCCAACCCAAAGCGCCCCCTTCTCTCTCCCTCTCTCTGTCTCTCTCTCTCTGTCTCGCCGTGATTTTTTCTTTCCCGCATGCAAAGTCAGGTTAACGTAGTGGTAGTTATATATATATGTATGTATATCTAGTTTAGCTTTAGTTCAGATTGAAGTTTTTTTTTCTCTTTTTTTTTTTGTGCGTAGATTTTGTTGAGTTTCTTTCATTCGTTCACTGTTTCCCCCGTAGCTTTGATTTGAAATTTCGATCGAACTGGGTCGTAGAAGCGTGTGTGTGGCTGGCTGTTGTGGTTTGCTAGGTTTCTTGAGTAGCATCCCACCACCACACACACACACACATATATATATATATGTACCGGAGATTTTGTTGTTGGGGCTTTTCCGTTTACGCGGTATCCCACATGCCCGAGACCAGCGGATCCGGGGAGTGCGTGATGCCGTCGGTGAAGTTGTTCATGCCCCAGTAGGAGTCCTCGTCGACGAGCGACGGGAAGACGGAGCTGCTGCTGTCGTCCGCGAAGGATGCCGACGCGTGCTGCGTCGCGAGCAGCTTGCTCGCCGCCGCCGTGCCCTTGAACTGGTCGAAGTCGAGGTTGTTGAGGTCTGCCGCGCCAGGGTGCTGGTGCTGCGCCGCCGCCGCCGCCGCCGCCGCGCACGACGACGACGCCGACATCCCCAGGTAGCTCCCCGCGCCCCGGAACCCGGCCGTCGTGTCGAACTGCGGCTCCCCGCTGAACGCGGACATGAAGTCCTCGGTCTCGGACACGTCGCCCGAGTTCGAGGTGAGCGTCGGCTCGGTCGCGGACCCGGACGCGCCGGCGCCGCTGCCGCTACCGCTACCGCTACCGCCGAAGTCGAGCCCCATGTACGACTGCGTCTGGTCAAAGCTCGAGGGCGTCAGGCCGTCGGCGCCCTTGAGCTCCAGCCCGTCGTACTGCGCCCAGTCGACGGAGGCGGCGCTCAGCCCCGCGCTGAACATCGGCGGCTCGTAGTCCGAGATCCCGCTGAACAGGTCGAACGACGACGACGACGTCGACGCGTAGTCCGGATACCGGATCGCTGACAGATCTAGTGGCGGCAGCTGGCCGTTTAGCTGTTGGAAGGAGGAGGACGACGAGGACGAGGACGAGGTGCTCTCGATGGAGGGCGAGGCTTGCGCGGACTTGGTTAGCCGCGCGGCGTGGCGGTCCGGCGACGAGGAGGAGCCGGCGCGCGAGCGCCCGACGGAGGAGGACTTCGTGCCGAGGCTGCTGGCGCTCGTGGTGCGGTGCATGGATGCGGAGGAGGCGGAGGAGGAGTTGTTGTTGTTGTTGTTGGAGGCGCGGGTGACGGAGTAGGGGCCGCTCTTCTGGGAGGCCTTGGTGTGGCGCTGCGCGGGCTTGTGGTGGCCGTTCTCGTCGAAGCTGAGGATGGGCTCGGAGTGCGTCGTGTTGGTGCGCCGTCGGCGGGTCGTCGCTCTCGGCTTCGTCGTGGACTGCAGCAGCACTTCCACCTCCGCTTCCGAGTCGGACTCCGGCACCGTGTCGAGGGACGGCTCCTTCTTGTGCGAGCAGGTGCATCGGCCGCCGTGGTTGCAACAGCAGCTGTCTGCGAACGGACGGAAAATAAGAATCAAGTCAGACACCATAGCATAGGTCTTTTATAGTTTTTGGTTTGGTTTGGTTGTTGTGATCATGTATGTATGGTAGATGGATGTAATAGCACATATAAAATATAATGTAATATATAATACATATAGCTATTATTGTATCTTGCTTTGAATTGGGGAATTGGCCGCTCACCCTTGTGTCCTTCCAGCGTCTGCTTTAGATGGGCGCATTTATGCGTCTTCTCGCCGCAATCGCATTTGACGTGAGATGATCGCGACTTGCGCATCGAGCGGCAATGTTGGCATTGCGACACGGGCCGGCCTTTTTTGTTGATGTGTTGTAATTGCCGATCTAGATGAGTTGCGCATTATGTGTAAGTGAGACTGTTCCTTTTTCTGTTTCTTTGTATAAATGGTTGCTGTATGTATGTATGTATAGGTAATGTGGTAGTAGATGCAAAATATAAAAATAGATATAAAAGGAGATAGATATGCGATCTCCAAGTCAATTCTTTTTTCTTTTTTTTTTTTTTTTTGCTTCTTCCCGGTCTTTCCTATGGCTTGAGAGCCAATGACTTTGTCTCATCCGGTGCCCCGCGATGGTGATAATAGTGGTCATAGCCATGGCAATGGTAGTGATCGCAAAACATGGTAATGCCGTCACAAGCTTCGGTTTTGTCTTTGGTAACAGGACGAAATGCAAGTAGAAAAAAATGAAAATAAAATATAAAATATAACAGCATAAAGAGAAATACCAGGCAATGCAAAAGAAAATGCGACAACAATTGCGCTTCACTCACCTGAATGTTGACAATTACTAACTCGATGTCCCCTTACACAAGCTTCGCAAGCCCACTTCTCGCCGTTGATTAACATTGTGTGTGCGCTTTTGGTGGTGGTGGATTTCGATTAAAACGTATGGTCGAGAAATTCAGAGGAAATCGGAATTACTCGGTATGTCGCAACGAGTGACGTTCGACAGTAAGAACAAAAAAAGAAATATTAATCTAAATAAAGATATAATAATAAAAAAACAGAGAGGGAGAGGGAAACCCAAAGCAACGGGTTCGTTCAAGCGAAAGGGACCAAAGGAACCTTAGAAACGGTTGGTGCTTCAGTAAGTGGCCCGAGGCTGCTGCGCTGGGAACGTGGGCGTTTGGGGTTTTTTGGGGGGGGCAAACAAAGGCCCGAGTAACATAAACGTATTCCGTATAGGTAACTAATAAGCTTAGTAGGCTTGCGTTGCGGTACGTTGCGCTGCGCTGCGCTCAAGGTTGCGTTGCAGCGAACCAAAGACACACTGCAACGGGGAACTGGGAAGTAAGTAGAGACAGGTTAAGTTGGCTGGCAGGTAGGTCAGGTAGGTAAATAGGTAGGTAGGTAAATAGGTAGATAGGCAAGTTAGGTAGGCAGAGAGGCAGGTTGTGGATGTATTGGATGTATGTATGAATGTAGTAGCAAATCCCTTATGCACGCATCTCCCAGGGTACTGTACTTTAAAGTAAGAACCTGGGAAGGTGAGGTAGGGTTGCCAGACAGACAGATGGATGGAAAGCTTGTACGTAGTTGTAAAGCAACGTTCAAAGGTAGGTATGTAAGTGTATGTAAGTAAGGTAAGTATGTAAGTATGTAAGTGGGTTGGTGGGCTGGTGGGCTGGTCAAGTTGTGTCTGGTGTAAGTTAAAACAGCCTGTGAGGTGGCAGCTTGCTTAGGTGATATCCAATAACCAGATATTCAAGATATCCAGTTTGTTGTCCAGCTGGCTTGTGAATTTTGGGAACTTTGGTAATGGTGGTAATGGTGGTAATGGTGGTAGTTAGGGTAGTTAGGCCAGTTCGGTATCGTAGGTGGAAGTATTATTGAATATTATCGACTATGACCGAGCCTTGGGCCGGGGGAGGAATACGGCGTCGCGGCAAATGATGAAAGAATGGCAAGAAGAAAGGATGCGCCAGTCTAAGAAAAGATAATGATTTGATTGATTGAGTGGAGATTTTTGTTCTTCGCTTGGAAAATTCTTTTTTATTTTTTTTATTTTTATTTTCAAAAGTTGAAATCGATTTGGTTTGTGGTCTTTAGTAGAAACTTCTCTTCTTCTTTTTTCTCTTTCTTTTTGTTCAAAAAGTTGTTATAATAATTAATATTGTTTTTTTTTGTTACCCCGTCAAGGAGCCGCAAAAAAAACTAATAATAATTAAAAATAATCCGAAAAAGATAGGTGAATTGAAGTTTCAACGCATGTATCTCAGCGTGCTGATCATCCGTCGGCTTCCAGGGCTGGCTAGCTAGCTAGAACCGCACAGTGCAGCGTGATGTATTTTCGGCGGTGCTATGCGGCTAATAGAGTATGACCGGGAAAAGGCCCTGCCTTTGATGGAGAATTCGGAGATGTATGACTGAGTTAGGTGTAAGTCCTTTCCGTTGTTTTCCTAACAGAAAACTCCAGACACGGGGTACCTGATACCCTCAAACTCGTGTACATACGAAGTATTAGATCGAGTTGAAACTAGATTGGCCAGGGTCTTGGGAGAACTCGGCTAACAAAGCTAGGTCAACGTAGTTTCGGTTAGACTGTATACCTATAGATATACATAGGTATGGGTTATGTCTAGGCAGGCTAGGAAGGTAGGCAAGTACGCAGGCAAAGAGGACAAGACGACCTTAGGTAGGTAACCTAGAGAGGTATGTATAGTATAGTTAGATGTTCCCAATGTTTGTGTCTGCGCGGTGGTGGATGTAGTTGTGGATGCGCAAAGTGGATGTATGTAGGTTAGTATGTAGTATGTATATAGATGTAGTTGTAGATGTAGATGTATCTTGTATCAAAACATCAACACTACACAACACAAGGCGGCAGCGTCTAAAGTGTGAGAGAGGGCAATGGGGACTGACGGAACTAGTCGGCACGGGAAGGGGGAACGGGCGATGTTTAAAGAGTCGAAGTCAGGATGAGTTGTTAGGTCTATGTAGGTGGGCAGGCTTATCATTTACCTGGTGGGATGAGAGAGTCGCGAAGTTCAAAGTAGAAGCCCAAAGCGAAGTAGAGAGAAAAGTACTTACCTAGTCCCTCTACAGCAAACCTAGCCGGGAATATACTTGTTGATGAATGTCATCACGGGCTAATGGCGTCCCAGGCATGGCTAACAATGACGGAGCTGTGGGTTGGCTAGGGGGGGGGGTGTCCTACCCGCCTCTGGTTTGGCCTGGAAACGTCCCTTTCGAATCCAGATGATGAATAACTAGCACGGTGATACTCAAGTAGGTAAAGGGCGAGAGAGGAAAGGTGGGCATGGTAAACGAGGACCTTGATTACTGCGTCTAGTGCGAACTGAGCCTATGTACAACATATTCGCGGTTGCGGCTTGCAAAGTTCAAGCGTGTAGAACTACCTACATCCATAACTACATGTAACTATGTACGTACTTACGTACATACGTACATACATACGAAACTACCTAGTACATATGTAGGTAGGTACAAGAGTTAAGTAGACTACTGCGATGTACTAGGTATGTAAGTAAGTATGTAAGTGGTATGTAGAGTATCAAATGTAGGTACAAGGTTTCCCCCCAAGACATACCAAGAAATCTCTGGGCATTGCATCGGTGTTGGGAGGACCTTCAACCCACGCCGAGCCAGCCAACCGCGAGCTGCGCTTCTCAGCCTACCTTGCCTACCCCTACTTCCTTAGCTTCGATTTATGAGGAATAGACGGGGGGGCATGTTAGCAGGCGAAAGTCCGCCAAGGGCGGGATCACTCACAGGTTTAGGACAGGGATGCGATGCCGCGATTGGGAATAGAAAGCGTTCCGTTGCAGACGGACGCACAGAAGTGAGATGGGTCTAATACTTCGTACATATTGTATTATATTTTGTGTATCTTGTTCAAATTTGTTGTATATAATATTGTACCTACATACCTACATACCTACCTACCTACCTACCTACCTAATGTATTATGGTCCATGTTATGCAAAGACCGTAGTAGGTATTATTATTTTCAAACTACTAAGCTAAGCTGGGTAGCTCAACTGACCGGGCTGGCTTATGTGGGATTAGTTAGTTGGGAGCTTCACCCAACTTTACGGTGTCAAGACGGTTTATTATGTTTCCACTTAACTATTACATAGTTATCCCAACTAAAAATCCCCCCAGGCCGGCCGGCCAGCTTCCTTCAACTCCTCGGCTATCATTCGTTTGTGTCCCCTAATTGCGAAAGTCTAGGTTGGATTTCTGACGACTGAGAGTAGGTTGGAAGGATACTCCCTACTACGTATCTTACCTATGTATGCATATTATTTTAGGATCTGAATCACAGCTGCGCATCTGTTTTCTTGGCACATGAGCCTGCCTACATGCGGGCTCACTGTAGTGTAAGTCGGTCATTGATCCGGGAATCGCGGGACCTTCCGAGAGCGTCTGGACTCAGATCATGTACTTTTCAACGTCAGTGGGAGCGTACAAATTGCAACTCTTGGGTGCTATGTGAAATTCGACTACCGCCTATGGATGATATCAACAAACACTCAGCGCCCGTCTTGGCCCTTGGCAAATCGCATCCAGATAGTTTCTAATGAGGCCGATCCGATGTTTGCGTGTACGTGTGTGTCTACGAATTTTGCTTGGCGAAATAGCTATACATAGTTAGGTTACAGGTTGGCAATGAATCCTCATTTCGTAGATCATGGATCGGGACACGAGCGAGATTCTGAGGCGGTCGCTGTACTGGTGCGGCGAACCCCTAGCCCAGTCGGTTTGACCCCCATGGGCAAAACAATGCTCACCTATAAATATTGTACCTACCTGTAGATCAGTATTGTATGACATCCCGAAGGAACGGCGCGCAAACCTTCCAGCGATGGGGAATTGACAGCCTTATTTTTAAATATCATGCGTGCCTATCCTCCTGCGTATCCTGCGTATCATGTATACCCAATGTAATATGCATCTGTGCATTCGGGTCCTTATGGACCTTCATCTCCAGGTCATATCTACGTCGGTCATGAAATTCAGCGAAATGGGCCCTCGCAGCAGGAATCTATATATCTAAGCTTGGCTGCCAAGTGTTTCGTATCAAGTGAATATTGCATAGAAGTAGGCGCTCTTTGAGCAATACGACAGTAGTTTGGCCTCGATTCGCCAAGCGACGACTTGAGGCGCATGGTAAAATTGAAGGCCAAGAGCACTCAATACAGAGAGCACTTTCAGACGGACAA